TCGCAATGCTTGTCGTGCAATGTTCAGATACGCAAATTTATCGAGTGTGAATTCAGTTAGAATTCAAAAAAGGATAGGTGATTTATGTTTTTCTAACGGGCATACAAAGTGGTGTCATTTTTTAAATCGACGCATTTAGTTGTAGTCGATGAAACAAATACAACAACATGAAAATATAATTTGATGCGCATCTCTAAATCGAGTATCCGGTCATTGCGATGTGGGCGTAGGAAAGTTTGGTGAAAGTGCTAAACGACCGACTATGTGTGATGTAAGAGCCTGGACTCTGCATTTCAGTACGACATGTCTAGTCACTGCCGCACGTTCCATTTTATAGATCGAACCAAGCTCTCCGGATATTTAACGAGTACACATATCAAGAGATTCGCAAAAAATGTTTCCATAACTATCTATAATTGTACCATTACATTCAAAATTTTGTTATGCCATGGATATTGATCTTTCAATCATCTGTGTAGAAAAAAATTTGATAATTGATAATCTCAACGATATAACTTCTTCAGTTTTTTTTATACATACAAGATATTAATGTTTGTATTTATTCCGATTGATTTTTTGCTTCAGATATGTATTGTACTGTAATAAAAAAATTTTCTTACAGCGATAATTACATTTACTTTACTTACAGTTAATGAAAGTAGTAAGGTAACACGAAATTTCCTCATTAGTCTTGCTAATAACAAAAGTATTTTCATGCTTCTTGTGCCGCAGTAAAATATATTTCCGACAATAAATTATATGGAAGTAACCGTCGCTTAGAGCGTAAAAATTGATTGCGTGACTTTCTACGATTGCATCGATTCAGAGAACTCGCTTTAAAAACCGGAACAAATTGTAAAGCATAAATCGAGATTACCTCGTAAGATTTACAAGTTTTTTATTTTTATTTTTAAAGCAAACTCCTCTTCTAAATTCATGCGTATTGTATAGATGTATACGCATTATGTTTGCAAATTCGACTCTTCGCAAATAATTCGCGAGCATAATCATGAAAATATACAGCAGACAGATGCGATTTATAGATCACTTTATTAAAGGAAGAACTAATTATATGGTACGTGAAGAACTGGTAACGGCCTGGATGTGTAATCGTTGGGAATACGCTTGACATCTTAAATAATAATGAGCGAAGACCAACAACGATTACGTAACAAGCCTTTTTTATAGTCAGAACACACAATTCAGGACGCAACGACATTATGAATGCTCGACATCATCCGTGGTTCCGGTGTCATCGCAATATGACTTTTCGCTCACAAAATATGTGCCGTTGTCCGCCGAAAATAATTCTTCGCTCAGTTTTATGCAATCGAAATGACATTAGCATTTAAAGTGCCTAGATACAAATAACTTGCGTATTTACTTCCTGAGATTTTTTTGGAAACTAGTAAGTATATAATTATAGGTAAGTAATTAAATTAAAAAAGAGAAATTAAATTAAAAGTAAAACTTTCCACGTAGAAATTTAAAAGTATCGATTTCCTTGATATTTCGAAGGAATTTTTGCATGAATATCTTATATCATAATCTCGAAAGATTAAATTTCTTCCATAAACTTTCTTAAACTGGTATTTGCAGTAGATTGCTATTAAATATTTGAAATGCGTAGATAAAACGATAAGAGCTGCGGAAATATAATAATGGCCAAGCCAATGGCATAAAGTTAACGGTGGACAAGTAACAGGAATTTAAGAAAGGCTGTAAAGTCATAAAACGCGTTATAAAACTTGTTCGTGGTAAGCTCAGAAGTTTGATTTAGGTCGCCAAAATCGAATCTGAAGAATCGGAAATTATGAAAACCACGATTAAAATGCAGTAGAAACTATTAATTTGAACTTTTATCAGGTAAAATGTGAAACACTGATATCAAAAATATTTTTATTCCTCTTAATGGAATTTATTTACCTAAAACGCGTGGAGATATAAATATAAACAGATAATTAAACAAACAATGAAACATACAGATATTGTAATGATTTGTCGGCGTCGTTTCTTTCAACTTGTAAAGAATCATCTTTTTATAGCGTACAACTTCGTTTTCGGAGTATATAATGTTTGAAAAATAAGAGGTGTGAGTGCAAATAGAAGAATGGGGCCGTTAGAAATTTCCGTTTACATTTATACAGCTTGACATATAGGCCGATGCGTACATTTTTTTTTGCTTTCTAAATGTTTCGGCCCTCGAGATATCTGGATACCTCTTTCGAAACGTTTTCTCGATATTTGGGTTACCTGCAACTGTCAAGCATGATGGAATTTCATATTTTCCGTACGTTTATGGTTATATCACGTATTTTATCTTCTCTTCCACTCGCATTTCAAATTTTTTTTTCAATTCCTACCAGATTCTAAAAGACAAAAGTATGATAGAGATAGACAAATAATAGATAAAAAGTATTGTTACATATAACAATTTTTAATTTTCTCTCAATATCAGGTAAAGTGTAAAAAGATGACATCTTATTTTATAATCTAATAACATTCTATATAGTAATTTTTTAATTGATACATCAATTTTAAAAACGAAAATAAAAATTGAAAATAATTTAGAATTTAAAAAGATTTCCGAAAAAGGAACTTTTAATTTTTTCGACATATTTTAGAGCCATTTTCCTTCAACGCAATCGCAGCCAATTACGAGCGAAAATGCGTATCCGACCGAAAGCGGATATCCTAGGTACATCCTAGAATAAGAACGTCTCATTTGTTGGGACTACTTTCGTGTCTGGACTCGAAAATCTGGAGCAGCAGTGAGTGATTTACGAACCGGAATAGCGAGAATGTATACCTCGCTGGTTTCAGTCGCCAGGACGTCGAGGCGCGCGAACTCTCTAGCGAACGAAGGGGAATTCACTTTCATCCGTGAGTCGGCGCGACATGTTAAACGGATATATGCACTTAACGTGGTTTAACGCCTATCGTTAACCGCTACTTATAAACCACCGCCTTCGGGGAGTCTCGACGTTGCTTTTGAGAGATATCGAGATACGCAAGATACGGTTTTTCCGGGAATGAAGGAAGTATTTTGCTGGCGCTTTCGCTATCGTAGTACCTCGCACGCGTGAATCTCGTTAAATCTAATTTTCCCGGCTCGGTTGTGGTTTGATGAACATTGTCTTGTGACGATAAAAAAACGGAAAATACTCTCGCAGTCTCGCGTGTACGCGAAACCGTTTCTGCTCGGTATTGCTTTCTCCGAACGTGGACGAAGAAGTCGTAAACTTCGCGCAAAACTTGATCAAGTACAACCAAGGACCTTAATAAAGGCCTGTTATACTCGTTTTATTACAGGATCTGTCAGTTGGTTCGCTTTTAACCGCTCTGATTTCTTTTCTGAGCTGTTTCAATCGATTTAATTGTGATTGATAGCATCGATCACAAGCGATATTTATTTCATTCTTCTCATCTCGTATCGTTGCTTTAGGGATTCCCAAATTATATGATTACAATCATAGATCAAGATTTTGGAATTTTTTAGAATTCTTCTCTTTTTTTCCAATTAATATATTTAATATTAATCCCAGTGGGTTTTTACATTTTTGAATATGAAAAGAAAGATGTACAAAGATATTTTATTTTTTTATACAGGAAATAATGAATGTGATTGAAACTTGCTTTGGAATCATAGATTCTAATTGTCTACAATTTGAAAGCATGCGTCAAATTATACGGTGTATATATGAGAATCGTAGAGAGAGATTGAATAATTTGCTGCATTTCCATTTATATGTATATGTGTATAAGCTAAAAATAATATCAACAGGAAACAGATAGGGTAACTTTCGCGGCAAATCTATAATGAGGAATAGCGGTCAGGTCAGATTTAATAAAAAACTGAGAAACTTGATTCCAAAATACTTGATTCGACGAAAGGAAATTCGCTCAAAAAAAAAATGTTTCGTTGATGTAAATAAATTTCTAGAAGTAACAAAAATTTATCGCTATTTTTTTATATCTTGTAGAACATTGTTTGTAACTTGTAGAATTTTTAATAGCAATTTTGAATATCTTCTGGCAAATTTAAGACCTTGAATTTGCCAAATATTAATCATTGCATTGGATCAACGAGTTTTGCTTATATTTTGCTACTATCGGTTGGTACGATCTTTGTCAGAAACAATTTTTTCATGTATCATAGTCAAGCTTTACAACAAGTAAATGATCAATCTTAACATGGATAGACGTTTTTGGATAGAAAATTATCAACTAAAAAATATCCAACAAAATATATATATATATTGCAAAAATATATATTGCAAATAATCAGATTTCTTTACATTATTTTAATGATTATCAAAATAAAATGTAGAGAGGTCCACACAGAAAGATCTTCTTTCCAAATTTCACTGACAGTTCAGATATAAATTCTGTCTCTGTTATTTAGATTGATTAAATGCAAAACATGTGCGATGTCACAGTGTTTGCTAATCACCTATCTCTACCTGAATAAATTAATTAATTCTGCATAATTAGAAAATTATCGCTCTAATTGCAGAGTAATTAATCTCGAGTGATTATTTCGCTCCTTCTCTCCCTCCGGCAATCGGATATAATCCAGAGCGCGATCGGTGTGTAACCTTGTCTCGCGTAACCTTGCGAGAGCTTGAACTTCACCGTACGACCGAGACGGACGCGTTCGAATAAAACGGGGGTCGATCGTTCTGCTTGCTCGACCGGATCGTGTTCTCGATCACTTTCTCCGACGATACGGCTCGACGGAGGTCCGGTCGCGTACCGGAAGTGGGGGCGAAGGAGAGAAAGAACGCGAAGAAGGAGGTGGTGGAGAAGAATTTTTATCCGCAGGGGGGCCCGAGGCCCCCAAATCGACGACGATGGTGGTGGTGGCTTCTATCTCACCTTCGCCGATGGAATTCCCCCGATTTCCACCACTTAAGGCCGAGGATGGACCACCTCCATCGGCCTCTTCGTCCGCGGAGCGTTTGCCGGTGATATGCCTTCGGGGAGGATACGCGCCTATATAACTACGACGTTCCGGTGATTGAACGAAGTAAGCTAAGTTTTCCTGCGTCCAGGGAACAGGAGGTACGCGGCCCGAGCCCAACGGGCGGCATTGCGAGAAATATGAGGATTCGCTCGGGATGCGCGGTCAGTTGTTCCATTTCATTCTCTCTTTCTTCTCACAAAAAAGATACAATAATAGAAAGATTTTTCGAGAGTGCTTTATAATTCGTTCGCGACCGAGATTAGGCTTCGAGTTTATAGAATCGTGTTTACTTGACGAAGCTGTGTGATTATTAAATTGTGAATGAGCCTAGTGTCGTTTTTTGATTCTCTCGTTAATCGCATCATGAGTTGCGATCAAACGGAAAGATATTTTTCATAAACACGCATTGATTCTTTGATTGCAGATTTCTTTGGATTTATTAACTTTGTTCACTCTATTTATAGGCTGTATTAGCGCTGCTACTGCAGGCCGCTCTTGTGGCGAGCAAAGCTGTAGATCAAACGCAGCGTTTACAACAACAGACTACGTACGTATATAAGTTATTTTAGTAATAAAAGAATAATAATTTATAAGTTTATTAAAGCTCGTTCAAAACTAAAAACAAATTGAGACAAGATAAAAGGCATTTACGAGCAATCACAAGTTGTTGAGTGTGAGAAAGTAAAATTTAATATATATTTAAGTGGACGCTCGAATAATAATTTATTCGAGCCTCGTTTTAATTATAATTGATTTAATTAATTTTTAATAATAATTGATATATATATATATATACGATGTACAAACTTTAATTTTACTCTACGAAGATATTAACAATTACTGTGATAATAATGCATTTGAAAATATATTTCTTTTCTTGCATTCGTGTATTCTGTATTTTACCTTAATATTTTATATTTTATCTGGATCTCTCTATTTTTATTTTGATAAATAATTAAAATAATGTAAAGAAATCTGATTATTTGTAATATATATATTTTGTTGTATATTTTTTAGTCGATAATTTTCTCTCCAAAAAATTTCCCTGCACATTGTAAAAAACAGATTGAAATATATAGAGATATTTTAAATAATCATAGAGTATAGAGATATTATAAATGTTATAAATGAGACCAAATATATATTTTATTTCATTGAATCGCGTGATATCTTTGATTGTTATAGAAGCGTTAAAGAGGCGCAAAAACGATGGGGAGGCGATTCCGGTGGCGATTACGGCAGTCTTGACGGTGGTGACATTGGTGGTCACTATGGTGGCGGTGATGTCGGCCATTTTGGTGGCGGTGATGCCGGCCACTTTGGTGGTGGTGATGCCGGCGGCCATTTCGGGGGTGACGGCGGTCACTATGGTGGCGGTGATATTGGAGGTCATTTGGGCGGTGATGTCGGTGGTCATCTAAATGGAGGTGATATCGGTGGTCACTTGAGTATTGGGGGTGATATCGGTGGTCATCCAAGTGGCGGTGACATTGGCGGAGGCATCGAAGCACATGGAGGCGACGACCATCATCATCATCATGATGAAGGCTATTGGAAAAAGAAATTAGTATGGAAGCCAGGTTGGAAGAAAATCTGGAAACCTGCGAAAAAGCAAATCTGGAAGCCTGCATGGAAGAAAATTTGGAAGCCTATTTGGGTGCCAACGCAAAAAGCGGTGTGGAAGGAGATTCAAGTACCGGCCTGGAAGAAGATCTGGAAGCCCGTGTGGAAAGAGATTCAAGTGCCGGTGTGGAAGGAGATAAAAGTGCCAGCCTGGAAGCAAATTTGGAAGCCCATCTGGCAACCAATCAAGGTACCTGCTTGGAAGGAGATTCAAGTACCGGCGTGGAAAAAGATTTGGAAGCCGGTTTGGCGAGAGATTCAGGTACCAGCGTGGAAGGAAATTCAAGTACCTGCTTGGAAGAAACTTTGGATCCCCGAATGGGTAAAAATTGGTATACCAGGCCATCATTATCACGGTACGGATCATCACGGATGGCAATATACCAGTCACGATCTCTGGAAAAAAAAATTGATTTGGAAGCCGGTGTGGAAAAAATACTGGAAAACGGTGAAAAAGCAAATTTGGATACCGGATAAGAAACTCGAGTGGAAGGAAGCCTGGAAGCAGATATGGAAACCAGCGAAAAAGCAAATCTGGGTAGAAGACAAGAAGCTGGCTTGGAAGCCGGAGTGGATACAAATCTGGAAGCCAGGTAAGAAACTCGTCTGGGTTCCTGACAAGAAGCTTGAGTGGAAGGAAGCTTGGAAGCAGATCTGGAAAACCGAAAAAAAATTAGAATGGATACCTGATAAGAAGCTCGCCTGGAAGGAAGCGTGGAAGCAGATCTGGGTGCCAGCTTGGAAGGAAATCTGGGTACCAGCATGGAAGAAGATTTGGAAACCGGTCTGGATATCCGAATGGTTCCCCAACGAGGACCATCATCATCATCATGGTTGGGATCGTAAGGATTCGCAGACGCAAAATACACAGGTTGTACCATACAGCCCAGAAACCGCTCTACAGAAGAGGCAAGCGCAGCAGCAGCAGCAGCAACAGCAGAAGCAGCAGCAACAACAACAGCAGCAGCAGCAACAACAACCACAACAGCAGCAGCAGCAACAGCAGCAGCAACAGCAACAGCAAATACAGCAACATCAGACAGATACTAACAAAATCAGATGGGACAGATCTTTTCAAGCAAATCTGCCAACGGTATTGCAGCACCTGGTACCACCGCCAGCTAATCAAAACGGAGGTCAAACCGGCTTCGGGTTTCCCGGCCGCTAAGATAAAGCTGGATTGAGCTCCGTGTAAAATAATCTTGCACTGTAATCCCTGAAAATGCTTGTACAAACATCTCTATAAGAGAGTACTGTAACATAAATCGCTGTATATATTACGTTTTAGGAAAGATTAAGATAAGTCGCGTATAAAACTCTAAGTTACCCGAAATTGTTCGACTGATTGTGTACTCGCTGCTCTTCGGAGTACCACTCTTTGATGCTTTATAACTCTTATCTTTTCCACTCCCTTGTTTTCTTTTTATACTCACGTTGTTGTCATCCCAATTGTTAATTCTAATACTGTTATGAATAAAGTTTATAAATATTTTGTTAATTTTTTGACTATATTATTTCACATTTTTAACCCTCGTATTGCGTATTATTGCATATGCAAAATTCATAATCATCACTTTTATTTCACTTGATAACAAGAATAGATTAAATTAAATATACAAGCATCGCAAATCATATAATCACTTTTTATTTTATAAATTTTTTATATATGGATTTCTTTTTAATTAAAAATCGATTTGTTGTTGACATAAATGTCAAGGAATGTCAGTTATTATAAATCTTCAATCTTAAACAGAAAATTGAGTGTTTTTTCAATGGAGAAAATTTTATTGCGTTTAATAAATATACAGTAGCAGATTCGTCATCTAGCAAGCGTAAATAATTATGAAGTACATAATTAATATATTTTACTTTTAAATTTAAACATTCACTTTCTAAAAGTCGATTGCTCAATTATTTTGTTCGCTGAAGACATTTAAAATAAATAATAAGAATTATTTGTGTGTGTAAACTGTTTGTTTGTTAATCTGTTTATTTCTTAATCTTGCTATTTTATATAATTTTATTACTTCTATGCGTTTTGGAAAAGGCACTGATCTTCTTTTAAACAAAAATGATGAATCGAGTTGTAAAATGTAAATCTATAAAGAGAAATATCTGTCTGTTGTAAATTACATATAGTTTATATAAGTTAAGAAGAAAAAGAAAAAGAATCAAAATAATGGTAACCAAGCTTTGAAATAAAGATAATATCAATTATAATGTAAATTCTATTTACGAAAGAAATATACGCTTCGCATCATAATGGAATAAAGCAAATGTTGAAAACTGATAGATTAAGCTGATAGATTATTTTTTATGTATATATTCACGATTTAACCCTTGTAGAGGTCATATGAGTTGTCTCTTTTTTGCTCTACTCCTAATTACAATATCTTGTTGTAATTTTAATCTCAAAATGCTTGAAAAATCTACGAAAAATTTGTATATGACACCTGTAAAAATAATCATGCACAGACAAAATTGAAAAAAATGAATAAAATTTTTTTTTATTAAGACCTTTTATTGATAAAATATTGAATAAATTCCTTTTAGATCCATATAAGAGCTAATTAAATTAGTTATAATTATAATATAATTGATCTAAAAAACATTTATCTTTTTATAATGGATTATATTTTACTCTAGTTCTTTTTTCTATTAGACAGGATAATATTCGAGTCTCGTACTGTTTCAATTAGTGTGCGACAACTGTCTTTTTAAAACTAGACACACGTTTCGGTAAAAGACGGTATGTCTAAATAGCCATCCAATTTCAAATAAATCGACCGTCGACATTCTGAACTTGCGACGATGATGATGCAACGCAAATACGCGCACGTATCCCTGCGAAATTGGAGAAAGTGGAGTCTGTTATGGAAGGCAGGTGACCAGCATGTAGAGGACCTCGACCGTGGAGAAAGTATCGGTGCACCCACACAGCAACATAAATTAATCCACGACACTGTACTGTCCGTCTCGATAGAGACAACGAGTATTGCACGACGCAGACTCCTATTCGATTGATGACGCCGACGACGACGACAACGACGACGATGGCAGCGGCGAGATTTCACTGGCGCCAACTACGGAAGAGTGGACTTTTCTTCGTAGCACGACCATAGATAGAAAAATAAAATCAGAGAAATCATGATACGTGCGTTTTTCTGACATGACACGAGACCGGGATACGGGAAACGTTTTCACTTTTGTCTCACGTTTACTTTCATTTAACTTTGCGCAGATGAGCTTTATCCGAAAACTATCTGTGCCATGTTTTCGTTCTTACAGAAACTTTATATACGATGTCATTATATTATTATCCTTATATTTAATATGTAATTTGTATGTAATATTTGTCTTTTTACAGCTTATTACGACTTTTCTTGCTATGATTTTTCCCTAAAACGATTTCGATAATAAACCGCTGAAACAAGTAATTTCAACAAGACCTAATTCCACTTAAGGAAATTTCTTTTCTACGTTGTTCCTGTGTACGAAAATAACGTATTCGTGTGTAAATTGTGATCTGTGACCGATTATCGTCATAATAGTTATTTTACAACACAATAGGCGATTTCTAAACGTCTCTCTTTCATATATGTTTCTCTCACGATGGAAAGAAATGTATCATTTAATTCAATTTTTGCGTGAAATTATGATTGAGAATGTTATACAATTTTCATATTTAAATAAAAGATTGTATTCTGATAACTTTTGACGATGCAATTTAATAATTTAATTATTCGTATTTAATTATTTCTAATTATATTTTTGCAGTAAAAAAACAATGAAAAAAGAATCGATGTTTTTAATCCCACAAATATAATAACAAATATAGTAACATTTTTTTTAATCTTGTCCTTTTTTATATAATTCTTATAATTCTTATAAAAAAATATAAATAATTAATATTTTTAGTTTCTAATTAAAATATTTACATATAAAAAGTTTTTTCAATATTCTTTTTTTATTTTGTAAAAAAAATATTTTGCGTTTATATACAATATACAATATAAATATATTAAATTCTTATAATTTCATTAAATTTTAGAAGAAAATATTAATTAGAAGAAAATATTAATTATAAATTTAGAAGAGAATATATTAATTCTGACAATTTTATTAAATTTTAGAAGAAAAGTTACTATATATATATATGAGTTTTTTAAAATATGAGTTTTGCAGCTAATAATATTTTTCATTAGCACCAATTTTTTGTCAGAAGATAAATGCGTGGAATTTTAGTTAAAATATAAAATAAAAAATAATTTACACACTATTCATTGTATAACACTATTCATCGTATATAATAGCGTATAGACATGCGTTTCGAGATGTTGATGGAGCATAAAAAGATATTTTTTTGTTCGTGGGGGCCATAGGGTGTCACGTTGATCGTATCGCGAGGTAGCACTAAGTTCGTTTTTGTTAACACATAAATAAGAATACATATACAGACACGTACATACACATATATACCATATGCCTTTATATATAACATGCTCATATAAGTACTACGACAGAAGATACGCAGCGTGAAGTATCTCAGTGCACTTAAAGATGCTGTACCTAACGATCGTTCTTTTCCTTCTTATAATCATTTGCCTCTATTGTCTTTGTGATTGTGCCAAACCAAGAAATTATCCACCTGGTAAGTATACAAAATAAGTCAATAATGATAAGATATAATTTCTCGAAAATCCGATGTCTTGAAGTGTTTAATCTGGATGATATTAACGTTAGTGCAATTGTGCTTTAAATTACATGATTTTAATTAATATGTCTATAGATTTATTGTACATTTTTCTATATTTTTCAACATAAAATAATAGATATACTATATAATAAAATAATAGAATAATAGCGAAACGAGATTTATATTCACTATATATCTATAAAGCGTCCCTTATTTATAAATATATTAATCATACAGGTCCAATATGGCTACCAATGTTGGGATGTTTCGTGATATTTTTGCGATTACGTTTAAAATTTGGATTCATTCATTTGGCTATGCAAGAACTGGAAGGTAGGTATGGGCCAATATTAGGACTAAAACTCGGAAAACAAAGGATAGTAGTAGTCTCGACGTACGATATGGTGAAGAAAACCATTCTCCGCGATGAGTTTAATGGCCGACCGGACGGATTCTTCTTCAGGATACGAGCATTTGGGAAGAGAAAAGGTATGTTATTTCAACAGAATTCAAAAAAATTCATTCCCACTGTCTCGATTTGCATATAAAAGCTACTCACGCGCTCTTGACTTACGTAGAGAATGAGATTTTCGTATTTCTTATTGTCTCGCGCAGGTCTATTGTTCACCGATGGTGCCGCTTGGTCGCAGTGTCGTAAATTCACGATGCGACACCTGCGAGTGTTCGGTATAGGTCAGGCAATTATGAAACAGCAATTGGTCTTCGAGGCTCAAGAGCTCGTTAATCATCTCCAGGAGATGAGCGAGCGCGGCGCGGTGTTGATGCAGACGGTATTCGACGTCGCAGTCCTTAATTCATTATGGTTTATGTTTGCCGGACACAGATTCGGCTACAAAGATGAAAGACTGCAACAAGCGCTCGAGGTCTCTCACGATGCATTCAAGTAAGAGCGGATGAAAATCTCTCGCAGAGTTTAATAAAATAACATAAATACATTATTTTTGATATTATGGGACATGAATTTGTTTTGATCACATAACATATGTATTATACTAATATTTGCACAGAAAAAAATAAGTGTCAATTCAAAATTTATATACTTAAACTAACGCGTTCATTGTTTCGTATATACGCAACAATTTATAATCCTCTTAGAAGAATTTAATAATTTTAGATTTTAACAATATCATAGTCTTATTTTAATATTGTAATTGTCATCTCAAAAATATATAATTATTTAATTCTACTTTAAGAAAATTATAATCTTTGATTTAAAAATATTATTTTCTATCTAACATTGTTCCTTTTCCATTCAAAAAAATTAAATCTTAAATCATAAGAATATATTTTTCTTGATTGAACTATATAAAATGGCTTCTTTCAAGTAAGCAATTATATTTTTCTTAAATTAACGCAATATAATCTCATTTCAAGATTTTCATGTTAAAACTAAATATATTTTTAAAACAAGAATGTCTTTTTTTCTATGTGATAAGGTGTTCCTCGACAAAACCGACAAATTTCTAGAAGGTATTCTAGAAATCATTCTAAGCAAAAAAGTTCAGTTTAGGTCAATTCGGTTCAGTTATACAATAAAATTAGGGATATGAAGATTCTATTCTCTTTTGTCAATGCCTATAAATTTTTAACAACGGCCCCTCTTTGTTCAAAGCTAGTTTTCATTAGATACATAGTGTCTCACTCTAAATATTTATTTAGTAAACCAGAGGCCCGCCTATAATTAATTAATAGAATAATTGAGGTCACCGATAGTATTGAATTTATAATTAATTAAATTAATTGACAGCAGTCTGTTGCAATGAGCAACAACATCTTTACAAATGGACATTTCAATTAGAGAATAATATGCACGTAATAGAAATTATAAATATCTAGTACTTTTTGTCTGTGTTATAATATTAATAAAGTTGCCTATTATCTCGATAACTGAGGCAAATTGACCTATAGTGTATCGGAATTTTTGTGCTCAGAATTATAGAATACAGTCTGGCTCAATCGGATGTGTTTCGTATTCTAAAAGTTCTGTATTCTAGAAGTTTGTCGATTTCCTCACAAAGCACCTTGTATAATTTATTCTATTTAAATTTAAATTTCGAAATATATACTTACGAAGATTAATGGACATCCTGGGCGGAGTGATGTCGCAGATACCCTTTTTACGTTTCATTATCCCAGAATTATCGGGATATAATGAACTGATGAGGATCCTCGAGAAACTATGGAATTTCCTTGACGAAGAAATTAAGATGCACGAGATCGAGCCGCCCAATCAGCCGCGCGATCTTATTGACGCGTTTCTTCTTGAGATTTCGTATAAGAATAATGATGAAAATACTATTTTTAATCGTAAGTAATATCCTGATCTAGAAGAATAAAAATATCAATAAACATTAGCCGATCGATTAATTTCAATTCCGCGGAATGAAGTTTCGCTTCAGGTATTTTCACAAGATTCCATATAAATAAATTCAAATTTAAATATGTAAATAAATAAATAATAAAAATTCCTATTTAAAAGATTATATAAATAAATAAAAGTAGAATTTAAAAATAACTATAAAATTTTAGATATAAATCGATATATCGATATGTCGAGATTGGATTAAATATTTAAATTGGATTAAAAATTTCTTTTCTGAATAAAAGTTTGATTTTTGTGACATGTATTTTACGTCCCCAGGTGAGAATTTATTGGTATTGTGCCTTGATCTCTTCTTGGCCGGATCGAAAACGACCATCGATACATTAACGTCCATGTTTCTCTTTCTGTCACTAAACCCTGAATGGTTGAAGATACTTCAAGATGAATTGGACAACGTCGTCGGTAGATCGAGAGCTCCTACCGAGGACGATTTGCCATTTTTACCGATGACAGAAGCTTTCTTAGCCGAGGTAATTGATTGATACGAAAAATTGATGAGATGAAAGATAAAATAGCTAATTATCATATACAAATAAAAAGAAAAGTAACGGAGAAAATATATAAATACATTGATATTGGTTTTTTATACGTTCTTGTGTACTTGTAATCTTTTGCTACATATTGTTTATATTTCATATTTAACTTATATTTTATTTTATATTTTATATTTAATACATATATATATATATATATACATATATATATATATATACATACATATATATATATATATATATATATATATATATATACACGTATATATTACATATATACATATTTTATATATTTTTTATATTTTTATATTTAATGTATTTTATATATTGATATATATTGATATATTGATATATACATATAATATAGATACAAAGATATTTGATTTTGGCACCACTTGGTGTACCTCACAAGACCTTAGAGGAGGTTTCCATAAACGAATATCGAATACCTAAGGTAATAGAGATTTCATTTTTCTAATTATAAGTAAATAATTTATAAGTTATAATTTATAATTTATAAGTATAATCAATACAATCGTACACAATATGAATTATTATTTCTAATCTAATTCCTTGTCATTCATCTTCAAAATCAACTACGTACAATTTACTTAATTTTATATCATGAAATTAATTTTCTTGTTGCCGATTTTCTTGTCGAGCCTGCTATGTTGAATCGGATTAGAAAAAAAATTAATATTTATTACATTCGTACATATAACATTGAGTAATTTTATTAATACCGCGAGTTCAATTCTTAATTGCATTTTGTAAGAAAATTATCCTCTTTGCAGGACACGATTGTGATTTTCGACTATTATAGCGTTCACAACGATAAAGAGTACTGGAACGAACCGGAAGTGTTTCGTCCGCAACGTTTTCTAGACGAACGGGGCCAATTTCGTCGCAACAACTACAGCTTACCTTTCGGTCTAGGTAAGTTTGAGACGGCGCGAAATTGCGAGTATTTTCGCCATTGTCTCTCTGTCCCTGTATCGCGTAAATTTCACGCTTTACGAAGAAGGCGTGCGTAAAAATAATCAACGCACCTCGCGCGTTCTCACAATTATTACTAATAATTGCGAGAACAATGAGGGTGATATTGTTTCGTGTTTCAAGGCAAGAGACGCTGTCCGGGTGAACAGCTGGCTCGTTCTTCATTGTTCATGTTCCTCACCAACGTCGTGCATCACTTCGACATGGAACTCCTGGCCGATCACGATAAACCAGAGCTGAGAGGCTACGACGGCTTCACCCTGTCGCCGAAGCCGTATTATCTTAAATTCACGAAAAGATCTGGGTGACGGAGACGCAACAAGCCTTTTTTTATACGCAATGACGATACATTTGGACTTCGGCGAAGCGCGGGATTGGTTTCGTCGAACTCGTAAAACGAGACGTAAAAGTCAAACTTTCGCGCGCCGGTAAAACCAATAAACGTCACTTGCAAACATTGCGCCAGATCTGTAATAGCTACAAATGTTTTTGTCAAACATTAGTTCACGCTACACGTATAACACGTAAAATATACAATACGTCAATTATAATGATTACTTTCGCTACAAATTACAATAGTAATGTAATAAAATATTATTGTAATATAATTGTTACATACACACGTGTTCCTTCACTTGCTGCTATGCGATAGAATCAAATTTAACTAACTCGTATTTCTAATTTTTATTATAAAATAGAATATAAAGTCTACAAAAAAAGACCCTGTAAAATGAGACCCTATATATGATTTGTATTTATATATATTATAATATATATGTATGTTTTCTTTACACCAATTGATTTCTCTCATTATTTTGTACATAAAAATATTAAGGTAAAATAATCGAAAAATGAATATTTTACAAGATATTTTACGGTTTATGTAAAATTAAGAAATGACTTCAATAAGCCTCATAACTCGAAAAGTACTTGATGAAAAAATGTTTATTTATAATGTTTTGGAAAGCTCTCGAGATAAGCTACAAGAATATGCAAAAATATAGGGTGTTCCATTTAAGAAATTCAAAATCACCTTTACGTAACCTTCATGTAACTTTTCAAGATCAAACTAATGGCACCATCTTATACCCCCCTAAAAACCATACAACTTTTGTCTGAAACATTTTTTCGATTTTTCATTATTTTCCGAAATATTTGTCTGAGGAAATTAAAATGAGACACCCTGTATATAAATTTACATAAGATCCAAAATATCTTTTTATTGTCACTATAATTTCTAATATAAAGCATTCAAAATTTAAACAAATTATGTAAAATGGGAAATAATTTATTACTAATTGCATTAAAGCAAAAAATGCAATTTTTATATATATAAATTAAATCTCCTGAATTTTATAAATTAAATACATATAATTTATTTTATTTATTTGATTACCAACTATATATGTATGCTAATAATTGTATGTAGTATATGATCAAAATGAATTTATCAAGTACTATGATGTAACAACGATATATATAACATATATGTATTACAGATTAAATTTATGAATGGAAATTATAAAAATTATAAAATTATAATCAGAAATTTATTAATAACATTTACTTGGCTACATTCCATTTTATTGTTTTTATACAATAATATTAACATAACAGTGCTTACTGGATAATACATTTGGTTTAAAAAATAATATATAATTACATTAGTTCTAGCTAAACAAAGAGATAAAAAAAAATTATTTTTAAGAAAGATTTCGTTATCAATTGGTGTTTTTAAAGTTGAAAGACTTAAAATTATGTGTGATCATAAGATAATAAGAACATTTTTATTAATTAAAAAAACAAAAGTATGTCTTTTCCCTTTCAAATTATCAGTTATTGCTATAAACATGAAGTATATGATTTTTCAAATATAAAACGAATATACTTGTTGAATATACTTGTTCCTCTCTCATTGCACTATGCTATACTGTAAAAACATTTTATATGATATAAATTCAATTATAGAAAAGTATTTTAATATTTGTTTATATAATCTAAAATATTATATATATAAAAGAAATCAATGAAAGGGAGGTGAGTGAGGAAAGAAAATCTATCTACTTTTTAATTTTACAATTTTTTTTAAGATACATTTTTAGAGAATATGAATTCAAATTATATATATATATATATATATATATATATATATATATATATATATACACTTCAAAATATATAAATTAATTTTAATAATATCAATAATATGGTCCCTATATTAAATATTTATTAATTTAATATTTGAATAATTGATTTTGAATTTATTTGGTTAATGGATACATAATCAATGTATGATAAAATTAAATATTGAAAGAAAAATATTCACACAAGACATAGCAAGCTTGTGTGCTTGTAATTTTTTGCTACATATTGTTTATTATATTTTTTCTAAAATCAATATTTTTGAAATGAATATAATACATTAACTTACATAAATCTTTTGACTTTCTTAAAATGTTATAACACACATACACACGCACTCTCAATCATTCGTCTCAGAGTTTCAATTAGAAATAACTTTTGAGATATTTTACAAGCACATGCACAGTTAAATTCGCAATCAGATAACAGGCATACTTCGATACTAAGGATATTGCAGAATGAGAATCGAATCAACAACAAGCATACTTTACATCATATAAGAGTATTAGATATACATACATACACACGCGCACATCTATGTTATATAATATATCATAATCGCATTAAATTACCTAACTTCACATACTCGCGTGCATACATATGTTATTGTAATTGGTTATTATGCTTGAAATTTTATAATGAAACTATAAATAGATATAAATGGACTGTGGCAATCTTAGACATGCCATTAAAACCACTCGCAAATCGGAGCATTTGCACTTATAATTAACACAATTAGGATCCAATTCATAAGACACATTTCCATTTCTTTGTATATATATCTGAAATAATGATGCTATTTTTTGGACACTCGTAAAGCAAGATTACATAAGAACGTCCCTAAGAATTTGATCAGCCTAATATCTTGCAATTACGACTGTATTCACAAACAGCAGTCTCTTATAGCGCTATACTCCAACATGCTGTACACTGTTTACTTTTGTATATATTTATGTCTATTATGTCTATTTAGCTTTGCCAAACTATAATTCCGATCAAAATCGCTAATACGACTGCTGCTATCAGCACGAGAATACATTTCTTTTTACGCAATTTAGTTTGATAGATACTTGCTTGCCTCACTTGAGAAGCACCTTCGCTGACAGATACTTCAGTTCTTTCGACCGAAGCTTCTATAGAATCGATAACTTCTCCTTGATCATATACTAAAGCTCCAAGATCTTTGAATATTTGATTAATATCGCTAATATTACTCTGTGAAAAAGATAAATAACATAATTATTACATATTAAGATAAATAACATAATTTGCATGTATATTTTTGTGGTAATTATAAAAAAATATTTACCTCCAACTGTCTTATACTAGCTTCTTGCTCTTCCAACATTCGTAAATTCATTTGTTCCTGCAGTTGGTCCTGCTGTAATTTTTGATGGTCATTTGTATACGTTCTACTGTCTTGTAACTCTATGAGTGTCTCCTGTTTTTTTTCCCCAAATGGTGCAATACCTGCACTAGCCTTAGCCTTTCTGACCATTTCTTTTTCTTTTGAAGCAGCCAGCCTTTGTACAGCCTAAGTTTATATAAATGATAATTATTAAAAGTATAATACGAATAAAATATAATTAAAATACACGTCAATATTTACTTGGAAAGAATTCAATGCGCTTGTAAATTCATCTTGCAAACGCTCTCTTTGCATCTTTCGCTGTCTTTGTTCTCCAGGACTCGTAGAGCCAGAGTTATTCGCTAATACAGCTAAATCTCGGAGATGGACACTAGTGTCCTTTGCCAATTGCTGTGTATAATGCTGTATCTGATGCCTGTAAGATAAAATTTCGTTAACTAATTTGTTAATTGATTTTGGTCTCCTCATATCTCATATCTTATCTTATAACTTACAATTGATTCCTGAGTTCTTGAGAATCAGTGGAGCTGCCCAACTGATTGACCATCTTCTGCATGGAAGACACTGCGAAAGAATCATCAATGTAAATACCTCGTAATACAATTCTCAAATCAATTCTATTGTTTCGATATTCACCATTCTGTGATATCTTGAGTATCGAAGTACCAATAGTCTGAGACAGCTTGCCAAAATCTTGCTCTCGAGCAGGGCCACCATTGTGATACGAGGAGAATCCAGCATCCATTTCGACGTTATTAGCTAAATTATACATACACACAAATTTAATTGATAATACAATACACTGACATAATAGTATTAGTAAGTAATTTTTAATTTAAAGCAAGGCTTCAGAACATGGTCGAGCTTGACAGCACATGACCTACAGAAATTCCAATCAATCTTCTTACGCGAATGACTTTAAATGCCAACTAACCAATTTTCTGCGAACGATAGTATCAGCTGATCCTCGACACTCGATGATGCTCTGGCGACGAGCTGATAAAACTCACATGAAATAACAATACTTAATGAATGGCAATCGGAATCCTTTGTATCACCTGATATATAGTGCTACTTGTCAACAAAACTACTAGTGACGACTGAGTGGGTCGATACGTTTGCGCGATGACTCACAAAATTGCCATACTAACGAGGAATTCCACCTCTCGATGCCTCACGCGCATATGTATGCGATATAATACACATATATATGCGCTGCGCGATTCAAAGGATTCTTCTGAGATTGTTCTGTAATGATTTGAAATGCTGAAAAAAATTTCTCGCGTTGATCAATAACGCCGGGATGGATCTTGAACGAACCTCGTCGCAAACGTATCGAATTTATAGGTCGAATTTCCTAGTCTTGAGTTTCAGCAACAGAGTGGACGGGATCTTCGTGGAAGTAAATTTATCAATTTAACGCGCACACATATGATTTCAACCGGTATCTATGATTTTTTTTTCCCGTTTTTTTTTTGTCGATGACAGTCCACTTGACGCTACGCGTAGCGTTTCATTGACCAATCAGAATAGGGGAACTTATCTTGCAAAGTAGATTACATCTCAGAGAGAGAAAGAGAATAAAAACAAGAACGAAAGTGAGAGACAGAATTTATAATTATAATCTTCTATTAAACTATGGATGTGGGAGTTTTCATCATATTTATGTATTATGCGCACACACTTATATAATAAATATATAAAATATTGACTGAATATAATATATAAAAATTTTGAGCAGTCACAAAAAATCTTTTTTTATAGGATAATATTTTATATTATTTTTTTCTATTTTTTTTAAAGTTAATTTAATACAGCTGATGTATAGATTACGACGATAAAAGATATATAAATACAATTAGTTCATCAAATAATTAAATTCAAAATCGTCTGAATTGCTTTTTAAATCTCTCGTAATGATAATCATCTGTCGCTTTTTCTCCATTATCTTTTCGTTTGCCGCGAATATCCTCTTTAATAGAGCTTTTTTTCTTGTCGTCCGATTCTTGTTGCGACTTCTGGAAATCCGAATCTTCTATGTTAACTGAAATTAAAATTATAAATAATTTGTGTCTTTTCTGAAATAATTGTTTGTTAGATGAATAGAAATTCATGTACATCTATTGTGCTGTACAAAATTTACAGCCATATTAGTAGGAACAAACTGCGACGGTCCATCTTTCTTTCTATGTCTGTCCCAAAGTAATTTTAATTTTGCCTCTTCTGTAGCTTCAATATTACGGATTTTAGCCCTGAAAGTTAATTGTATTTTTAAAAATAATTGTAATAAAAATTATAATTTTAAAATTATATTTAAATAAAAGTATAATAAAAGTAAAATAAAAATATATATTTAAATGCTCTTTCTCTCTCTTTTCTCTCTATAATATAAATAAACCTGTTGAAGAAATTTGCTTTCTAGAAAAAATAAAGTGACAAAATAACATACATATGTAAGTTTTAAGGTAATTTTTAAAATTTTATTATTTAATATTTTGTGACACGTATGTACTATTTAATATTTCATACACAAACAATTTTATTCCAATAAATTCTTTAAGTATGTATTATCAAAACATTTTCTGTTTTAATTATCTGAGAGCTATGAAGAATTTTTGATTTTTATGCTAATGTTAATTCTTTCCGTTAATTGTTAATGGTTTCCATTATTTATGTTATTGTTTCAGATTTTTCAAGAGAAATTTTATCTTAAATATTCCCTATTTATCAAGTCATCTTTTCATCAACTCTAAATTATGAAAAAATACTTACTCTATTCCAAGATCAACTTCTGGGATGCCAGAAAGCATTTGATTTGAAAGCATTTCTTCACTACGATTAGCAGAACTTTGTCTTAAATGTCCTGGTACTGCACGTAATGCTGCTTCTTCAGGTGAGCAATACGATCCTTTTTCATTATATGTACTGTTTGCCATATCATCATTATTTTTACTTTTCCGTTTTGATAATTCTTCTTCTATATATTTAACCCTAAAAACAGTATTTATATTAGCTTGTAATATATCTATATAAATTCTCTTTCAATACTATCAATATATAATAAAAATAAATACATTTCTTCATCCTCATCCCGTTTATTAGTCTCTGCATTAAATTGTGTTCCAATGCCAGTTTCATATGCATCATTTGGCCTGTGTTTTGTATTTTTTAACACAGCCATATTTACCATTCCACCAGTTTTTATATTGAAAGGATCAGACTAAATTAATATAAACTTGTTATTAATTTTTATATCACAATTTTTCACATGCTTCATGTTTTAATTTCACTATGTATGCATATGTACCGTTATAACATCAGATGCAACATTTTCTCCAAGAGCTAAACCAACGACGTTGATTCCTGCTGGTCTTTCGCGTAGCTTTTGGATAATTTTCATCTCTTCGACTTTCTCTCTGAAATAAATCTTCCTCTTTATAATCAAAATAATTTCAATTCTATTGATATTTAATTAATATAATATGGGAAATGTGTATGTGTGTGTTGTATATACCTGACAGATACTTTTTCACCCTCGCTGTCATTGTCGTCTGACTGAACTTCACGTTTCCTCAGTGGTTTTCTTTTCTTCTTCTTAAACTGAATATTATGGGACTCCTCGTCATTGTTATCCATGTTTTCTCAAGTCAAAATTAACATTGAGAGATTTATGTGTTGTTATTTATTTTTCGTATAAGCACATTCACTTTAAATATGTATATGCGCGTGTCAAATTAATCCGACTCTGCAGGTTCCTAAACAAGAATTGGCAGAAGTGACAAGCTCCGAATTGGATGGCATTTATACTTATGGAATGGAGTAACTTTTGGTAACTTTTGATTGACCAATCAGAACAAAGGAATCTTTGCCTCTTATCAAATGTTAGTTTATTCTGACGCCTATTGATCTTAACAAGTTTTTATAAATAATAACCGTTTTTATTTTCTAAAAAAATCGATGTTTTTTATTTTTTATTTTTAAATATAGTAAACTTTCAAGAGTAGGAGAATCAGTAAATTTATAGAAAAGGATGTATAGATGCTGGGTGGATCACTATCTTTGTCAGTAATTCGCTGATTGGTTGATGCTATTCTAATATCATAGTTAAAAATATTTTTCACGAATTATTCACAAGTTGAAAAAGAATAAATAATTTACAACCATTTCTAATTTCATCGTTTAAGTTAATGAAATAAAATATATCGCTTTTATATATTGCTATATTGCTTTTATTCCTAAATATCTAATGACAAATGTTTTTAACTCAGATAGTAAACGTAAAGAGAGGTAGAGATCCAACCAATGATAGATCTGTCTCTTTCTAATTCTGGTTCCGATTTTCTATAGAATAGTTATAGGGAAGGCTTGCTCCAATAAGGCCTTCACGGAAAACGTCGGAATGACCTCTCTCAGGCTTCTCTCTGATACTGTGATTGTATGTACATAATTGTCAATTGTAGAAGCGCGTGAAATTACGTCCGACACCGTGTTATTACGTCAAACGCGTAACTATGAGTTGTGGATTCGTTACTTGCGGCCCGAATGAGGCTCTCGTAGTTTCAGGTAAATCTATCAATATCAAGAAGATAACTTATCATTACTCGAAATCATTTATTCTCTTTTTTTCGCATCTGTGCTGGTTAATCATTCGTAAAAAAGGAGATGAGAGGGAGGAGCGAGCTCCTCCCGTGCTGCGAGATAATTGATTTATGGAATGACAGCGGTGGGGAAACGCGGAATCGATCAGGGACAATTATGCCTAATGTATTTTATTCATGTTAGATTATTTCATGTGTATATTATAAATAGTATACCATAAATTCAAGTATATATATATATATATATATATATATATATATATATATGTATATATATACACAGGGTGTCTGTTATCTTCCGTCATCTTTCAAAGACAGATTCCTGGGATCATTTGAAGACGATTTTTCCTCAGCGAAAATGTCAATGAAGGCCATCATTTTTTGCATGTTCCCGATTTTTGTCATCATCTTTGCAATTAAGTTTTAAATTAAAACTCAACTAAAGTAAACTCTATTTAAAATTAATCAAAGAATGTGGTTTTGTTAATATTTTATTTCTACAAAGCTTATTAGTTTACGAAAAACCTCTTATTTCCAATCACTTATAATTCGAAAATTATTAGTGCCTCGACATTTTCGTTGAGGAAAAATTTGCTATACCAATATTAATAATATTAATAAATAGTATAAATATAAATATGAACAATAAATAATAATATAATTTATTATTTGCTACATAAATTTTTATTAACATATGATGATAACTTATGATTTAAATTTTAAGAAATCCTGTAGATTTTTCCAGATTTTCTATTGCCTATTGCTGCTTTGTATTGATATACTTTTAATTAAAAAAAATTTTTTTTCTGTCAAGGATGTTGCTACAGCAAACCTCTTTTGGTACCTGGAGGACGGGTGTTTGTTTGGCCTCTTATGCAACAAGTACAAAAGTAAGTATTATATAAGTACGAATATATAAATAATATAGTATAAGTTCTTTAGTGTTATATATATATATATATATTTTTTGTTTTTTCTATAGAATCTCTCTAAATACAATGACTTTACAAGTCGAAAGTCCAACGGTATATACTTGTCAAGGAGTACCAATCTCTGTAACAGGCATAGCACAGGTAGTTTAAAAAAAATTATTATTTGTTTCTATATATTTGATACTATTATCTATAATTATTATCTATAAATATTATATATAATTATTATAGTTGTATATATAATAAACTTGACAAGATTGTGTTTAATCTTAATTGGATATGTTTTATGTTGGATATATTTCACTCACTTTAATAATAATATATATTTATATATATTTGTTATGAAATTTTTTTATAATACAAATTTTTGAATAAAATTTTAAACTAAAAAAAATCTTTAACCAGACACTTGTATATAAAATATTGTATTGGTACCAGGTAAAAATTCAAGGACAAAATGAGGAAATGTTATCTACGGCATGTGAACAATTTCTTGGAAAATCTGAGGACGAGATACACAACATAGCTCTTGTTACTTTAGAAGGACATCAACGGGCTATAATGGGCAGTATGACTGTAGAGGTAAGCTAAAGTACAGCAATACCTGTCAGTGGTAAAAAATGTGATTAAATTTTTCTATGCTAGTTTGTTTGTTAATATTTATCAAAATATTGACGATCTTTTCTTTCTATGTTTACAGATACTTTATATAATTTTATTAATTTTATGTTTATAGCAATACATTTTTTAAATCATTAACTATTAAAAAGAACTATAGCTGAATACTTAATTTTACTCTGCCTTTTTTTATTACAGGAAATTTACAAAGATCGTAAAAAATTTAGTAAGGAAGTATTTGAAGTTGCAAGCAGTGATCTAGTCAATATGGGCATTACTGTTGTGTCATATACATTAAAAGATATCCGAGATGAAGAAGTAAGTTTATTGTATATATATTATTTAATATATAAAAATATATAATATATACATTACATGTATACATTAAAAGAGATCCAAGATGAAGAAGTAAGTTTATTGCATATATATTCTAATATATAAAAAAATATATAGTGTATATATAGACATACAAATGACAAAAGTATATAATTTAAATGTATAAATATCCAAAAGTTTAACTGTGAGAGAAAGGTAATATCAATAACGTACAAAGTTAATATACAAATTTAATCCATTAATAACACATCTGCAAATTATAATTGAATTACTAAAATGTGCATAAAAAGATATTTGAAAGACCCCCTTTAAAGAAATAATGTTTCTTTATAATTAAGAATATGAGATTCTTAATAATTAATATAGTAAGATCTATATTTGTATATTGTAAATATTGAATACCTTTTTGTTTTGCTACTTGCAGGGGGCAAAGGTATGTTCAACTTTTATTTTACCACTATTATATCTAATGTCTTGGCGCACATTGCTATGTTGGTAACATTATTACTGCAAATTTTTCAGATTTTGGAAATGGAATTTTACAGCATTCTCATCGCTTTTTGTAATAATAGCACAATTGTGCACACTTGCAATACTTTATTCACAAATTACATATCATTGCTTCTTTAATTTGATATCGAGATATTTTAAAATACCACTTTGAGAGGAAATATATTGTTAATTAATTTTTTTTTTAATTAAAATGTGTGATGTCAAAAAGAAAAAGAATAATGTTTGATTTTTTAAAAATGTTTTAGAGTTGTACTTTGTTTAAAGAAAATATTATTAAAAATACAATTATTAAAATATTATGCTGATTAAAGAGATTAAAGAGATTAGATTCAATATTATATTGGAGAACAGTGGTACATATGTATGTAGCTTTTATATGTCACTCACAGACATTGCTTACTCAAATGCTGAAAACATGCAAATCATCTTGTCTTATTGTATTATATTATATAAATTCTATCACATAGTATTTTATGAAGATATATATTATTTGTAGGGTTATTTGCAAGCACTCGGTATGGCACGTACAGCAGAAGTAAAGAGAGATGCTAGAATAGGTGAGGCGGAGGCTCGCAGAGACGCTCAAATTAGAGAAGCTATTGCCGAGGAACAAAGAATGGCCGCTCGTTTTTTGAATGATACAGAGATTGCAAAAGCACAACGTGACTTCGAATTGAAAAAGGCTGCATATGACGTCGAAGTTCAAACCAAAGTGAGCAATTTTTTATCGTTTTCTTCATAATGCATGTATTTTGTAGACAAATTATAATTATTAAAAACGTACAACCTTACAGAAAGCTGAAGCAGAAATGGCTTTTGAACTTCAAGCAGCAAAAACCAAACAGAGGATTATGGAGGAGCAAATGCAAGTGAAGGTTGTAGAACGTAGTCAGGAGATCGCCGTACAGGAACAGGAAATGATGAGACGCGAGAGGGAATTGGACGCCACTATACGTCGTCCTGCCGATGCGGAAAAATATAGGTATTCAGTTACTTATATGTATTTACAAGCCTCACAAGCTTTTCATTATATCTGTAATTTGGCTTTCAGATTAGAAAAAATGGCTGAAGCAAATAAATTGCGTCTTGTTATGGAGGCTGAAGCTGAAGCTGAGGCTATCAAAATTCGCGGTGAAGCGGAAGCTTTTGCCATCGAAGCGAAAGCTAAGGCAGAAGCAGAACAAATGGCGAAGAAAGCCGCCGCATGGAACGAGTACAAGAGTGCAGCTATGATAGATATGATGCTCGATACACTTCCAAAGGTATACGATCTTCCTAATCTTTTTTATTTTTAATCTTTTTAATTTATTTTTCTTATCTTTTTTTTGCAATAATTAAAAACAGATCCAAATGCTAGAAATAAAAATGAAAATTTATGTATTTTCATATTGCCGCGTATTTATTTGCAATTTTCTAATTTTACTTCAGAATTTTAATTCACTCTCTTTTCTTAATTTTATATTCTGCAACTACTTTTTTCTACTCTTCCATATTTTACAAATGAACAAATTTCTAAGTAACTTTTTTTTCTTAGTTTATCAATCATTCACATATTTTCAAAGTTTAACATTTAAATTTGGAACATTGTGTATTTGTTACTTGATCATATGCATGCAATATCATTCTTTGCATTACCAAAATTTTTATTAATATGATTGAAAATAAGAACAGAAAAAAGTATTAAGAATAAAATTTGATGTAATCTTTATAATATTTCTAATATCGCATTTAAAAATATTTAAATAAAATCAAGAAAATAATTTTTTCTTTCTATCTCTTTCTGATTTTTTTCGATTTACCTTATAGGTTGCTGCCGAAGTAGCAGCCCCTCTTTCTCAAGCGAAAAAGATAACTATGGTCTCGAGTGGTAATGGCACTATTGGTGCCGAAAAATTAACCGAAGAAGTTTTCAATATTGTACAACGTGTTCCAGATCTTGTTAAGAATTTAACAGGCGTGGACATTGCAAAGGTATGCACTTGTTTGTGATAATGTAAATGTGTAAGAGATAAATTTATTATTTGTAAACTTTTCTTTTCAGTCTGTTCATGCTGCGTAAACGTGCAATGTCAAGAGCATTCGAATTCCATCATTGATCCATGATGTCTCATTCTTCAATGTGTATATTTATAAAGAGAAATATTCAATGGACTTTTTTTGATACATATATTTACTTTAAATTTTGTCATATATACCGAGTATAATTTATAATATTAAAAAAGTATATATTAATATATTTTTAGTATATTATAATGATGAAAGATTCCACACACTTTTGCTGTGTCATTTATGTGAAACGCACGTACTAATAATTTTTGATTGACATATTACTTCCAATTTCAGAAAATAGCAGTAATTAATACAAATTTAAATAAGCGATTTAATTTAACTACAGTTTTAAGAGCATATTCGCGAAAACAAGAAATTTCATTAATCATTCATTCCAAGCTTTTATTCATCTTGACAGTGAAAGTGTGATATGACATTAATACATCGTATCATTGATATTACTTATGTATATATATATATATATATATATTAATCGTTCTTCAATGAACACGTTTTACTAACTGTTTAAAATATTTGATCAATTTAACGCATATTTGTTAATTAAAAAAATTGTGTGTACGTTCTACCGAATCTCTTAAGAACCAATCGTAATGGTTCATGTTTATCTATGTATAATTCTATGCCAAAACGTGCCGAATGCCATTCTCCCAAATATTCTATATATTAGAGATGTACTTTTAAATATACTATAAATTACTAAATGACTCTCTTTTTAGAGATGAAAGTATTTAATGTTTCTTAAACATCACTTATAATATTATTCGAATACGCGAGAAAAGATCTTCTTAGTTTTTGAAATAAATTTATATGTAACTTTGCGCGAGCATTCTATTTTCTGTATTCGCAAGATGTATGTGAAAAAATGAACAGTAATATATTTTATCGTGTTTATAAATGCAATATAAAAGTCGCAGAGATTTAATCATTTATATGAATTATATAATGTAGCCTTTCAATAAGCTTCGAATTACATATATTTATATGACCAATATATAAAGCTTTATAAACCAAAATAAATATGTATGCAATTTTATGTAAAACAATAACGCAAGTAAATGTTACAAGCGCATTTTGTAGTGTGTCTTATTTATCTTATTTGTTTTATAATTCTGTCGTGACTGCATAGTTGTAATGATTTTTATAGGTTTTTTTATAATTTTTATCTTTTAGAGAAGATAAATCACAAAAACAAACGACTCGCGGCATAGATCTTATGTTACGCTTCACTATTTTTTTGACAGATAGTATAAAAAATGCATGATATTTCTATAATATTAATAAGAATATGTGTGACAAATAAGAATGTATAAGGATTACGTGAACTAATCCATGCGTAACGGATTGTGAAAATCTTTTGAAAATATTATATAATATATTTCCAATAGCTTTTTGAGAAATGGATACAGATCTATACAGATCTTTTCTGGTGGACTTTCTAGCTGGAGGTCTATCCGCAGCGATTGCGAAGACTGCAGTCGCTCCTTTAGAGAGAGTGAAACTGTTGCTGCAAGTGCAACATACCTCGAAACAGATCAAACCTGAGGAGCGATACAAGGGTATATAAAATATTATGTGTAATTAAAAAATAATTATATAAATTAAATATATTAGATGTATAAGTTTTCCACTATTTTTTATGAAATTCAATGTTTATTAATACATTATATATGTACAGTTTAATTATGAAAGTAATACCTACAATTTTTCAATACTTTCTTCCATCTTTCTCTCAGGCAAGTTATAAATTCTGGATCGAAAATTTAGTCTTGTGATGAATTAATCAAACTATTTTTTGATTTTTTTTCTGTCTCTTATATATGTCAGATAGGATTTAGAAATGTTGTACTGCATTGATTGGAACAAATAATAGTTTGATAGCACTAGAAAATTTAGAAATATTGGAGAAAAATCAAAATAGTTTAGTAAATTCATCTCAAGTAAAGATCAAACTTTTTATTGATCCAAAATGTATAACTTGCTTGAAAGAGGGAAGAAAATGTTGAAAAATGATGATTATTTTCATGATTGAAAACTATATAATATAATTTATGTTAATAAACATTGAATTTGATAAAAACTGGAAAATTTAATGGAAAATTTATTTATAATATATCATGTTTCCATATACATTACAGGTAAAAATCATTTCATTAATCTTTTGCTGTTGATGAATAATTGTGGAAACTTTATTTGCAGGTATGCTAGACGCATTTGTACGTATACCTAAGGAAACGGGACTTATCAGCTTCTGGAGAGGCAATTTTGCTAATGTACTCCGTTATTTTCCGACTCAAGCCCTCAATTTCGCGTTCAAGGATAAGTTCAAAACCCTGTTCCTGGGAGACGTGCCAACAGACGCGTTCTGGCGACAGTTCATTGGAAATTTAGCGGCTGGCGGTGCCGCGGGTGCGACATCGTTATTATTCGTCTACCCCCTTGACTTAGCTCGCACTAGGTACTATTATATTTGTGATCATTATATTTGTACAAGACGATAATATGGATTTGATCTTTCAGATTGGCCGCCGATATCGGAAAAGGCGAAAAACGGGAATTTAAGGGTATAGCTGACTGCATATTAAAGATATTTAAATCAGATGGACTGCTGGGGCTGTATCGTGGTTTCAATGTCAGCGTGCAAGGAATTATTATATATCGAGCGACGTATTTTGGATTTTATGATACTGTGAAGGGTATGCTGCCTGATCCGAAGAGCACACCGTTGTATATAAATTTTATAATTGCCGAGGTATCTTCTTCTCTTTTTATTAGACGCTTAAGGAATATTTAGGATATTCTGCATGGAAACTGGGGAACTGTAGAATGTATTTTAGAGTATATTCTAAGCGAAAAATTCAGATATACTACTACAGATCAATTCAGTTCAGTTATTGAGATATAGATAATTTTATGAATAATAACACAAAAAATATCAGATTATTTTTAATTTTTATTATGAATCTTATATTCTCTTAATCATATCAATTGTTCAAAATATTTACCTGTTTGTAAACATGCTGCTATCTGTATCATAGATGACCGCCAATTAATTTGGCTGATTGCAAGTTCAATATGAATACTATCCTCCATTATTCTGTTAACTGTAGATGAATCTACGATTTATCAAATAAATATAGGATATATTGTGTATTTAATGAAAATTAGTGCTTTAAGCGAGAAGGAACTATTGTCAGAAATCTTATTGTTAGTGTTATTGACAAGAATTAAATTTTTCATATTTTTCTCGGTAATTAAACCAAATTAACATATAGTATATCTACATTTTTGCTTAGAATAAATTCTAAAATACATTCTAGAGATTTGTCGCAAATGAGTTTTCTTGCAAAACATCTTGTATAATAACGAAAATATAATATAATAAATATAATAAATGTTTTTGTCACAAATATCTTACTATTCTTATAGATGGTAACAACGATAGCGGGCATCGTATCTTATCCTTTTGATACAGTCAGGAGACGAATGATGATGCAATCGGGCCGAAGTAAGGCTGATATGATGTACAAAAATACATTAGATTGTTGGATAAAAATAACAAAAACTGAAGGATCTGCAGCTTTTTTTAAAGGCGCATTCTCTAACATTCTTCGCGGTACCGGCGGTGCTCTTGTTTTGACGTTGTATGATTCGATTAAAGAATCAATCGAAAAAACAATCTCGAAAAATTTGTGAAATTTATAAATTTTACTGCGATGTATATAAAAGATCGTCTTATAAATGTATATGATTAAGAGACTCATTTAAATTTATATACATAAGTATAGTGGAATATATATACATATATGCAGAGAGAGGGGAGGGAGATGAGAAGGCGGAAAGAGAGGGAGATTTCTACATAAAGTTATTAATAAAAACATATTCTATCATAAAAAATAAAAAAAAGTAAATTTAGTTTTCACCATCATTTCCTAAGTTGATACTTCAGGATTTTTATAATTTTGACTCTATAACATGAGGATTTTATAAACTATCCTCATGCTATGTGTGGGATCAAAATTACAAAAATCTTATCACAAATTAACTTTAATGATGTACAATTAATTTTTTACATATATAAAATATGTAAGCATTAAGTTGTGTACATGAAATATTTATTTATGATTACTTTTGATGAAAAATATACACATTACAATGCTAGCAATTGGTATATATTTTAATAATTTATTGTTCAATATACATTAAAATTACACAAAATAAACTAATATGTAACAATATTGTATATTTGATTTAATATTAACATATCAGCTGATATAGTATAGCGAATTTTACAAAAATGAATAATCTGCTAATGTTTAATAATATTCTCTTTACTATTGGGATATATTTTTACCAATATAAATATTTTTTTTTGTAGAAAATTTACTTCATAATATTGAACAAATTGTCACAACTAAAGTTTCTATATTTTATATATTCTTAACAAAACATAATTATTAATTCAACATAGTATGACGATCATAAATATTCCGCCTTTGTTCACGAACTTGCCGTTTCCACTTATCCTGTTGATGTCCAACACGATTCAAAACATTGCCCCTTTCTCCCATTGGGTGAGAAGTACCAGGTGCAAGAGATGAATCGTCCTTTGAAAGAAAATAATAATTTAAAGAATCACAAGCATTAAATTTACTTATTAATAATAAATCTATTATGCAAAAGGAATGCAATATGAATGATAAGAAAAATTTTATAACATTATTTCCACATTTACCTCTTCATTGTTATGTTCATGATAGCCAATATTTGCTGAAGCCTTATGTATCCGCTTGTTAAGTAATGGATCCAAACAAATTAAGAATAACATGTATATCACTAATAGTGATATAACCCATATAACTATTATTACTACAATCTGTAACAATATTAATAATTCCATCAAATTAAATAACAGCAATGTAAAGTTTATTTATGAAAAATACCTTAATGATAGTTGTGTTCCTATTTTCATATTTGCAGTCACATCGCGGGCAAAATATTTCCTCTTTCCCCTTTATCTGATCTCCAAGTTTTGGTAGAACAACGCTCTCGCATTTACTAGAAATTTCACATGTATTATAATATACTGAATAGATGATAATCGCACATGGGATTACAAATTACATAAATATGCAATGTAAAGCTTATATCAAGTTGTTCAAAACGTATATACATCATATATTTCGATTTTTCAAAGCCCCTAATTGCGATTAAGATAAAAAATATTTTGTTACAAAATGGTAAAGTTTCTAACACAATAAAAAAAATCATATATACATATTTTTATGCAAATTGTAAAATTACCATTGTAATGGTGGAACATTTATGATATATGTGAGACGCTCCGTGGACGATTGCGTTGTATTTATAACGGAAGAGAGGCTCGGACAGATACATTTACATCTCTTGTCATCATATTGCGCCTGGAATTTTACTCCAACGTTAATAAACGTCATTAAAGATGTTTGCTATCTTCTAACTAAATTATAAATAAAGCCACGAAAAATGCATCCTAACCTCGGACTGTGACAGACAGGTTAAAATGACTATCGCGATAAGAGGAATGTACTTTAACATTATGTCCTTGACATTAAGAAAAACGTGGAATTTGTCAATTTTCAATGTAATCGTACACAAGAATCACGCATGAGAATAACGATTACAACTGTTACATGATTCTCCTTCAAATTATATCGCAGTAAATTGACACACTGACATAACTATCTTCGCGCGCATGCGCGACATCATTGACCACGTGACCAATCTTGACAGATCTATGCTAAAGCAATATTCTGATTGGTTCTTCAGCTTACGTTTACGTATTACATTTATGGTTATGGCAATTCATGTGCGAAAGCCTTTAAATGCGAGTTCTAGGGACTTCTAAGGATTTTAGCATTCTATCTAAATCGGAAGCATGAGTGGGTTGGTAATAGAATACAGCAGAGCCATCGTGTTCTCCAGTATTTTCTGATGCAATCCTCCGATTTTCCCGAAGCAACGTGTGGCACATGACAAGAGCTTGAAACCACTTCGAATTTTCTTCATTTGTAACAAGAGAACGATCTATAATCGAAAAAAATGACGGAAGAAGATTCGGTATGTAAAGTATAATTATTAACAATGCTCCATTCAGGTAAATATGCATAATTGGTAAATATTTTCTATTCTTTTATTCGAATTTCTTCTATGAGAGAATATTATGTTTTGCTTTTTCTTTTCGTTATTTACAAAGGATTTCCTCACGAAGGATTAATTTCTCGGTCAACAAGTATATTTAGAAAAAATAGAGGAGAAAATTATCATTTTAGTAACCTCAAAATCTTTGTTCCATGCGAATGTTTCGCTGTCGTGTAATAATTTGTTTAATTATTGCAAAGAAATTTTTATGAAAAGTTTAATATGTTTATATATATTTACATTATATTTTCATATATCTGTATAATTGTGAAATTATAAAAAGAAATAGTATTGCTTAGTTTAATTTTTTTAGGTATTTGATCCAACTTTGAAAAAGAAGAAAAAAAAGAAGAAGACTACCTTTGATATTGATGCAGCTTTCAATGAAGGAGGTAGTAGCGGTGATGCGACTGAAAACACTGGTGACAAAGAAAATCAGGAGCCTGAACCTACAGTTGTCGAAGATGACGAGACATTGGATTTGGAAAATTTCGGTAAAAAAAAGAAAAAGAAGAAAAAGGCTTTTAATTTAGATGAATTAGAAGCAGCTTTACCCGATATCAAGAAAGAGGTAAGAATAAAAAAACATTTTTGTGGAAGCCAAATATTTTTATACTGAATATTTTTATTCATCTTAATATCTTTTGTTTACTGCTGTTATTAATGATCAAACTTCAATTATTTTTGTTTGACAATTTTCTGAAGATAGCTATTTTTTTAAATAATAATTAAATAAATAATTAAAAATAATTTTAAAAAATAATATAAATAAATAAGGGGATATGTATAGTATATATTAAATAAAAAATTTATCTTGTAGTTAATTCAGTTAATTGTACAAATCGAAAAATCTAACATAAGTTTCTTTTAATAGTAAGTAATAAGACTTGATAAAGCTATGTTTTATAAATTTTCTGAAATTCTGTTATTTATTGAACAGGAACCTATAGAGCAACAAGTTGAAGAAATTATAATGGATGATGACTTTGACTTAGATATGGATTTCTCAAAGACAAAGAAGAAGAAAAAAAAGAAGAAGGATCTTGATGAATTAGTAGCTGAAGAGGAACGCAAGGAAATTGAAGATAAGGAGAATGGTATGTATCATAAGAAATGACTTGTGCCAATATTTTTTTGCATCTAGTTGTTTATGTTACTCATTATTTGTTAACATGCTGCACTGAATCTGAGCGAAGTGCAGAGTATGGTAAGACATATGCTTTGTGTTTTCTAATTGCATCAATTCTGCACTTATTATTCTCTAATTATTCTTGCACTCATAAATTTCATTAATTTTAATCAAATCAATATTTAGATTTAAATTTTTACATCATATTTTACAGTAAAGAAGATCAATTTTTATTTAGAAAATATTAAGCATTATATATGTCACATATGTACATAATATATATTATATTTATCATATTTAACATATAACAACAAAACTTTAATACTCGAGTGTATTGTATCTTTTTTAAATATAAAAATATATGTAACTTAGCTTAGATATTAGTTAAAAATGCTTTTATGCAATGAGTTTATAATTTTAATTAGAAATCTTAAGCAATTTTTTTTTAATTTTATTAAAAACTATGCATAAAGCAAAAATTTAAGTATGTATGTATGCATGTGCATGTGTGTTTATGTGTATATGTGTAAGTAATAATATTCCAGATTGCATCCTGTTCAATATTCTTTAATTAAATAGATTTAATTGGTAAATTTTTCAATAATTAGTGACTGAAAAGAAACATGATATATATATGTATATAACTGTGTACATATATAAAAGAGTTACATAGTTTTATTTTAAATATCATTGCATAAATGTGTTTATTCTTTAAAATATATTTATAAAGAAAGAGTTTAGTATTAAGATTCACACAAAAATTTCTAAAAACTTTATGCTTTATTAAAAATAATAGAAGAGATATTTTAAATATAAATAATGATTTGCTTTGTAACTTATTTAAAAAAGAAAGAAAAATTTTTTCAACAAATTTTCAACAAATTTTTTCAACAAATTTTCAATAAATTTTCAACAAATTTCATTATTAAAATCAAGAATTTTAAAATATTCTTTCTTTAAGTGCTATTTGTATCTATGATTTGGGAAAAATTTTCCATATATTTAAAATATCTCTATATTTTACAAACATTTTCTATATCTCCATATGTGCAATATTAAATTACGCTACATGTTTATCAATTAAATTACTAAAAATTGTTAATGTTAAACACTATGAATATTACATATATTGCTTTTACTTGCACTCTTGTTTGCTCAGTTGTAATATTTTCACATATAAGTTTGATAAAATTTATTAACAGTTGTTTTTTATATAACTTTTATCTAGTTAATACTAGATAACAATTTTTCTGTTCCTTTTTCTCAGTGGAGGAACCGAGTTTGTGGGTGGGCTCGGACAGGGATTATACATATGACGAATTATTAGTTAGAGTATTTAATATCATGCGAGAGAAGAATCCTGATATGGTGGCTGGTAAGAAACAGAAGTTTGTTATGCGTCCGCCACAAGTGGTACGCATTGGAACGAAGAAAACGTCTTTCGCCAATTTCACCGAGGTGCTTTTTTAATTAATTATTAATTGAGATTATTATAAGTATATTATTAATAATTAATTCACACATTAATTATTTATTTTGCATTAATTATTTAATTTTACATAATTTTTAATAATTATATATACATATATATATACATATAACATTATTATTATGATTATTATTCAATATGTACTTTGTGTCCTTCTTTCATTCTCTGCGAATTTGTATCTTGTAAATACATCTATTTTGCAGATTTGTAAAACATTACATAGGCAGCCAAAACATTTACTAGACTTTTTGCTGGCCGAATTGGGTACGAGCGGCTCGGTCGACGGTAATAGTCAATTGATTATCAAAGGTCGTTTCCAACAGAAACAAATAGAGAACGTCCTTAGGAGATATATCAAGGAATATGTTACATGTCATACATGTCGTTCGCCAGACACGATCCTTCAAAAAGATACTCGACTCTTCTTTTTGCAATGCGAGACATGTGGCTCGAGATGCTCCGTCGCTAGCATAAAGTCTGGATTCCAAGTAAGTTATTGTATTTGAGATGACGTAGTGACGTTATTATATTATATGATCATTATATATATTCAGATAAAATAACTTTACAAATAACTTTACAAATAATATTTTTCTTATATCTATTTCACAGGCTGTTACAGGGAAACGCGCTGCTATTCGTGCGAAAACTGCCTAAGCAATTTTCTTTATTTAAGAAAACGCTAGTGCAAATAAAATATTATGGAAAAAAAATGGTACAGATTTATTGAATGCATTCCAAATTGATTTCAATACAATTACATTTTTTCAAAAATTATTTATACACTATTGTATTCTATATGAAAAATTCTAGAAACTTATATTCTAGAATGCAGACTTTTGAAAATTTATTTCACATAAGTATCTTTAAATTTTATATTTTATTATTTATATTCTTTAATATTATTTTATCTTGTGTGTCGATATTTTTTATATGTAAGTTTTATTTGTGATAATTACAGTTTGATTGGAATACAGGAGCGTAAATAGTATCATAACTTGGTCATTATGTATTGATGATAATGTAAAAAAATTATTTTATTGTAAAATTTTTGTCTTAATAATTTTCTGAAATCTTCTAGTCTTTTTTTACTAATACAAATATTTATTATGTTTTTACTAAAACATATTAAACTTATGATGTAATTTAGATTATATAATATGTTCTACATTTGTTTTCAAATCAATTTCTAATACAATCATGATTGAGATTTATATATGGAAAAAAATATCGACACTGGTTAAAAAAAATAATCATTTAATTTTCTATTTCTAATTTTTTTCATAATTAATATTACTCTAAATAAAAATTAAATAAAATTACATTTGTTGCAATATTATTTACTTGTTTATCTAAATACCTTATAAAAAAAGTCTTTAGATGAAGAATACGATGATTGAAAAAGAAAATGGATTGTTAACAGTTGATTAAAAATAGATAATTATTTTTTTATACACAAATCATAGATTCGAAAGAACAGATTTTTGCAAAATTATCAATTCGCAAAATTTTATAATCATAAAAATCTCCTTTAAGATATTATATAAAGCAATTTTTTTTAATAATTGATTCAATTTTGCGGCTAGATAAATTTTTCATATTATTTCAAGTTTTTTCGAATACTTTTGAAGGATTTGGTTAAAGACTTTAAAATAAATGTATAACATGTATAATAAATCTCTAATAAATAAAAATCAATATAGAAATATTTTTTAATTTAAGTTATTTAACATATTTTGTGCACTCTGGAGAAATGTTACAGTTTAAACATATAAAAATAATTATTATTTAATTATAAAGCAAATTAATAACAAAATTGTGAAAAAATATTTATATCTTAAAAAAATTATATTTATACGTAATAAGTAAGTATGTCAAACCCATATTACACATTTTGTGTCAAAAATCCAGAAATTAACAAATTAAAATTTTAAACATATCGTCTATAGTAATAATTATATTTTAATTTTGTACTCTATAAAGCAAATAAAACTTATAAATTTAGTCTTTTTATAAAAAGTCGTATTTGGCGCGTTTTATGAAAAAAATTATATTTTTTTTAAGTTGGCAGTCCATTTTTTATGCGCATGCGCGTTGAAGTATAGCGGCTTACAACTTACAATTAGTTCGACTAATAAAAGTATGTCTGTGTGTGTGTGTGTGTGTGTGTGTGTTAGATTATTCTTAAAAATTATCTCATTTCTTTTTTTTTTAATAATTCCTTTAGAACGTTTATTTTAGCGCTCATAATATTTCTTACACACATATGGCTTTGTGCCAAGCGTGCGCACAAAAACCGGTCTGACCTAACGTCGCGGGATCGAGAGAGGCACCCTAGAAGTGCACAAAGAAACGTGATAAGAAAAAAAAAGATTATCGAGAGTTCAACACACAAGGAGAAAGCCAGAGAGAGAGAGAGAAAGAAAGAAAAAGAGTAAATAAACGAAACTACGCTACGCGCTGTCAGCCAGTCAGCTGATTCGCGTTCGCCAGCATTTCGCGATACAGCGGCTGTTTGCTTTGGCTTTGGCGCTGCTAGATTGTACATACACGTCCAATTATTTATCACCCGTGATATGCTGAGGTTTCGGAAATTATTTCCACAACCCTGCTCAATCATAGCAATGGTGCACGTGGGAGCGCTCCCTGGTACATGAACTTCTCTATCCTTGTCGCGTGTAGTGCTTGATTGATTTCTTGATCACGTATATGATAATTGAACTCGATTATAATTTTAGATCAATCTAATCGCTTCAATTACGATTAATAGTCAGTAAATTCGTTTCGCTTCTTTTTTTTCTTCACGATATTTTGAAAAATTATAGAAATATTTCAGGTTCAAAATATAAATGTATGTATGTGTGCGTCAGGAACACCAAGGTATAAAGGCTGCACCGAGAAGGTCGTGGAAAATGCAACGAAAGAAGCATTAATGTACGCGAAATATAATGTGGTAATTGTTTTTTTTATAATATATATATATATTTTAATATTAATTTTGTTTATCTTGATTTTATATATATATGAGAAATATTCGAGACATTTTTCGAGTTTTCCTATCTATTTTTTCCTCTTTATTTTTATTTGTAAATTTTTCGGGTTTTTTCGCGAATTAAATTTCTTTTAATAAAAACGTTATCAGGCCGAGAGTTTCTAAGTTACAAGACAATTTAAAAAGTTTTTTACGGTTTTTGAACTTGAAAAATTCAAATAAATAAGTCTTATCTTGATTTAATTAATTTAAAAAAAATTTATTTAATTTATAATTTAAAGATTAAAATTGTATTTCGTATAGCAAATTGACATATAAAGTATAAATATAAATTTGACATATAAAGTGTAAAATATAAATTGACAATTTGATATATAAAATTTAGAATATAAATAAAGTATATAAACTTTTTTTATTTTAATTTTTTTATATTCTACGAAAACATCAGCGATTGCATCGATCTGAACGCATATATGTGTTTTCTAGGATGGCATACTGATTGAAAATATGCACGATATTCCCTATGTTAGGCAAAGAGATCTGTCACCGGAGATCACAACTATGATGACAAGAATTTGTTCGGAAGTTAGAAAAGTTGTGCCGCAAAATATCGCATGTGGCGTTCAGGTATAAAAAAAATCGACACACGCACATATATAATATTTTTCTCGCTTAAAGTCCAAAGTTCGTCAGTTTATAAATACTAAATTTGTTATCAAGATGATATTAAAATTATTAATATTAAAGTGTTGGTGAATTAAGATATATATTTAAGATATATATTATAATTAAGATTAATTTATTAACAATTTTATTTATATTAAATTTATTAAATTATTCTAATACACACACATTATTGATTTTAATGATATCAATTTTATTTTGTTCTTTAATATCATCTAACGTTAAATTGACACATTAATTAATGTTATTAAATTATCCTATATTTAATATTTGTATCTTTTTTCACAAGTTTATCAAGTTATTTAAATGATCGAATATTATACTTTGATAGATTCTTGCAGGGTGCAACAGAGAAGCGATCGCGGTTGCCAAGGCTACGGGATTGCAATTTATTAGAGCCGAAGGATTCGTCTTCTCCCACATAGCCGATGAAGGCTTTATTGATGCAAATGCCGGAACTTTATTAAGATATAGAAAACAGATTGACGCCGACAACATTCTCATTTTCGCTGACGTCAAGAAAAAGCATAGGTGAGATTATTTGAATTAATGAAAAGAAATTAAAAAGAAATTAATATTATAATTATAATTTAAAATTATAATATTATAATTATATAATTTAAATTATCATACGATACAATGTAAAATTATGATTTTAAAAAACACTAACAAAATAGCGTCATGAATCTGCATTTGGAATTTTTCTAAAGAGTTGAGAGAGAGAGAATATTAAATATATATACAAATAATAATAATACGCTGACGCTTCCCTTTCTCCCCCCTCGTAATTTTATGTCGCGAAAATAGAGTCTTGCGTAAACATTCTATTTTTTCGTCATCTTTCTTCGATATTTTTACAGCTCGCACGCGATTACTTCCGACGTGAGCTTGTTGGAGACGGTAAAAGCTGCGGAATTTTTTTTAGCCGATGGCGTTATATTAACCGGTAATGCAACCGGAGAGGAAGTAAGCGTAAGGGATCTTTCAGGTATTTTCTTTTTTCCTTGTGTCTCACATAACGTGACGATTCTAAAGAAGACATATATTTTTAAATGCAAATAATTGATATATACATAAATTATACATCATTGGCTAAAATTTCTATTATTTTTTATAAATCGATAGAAAATTGATAAATAACCGGATCTCTTTTTAATTTTTGTATTTTTACCACTTTCTCTCATATTGTTTACCTATTATTACTATATATCTTTCATGCATACGTAACATTAAAAATTAATGCTTAATCAGAAATGACATTTTTATATATATTTTACACTCCACGTAATTAAAACGAATAAATTCTAAAGAATTGAATCTCAAACATAAGGGTATATATATATATATATATATATATATATATATATATATATATATATATTATTGATATTATTGATCTCAATGACATCATGTCAGCTACAAGCATAGAGGCTTATTTTGTGTGTATCGAATAAGAATAAAAAAAAAAAGAAATCAAATTCGAGACGAGGTTGTGAGTCGCGATGATATGCGATGATGATTTGAATTGAACTCGCGAAATACACACGGGATACGTGAGAGACGCCTTATGTACATATTACACCTTGCAGAAGTGCGGAAGCATGTCGTGGCGAGGCTGCCGTTGCTGATCGGCTCGGGCGTGACATTGGACAACGTGGACAATTACGCGAACGCGGCGGACGCGCTGATTGTGGGATCATACCTGAAGACAGCCGGCCGATGGGAGAACGCGCCCGATCCGGAGAGAGTCCAGGCCTTTGTCGGACATTTAAAAGGCCAACAGCGCCTATGACGACACGCAATTCTGTAGGCAGCGCGTGAGGGAGCCAGCCGGAGACCGGCAGCTGTTCGACCAGCTGAGCGAGCTTCGATTGTCGCCGTCAGGGCTGAATATCGCGCATTCGCGAAGCTGGCACTTTGGTGCCTCCGGAAACCACAGAGACGTACGGTACGAAGAAAATAAATCTCTGTATATTGTATCAGCAAAAGAGACATAAAACTGTTTTAGCTTGGAAAAGCGACTCGTTCTAAAATTCGTCGGGCTTTAAATTTGTCATTGTTAACGATGTGTTATGCAAAGTTGAAACTTCGACACAAAATCTTGCGAAAGGTAGACGAGACAAGTAGTTTGCAAAACGAATTACGAAACGAGGAAATGCAATGCGACGGTATTTAAAGATTTGATACGATTTTCCAAGAAAGAAAGAAATAGAGTAAGATTTATTATTTACTTAAAATTTATTTGAAAATCTTGGAATTTATATTATATAAAATGATAATCTTACAAATTAATTAAAAATTTTTTTATAAATTGAGAACAATCTTATAAATCCTTAATACAAAAATACTAAAAGTCAGAGTTGTTAGATACACATTGAGAATATCTATATTTAAACAAAAAAAGTCAAGATATATACATATACTTAGACAGAGTTAACAAATTATCTCAAATATTTTATCAAAAGTATTTGAGATACAACACCGAGCACAAATACGAAAATTGCATTATAAATATCAAATAGGATATATTATTAAATCAAATTCAAAGTCTATAACTTTTTCTACATCAAAATACAAATAAATTTTGAGTAAATCACTTACTTATCTTTTTCTTATTCCTCGAATTTCATCATTTTTCGATACATATAAGAATCCTTTTGAGATCAAAATAAATATTTTATTCTATCGCGATACGAATAATAATTTTAGAGAAATCTCTGCCAACGAAGATAGAAGACGCAAACGCCAATAAATAAAATCAGGAGGCTATCTCTTAATCGTGGAATCCAAAGAACCATTGGAATCAGCATTTTAGGAGGGGAGGAGCGGGCAGGAGAGGGCAAAAAAAAATCATTATTCTAACGCAACGTATCGACTCCGCGGATCTATACCAAGCACACTCGTCAAAATACACCCCTGACATCGCTCTATGAAGCACCACCCTACCCTATCCCTTTCCCCTCTCTCTTCACTCCCCCTCGCAACCATACATCGACATTGTCTTTCCCTTCTACGTTGTAACCCTCGCCCTCGCTATTCCCTCGGCTCTGATGACTGGAGGCGGTGGCGAGAGGGGAGGTGGGAGAGGTGGGAGGGGGAATTCCCCTTCCACCTCGTTTCTCCCGTTCCTAAAATCCCTTCTTCTCCCAGGCAACTCATTTCTGTCCGCTGCGTCCAACTACCTCTCCTCTTCCCCTCTCGAGCCCCGCTCCCGGAAATTACTCCCCTCCGTTCCACCGTCCTCGCCAATCTCGCCTCTCACCCCCGCACAGCGCCTCGTAATCGGTCGCCTAGCCAGCCAGCCAACAGTCGAAATCAGCTGACGGCGAGCAGTTGCTACCACGGCTCCTCAAACGCGATACTATTCAGGCGAGTTGATTGTTTTGCAAGCTTTTCCATACCGTATCTTCTTCATTTTTTTTTTCTGTATTTGCGAGTCTCTTTTTCTCTCTTCCTTCTTCTTCAGTAACTGTATGTCGTTTTTTTATTTTATTTTCGTAGTATTGTGTGTATAGCGTTGTGTCGACGATGATACATTTTCAGAGAGTTGATATGTACTTTGACGTAACCGAAGACGACGGGGAGACGATGACAGTGATGACGACGACGGTTTTTCTGCGATCGTATTGTCACTTGTATCTTGTCACGGTTTCGGAGATCATTGACGCGCTCGAATCAAATGTGACAGAGACTCCGGAGAGAAGAAAGGAGAGGAGAACTAGGAGTGCAAAGTCTATAAGCGAGACGAATCCTGGCGAATAATGATTTTCGCGATTGTGTTGTACAGTTGAGACGTTCAGTCTCGGAGATACGCCACGGTACGATGGCTTGTATGGTACGAGAAAGTGAGGGAAATTCGGGAAAAGAAGGAAAATGAGGCGTTCACGAGCGAGAGCAAGTGGGACGATAGCTAAATGACGTCGAATTTATTCGCTTTCTTTATCATGTAAAGCGAGCTGCTTTACACGATCAGGGTGCGTGCTCCAGCGCGTGCGTATGTGTGTGTGTGTGTGTATGTGAAGAAAATTCGAAAACGAAGTAAGATAGCAAACTGGAGTAATCTGTCGCGAATGAGGCGATCCTAGAGCCATTTTCATGAATTTTCGCAATTATCATTATATCATTAAATCATTTATTTCGATTTTATAAGGATGATGAAATTTGAGGAGCGAAAAGAATAAGATTGCCGTTTGCTGAAAGTATATTTCTTGTTTTTTTTTTCCTTTTTTTTTGAAATAAGGAAATGCGAAACAAAATAATCAAAAAAATTCATCGGAGCGACAGCAATACTTCGAAATGTCTCATTAATGGTTTTTCTCATTTTTTTTGTTATTTTTTTTTTATATAACTTTATCACTTAGTACACATAACGAAGAACACAAAGACAGAACACAAAAAACCCATAAAAACATTAAGGACGAGACAACTCTGACAACTTTAGAATGTCAAGTTGTGATTGAGAGAGAGGGGGGAGGGGGGGAAATGGAAAAAGAAGAAAGATATTGGAAGGAGGAGGGGGAGAAAGTCGTATGAGTTTCTTTGTTTTATTTTATACGTCTTATTTTTACGCTATCTTTCAAGATGAGAATTTTCCATAAAAAATATGTTAATTAAAGATGGATCAGCAACGATAGAAGAGTGGCTTGAAGACCGATTACACGTCGTTATACGTTGTTATTGTACGATTCATTTAACTTAATTTTGCATTAATTGAATGTTTGCATAACGAGGAGAAAAACAGAAGATTAACTATACTTTAATCTTTCAGATGTTAATATCGCTAGTCGAGTAATAGTTCGGATTCTAAAATCACGTGAATCATGCAGCCAATTGTGAAATAAGTCAGGATGATATGGCAAGAATAAATTATACAATCTTTTTTTCTTTTTTTTTACATGCATAAACTCACTCACATATACACACAAATGTGATGATTTTTTTATTAGAGTCAGCGTTAGATTATTATTATATAAAAATTATCGTTTATCCAATGTCGTGATTTGATGCGTAAGATGTTATAAGATGTTATAAAACTATTACATTTGCATTCGATCGTGAAAATTCTTTCAAATAAATTTACAGATGTTGTCTATGTTAAAAAAAAATCTATTTTTTTTTAATCTGCTCCCTAATAGTTTTTGCAAATCTATTTTAATATTTTTAATTTGTTAGCATTTATTAAATTGTATTTACTTTTTATTTTAATTATTTTTTTCTTTAAAAATTCAATTATATTAATAATTTTTGAATTGCAATTACAAAAAAGTCTTTAAATTAAATAGAAAGCAGAATCATTTATACGTCATCTCAGCTCTAGAAAACTAAGGAGAAAATTAAGGAGATTATCACATATAACATTTTCAATGGTTATTGAATTATTGATCATATTGAATAAGTCTGTCTATCTTTGTGTATATCGTGTAATGTAAAAATCTTTGTGTAATATTTTTCTGAAAAATTTATATCAAAATAACTTTTAAGATCGACTTTATCGAATGAAATCGGTCTAAACATATCACAATGGGCTATTACGTGTATTTGACAGAGTGTGTGTGTATATCTATGCAAATCTTAACAAGACTCTAATAATAAGTCTGAAGGAGGATTTACTGTTGGATTAAGATAACATCAAGAAAATGAGTTATAAGCATGTACATTTGTGTCAGTTCGGATACTTGTAATTATATAATTGGCACGTGGTTATGCACCGAGGAAAACTACTGGCTGAGAGAGGACTCGTTGCCCTTCTAACCAGAGAGAAGCAAATTCGAGATCAAGGTCGACGTGATCACCTCGTTCGCGCGCCCACGAAAACTCATCGAGATTATACAACAAAATGAAAGAGAAAGAGAGATAGAGAAATAGAGTTAAAGTCAAAATGCAGAGATCCAAGAATCCATTTTAGAATCTAGAGGCCTTTATCTAAGAATACAATTTTCTTCCTTGTCTTCTCCTTCCTCTTTTCCAGCGAGGTAAATAATACGATTTACTTTGAATCAAAGGGCGAAAGTTGTTGAAAAATGTCACTATTCAAAAAACGATTAAAACAATTTTTGAACGAATTGTCTAGTATAATGAAATCAATAAAAAATGAAATTTGTGAATAACATTTATTCATATTATCTATTAAAAATATTATGAGTTTCTTTATTGTTTGTGTTTTTCGCAAACTTGCTAATTTTTCAAAAAATAGATAGCAATGTATTTTGTGTGTGTATATATTTTTCATTCACGCACTACCTTCTGCGTTCTTGATTCTACAGTCATAAGTGATAATTGATTTTTTTTTAATTAATTTCTATATCAAAATTAAATTAATTTAAATTAATTTCTATATCAAAATATTAAGAATTATAAAGTAATTGTTTATAAAATAATTTATAAAATACTTTGTAATATTTATTTCTACTATTTATATTGTTTGAAATAATGATTTTATATAATAATTGAAAAATAATTACTTTGGGCAAAAATAATAAATAAATAAAATTATTTTAATTTAATAAATAAATAAAATTATTTTAATTTAATTCTATATTTATGTTTATACAAATAAAAAAATATGTATGTATTTATACAATTGATATAGAATGGTTATTGTGTTACAGACATCAGACGATCAGGATGTTGGGCAATTTTGTCGGTTACTTGTTCGGGAATAATTATTCCGGCACGCAAGATTCACTCGAAGAGGATCCTCGAACTCGAGGGATAATGCGGAGATTCAGGCAAGTGGAGGTCGAGGACGATGAATGGATCCTCATTGACCGAACTGGTACATAATTTATTGTTTTTTAGTAATTTACTTAAAATTATGTATGTGTGTGTGTGTACAGAGGGAGAGAAAGGCCATTTTATCTTAATTAAATTTTATTCTAATTTCTAATTTTGATCAAGATTTTTTAAAAAATATTTACGTGTGATAGAAATAATTACAATACTGTTTTTAGTCATTACCTAATTATTCACATACTATTCATTTATTCAATTTTATGATTTAAAATTGAATTTCAAAATTCAAATTCAATTTTATGAATTTTGTTATAATTCACAAGAATTATAATAAATTTATTGTTAATAGTAACTTCCGGAATCTCGGTTACGAAACGAGTCTTTTTATATTGATTCTATGCCTTATCTATGGCAGATTTCGTTTATTTATATAGTGATACATCTTATCTGAAGTAACTTCTGCAATCTTTATTGAATGAAATCCATTGAGTGTATATACTTCAATATGTATACAATATATATACACCAACAAGCAGCAACTTTCTTTTCTTCTTTAACTCGTTTTCTTTTCCTCGAAGTATAATTTTTCACTTTTGTGAAATCAGTTTCTTTATCCTTTTTATTTTTATACTTTACAGCATCTTGATTATTTCGACTGATTATGTGCTTACGCGCTTTCTTTTCTGTTCTTCCAGTTGAGGGTACGCTGGAGGAGCCGTGGTATGAAATGCCACCGGCAGTGTTCACCCAAGAAGGGCCCATTAAAGTGGCAACCTCGCCAATGGAGAATCTGCTGATAGAACATCCTAGCATGTCCGTCTACTCCGTTGTGTCGGGAACGTCTCCTCCTGTCACTCCGGACACTCCGCCCCCGTCGCCGGACAGGTGGATAGAAGGCCAAAAGGACGTCGATGTCGGACAAACTATTGATGTTCCTCAAAACGTCCCCCCGGCGCCGCCAGCTGATCTCTCGTCCTCCACATCCTCCGCGCTTTGTACCGTATCTACATCCTTGGACAGCAGTCTAGACCGAAGTAACATCGATGAATTGTCGCGTAGAGTTGTTGCAGAATTGCAAGCCATCCACAACGACAGACTGCCCGCATCAGATAGCAATAATAATAACAAAGCTAGGATCGGAAAACAGCTCCGGACCGCCCAGGAACGAGCTCAGGAGGTGAGTTTAACCCATTAAGGTCCAAGCAGAATCTGAGTCAGATAGCATCAAACTAATTATTGCATTTACAGGCAAATCAAAAAATAAAATATATGTATTTTTTGTTTTGACATTTGTAATTTTTTATAAAAAATTATTTAAACAAATTATACCGAAAGTTATTTTGAAAAACTGACTGCGCCAATCGATTCTACGGGAAAAATCATGAAGAAAATCTAAGTAACATTCTATCGTCAGAGTTCAATTTGTTAGTGTAAAATGGTTATAAACAATTGCATGATGAGGAGTCAAATCGACCTCTTCAGACAGTTCAAACAGTTCTTATGATAAAAATTATGAAGAATTGTTGTTTTATGTTCGGATCAGTATGACTGCTAAAAGACTCTTTTACTAATTGAAACAATTGATGTTTGCGCAGTATCTTTGTTCGGTAACCTTTTATAAATACAATAATAATTAGTTTGATGCTATCTGATTCAGATTCTGCTTGGGCCTTAATGGGTTAATAAAATGAGCTTTAAAATCATAATTATATTTATGATTAAAGATACGAAGCATTTAATATAAGATCGTTAAATTAAAAATTCGCTACTCTTGTCTGGGCAGATGTTGCAGAAACGCTCGACTCAGAGTCTCAAGAGGGCCCGCATGGAAAGGAGCAACAAGGTGCGTCAAGCAAAAGGCAAGCGGCTACGTCGTCAGGATCGTTTGCGCGTTTGTCATAGCGGCGCCAATAACAACCGAAAATGCTAGTCATCCGATCTCAGGTCAATCTGTACTTAAACATCTTCCTAAAACACGACGACCAACGCTATGACAATTGATTACTCGGTGAAATTTCGCTGCAATGACACAAAAGATTATTTATAATAATTATCATTGATCAAAAAGTAACATAGTCTAGAAAAATATGTTTCGCAGTATATGCTATATTCATATTTTTTCGTCGATGATACAAATTAATCTGCTTGACATGAGATAAACCTCTTAGATGAGAGTCTGGCTATTATTAGATTTTATACCGAATGCGTGCGTATGTATATATATGTATGTATGTGTGCGACGATAGTGTTTAGTAATAATTGTTGTAGAGTTCACTCTAATCTCTTTTGATACATTATGCAAAAATGGCTGATTGTTGTACGCGTGATTGTAATTCAATAACGCGCCAATAACGTGACTCTCGATGACATTTCTTCGCTAGTGATGAAAAGAAAACATGAGAAATATATTCAGCCTAATTCTTCGAACTAAATCAATTAATAAAAAAATCTAAAATAGTCAGACTCTCAATCAAAAAATAGGCGGCTTGATCTGTTCATTGTTATGCAATTTATGTAAGACAATATAGATCAGATGACAAAGCTCTGCAAAACTGACAAGTGTGTTTGCCAATTATATATAATTATTGTATATTATATATAATTATACACATATGTTATGTACATATTATATATAATTATTATATATTATATATAACAATTATATATAATTGTATGTAATTCCAGATTTATTTTATCTATTATTATATATATATAATTCCCGATTATTTTAATTATTTATTCAAGTGAAAATATAACATATGTGCAGCAGAAAAGAATTGCTTATAACAAAAATGTGACAATTGCGACTTGTAAGAAATGCTGCTGCTCAGAACAGTGATCTCAATTTGCTCGATCGATTCGGAATTCATTGTAACGAAATTTTACTCGTCAAATGCGTTCTTGTTCACACAAGTGTACGAGGAAGTGTGTACATTTGGTAATGATGATAAAAGATACATGTGACATGTTTAGCTCTTTTTAGAAAAAAAAGGTTCGAGTGACATGTTTAACCCTTTCTAAAAAAGATCATAGACATAAAGAAGTTTAAAGAAAATGTTTGATAACAAAGTCCTTTTACCTTCCTCTCTTCATATAAGATTCTTTACATAAATTCCTACGTATTTTACATAGATAATCCATTAAATCATTATGTTCAAGAATAAAAAAAATATATTAATCTCAACTTATTTTTAACGAGAGATAATAAAGTGAATTTTTGCCCTCATAAAAAACATGGAAACAAGAAATGATTTTTAAATTTTAATGATATATCGAGTGTTGATAAATCAGTCTTACGAAATAAATTCTGATCAATTGTTTTCACTAAATTATATTCTAGAAAACAAATGAAGAAATATACAAATGTACAAAAGAATTTTTTAAAATTTGTGGCCTTGTACAATTGATCGAAGCAATACTTGAGAAACGTAACTTTGTCTTGAAAGGGTTAACAGAGTCCTCGAACGAACAAAACACAAGGACATATAACGATATCAGTAATTAAGAGAGATATATTAAATCTGTATCAATTAACGCTAAAACTCTATTAGTTATATATAATTATTTATTTGACACAATGACATAATGTGCGTAAAGTGTATTCACACGAACCAAAACACAAATGGCACGCACGAAATTTTGAAGATTGTTTTGTACCTTCCACAATCTGTCTTTCGGTTCTTAGTAAAAATATTATTAATAATATTATTAGATTTATTTGCGCATCTTATATATAATTCCTCATGTCCGTTTGATGATAAAATCCTCGGACTCTCAAATGGATCATCAAATTTAGCGTTAAAGATCTCAGAAGGAGATTCTAAATTTTTACAGCATTATATATATTTGATATTTCTCGCTGATTTCGAGATACTCGAATATATTTTTAAAAATGAATGGATTACAATAATTTTTTTCTAGATCTGGTAAATTTTATTACATCTTTAGATATTTACTAAAATGTTGGAATATTTAAAATTTCCTTCCTTTTTTTTCTTGGATTTTTATAGCTATTATAGATTATTGATCTTAAATTGTAAATTTCAAGGATTATTAAAATTTTAAAAAATCTTTGTATTTTTAAGTATATATATATATATATATATATATATATATATATTAGAGATGATTTATATAATATAATTCTTAGTTTATACATATATATACATCCATATATAATATATTATTATTATATATTATATGTATAATATATGATTATATTATATTATGTTTTATATATGCATATTATATATATATATATATATATATATATATATATATATATTACATATAACATGTTGAGTAATATTTTGTGTGTGTGTGTGTATGTGTGTGTGTATGTGTGTGTGTGTGTACACATATTATAAATTTACACAGAGTAGACTTTATGAAATATATAAGCAATTTTAATTTACCGGATTTAAAACAATTTGTACATTCTGAGATATTTTTAAATCCATGAATTGATTGAGCTCTTGATCTTCTGAGAGATCCTTGGATTTTTATTGTATTGCCTAGATAGAATTACATTATTGGATGATATTTTCGGACCTATAAATTGCACACCTGAATTTGCATATATATATTCATTTTTCGTGGATCTTTTTTCTTTTCTTTCCTCGGATTTTCTCACATGTCCTTGAACATTATATTATATTTGGATCTTACCTTTGGATCCTCAAATTGACGCACTATAAAAAATGTATCGCAATTGTATTATATATATATGTATGTATATATATAATACCGTTTTATAGTTGCTTATATTAATATATTATGATGGCATAGTGTTCAAAATAAAGGATTCTCTCCTCCCGAACGATTTTTTTTAACTCATTTTTTATAACAAGAACAATAATGTACCTATCTATAATTATATACTTGATAAAATTTATTTCAGAACCTAGATTTTTTTCAAACGATACTCTGTACGCTGAAGTATATTATTCAAACAAAAATTTGTTTAGATTTATACTTGCTTTATATACAAATATGAAATGCATAGATTATTTACTTAATTTGTTTTATTTATTTTTTAGCTATCTTAAATTTAATTGTGTTCATTTATATTTATATTTAAATCCATGTATATGATTTGCTTTCGATTTATTTATATTCAATTTATAATTAATGTTAATTTTGGCGGCAAGATCGAATCATTTATAAACTTTTAAATGTATTTATATATAAATATTTCGTTAGGTACATTTATCTGTATTCATTTTTGAAAAAATTATTTTGAAAATATCCTAAATTATCTATTTTTAGTTGCATTCACTCTATTAAACAATGATTCTAGGAAGTACTAGGAAATACTATAAAATCATCCAATTAAGATGTAAATAGGAAATTTTAGAGTAGCGTTGAGTTGACCAATTAGGATAAAGAAATCTTTGCTCACACTTTATCCTGAGATTGGTCAGTTAAATTTTACCCCATGGACAAGATTTTCGAACACGCTTGAAAATGTATTCGTGATGCAATTCGTACGCGATTCTTCAATTACCTTGCGCAGGATCGGAAAATGACTGAAAAGTAGCGCACCAAATCAGTGATGCCAGTTTCGAGACGCTGTCCCTACCACTACATGTACAGGAGATAGGAAGCAGAAGAAAGTGGATCCTGCAAAAAAAAATTTATAAAAAAAGAGAAGAATGGCTTATAGCCAAATATTGCGTTGTGATCTCCAGGCTCTTCTGGATAAATACAAAGAGATACGCGATGTAAGTGAAGAATCGTATCTCTTGTGTCCACTTGTAAAAGCAGATATTCCAATTGATATATTTGATCGATCGATAGCTTGGATTTCTGATTAGAGTTGCATAAGACTGTTGACATTATTATTGTGTCTTATCTTATCTCGATTTCGAGATAAGTTCAAGGCAAGATTTTTAATTAGTTATCAAAAGTGTCAAGAGATTATATTATGTAATCTTGTCAAGAGATTGTTGATTTAAAAAGAAATCTAAAATATGTATACTTATAAATTAAATGAGAAAAAGATCACATACACACATACATGTACAACACACTATACCAATTAAAAATTTATTTATTAAATAAAAACATTAGTCATTTAAAAAATCAATTATAATACAATAAACAAAATATACATATTTCATTATCAATACAATATTTATTAATGTCTTTTATTTTAAATTTTGTTTCTTGAATTTGCAACCTTACTAGAAATGCGCAAAATTAATTCTTGAAAAATTGAAAGATGTGTATAAATGTTATAAAATTTTATATCCCATTTTACTTTAATCCTCGACAAGTATCGTAAATTCTGTCTAATCTAAACATTCCCAGGTAGCAAAATGATGTCTCTAGACGTCTTTTAATGACGTACAATGACGTCATTAAAACGTTATTAAGGCTGCGTTCGCTTTCCACGCTCATGCGTTGTGAGCATCATTCCGTCTTTATTGCACATCGAATATCAAACAAAGATAGAGCGATGCTTTCAGCGTTAAAATCGTCAAAACGAACGCAGCCTAAGATGTCATTTGACGTCACTCTGCTACCTGGGTTTATTACGACGATCGTATATAAATTCCATCAAAAATGATTAAAATTTGAAAAAGAGATTTTAGTTGGATTTTAGTTTATTTTTCCTTTCAATGCCAAAGATTCATCATTTCCTTTTACACATATATTTTACTATTATCTTTGTCATTAAGAGTAACATTTGCTATACAAAAACTATGTTTAAAAGCGAGTTTAATCTTAAAAATTATTTTAATAAAAGACTAAAACGATCCTCATGCGTGGCAGAAATATGCCGCGCTGCACGTTTTCAGCGAGATGCAACAAAATTCCTTAGAATGTGAGCGCAAAAAATTGGAAATGTTGAAGAACAAACAGAAAGATATGCTTCGTTGGTTAATGAAACGCGAGGAAAAATACAAGATATCTTTGGATATCTTGGAGAAGGAAAACGAACAATTGCGCTGCACCCTAGCCACTGCACAACAAGAATACGAACGTAATGAACTTTTAAGCAATAACAAAGGTAAAAAAGTATTTAATTTTTTAAAATCTCGATGTATGACTCTTCGTGCATAGATAAAAAAGTTATATTTAAAACTTTCAATTTTTGAAATTCAAAAATATTTAAATCGCATTCAAAGATTTTTGTATGTTGCATAAATGTGCGATTTAAAAAAATAGGTACGAAAATTCGCGAAAAATAATAAACGAAGAAATAGAAAAGTGAAAAATTAATTTGGCGCAGTCTCTAAATTGCAGAGCGAAATCGATTTTTTGCATTTGCAAATAGTACAACTTGAGGATAAGCACAAGCAACAATTACTGTCGCAAGACAAACATCACAAGGATGAGATTTTGAAATACAAACGTCTTTTGGATAGCACGGAGGGGAAATTGCTTCTGGTATTAATTATTAATTTCTTATTATATGCGTTTATCTATTTAATAAATTTACTGAAATTCTTTCTACATAATGCATGACAAAGAGAGAAAGAAAAAAAAGAAAAAGATTTAAGAATAAAAGTAAAATAATTTTTTTATTTAATTGAACTATAAATTTATTATTCAGTACGTTATATTCTAAAGTGTAAATTCCCTATTTGTTTAGAAAGAAGCAAGGTTTGCAAAGCAAAATGTAGTCTCCAAGAATGTTCAACAAACGAAAAATACAAAACATCCTGCTTTTATAAATGATGAAAGAATGGAAAAAAAGAAAAATCAACCTAGCAAGTAAGAAAAATCATTTTTTTTTCGGTTTTTAATTTAGATAATTAATTAAACTGCTATCGAAAATATAATTTTATTATTTAAAAATTTTGCATATTGAGAAATTTTATCATATGTAGAGTAAAATAGTATTTAGGATAATTTATTAATAATCTTGTAAGTTTTTTTTTAAATATAGTAATTATATTAAAAGATTTTTTAAAAATTAGAAATTTATAATTTTTGAGATCTGAAAATCCAAAAAAATAATATTAACGATTTAAAAGATACTAATAATATAAAATTATGATTTTTTAAGAGTGCCTGCTTTGGAGATTGTTAATGTCATCCGGAAAAGAAGAAAATTATTTCAAAAAGACGATGAAACTGTGATTGATATTATTTAAATTCGATTTATAAATTATTATAAACATATATGTATAAAAAGAAGTTCTTACTTTCGATTACATTTTAAATATTTTTAATTAAAATGTAAAAACGATATACATATATATGTATATATGTATGGTTTATACGGCGCAAATAATTTATTAATATTTCACTTATTACATTTATTACTTATTATTTTGCGCGAAACTGTAAGAAAGTTACAAATTACAATTAATAAAAAAAATAAATATAATTTTTTAAATATATCTAATACAATATAACACGAAAGCAAAACAGGTGTTTATGAATTACTAACTAATAAATAAGAAGAGTAAAATTGCAAATTTAATTGCACGTTTTTTTCGATTAATTCTTAATTAATTAAAGGCTTTGATTGAGCATATAACAATATTATTTATGTAACATATTATCAAGTAATTCTCATTTCTCATATTCATTTTTAATCCGAGAAAAGTCAATCTTACTTCCTAATTCGACGATTGAGCGAATTCCAGCTGTTTGTGTAGTCGATCTTCAGATGACCATATGTGTTTAAATGTCCAATATGTGGTGGACAGCTCGCTTCCGCTATATATCTTTCTTTATCTGTGTGAACTGCATATGGCAAGCATCTTTCTTCTTGCAGAGGATATCTAGAAATTTCTTGAACAAATAAATTTTACATAAATCAATATCGGTATTAAGTAAAAGAGACAAGAAGAAAGAAAAGATACAATCTACCGTCTACAATTCAAAATTAGTGATATTTCAATATATGTATATCTTTTTTATCTTTATTTTTTCTTCAAATTAATTAATGAATACGAGATTATGCGACCAATCAAAAAATAAATGTTAAAAATGACGTTATTGTTTTATAAATTATTATTAATTGCGCGCTGTTTTTACTCGCAACGAGAAATTTAAATTGAATACTGAGGTCGAAAAAAATGAAAGATACTTTTACATCCTCTTTTCATTAAAAAAAATCGAACTTTAATGAATATAAAATCATACAGACAATTAAGTTCCAAAAAGTAAATGTTAAAAATAATGTGATTGTTTTACAAATTGCAAACTTTATAAAATTCTTGAACATTACAGTAACATCTGAGAACAACTGATGTGCGCTCGTGAACGCCGCAAATTTCGCGCACGATTTAATATCTAGGAGAGAAAGTCTACGCCATGAAAATTACAATTACACGGTGAAGATCGATTCGTACATTGATGTACGGATTCGCGCATGAACGCATCGCAACAGGGCAATCCTTGCGACATCGTGTCGCACCATAAGACATTATAATGTAACGACAGTACGTATAAAAACTTTCTAACGCGTTACGGACCATAGAAATCGTTCGATTTCTCGAAGTGCATTTCAAATGGAAAAGATCTGTTCTTTCCTTTTTCCTCCAGTAAGGCGTGAAATCTAACAGAATCAAATTCGCGCTATTCCCCACTGGCATACAAATTAGAGAGACTACATTTAACAATTCCATAATCTATGAATATAATAATACTGTGCATTTCAATTTGATTCTACTTCGATATTTTCATAAGTTGGATCATTTTATTAGAATAACGTTTAAATTTTCCGCATTGTAACGTAAAATTTTAAATTTGAGACACATTTTAAAATGACACAATTAAACCATTACATTTTAAAATTTATTAAATTTTTCGATCGACAAATTAAAAAATAAATGGCATGTTGTATTATAAATTAATTTATTTTTTATTGCAAGTAAGAATTTAGATATTTTTTTATCATTTCAAATTAAAATAAATTAAAATTATATTCAACATCATATTCTAAATACGATATTTATGGAATAAATCGATATTTACTCTTTAAAAAAAATTTTTTTTTATTAAAAAATTAAACAAACATAATTTAACATATAAATAATTAAAAAATGTTTGTAAAAATTCTAAAAATCATATACTGAAGTATTATAAATAATTTTCAGACTCTGAGCTGGTATAGACTATAGATCTTACCGAATAATCCAGGCGTGTAAACCGGAAACGGTGCAACATAATCCATTCCCTCGTCCTCGTAGATAGCTTGCTGATAATAGAAGCCATTGTTCGTTGACTTAATTGGTCTGCGGTACAGTTCCTGCGCGTATGGGGAGCCATCATATTCCGATTCTCTCAATGAGGGTAAAGCATACCTGAAAAATTCATTTAGAAACCAATTGATTAGCGACGAGAGAAAACGAAAATAAACACTTATCAAATTTCACCTTGAAAATTTGGTGTCATGGTCATGTGAAATTAAGGACATTAATAACTTCCCTTAACAAAATTTATAAAAATTAATCTATATTAATCGAACAATTCTCAGGTAAGATTTCAGATTATTTTCAAGCTAAAAAGATATGGATCAGACTTTTTTATTTCGTTCTAAATTCTCTTCATTTCTCAAGTTATTATTGCATATACAATTTATATTTAATATTAAGTGTTATATAATTGATTATTATTAATATGGAGATGATTTTAATATTAGCAATTAATATAAATTAATAATTTCAAGTGTGTTATAAATATCAAAATTTGAATCTATTCTATTAGAGAAATATCAAAATTTGAATCTATTCTATTAGACACTAATTCCAAATAGATTACATAGAGGTTTCTGGTATGAAAAAAATTTCTTTCCTCTAAATTATATCTCGTACGATGTATAGAATGAGAAAAAAAACCTCATACATTTTTTCGCCATTGATATAATCGCTTAATGTGTAGTTGCAGACCCTTAATTTCACATGTCGAATTTCTCTCTGTGTATTACCAGTATTCCGGGAATGTTCGCGTATCGCGGGAAGAATGCTCGTTCGTGGGAGGACGTCGCGTTCGACGCGGTGCTTCGACGACGTTGTGACGGCGTAGATAAGCATAATTCTCCAGGTCCCACGGGTCCACGTAATGACGACCGCCCGCGTCGCTTCCGGAACTGCCGGAGGTCGATTTTCGTGAGTCGACCGAGCTCCAATAGATCGACGATTCCACTGGCATTTCTCTTTCGAACTCCACCTTGGAAATGTAATATGCAGCTTTTTTGGAGAGAAAAATGTTTAAATTATTTTTTTTCTTGGTCTCTTCTTATATATTTATTCTATATTAATTTAACTAATGACAATTATTAAATCAATCAAAATCCCTATTTCTTATTGGTAACAATTTTAATATAAACTATTATTTAATACAATTTCCATTTATAATTATTATTTAATTAAATTATTATTTTTTTAATTTAATAATTATTTAATATAATAATTTCCATTTATAATTATTATTTAATTAAATTATTATTTAATTTAACAATTTTAATATAAACTATACATTTATTTAAATGTTATATTCTTTCATGTACTCGTTTATGAAATATTATCTTACCTTAAGACAATTATAAATCTTCTTGTTTCCCACGTAAAATCCTTAGATGAACATGTTGAAATTTTTATTACACACTTGACAAATATTTAACGAAATTAATTCATATTAATTGATCTCTATTTAATAAACTCTTTCCATTTTTCTATTTATAAAAAATATTCTTCCACTTTTTCTTTCAAAATAACTATGTTATTCATTTATGTTCTATTTTTCGCGTTATTTGTATTTATATATAACATATGATCTTGATTAGATATTTACAATTTCCTCGTAATTTTTCTTTATTTAAGCCGTTCTTCCTTGGTCCTCGCGCAAAAGAGTTGCACACGCTGCGAGTGCAGTTTTGCTTCTGCGGCCGTAAAAGCAGAAACATTTCCCTCTACGCTCTTCTCGGTGAAACTTCGTACGTACATTCGCACTTTCACGCCCGCACGCGAATCTCGTGGGCCAATCATCGTATATTCTGAATTCTGAATCCCATAACGGATGATATATCGAGTGTAATTAGAGCACACGTGCGTGTGCTCTATTCAAGGACACGCTACTTTCGATAGCAAGTGCTTGGACGATTCGGATCTCTTTTCACGATTTAGACAATTTGCTGACATACTCCTCTCTTATTTGAAAAGTAGAGAAGACTTTGTTACATTATTCACACTTTGAATCACTAGTCACTTTAACTTGAAATATTAATAGACTTTCAATTCTCTTCGTAGATTTCACATTTTTTATATACAAAATACATTAAATTAAATTGCACTATTATAAAGAGAATTGTTTAATGCATTATTTGTATGCAATTGTCATATTCTTGAATTATTTATTGGATTCCTATAGATAATTATTGGATTCCTATAGATACATTCTTAAATCTTGTATTAAAAATGAAGGATTTTGGGAATAGAAGATGAAATGCATATCTGCATATCTAGATATATAAAGCAATAACTTCAACATAATTTTTTTATTCATTCATAATTTCGCTCATCAAACAGAAAAAAGGCATTCTAAAGAAATAGAAAGAAATGAGTAGAGTATTGACTGTAAGCTTAAATAAAAAAAAATTATGTACACTCTGGTTTGGTTTATACGTAATAATAAAATAATTCTCTCGATATTCTTCAACGTATGTAGGAAGAAAAACTACATGTCATGATAATATCTAAATCCTCTAATCTTTATCCGGACCTACAATCGCGTTTGTGTAGTTTTCCTAATATTACTTTGTTCGATAATACATCAGAATTATTAATAATAATAATAACAATTATTTATCTTTATTAATCTCTCTTTTTCTTTTGCCGGTTAATAAATTTTTCTGTTCTTCAATATTTAGATGCACATGTATGTCTAGACATTTTTAAATTCTTGAGTTCTACAATCCTAGATTTTTTTAAGATCTTCAAATGCTTAAGTTTTTGGATTTATACATTTCAGAATATTTTTTTGAAGAATTTTTATAGACTCTTTTAGAATTTTAAATTTCTTTTAGAATTTTAAATTCTGTAAAACTCGTAAACTTTTCCATTTTTAATAATTAATTTTAATTTGAAAACTTCAGTTTGTAAGTTTTTATAAATCTTGAATCTTCTTTCTCTGTTAAATTTTCTACTATGATGTATACAATGTTTTGTGAAGCATATGCCAGATTTTGGCACAAGTTTTGAGATATTCCGTATGTGTATGTGTGTGTATATCATACATATCTATTATGACATAAACTTCAAACTTAAAATTCAAAATAATGTTGTAACCAGCAGCAGATCTATCGATATGAAGTTTAACCTTGGAACTTTCAAGTATAAATTAAGAGATTTTATCATATAGATAGTAACATATGTTCTTGAACTATGATATACATAGTTCTAAAATAAAATTCTAAAATTTATTTTTCGTAAATTAAAGATTTATATTATTATGTTAAATGATAATTACATAAAGTACATATTTTTTACATGTAACATAAAGAGAGAGTATATACTCGTATTTTTTTATATGTAATCGAAATAAAATTTTTGATTATACCCGTTTCTATGGTTGTGATAAATCGAGATAAATGTAGATTTGCCACTAATTGTTACCCACACATACAATTCGCACACGGAAATACATATACAGACAGGATAAACTGATAGCAATTAGCATATTATCTTTATAATTATGCAAATAGAAAAAAAATTTGTCAAACAAATTTCAAAGAGTGTCATAATGATTCTCATGTTTATGTTATATATGTAATTTTTGTTTGACAAATCTTCTTATTTGTTCATTTTCGAAGATATTAAAAATGTTAATTGCTGTTGATTTATCTTGTATATGTAAACTAAATATTATTTAATTTAATAATCTCAATTTTTTTTCAATAACATCTGTTATAAATAAAGTTTCTTATCTTCACTGTCTAAAAGTTCATTAACATCATAATTGTACGTCCAGATAAAGATGAACAATATATCACAGTTTCAGATTTATACTTGTTACGTATTAAGAATAATGTCACACTAGTAATATTTTTATCACCTATCGATTATGCACAATAATTCTGTTTTTACACCGTCCAAATAGTAAGCATCAGTCATGTTTAGCATTAAATTGTGCCATAGAATGGAATGCAAAAGCTCGACAAAAAAATCCGCGAAATCTCAGACAGATCGCTGTAATTGTTTCCCAAACGAAATTTTTGTCTATCGCTTTTGTTTATAAATAAACGTAAGGTTTTAGCAACGTTACAACTATGTCACAGGAAGTTTTGAATTATTGACCGTGGTTATTTCTCATCTGACCTGATCGAGCAATAATGAAGCTGCCATTTCTACATCATATTTTGTTTGCTTCAGAGCGTTTTCGCATTGTTGTTTATTAGCCAAGCCCAACCTATAAAGAAATGAGAAAATGGATTGCATCATAGTTTCTTCCCTTTTTGACACATTATCACAAGTGTCTTAAAGAATTTTTGAATTTTGTATGGCGACAAATCTGTACAACTAATGTCGAGTCTGTTGCCCCAATATAAATGTCTATATAAAAATCTTTATAACTGTAATATATGATGTCGAGTCATAATGTCTATTTTACAGCGGCATAGATAATCTCGCGTGAATAAATCGATTCACCAAAGAATATCGAGGCACTTACCTCACGAGACTTTCAACCTTCGCCTGTCTATCTTTTGCGATCTGTTTAGCAGCTTGATTCGTGTCCCAGCCGGTCGCCTGTAGCGCGGCCAGTACCTCCTGCTGCGACGCGTCCGCAGCCTCCTTTTGCACCTTCATGATCCTGCTCGCTCGAAACTCGTCGCTTAACGACATTACCAATTGCTGGGAGGCTGCAGTGAGCGGAGGACTAGTACCGGTTTGGTGTTGATTGACTTGCAACAGGTTCACTTTGACGGCGGCCAAGTCGTTCGCTGTTGCTGATCCAGATATATTTCTTGCTAAAGAAGAGGTTTCAGTTTGCAGCAGATTGGATGGTCCGCTCAAGTTGCACTTGGCTGTAGAATAATGATTCTGCGTGTAACCATTTTGACCGGAATTGAGCGAGCTCCAGATCGGAGGAGGAGGTGGGTTATAAACTGGCGGCTGTTTTAGATAAGGACTAAAGTCACAAGAGTGTCCCTGGGCAGATTGATTTCTGCCAATCATAGTCTTTTGTTGCTGTTGATTGCTAGTGATTTCCTGAGCGTTTTTTTGGCCCGGGTCTCCGCTCAGATTATTAGAATAGTAATTTCGCAATATATTCTGTTGAACAGTCTTATTATAGAGAGTATTGAATTCGTTCTGAGACAGCTGTTCCAGATTAGGTACCTGTAAAATATTGAGAATCATGTAGCTTAAGAGATTTGTTGTACGTTTGAATTTTAAATCTCGAGGCTTATCAGATTTTAATAAGTATTGTCGCATATGTTAGCGTTTACTTTTTACACATTGTTTAATTCCAATTATTTTTAAATGTAATTATTTTTAAATTTGATAATTTTGAAGATAAAATATCTCCCGAGATCTATTATACAGGGCGTTTCAGATCACTCGTACCACCCATTTAAAAACTAGAGAAGTGATTATTTAAAAAAAGTAAAAACATTTTCTTTAAAAAAATCGGGTGCGTTCTATCAAATATTTTCAACTTCTGGTTCCGGACGGAAATAGGCGATTCAGACCGGAAGTGCATTTTTTTAAATGAAACCTATTTTTCATTACATATTCGTGTAGCTTACCTTGGGAGCTTTCCGAAACACTATAATAAATTATTTTTCCATGAAGTACTTTTCGAGTTATGAGGCTTGAAATCATTTCTTAATTTTACATAAACCATAAAATATCTTGTAAAATATTCATTTTTCGATTATCTTACTTTAATAGTTTTATGTACAAAATAATGAGAGGAATCAATTGGTGTAAAGAAAACACATAGTTGTTTGTAAGAAAAAATATGTAATTTGCAATTAACAATTCCATATTTTTTCTTAAAAACAACTGTATGTTTTCTTTAGACCAATTGATTTCTCTCATTATTTTGTACATAAAAGGTATTAAGGTAAGATAATCGAAAAATGAATATTTTACAAGATATTTTATGGTCTATGTAAAATTAAGAAATGATTTCAAGCCTCATAACTCGAAAAGTACTTTATGGAAAAATAATTTATTATAGTGCTTTGGAAAGCTCCCACGGTAAGCTACACGAATATGTAATGAAAAATAGGGGATTCCATTTTAAAAAATGCACCTCCGGTCTGAATCGCCTATTTCCGTCCGGAACCAGAAGTTGAAAATATTTGATAGAACGCACCCGATTTATAAAGAAAATGTTTTTACTTTTTTTAAATAATCACTTTTCTAGTTTTTAAATGGGTGGTATGGGTGATCTGAAACACCCTGTATAATCACGAAAGTCACATACCGTTTGTTTCAATTCAGCGTATACTTGTTCGGATAAAAGTGTAGCAGGCTTCAGGTGTTGCAAATCATTCTGTATGTGAGCAATCTTGTGGACATTACTCGCACCAGACGACATTGGCACATTCTGAGGACAAATTTGATGCAAACCAAAACTGCTCTGATTTTGCGAGTAGTTCTGACTCATTGTCGAACAAGCTTGAGCTTGATTAGTGGAAGCGGCTTTGGAGATATTGCAAGATCCATATGGAGAGGGTTCGCTTGCACTCGCACCAGAAACATGATTGGCAGTTTGAAGCAAACTAAGAGCAGCGCCCGATGTATTATAATTCTGGCTACTGGTTGACGAACAAGCTTGCATCTGATTCAAGCTCGCTTTAGAAGTGTTTGCGACATTATACTGAGAATCGTTCGTGACGCTGTTAGCAACCTGCAGTAAATTGAAAACGCCATGATCAAGGGTCGATGGATTTTGAAAATAATTCTCAGTATTTGCTGAGCAAATTTGAGCTTGATTAAATGTAGCCTTGGCAACATTGCAGGGACCATGTTGAGCCTCGCTTGTGCTACTACCAGCAATGTTGCTGGCAGCTTCGTGAAGCAGGTTGATATTGCCTTGATTGACATGCGTCGTATTCGGAGAATGATTCTGATTCGATGAGCCGGCTTGCGACTGAGTGAAGATGGCCTTGGCGACATTGCAAGGACCATGTTGATCGTGATTGCTCGCACCGCTGGCAATATTGCCAGCGGTTTCTTGAAATTTAGCGTTTCCTTGAGCCACTGGAACAGGAGTTAATGTCTGACATCCAGTAGCCAAATCGGTTAGACAGATATTTTGCTGCTGCTGCGATAGAGTCTGCGTTTGCTGCCAAATTTGACTCACTATGACGTCAGTGGTCGATTCTGACATACGTTGCTCATCCTGAGGACGCGGTCTTTGAATGTTCGTACTTTTTGACTGCCAAGAATTTTGTACTTTGCTAGTAGACGTTGACGAGAAAGATGCTCGACGATCTATCGTCGTTATCGGTGATTTTGATTTCTTGTGTGGCGGAGATTTCAACACTGGAATGACCGACAAAGATTTGGTGGCATCTTCTACAGTTGAGAGTTGTTGGATCGATGTCGAACCTTGTCGCAACTTGTCCTGCGATGAGCGCAAATAACTCGCGCCTTCCAGTTCCTGGTTTTCTTCACTATTGGCAGAATTCGTGTTTTTTGTAGCCTCCTTTTCGCCCAAGTGCTTCTCTAATTCGGCCAAAAAGCCGGGATCCAACTTTTTTGCGACATTGGCACTAGAGTTGGAATTTAGCGATAACTCGTTCATATTCCGTGCAAGCTCGCAATTGGATTTTGGCTTGGACGGACTCGTGTTTGGTCCAATGGAGGGAGGAGGCGGGGGAATAGGGGCGACAAATGACGATGTAGATTCTTCAACGCCGGAAACGTTGACATAGGTCTGCGCGGCAGAAGAATTTCGTAGATCCTCCGGCCAGGTAGACCAGCTCGATCCGCGAGGGCTAATCTTATCTATCTCACTATAATGACTCACATCATCACCTTCCGCATTCGTATTCACGTTCAGGTTTACTGCGTCCTGTCGACACTCCTTATTCAGATTCACTGAGTATTGACGAGCTTCCTGAGAAAGTAATAAATAAAACAAAGTGGTATAGATAATTAAAAAAGTTGAGTGTCAATCGTTATAACTAAGTTCGCAAATTACTTAAAAAGATTGTTTTTCAAAAGATGAGACCAAAAGACGAGGGGTAAACCGCTGATCAAAATTATGTACACTAATGCCTACTAATGTCCAATTCCTGCTACATTTTTATTAATGTCTAGTAATTACATTATTGCTAAATTTTTTACTAATGCCTAGAAATGCTCAAGTAATGTCGACTAATGTCCAAGAAACGCCAGTAATTCTCAAACAATGCCCAATAGGTCTAGCAATGCTTCAAATCTGTACACCACAATGCCCTCAGCAGTTTATCCCTCACCAAAAGATGATCCAACATACCTCTGTATTAGCAGAATCAGCAACGAAACTCGTGCCTTGAGCGTGATCTCCTGCCTCTTGATTGTCCACATTTCCATACATCTGCGTCTTCAGATAGCGACTGGCGACTTCAGTGGGTACATGACTATAATATCGCGAATGTGGTGGCTTCATGAACACAGCAGACGTATCAAAGGGATCAGAATACGCGGGATCCACATTACCGGGAAAGTTTGCGTACGTTCTGCTCTCCTCGTCCTGCCAGGAAAATTTCTCGCCGTCGATTGGTTCATCTAGAATATTGACCACTCGCCTGCATGCGACTTCTTCATGTCCACTCGTACTCGCCAACTCCTCGGCGGACAAGTCAATCAGATTGTCCTCCTGGCTAACGCTCGAGGTCGACGCTGATTGTGAAATTTTGACTGGACTCGATCGAATATCGTTGCGCAGTTTCATATAATTAAATTGCTTTCTGGTGCGTGGTGTACCATAAGAAAATCTCTTTTTCGTCTGATTGTCTGCGGTCGCCATCAACACGTCTGGAGGATCCATCGGGTTCCTCAAGTATACATCGTCGATGTACCCGGGGCTACCCCAGCTCTTGCCAAAAGGTGCACCATGTCCCGTATGGATGAACGAATTTTCCAGTGGCTTGCTGATGTCCCCCGGTTGTTTTCGGCGCATCGGATCGACCAGGCAGCGTGGAAAGTGCGCCACTTGAAAGGTTCGCTGGTTCTGGCCCTTCCACCAGTAGTTCTCCGGACGCCCATCAATAATTACGATTTGGTCTCCTGGCTCAATAGACATTTTTCCTTCGACATTGTCGAAGGCGGTCACAGCCTTCATCACGGACGGCACCATGCTGGTCAATGATTCCTTCAACGAGGCGAATGTTGGCCTCTCCGAAGGTTCTCTCGCCCAGCAACGGAGCATCAATTCGTACATGTATGGAGGTGTCGCTTCCGGCTCGTGCAGCCGCTCACCTTCACGATCAATCTTCCGCAGTATTTCGGAACCGTTTAGGCCCAGCCAGGGCTCCTCACCAAATGTCAACATTTCCCACAACGTCACACCGAACATCCAGACATCCGACGCGTGACTAAATTGTCGAGCCTTGAGAGACTCTGGAGCGCACCAAGGAAAAGGCACTTTCTTATGTTCGGTCATGACGTAGCAATCTTCCTCTTGAGGGAGCGCTCTCATCAATCCAAAATCACCGATCTTAACTTTGTCAATCGAGCTCAACAAGACGTTTCTACACGCCAGGTCGCGATGTAAGAAACGCTTCGCCTCCAAGTACGCCATACCTGTAGCGACTTGCAACGCATAATTGCAGAGAGTGAGAATTGAAATTCTGCCGCATTGCTGCCGCAAGTGATCAAGCAGTGCACCTAAAGGGGCGAGCTCGGTCACCATCATCATCGGCTGAGACAACACCACACCGTATAGTCTAATGAGATTATGATGATCCAAGGTGTGCATCGCCTGAACTTCAGACACGAAGTCTTCCATGACACTTGGTTGCGTGAGAGCGTCCGCCTTCAGGACCTTCACGGCGACAGGTAGAGTTCGTCCAGAGGGGGAAGTCCATTCTCCTCTTCTAACAACACCGAAGCTTCCATCGCCCAATTTAACAGACAATACCACATCTTTATCCTGTATGAGACAGGTCAGGGCTGAGGAAGTCTCGATGGGCTGCGAGGCTCGCTTGCTGCTCTTACTGCTACTGCCAGGTTTAATTTTGGTGATGAGAGTTTTCTTCCATTGAGCGCTCCGTCTCTTCTTTACCGCGTCCAGTAGGCGTCTGATGCCTGGTTTACCCAGACCAATCTTCTCCAGGTCTTCCGATTGAACATAATCAAAGTGATGCAACCGAGTGACCTGTAGGTCATCCCGTATACGCGTGAAGAACTGAGAAAGCTGCACGTCAAGCAATAGCTCCTGAAGCCACTCTGTACCCTCGTCATCTGCCATGATAATTGCGGTGCTTCCTTACTCACTCAGATATCCAACACTCTACAAACATGTGTATAAAAATATTTTTAACATATGCATATGTAGGGATCTAAGAAAGATTTTCAATTTTCAAAAGATCTCTCACATTTTTTTTAATATTAATTCCATGTCATAACTTGGAAAAGAAACATATTTATTATGCACACTAATTTTTTAATATTTGCTTTAGACAAAAGATATAATTTTGGAAAACAACATAATATTAAATAATATTAAAGAGAGATATATTTTTTTAAATATTTTGAAATTATATCTTTCTTTATAATCATTTAAAGTATGTACTTGAATATTCTATATCTAGTTAACGCTTGAGATACAAGATAAAGAATATTTTATACTTAAACATTAATAAAAAATAATTTCTTTTGCTATCTATTTCTAAGAAATAGATGTCAATGATTAATCACATTAGATATCGCATTCAATTGATAAGACTCCATGTTATAAATTTTTAATATAATTTTATAAGCAGAATTGAAAGCTCTGATGTGTGATAACTTTATCATTTTGAGAGTGTTGAACAATTAAATTTTTTTATCTCATTAATTGACTATTTGGCAATTTATATTCTAAAGTTTAGAATTATCATTCTTCAATTTATACTCTTATATTAAAATTAATTCTTTAAAATAAAAATTTTTCATTTTTCAGATTTGAAAATTTTATCATCTTAGATTGTATTGAAATATTAATTTTTAGCAAAATCTTAAGCAAACAAATCAGATTTATTTATAATCAGAATTAATTTGAACAAAAGCTAGAGCAAAGCTTGCAAATATGATAAATATTGATGATAGAAATCAATCAGAAATTATATTTACAATTTCTGCTATCATTTTGATGTCAATTTGTTTGGTAAATTCTTCAGTCTTTATCATCAATTTGCATCCAACTGTGATTTGCGCATTTTCTATTTCATATTTTGTTGGCAAATTTAGCAGTATTCTGCTAACAATCTTGTAAAAGAAATCTCTTATCAGAAATTCATTATCAGCATTTTTTTCTCTGTCGATAAAATTCATACTAAATGCTTTACAAGAGATGTTTTTCGACCAATTTGGCTGTGGAAAAAATTTTATCCTGCCTCTTCTCCTTGATTCTTACTTAAAAAAAAAATGCAATGGTCAATAAGACAGCTGACTCTCCCAGTCCATGACACAGTCTAGTTCCTCTTTATACGTCACCGAAAAAGCAGGCCGAGATAGGTAATACTAACCAACGGATCTCGCTTTTATCATCTTTCTCTGTCCAGGATCGTCAGCGATCGTCGAGGATCGTCGGAGGAAAATCGAAGAGAAACCACTCGCGATGAAGCTTCTTATTCGGGACGGATTTCCCGAACCGTTCGCTCGCTTCAAGGCGCTCGAGAGCGGCCTTCGCTCTGTCGGAATCCCCGACGACGCGCACTTTCACCCGACAGTTTTCCAGAGTGATGCATTCTCCAACGATCGCGTCCTAACCTAAAAGTCCAGCCGCTACTCCCCCTGAAAATTAATCCCCGTCCGCGCACTCGCCGATTCTCGTGAAGGAAACTACTACTAATGAACTACGTCCAATAGAATAGATCGTTGTTGCAGCCCCGCTTCCGCGGCTTCGGATGATCTTGCACACCAACGAGACGAGATTAGAGCGAAGGGGAGGGGGAAGTAGGAAAAAGAAAACAAAAAAAGCGATCAAAATTGAATAAATTTCACTGTATATACAGCGGGTTCGGACTGCGCATGCGCACGAATACACTTTCAAGGTAGTTCTCAGGGATGTTTTTGCGCATGCGCATTGAATGCGTGGTCTCATTCAAGTATCAAATTCGCAAGCAAAAGGGTGCTCTAAATTCATGGGACGCTCGACATTCATTTTTTAGCGTCAAAAAACATCGCGTGACTAAAAAATGACGAATTGATATTTTGATTTTTAATCATGTGATGTCTTTTGACGCTGAAAATAAACGTCATTCAAAAGAGCGCTTTTGGACCCTCTATAAAAATAATTTGAAAATGCTAAAAAAAGCAACATATAGTATTTAAAAAAGCAACATATAGTGATTTAACAAAGCAACATATATTTTACAATTTGCAATTATTTAGTTTATTTTTTAACTTACGTCAAAAAATAAACTAAATAATTGCAAATTGTAAAATATATGTTGCTTTGTTAAATCACTACATGAAAAATATTAAGATTCTCATTAAATGCACATTCCTGGATTTCATCATTATTATACTGCGCATGCGCGAGAAAAGCTCCTCTCCAATTGGTCAATCAAACGCTTCAAAGCGCGTCGAACGTGTTCTTCGGACTCGAGCGCCATCTAGACAGTTCGCGCTTCATGACAGTTGCGCGGACGAAAGCGGCGCATGCGCGGTAAGCGATCCGGGCGCACCGGGCCTCGCGCGCGTCTGCTGAGGCGCGCGCGACTGCGCATGCGTCGGCGGCATTTCTCCCATCTCCATCGCCACGGAAACTCGGTCGCCGTGTGTATCGTTACCTCGTTACTCGCGCGTGGGCCTCGAGAGACGTTCTTCCTCTCTCTTTCTCTCTCTGTTTCGCGAAAAATCATCGTGTGCGTGGCGTACGTCTCATGATGACATGTGTCGGTGAATCGCGTACGCCACATCGATAAATACTAAACGAGAAGAGGACGGCGCCGACGACGCTGGTCCAGGGGATCAAGCGACAGGAATCCTGATACAAGGATACCTAATGTTTCGACCGCCGCAACGACAGTGACTAGCGTGCACCAGGGAAGCGCATCCTCTTGCCAGCGAGGTGAGCAGCTACCGGAAGAGAGTGCGCGCATTCCTCAAAGTGACGTACGCGCGAAGCGGAGGGGAAAAAAAAGAGCGACGACGCCGGCAACGCGAGCGAGCGCGCGCGCGCGCGCGTCCGCGTCTCGCTCTCCTCCGCGTGAATAATAGGCATTCGGTCCACGGTTTTGTGCGTGTGTACATGTGTGTGCGCGAATGAGAAAAGGAGACGTGAGAAAAGGATAGGTTCGTCCCTTTGCGAAGGAAGACCGGGAGAGGAGGAGGGAGCGGAAAATTGGACAGAATCGGCTCGTCGGTCCGCTGAATGTCGGCGGAACCACTCGAAATCGGATCAACCCCGAGGATCGACTTTATAGGTACGTGTGTGCATATGTGCATGGGCGTAACGAAGGGGTAGGGAGGGAGGGTTCAAGATACTCCGATCGGAAAAATCAACGACCCTGAGGTTTTCTCGCAATCTATCTCTGTGGCTTTTTTCATTTATCCTTTTTCTCGGGGAAGATTTTAAGAGTGAAAGAAGAGCGTAGAATTAAATGTCGATACGAGAGGGAAGAATGAGATTTCATAGAGATTTTGTATATAAATTATTGGTATTGAGACAACAATCAATATTACGTTGCATAAATGAATTTGGACTACGTAGGTGGATACTGATAATTTGATACTCATAAATTGAACGAAACGTGCTTTTTCATGAATATAAGGCTTATTTGATTCATCAAATCCACACAATATTTTAAATATTCATTAATACTTCCTTTAATTATCCATTTGTTTAGTTTATTTGTTCAATCAATGAATAAATGTAACAATTTCAATTATATATTTACACAATTTGTTTTTTATGTTCTATATTTTATACATGTGTGATATATGATTGTACACATGTATCTAAAATTTAAAAAAGTATATTATTTTGATTGTAAATAAATAAATAAATTATTATTCTTATTGTATAAGGAAAAAAATAATTTTGTAAATGTACTTATCTATGTATATCCCATGATTAATAATCACATAATGAATAATTACGCATATTATTATTAATTTAAATTATTATTAATTATTATTTTAATTTTTATTTAGTTTAATATTATTATTAATTTTTTTTAATTTTACGATTTATTATTTTTTTTTTAATATTTTTATTTATTAAACGATCCATATCCATATCCATATATATATATATATATATATATATATATATATATATATATATATGGATATGGATATGGATATATGTATTAACATTTAAGAAAATGTGTCAAATATAATCCTGGTTCATTATAAATAATATGCAATTACGTGAAATATCGATAATAGCTTCGTGTCGATCGTGAAAGTCGGAAAAACGTGCGTGTCCGCATGCGAAAAAATTACACGCTACAGGGAAATAGGCGTACAACCGTCGTTTTCCAACTCGATAAGCCGTAAAAAAAGCCGCCCTCCGATAAAATCGAACGCGCGGTCAAGCGTAAGGTGCTCCACGAACCGACTTTTCTTCTTTTGTCACGTGTGAAATAACACGAGGCGATCGCTTTTGAGCGTGCGCGCGTGCACGCGTGTGCACGTCAAAATCTGGGCCTAGATTTCGACTCGCGACATCTTTTCCGAAAAAGTCGAAAAAGTCTAGCGAGTGAGAAAAATCATGGCGAATTTCCGATATTTACTGTCCCGGATTTTATCCAGTGGAATAAACTGACTGAAAAGTTGTGAAAATAATTCAAATACAATATATTTATTTAACTTTATATGAAAAGAGATACATTTACTTTAATTAATAAATCATCACTATAGTTGAAAAATGAAATCAATCTAGGAAATCAGTCTTTTTAATTCAAATTAATATGTAAAATTTTTACAACAGAAGAGATATAAAGAATACTAAATTTTATAATAATTTTCAACTTAGTAAAAATAAATGCAATAACGATAGAATTATGAAAAGTTTTATCAATATGGATCTGGTTTGCGTTTATTCAATATCTTCTGACAAAAAATAATTTATTTCCTCCGTCGATTCCTAATTTATTATGGATTTTATTTTGGATAAAGCTTAAATTTAAAAAAAAAACACTCAATTGATGAATATCGATAAAAGATTTTCTATTTATATGTCAACATATTTAATATAAAAGGTAATTTTGGTCGGATTTTTACATAAAATACAGGTTTTCATCGTTGACGTGGATTATCCAAAAAATGTGATTTTACCAATCCTGCTCTAAATTTAGAATCGTGATCCGTCCATCGATCGTCATCGATATTTAATCATCACGGCAGGAATTTGTTTATGCGCGCAAAATGACATAATACACAACTGTTCGCGATCGAGTCACATTTTCTTGCGCGTTTAGAAAGTTTAGAGAGACTTAATGAATCTAGGGAAAGAGACTTATGGAAGGGGATATTCCTATTTTTAGAAGAATGAATAATAGGTAGATTTTATAATTTTTTAATGATTTAATGATTTTTTTAACAAAAAAAAAATAAGCCAGCTGTTTTTAGAATATATTTATTGATATGAGAACATATTTTTTAAAGATTTTGGTAAATGAAATGACGATTTTATAATAAATTATTCCATGTCGAATCGATAAAATGTTTTGTATTTGGCCACACGATGTCCTTCGCGTATTTATATGAAAAATAGGTTTTTTTCATAATTAAGAAGATTGGCTATAATCCAAAGGAAATTATTTAAAAAGACTTATTAAAAGATGATTTTTCAAAGAATAAATTTCGATTTTTCACTTATTTTTTTCTGCTTTAAGAGTCTAAAAAAAAATAAAAATCGTAGCTCGAGACGTCTTTAGTAACGTTTTAATAACGTGCAATACGTTATTAATATGGTCATTAAGACGTTTTTAGACATTATTATGTTTGCTGAGTCATTTTATTACGAATTGAATGAGTTTTGATAAATAAAATCGATCATGATTAGTTTTTGAAATATTGCGTGGTCATCAGATTGAAAAATATAGATTCAAAAAATGCATTTAAAATATTCAATACAATTTTTATGATAATAACAATTAAAATTTGCAATTAAAATTTGTAACTTATGACTTATGCTTCCTGCACTATTGATAATCTTCTTCCTTTTCAAAGAACTGCTGTTGCTCACATTTTTTCTTTTATTTTTTGTTTTCTTTCCTTTTTTTTTCTTTTTCTTTTTTTTTAAGTTTTGGTTTCTTCATCATTGTCACTAATATAGCGATTCCCGTAAAAACATATCACTTTACATTTCTTTTGTTTTTTTTTTGCCGGATGCATTTTCTATTATTTTTTTTATTCATTTTCTATTAACGTAAATTTTTAAGATATTTTTATCTATTTTCTACTAAAGAAATTTATAAGATGACACAAAAATACGATGATAACCATCGTACTTCGAAATTTGTATTGAACCACATGCCAAATGATACTATTTTAATTGTGGTACTGCTTTGGAATTCGGTTAAGTTAGATTAGATTAAATTTTTACCCCTTATAAAGAACACGCACAATAGTAATGAATACAATAGTAATTGAAAAGGAAGCTTGTATGTGTGAGTGTGTGCTGCGACATTGGATCATTTTTCAACTGGTATGCTCTTGGCTATTATAAACTTTCATAACATTCTTTTAAAATTCTTAATTTTTTGGGAAAAAATTCTTTCACATATACTTATTCTAAAAAGGCCTTTTAGTATAATATATAAAAAGTAATATATAAAAATGGATTTTTCATGGAAATATCTTTAAAAATCTCATGCACGTTATGTACATCACGCAATTCAAAATTCTCGTATCATAATCGCAAAATGGAGCGATATACCTTGATTGACCTTGATAGAATTAGATCACATTTAACTCATTGTCAGATATATATGTATATTTGACAATACATATAAAATGCTTTCTACTTAATGACAGATCAATTCTCAAGATCATTTTGATCAAATATCGATCAATTGTCAATTAACTCTCCAGAAAAAACAATCAATACGATCACATTTAACTCATTGTCAGATATATACAGGGTGTCCCATTTTAATGCCCCACCCCAAATAACTTTCTTATTTTTAATTTTAGAAAAAGATGTTTCAGACAAAAGTTGTATGGTTTCGAGGGGGACATAAGATGGTACCATTAATTTGATCTTGAAGAGTCACATGAAGGTTACGTGAAGATCATTTTCAATTTCTTAAATGGAACACCCTATATATTTTTGCATATTCTTGTAGCTTATCTCGAGAGCTTTCCAAAACACTATAAATAAACATTTTTTCATCAAGTACTTTTCGAATTATGAGGCTTGAAGTAATTTCCTAATTTTACATAAACCATAAAATATCTTGTAAAATATTCATTTTTCGATTATCTTACCTTAATATTTTTATGTACAAAATAATGAGAGGAATCAATTGGTGTAAAGAAAACATACAGTTGTTTTTAAGAAAAAATATGGAATTGTTAATTGCAAATTACATATTTTTTTCTTAAAAACAACTGTATGTTTTCTTTGCACCAATGGATTTCTCTCATTATTTTGTACATAAAAGTATTAAGGTAAGATAATCAAAAAATGAATATTTTACAAGATATTTTATGGTTTATGTAAAATTAAAAAATGATTTCAAGCCTCATAACTTGGAAAGTACTTAATGAAAACTAATTTAATTATAGTGTTTTGGAAAGCTCTCGAGATAAGCTACAAGAATATGCAAAAATATATAGGGTGTTCCATTTAAGAAATTAAAAATGATCTTCACGTAACCTTCATGTGACTCTTCAAGATCAAATTAATGGTACCATCTTATGTCCCCCTCGAAACCATACAACTTTTGTCTGAAACATCTTTTTCTAAAATTAAAAATAAGAAAGTTATTTGGGGTGGGGCATTAAAATGGGACACCCTGTATACAGGGTGGTCCCGAACGTTCCTGCCAGACTTTGAGATCTTATAAAAAATTTAATTCTGAACAAAAATTTCCTATAAACATGGATTGAAAAATGCTTTCTTAAGAAGTTATCGCTCAAAAACCTCTGATAAAGGAAGAGCAAAAGGTGAAAAGAAAATGAAATAAAAAAAAAATGAAACTAAATAAATTTCTTGAAAAAAACGATAAAAATAAAAAATAAAAATCTTTTTCTTTTATGAAAATAAAATAATTTTTTTTCCAACCAATATTTTAATAATAGCACGTAATAGTAGAAAATGAATAAAGACATTTTTCAAGAAATTTATTTAGTTTATTTTTTTTTATTTCGTTTTCTTTTCATCTTTTGCTCTTCCTTCATCAGAGGTTTTTGAGCGATAACTTCTTAAGGAAGCATTTTTCGACCCATGTTTATACGAAATTTTTTGTTCAGAATTAAATTTCCTATAAGATTTCAAAGTCTGGCTGGAACGTTCGGAGCCACCCTATATATATATTTGACATTACATATAAAATGCTTTCTACTTAATGACAAATTAGTTTCCGAGATTATTTCGATCAAATATCGATTAATCAACTCTCACATTAACTCTCCAGAACAATCAATAATACGATTCTACTTATTATATACAATAATTATGTCGTTGGAAAGTGTGCGGAGAAGTGTCCTTGAGTCTGTTGCCCAAAATGTTCCCAACTTGAGATTGGATTTCATTTGTTTGGTCTAACTTTTAGTCGTAAAGTAAAGTTTACGACACTTAGATTACGAATATGTTTCCAGGTGGATCGATCCGTTCAATATATATTTTCACTCCTATAAAAACTGTAATTTTCATTCTTATAAAAAAGTACCTTATCGGCCATTTCCTCTTTGGAAAAGTAACGGTAATCTACGCGTCATCAACTGTATTTATAAGTCAAAAACGAGGTCCTCTCTCGAACTGACAAATTTTCGGCAACAGTTGTCTGACTCGTTTATCAATCTACGAATATTAATCGCCGATCAAGTCGTTCAAGAATTTGATCGAAGGAGTCGAATTGCGTGTCGGAAAAAAAAAAAAAAAAAAATATATTAGCAACGCGCTCTAAGTTCTAATCGCTTTGTAAGAATCCACGCGAATCCTTTTTATCGGTCGCGAATCTCGCGCGCGATAAAGACACGAAACGCAAGAGCCTCTTTCACGCGACGCTAATTAAACCTACGCGCAAAATATATACGCGCGAAGTACCCGGGGGGGGGGGAGAAAGGGGGAAGCGCATCTAGAGACGCGAGAGGCTGCGCGGACGTACACCTCTCCCATACCACCCGCCTCGCCCTCCCACCCCACCCTCTCCCCCCGGTTCCCCTGGCAATCGTTTGCGCGAGAGATGTGTGCGCGAGAAACGCGGTCGCCGAAAAAAAAAAAAAAAAAAAAAAAGGAAAAAAAAAAAGGGAAAAAAAATGTCGCGAGCCCTCCGTATCGGTGGCAGCGGCAGCGGCGGCGGCGGCGCCGCCGCCGCTGCAGCCGGCAGTGGGGACCCTGCCATACCGAAAAATCGATTTCCCGTAGGGCATAAGGGCGCGCGAGCGACCGGGAGGGCGGCCAGTGGGAGAAGGGAACACGTACGGACGCGAAATTCGGGAAAATCATCCGCAAGGTACCGGAGAAAAAGAGAGAGAGAGGGAACGCGCGGGAGCGAGCGCACCGTTGATGCTGCGCGATAAACCGATACGCGAGGGAGCGAGAGAGGGAGCGAGGGAGGGAGGGAGGGAGAGGGTTGCGCGAGGAGGGGGAGAGAGAGAAATTGGTTTTCTAGCCCGCGTTCTCTCCTGATGCCACCGCGCGTGTGGGTGAGCGTGCGGTCGTGTAGTAAGAGGGGGAAGGGGCGAGGGGAGAAATAATTAATGTGCGACCATTTCTCTCTCTCTTTCTATCTCTCTTCCCGTTCCCCCTTCCTCCTCCTCGTCGACCGACCTACCTACTGGTCTCTTGTACCGCTACGCTCAAGCTACCATTGTGTCGGGACGCCGCTTCCGAGGCGATTGCGGATTGAATTCTTCGATCGGGCGGGAGAGGAGGAGCGTCGGAGAATCCGCGAGAGAAGCGGCCACGCGGAGGCCCGCGAACGAGAGTGCGACACCCCGGAAGGAGGAAAAGAAGGTGGGAGGGAGGGGGACACCGCTCGTCGCTCTTTCCGAAAAATCGACGGTATCCTCGAGCGTCTTCTTTTTTTTCTCCTCTCCTCTCTCTCTGTCTCTCTCTCTCTCTCTCTCTCTCTCTCTCTCTCTCTGTCTCTCTCTCTCTCTCTCTCTCTCTCCGCGTCTTCAAATTCGTGGAAGTTAGGTTAGGACAGTTACTTCCGCAGATATTGGCGATCGCCCTCCCTTCTCCCTGTCCTTCCCCCCCTCCTCTCGCCGCTCTCTTCTTCCTCGCGTCTCCTCGCGCTGGTGGCGTCGTCTCCCCGCGGTCGCGGATGCGTTCCTCGGGTATCTCGTACGCTCGGGGCTTCGTCGCGTTGCCGCTCGACAAGCGTGACCGCGTCGTCTCGTCGCGCGACTCGCGGATTCAAGAAAGGAGAGAGAGCCGAATAAACTCGATCGCGCGTACTCGCGAGCGAGCGAACGGTCGCGTCTCGGGTCGGAACGAGCGGATGAACACGCGGGCATGTTAACCGAGTGTCGCCGAATATCGGACGCGGTCTCGGAAACGTCACGACGACACGTCCCGCGGCCTGTTGATCGACCTTAACGCGTGCCTCGTTATTGCAGAGTGACCCCGCGCTCGAGAGAACGGTGGCCATGGACGTGGACGGAGATTCGGTGGTGGATCTAAGTATCAGGTAAGAGTATTGTATATTTTAACCACGCTAGATTCGTCAGGTGTGTTTATCGAATATCTTTCTCTTCAGATACAATTTAATTTACATAAAAATATATATATACACATATATATTTAATGTAAAATATAAAAAGTATATATATATATATATATATATATATATATATATATATATCATATATATGTATATTTTATGTTGCGTAAAATTATATTCTACCATGTATGTATGATCTCACTTGAAATTGTATAATTCTCTAGAGCTCAAAGTGGAACAATATACATTATGGTAATTAATGATAATGCCACTTTTTATCCAAGTGAGTTTCTTATCAGTGTCAGGTTGTTATCGCTGCTTGTGATGGACAAAGAAGTAGGTCGTTGTTATTCTTTAAGTAACACGTGCGAGTATACTTTTGTAATAATTTGACAAGCACCATAAAGGCCTTCTACTTATATCATACAACATATAATAAATGTAGTATGTTAATTCTCTGTACATGTTTTATGCTTTTCAGCAGTAGTGGCAGACGCAATTCCCCATCTCTCTCGGTGAATTCTGGAGATATCCCATTAGACCTGGGGATTCATCTTCATGCCTCTCCCAGTCCACCGGAAAATGATATATTAGAGGCTCGTAATATACAAAATGCAACACGAGGCATTTTGGCTCCTAAACGATCACATGGGGATGAACGGAAGCCACGACGTAATCTTAGACCTAGAATCGAGAGGAGTTATGCCGAAAGTCCTGATGAACCTAGAATGAACGGATATTTAAATGGAAATGCATCAGACAGCGATGAAGGTTGTCCTTGAATCTCATTTTAGTTGTAAAAAATAAAGAATTTATGAAGAATTTTATTTGAATTATTATATTTTATTCATAGGTGAGATGCCTCCGTTGCTGCCAATCAAGGAATTGTCATCCGATGAGCTGGCTGAACGCGAAAGAATGCTAAGAAAATGCAGAGAGGAACTCAAAACGGAAGAGATGAAATTGGTACTTTTAAAGAAACTACGTCAATCGCAACAGCTCAAGGAAAATATTGCGGCAGTGCCAAAGATTCCCAGCAAATTACCACCACCAGTAACGGTGCAGCAAGTACCTCACAGGTAAAAGTCTGCCATGATATCATTTTTTTTTCCAAGATGTGATTCTTACATATTGTCACATTCTATTAATAAAAATTTTTGTTTTATATCACAGAACGGGGAAAGCGCCGCCACCTTTGCTCAGAGGTCAACCTGCACCAAGCAGAAGTAGCAGTTTACACGCTCCGCCACCTGCCATGGTACTTCCTCCTACAGCCGGTCGAAACGCCATTCCAAGTACAGGAATGCCTCCGAATATGGTGATACCACAACCTCCTCATCCTAGAGGGAGACCACCCTCCAGCGTAACTGCTGCAACTGTGTCAAGTTATCATGCACCGACGGATAGAACGGAGAGATCCACGAAAGATCCAACGCCTGCCCCTGCGCATCAAGTAAGTAAGGTATAACAAATCACATTTTATCATTTTTCTTATAAGTCTTAATTGTAACTTTAACTTATACAAGGCATTAAAACGAGTTAGAAGTCGTTGAATCATCTTTTATCGAGTAATTGTAAGGAAACATCTTACTAACACTTTCGCCGCTAATACATTATTGATATATTATGAGCGATCGTAGTGCGAACGCTCTGACTGGCCGTGAAAGTGTTAAATAATTTTCTCCAATGAAATGACATATATAATTGATTATTGTGTTTTTCTAAACACAAAGCTGCTTGCTGGATCGCAAGAAAATAAAACCACCGCATCCTTAAGCACACCTGTGAATTCAGAACAGGTATATTCATTCGTCGATAAATGTGTAACGCCTTCCCATCTATTGTGTGTCTTCTAAGAGCTATTAATTTTTTTTCTACATTGATTATTTATATATAGCATTATTTATGGCGTTTTAATTAAGCTTTATTTCTGCCTATGCTTTTTGTTTCTAACAGTTCTTTGTTGTACGGCAAAGCTATATAAACGGAAGCAATTATCTATAGTTTTTATTATAATGTGTAATATAAGTTAACACGCAATATAGCTAAAATCTTGACTAACACAATGATATTTATTTTTTTAGCATATCTGTATTACAATGTCAAAAGATATTACGTAAAGAAGGAAAAATTGTAATTGCATGCAGTTATTGCATATTTTTTGATATATATCGATACTATATAACACACCTATTTTATATAGAGCTTATATATAAATAAGTATTGAAAAATTATTAGATAATATATTTTTTGGTTCAAATTTATTTAAATACAACTCTTATTTGTATTTTTTTCCATTTATTTATTTTTGCTATCAGAAGATTAGTTGCATATGATTTAAAAGTTTGTTTCAAGTAAAATATACCAAGTAAAATACATTTTGTATTTTTCCGTCAATTTAGGAGAGAACGTCGCGGGAAGAGACACCTGCTCAACGTCAAGCAGCCGCCAAGATGGCCTTAAGAAAGCAGCTCGAGAAAACATTGTTACAAATACCGCCGCCGAAACCACCGCCCCCGGAGATGCACTTTGTACCAAATCCCTCCAACACGGAGTTCATATACTTGGTCGGTTTGGAACATGTAGTCGATTTTATAACAAAGGAACCGGCGATACCGCCACCTCCCGAACCGTTTGAATGCTCGCAATGCAAAACCGACTTCACACCCGTATGGAAATGGGAGAAACCTATGCCCGGTGGTAAGAAAGACAGCCCTAGAGGGCAACATGCAACCTTCCAACGGCCGTCAGCAGGTCGCGATCCGAGAGTTATATGTGAACATTGCGTGACCACCAATGTGAAGAAAGCATTGAAAGCAGAACACACTAATCGGTATGTTTTTAGTTACGTATATTTTTACATATTAATGTACATATAAATTTGATACTCTTTCACTTCTCGTTATTTAATCTTTTGCGATAGCTAAGTTTATTATTCTGTGTATAAAAGATTCGACAAAAATATTGTCTAATTAGATACACTTCATTAGTGCAGATAGATGATAATTGAAAACTGAATACTGCAGAATAATAAAATATAAAAAAAGAAATGTAAAGTAGAAACATAAATAGAATGACGCTATTATTATCTTGTAACAAATGCGATTTTACGGTGGTTTCACAGATTAAAAACTGCTTTCGTGAAAGCGCTGCAACAAGAGCAAGAGATAGAGCAAAGATTAGCACAAGCGGCGTGTCCAAGTCCAGATCCTCCGGCTCCGAAACCAGTTCCTAAGGCGGCCACCCCTACGAGAAGAGTGGCCACGCCGCCTGCGCCGCCGCCGCAGGTACCACCGGCGCCGACGTTAACGCCGACACCCCCGGCGCCAAAGTTACAAGAACATCCCCTGGTGAAATTGGCCGAGAGCGGGAAATTCAGTCCGCATCATGCAGCTGCCGCGGCAGCCTTGCAGCAACAATTGCTCAGAGGTAGGAGCAAAGAATTTTACCGAGTGAAATTGCAAACTTCTAATTTTATATGATAAAATAATATTATTATTCGCACGATGACGTTTATTATTGTTACAGAATTAGCGAAAAACCCAGTGCCGGCTATATCGCCGCATCAACCGCTTCCTGCTCACATGATGCCGCATTTCACCTCTATTTTATACCCGTATCAGTTAGCGATGGCGCAGGCTGCCGGCGGGAAGGGTCTCGTAGAGTTACAACGACAGGCAGCTGATCTCCAACGCCAGTATCTACTCGATATGATTCCGTCGCAAGCGTCCCAAGCGCAAGGCAATCAAGCACCGCCGAGAGCTCATCCGCACAATTGGAAAACGTAACCGGACGCATCTAAGGGATGATGTAACGGTAAATGCAAATAAATGAGACATTAATGAACTCGCGTTTAATGGAGGACTAACGGAGATCCAGTAAACGCACGGTTGGCCATAAATACGTGCGCCTGGAATGGTTATGCTGTGTACCAATCGCAGCGCTAATGTCTCTGGTTAAGGTGAAGCTCAACTTGATACATTGAAGGAATGAAAGACATTCGTTAGTATTGTATAAAGAATAATAACCGTTGTGAATATGTCAATTGACGTGTAAGTTTATTATTATTCTTTCTTAAAGGTCAAGGTTTTATTTCCGTCACTGAAACAAACACACGTAACGAATTACGTGGGAATTCGAAATCATAGAATCGACGTCGTTATTTAGTGCAGACCAATACTACAACTTTCCACGATTGAGATTGTCGTTTTCACCTTCTTTATTTCTGATCTTTCCTTGTACACGAGGCGTACATATACATTGTTAGTTTTTGTTAACGTTATTCGATTGAACAATAGATAAATATAATAATTGATTTAAACATGTCAACAAGCATATATTATAATATTGAATGCGATTGCTTGGATTAGAAACGACACGGATTTGCCTGACTAGGCGCTTCGCGAGCGCCATCCCTCGCTTGCGCTCGATCATATTGCACCACATCCATTCTTTTACTCGCGCTTTTCTTGCATTATTTACTAAAAGCGCAGACATTGTTATTGGTAAAGTAATTTTTAAAGTATTTTCTACTTGTGCGTTGTAACTTACTACATCTCTCCCGTTGTACATTTCTTCTTCATTCCTTTCACTTGAACGAAATAAGTAACATGTGATATGTGGAAAGCTGCAAAGTGCTAATTCGCGCTCGCGTGACGTCATAAGTTAGACAGCTCTTTGTTATATACAATATAATATAAAGAACCAAATAGAGACATTTGCAAGGCACTAAATAAACCGATAATAAGTGTAAAACAAATCGGATGATTAAGAATAAGTAGGGATAATTGCGGAGGGTGCACGGAGAGTGTAATGTGAGATGACGGTAAACTGATGGGAAGGATCTTTCTCTAGGCCCTTAGATAGTTAAGACGATCTTTTTGCCGCTGGCTTTCAACGAGTTTTTGCGAGCCACCGGCAGTACCTGTACTATGTGTATATCTCATTATTTTCTTCGAATTGTATTTTTAAGGCGAATTTAACGCAAAATAAGGCTATAGCTGTTACACGAGAAAAAGGAAAAAAAAAGACGTTTGTAAGAAAGCACGTGTGAGCAAGGCCGACATATGTGAAATGTATAGCAATTTTTTTCTCTCTATATATCTATCTCTCTCTCTCTTTCTCTCACGATACTTAGCAGAACTATGCATTGACGAATTTTTAACGAGAATAACACGAGTGTCTTTCGCGCACAAATACATTTTTTTCTTTTTTCATGAATTAAAATTGAACGTTCAAAATTGGGCTCGTGGTTTCAGTATGCGTGATTTAACATGGACTAATTTTAAATTCCGAGAACGAGACTCTGCGAACAAATAACGGCTAAATCGGAATATTTGAATATCGGCGCGCGATTGATTTCATGTCACACATTCGATGTAAAGATATTTAAAGAGAACTAGAGGAGAGATTTTAATAAACAAGAATTTTTTTTTTTTCTTTTTTGTGAATTGTTACAACACGGCGACCGCCGGATTTTTATGACGTCCTATACTCAAGTCTGCACTTGAAACGAGTTAAAAGTATATCCGGCACACTCTTGTCCCAATAATAATACCAATTAATTACCAGTCTCCCCTTTCCCTTTCTCCCTCCACTAATAGTCTGATTTCATTGATTCTGAACTAACCGATCTTGGTCATACACACTTCCGAATCAATTAAATATATAGTACTATAAGTCTTGATATTTCTTGGGGTATATGATACACAACTTAATAAACTAAAATAGCGCATAATCATCTCTCTTTGTACTAACGTGATAGATTTTGAACTCGTACTTGATATACATGTACACCATAATAAGTCTTACGATCGCATAATAGATCAAGATCTGTGTTTTTTGTGTAAGAGAAAACGTAATAATATGTCGTCAACTAATTATGTATTGTCATCGGGGCACTACCGTCGTCGTCGTTGTCGTTATTCTAAGGTGAAATCCGGAAGCGAAAATAGGAAAATATGAGATATAAGAGGATGAAACTTGAATACACTTCCCCGAGAGAATCGAGCAATATTTTGTATAATTTTGACAATTGAACAATTTATTTAAAAGCCGTCTTAAGTAAAAAAGGCAAAGTTGAAACTTTCAAGACAAAAATTATAAACAACTAACAAAAATTATATAAAAATCATGGGAATGTTAAATATAAACAAATATAGACAAATTCTATTTAGGAAGAGAGGAAGTATTCTCCACAAATATTTAAAATAAAGAAATTTTTATAATTTAATTTTAGGCACTAATTCTTAAATTCTTTTTGTATTGCTTTTAAAGAAAATGGAAGTTGATTTCATAATAATATTAGTGTATATAATTTTTAATTAATTGCTAAGTCGATTTTTTGTTTTTAAAATGACTCTTGCAATCTTTCAAATCTCTTAAAATTTTGATTTTTTTTTTTGACTTGACCAATGTTGAACAACATGTGTATTTTCGCGAATAAAATAATGATTTTTATGTATATTGTCGAATATATATATATATATATATATATATATATATATATATATATTTATAAAGATGTAAAATACGTGTTGATATGCATTTTCTGTGAAAATATGTATTTGCAATGTTCACGTATATAAAATATACATTTACAAATACATATATGAAATATTTATTAGTCGTTAAATACATTCCGTTCAATTTTTATTTCCTCTTTTATAAAGCATACAAGAGTTATGCTAAAATTTGAAATACAGTATAAGTGTCAAAGATTTTTACGCAAAATCATTATCAGATCAATTTAATATTCAAAATTCATTAATGTTATAACAATGACTATTTTTAGAAAGTATTAATTTTAAAAAAAAATTCAGAAATATCACATTTATATTTAATATATAAACATTTATAATTATAATAATTATAATTTAATATATATACATTTAAAATTAATATATAAATATAATTTTATATTTAATATTACATTTTTGTGAAGTTTTCGGTTTAAAATTTTTTCTTAAGACGGTTTGAAAATAAGCTCTTCAATTTCACAATCGTTTACCATATATTTTACGTGAAACATGAAAAGCCTGATATTGTATGTGTGGAAGACATAAATTTGAATCTGTTCTCTGATGATAAACGAAGATTATGTGTGTGAAGCTTTCTCTATAAAATTCTCTCTAACGACGCGAAGATGTGCCTGATGTGTGACTCTTGAAATTAACGCTGTTTCGATGGAAAACAGAATCATCGTCATCAAATCATCATCATCATCTTATTCGGTAATTAGAAATCACGTCTCGTTTCGTTAATGAAAAAAAATACATTTTCTTCTATTCTTCTTTTCTAGTCTTGTCTTTGACCTCTATGTGGTGCTGTTAGCAATTAAACATTTTTCAAGAGTGGGAGAGAATTTTATATCCTTAAAATGTAAGACCTTTCGCTGTACGACGGAAACGAGGGATTGTGAATATTTAACAGAATTGGAATTCTTTATTTTGCAAAATGTGAAAAGATAGGATTCAATTTTTTGGCTGCACATTTTTACGGGGACACGTAAACATTTTATGCTTTATGTATTATGACAATTGAATCAAATCGTCAAGGACTGTGTGTTATATATGCGCACATATTTTTATTTTGTCAAAAAAAAATTGTTGTGAAATTTGTACACATCGAGATCTTGGAACGCCTGTTCGAAACTGTGTCCTCACGATTTATAGAATTAGTGGATAAATAACAGATTACCGAATATTCTCTCTCTGGAAACTATACGAATAAAGCTTACCAATGATTGTATTAAAAAGTGATGTTCATTTATCTTTTGGTCGTATTTTCAGTTTTTTCTATTTTTATTATAATATTTTATTAATATATTTACAAGACTTTCGTTAATTGTATTAATAATTAAAGTATGTGTTTATCGAAGAGTCCAAGATTCCGTGTGTCTCTTTATTCTTTAATTATTTAATGTCTTGCCAAAAATCAAAAAATAAAATACCGATATATGTGCGTAAATCTGTGTATTTGTAAATCATAAATTTATAAATGTATAAATATATAATATCATATATATATAAATTTATAAATGTATAAATATATTTATAAATGCACAGATGTATACAAATTTATTTTATGGATCTCTATATATTTCGATATGGATATTTAGCAAAAAAATTTGGATTTATACCGAAATTATATCAAGAAATTTTTTTGATACATATCCATGAGAGATAATATTTCATCAATTATCTCGATTTTAAGATATATTTTGCGAGATGGAATTCTTCCTAATAATTTGCATTTTGAAGTAATTTTACATAAACGGCATTTTTTTTACAAATTTAATTTGTAACAAGCATTGGTTCATGTATGTATAATATTTTTAAAAAACTGAAATAGTTTATATACCTTTCTAAGTAAACAAGAATTTTATGTGTATAATTATGTAAGTAATAGCATTATACAAAAGTAATATGCAATATAAATGTTTATTTTATCATTTGATATCGATTTCAAATAGAATCGATTGAGCTGAAATGAATTCTCATTTGTGTGTATGTGTCTGTGTGTGTGTTTGTGCGTGAAATCGCGTTGATCGCAAACTGATCGGGTGGAACTAACGAGTCTAACAACTTTAGAGTTAAATGCTATATTTAGAAACATGGCGTTTAAACTTTGGTTACGCAATCTGTGTGATACTATTCGGAGTTAAATGTCCTTTATAATACCGGTGTGGCATTCGGTTAGATTGATTACGATCGCACTTTGACAATTTGATGATCGCGAAGAGGACAAGTCGAAAATTTTGTATTGTAAGATCATTGATAAGATGGTCCAACGGGTAAACCAACTATGTATCACAGTTGAGACATCGCCGGAAATGTTGATACGATCGCTAATTCTGCCTCTTCTCGTTGTACTGGGTCAAGCATTTCTTAAAGTGTTTCGCGCAGAAAGGATACAGTGTCGGATGATCGCACGTCCTGCAGGCAGCAGCAAGATGGGAGCAACATCTCAAGCTTTCGCGGCAGCAAGAGGCCCATAAATCGGGACCGGCAGCTGCGCAATCATAACAGAAGCAGTCTCCTGTCATAGATAGAATCCACATAAAATGTAATATATATATATATAAATTTTATTTAAATTAATTTTATAAATAATTTATCCATCTTATTTATTTATATTTAATTTATATATATCAATTATAAAATATATTTAAAATTTATATATATATATATTATATATATATATATATATATATATATAATATATAAATTTGTATATAAATTATAATTTTATATATTAATTTTATTTATTATATATATATATATATATATATATATATATATATATATGATTGTATGTAGAAATTTCATATGTTTATATGTGCGTGTTTGCATTTGTGTTTGTAATATTTTTAAAATATTTTGAAATTTTAAATATCAGATTTGTAATTGGAAATTGATACATGAATAATTTGTGTCTCGATGCTCTCAATCTCTATGTCGCTTACTTTCCCTCATTACAGTTATACACACACACACACACACATATATATATATATATATATATATATATATTTCATATTTTGCCTATCGTGTCATATTTAACATATCTACAGTCCTGCAATAACATAAGGATGATCATTTACGTGGATTATTATAAAAAATTACGGAAAGTATGAGAAAGCCTTTGCTTGCTCGGATATTGCATTTTTGTCTTTTGTTTTGAGGCTAAAGTGCACGCAATATCATAAGATATTTGCGCCTACTTAAAGTGACATTTGCGAGACAGTATTTTTCCATTGATTTTGTGCGAATTAGATAAAATTTAGTACACATCCTATTACGAGATTAACACAATAGAAAATAAAAGAATAATTTAAATGTATGCGAGATAATTTTAAATAGATACACAAAATATACTATTTGAATTTTCTGTTACTTCTCTCGAAGAACTTTAATAATTAAAAAAACTTATCTACGCACGAGATAAATTCGATCCCATCATAAAAAATAATATATTTGATTCTAATTAATTTTTGATCACTAATTATTATTAATTATTATTAATTTAATCATTAAAATCTTTAATTATATAACTCAAGAGAGAGGATAACTGTTATAATTCAAATATAGTCTAATCAACATAAACGATTGTGTATATATTTAATGTATCGGCTAGTTATGATAATTAGACTTTCTAATTAGACTGACATACTCTCTAAGAGATCTCAACATTTGTTGTCGCAATATCATTTTATACCACGTCTCTGTCGTCAATGTCCATGTAATGTGCGTGCATGTAATGATCGCCGCGCAAGTTGAATCGTCCTCATTTAAACGCATTATGTAGAGAAAGGTGCAACGCTGGTCTAAATATCTCATAGTTACCGCACTCTCTTTTCTGCGATGTCGAATCATCTCAACTATTAGATCGTCGCATAAAATAGCTCTTTAATTCTATCATTCCATTCGAGTCTCTTGGCAAAATTTTAAAATTAAAAAAGAAAGTAAAAATTTAAATTCAAAATAAACTCAAGTTAATAAATAAACTTAATAAATAATTTAATATAATAATAAAAAGAAATAGATTCAATAAATAATATAATTAATCAAATAATTTTAATATAAATTTAAATTTTAAAATAAATGATAGATTTGCAGATGACGTTTCTCTTTAACGATACTCTTGTGTGCTGTTTTTAGGGATGGGAAGCATTAACACCGCCCGTTGCATCAACATATAGTCAATATAGTCATCTGGGAGCGGCTATTGTCAAGGTCAGAATCTCTATTGTTAAAGAGCGAATAAGAGCGACATTTTTCATAATAGCGAGTGCGCTCAGGATGTTGCATCCATCTCGACGACGGGGATTTTTACCTCTTGGACAGTCGACCGATCGGCGAGCCTCGGCCCTTCGGCACTCTAGACCCTCCTCGCCCATGGGACAGCTCGTGTACGACGCCTCAATAGTATTCTCGCCAAGTATCGTGTCGATCTGAAAATATTTCGTCACCATATAGCTAAGCGTGAAATTCCGTCGCGAATACTTGTTTTTTCGAAATTTCGATGGCTAAATAAATACCTTCTCGTGGGGCCTTTTTGTTTCTAAAATCCTTTATTTGTGTCTTAATTCCAATTTCAAATTCATTATCAATTTCAAACTTAGAAAGTTTGACACTTTCACTAATAAGTAAACGTAAATGTTATATCGTACAGAGAGGTGAAGTATATATTAAATATTATTGTTTACATTATATATTTGTTGTGTACGAGAAACAAAAATTTTAAATCCGCAAATGTTACGGTGTTTCAAAGGTGAAATATGATCTTTGCAAAGATATCTTTATTAAATTAAAACAAAAATATTTTTATTAAATCTTTATTACATTCTTTTCTACGAAAAGATGATTCTCATTTTACAAAATGCATCTCAATTTTGTTATTAATATAAAACTTGCATAATAAATCAGCACAAATTGTAGCAAAATTCATCTGAGATTAAGATTGAAGAATACACATAATTTTATGCTTTTTATATGCATTATGTATATTTTTATATGCGTTATGTATATTGTTTTATTTTATAGTTTAAGTAAAAAAATTTTTCTTTAATAATTTGATTTCATTAACATTTTTTAAATATTTTTTCTAAGTCCGTTGTACCGGCATTTTTGTAAAGAAAATCGATTTAATCGATTTAAAGTTGGCTGAAAAATCTGCGACTTAAAATTAATCGATAATAATTGAAGACTCTATATTTGTATATTCGAAATGAAACATGTTTAACCCGAGATAATTTTTTCGTGTCATCATTACATGTACGTAAGAAGACACATCATATTGATGTGATAACTTTTCTTCCCACTGTACATAATCATGGTCTATTTCTCGCGTGACGATTGCATCACGTGCGAAACGATACGTTCGGAATTATAAATTTGATTCGCAAACGAAATTCCAATTTCGGTGGAGCGTTTCCGTTGCTTATGTAACAATATAACAAATGTGTATTTGCGATTTCTCATCTTGTGTAACAACTCGAGATGAGTCAACATCGCGCGAGTACTAAATACTTTAATATTTTATCTTTCATCTCAAATTATTATATAATAATATATACAAAATTATATACGTAATTTTATTATAGCTGACCAGAGAGATTTCATATTATTTTATATTATTATTATATTATTTCATTTTAAAGAAATTTAAACTTTTGACTTCTCAGGACTTACTTGCTTGAACGCGCCCGGCTTGGAGAACATTTTCACCAGCTTCGCCAGCGCGTTCTCTGTCTGCTCTGCGACTCGTATGTTCAGTACATTCATGTGTGACATGACCGTCAACAGGCAGAAGACGACCGTGCATCTCAACATATTGCGACACAAGAAAGAAGGAGAAGTAAAGAGAACTCGCCCAGCTCGTTTGATCGCCACGCGATTCGAAACTGACAACTGGCGGTCAGCTGGAAACTCGCCGGTGGGTGCTCGTTGATATCACTCTGGTGGGGATATCCCATGTCGACGTAGAGAAGCGGCGTCTTGCATATAACGTGCAAAATTTAATTTTTTTTTATTCAATCTGCGACAAGGAAAATAAATATTCATCTTCTTTATTCGGCGTAAAATGCGTAGACAGACTAATTTTAATTAAAGAGGTGTGTATAATAGTTTCATAGATCATAAAACGTTAATGTAACTGTTTTATAATTATTTTATGAATTTATATAATTTATTATATAATTTTAATTTTTGCGCGTTATTTAAAAAATACAGATCGCAAAAGAAGGATATATAGAGGATTTACACTTTTTTTTCTTCTACTTAATAGGCCTGATATGTTGATTTGAAAAAGGCATTGAATCTAATTTGACTCTCCATTAATAGGTGAAAATGAGTATGAAAAATGAATGTAAAAAAAATAAGAGATGATTTTTCAGAGAGGAGGTGCTCTTAAGAAGAGAATAAAACTTATAAATAGGATGCAAAGGACGCGTTAGAATATATCAGATTTTGTTCTTGGTCAGAGGATTTAAATTGAATGAATCCATTAAAATTCAATTTTATACATCACTGGATTGGTCGCGTCTCTTTCGATTTGTACGCATACGTTCAAAGCGATTGATGGATTCCTCTTGCGTTACGCAGTTATACACGAGTCTGATTGGACACAATGACATAATAACTAATGACTAATTAATAACAATGACTAATTCCTAAACTCTTTCTAGAAGAAAATGGGGTGGAATCCGATTGACCACGTCGCCAATTGGCCAATTCAAAATAGGACTCTCTGATTGGTCAATCGTTGCTAGTTACTTTAGGCACAAGTCGATATAATTGGCTGAGGCCAATCGCAACGTAGTCAAAAGGGACGCTCTCAGAAAATGAATTGAAAAGCATATTAACAATAAATGCATGTAATAATGCATTTAATCGTGTTTTTATCGATTTCATTCTCGTTGCTCTCCGAATTGAAGTCAAATCAAACGTAGAATGAAAATTAGATCATTGTCATTGACAAGGAACGATGAACGTCACACGATTGGCTATTAAATAGGGATATTTTGGGCACTCGAAAAATTCCCTATTTGATAGCCAATTGCGTGACATTATATTTATTCTTTTGAAATTTCCTGTACTTTTTTTCGTTTTTCCTCTCTTTCTTTCCGGCTTATAAATATATGTCTGTCTCATTTTACTTCAGTTCAATTGAAAAGAACAAACCTATTGTATGTATCTGTCATTATGTTTTCTTCACGAAACGATCCCTGAGCCATTTTTGGTTTGCTTGTAGGAGAAGTTGAAGTGTGTAATGATATCATTGCGTTTTACATGTTTTAACTTGCATGGAGTGAAATTCGGCTTATCGGAAAAGTGTGATTCGTGAATGTACGTTTGTAAATTGCTTGTAAATTTTTACAATTTCTTTTCACGTTTTCATTTAACTCTCATAAAGTCACTCGAGTTTCATTATGATTAAATGATTTTACAGAGAATAGAAGTAACTATGCTGGGTCAGGTTGTACGCGAGAACATCCGCGAAGAGGCTCAAGAAATAAAGAGGCTTCTGTCTATCAAGAACATCGATGTCGACGAAACCGTGGTATGCGAGCTTATGGAAAGCTTGGATCCCAATCACGAAGTAAATAGGACGAAGTATATTATTGACATGATCATGGGTAATCGGAATTTTAATTCACAAGCATCTTCAGACAAGGCAGAACAATCTGTCGAGATGCTGTCTCAGGATAATAATACCAAGGAATTTTCTAAACACAACATATACAATATTTCGACCGAGAGCGCAACAATTGATGTTTCGGATTCCGAGGACGATACAGATTATTATTATTCCTCCAATTACGACGATAATTCAATTATCGAAACGTCAACTACTACTACCTCTTCAACAAGTACCGTTTTCGATACCGCTTTGGAAACCAGCAACACTAGCAACACTAGCAATAACAGCCCAATCACAAAGAGTTGCGTAAAAGTTGATCAAAGTGAGATAGAATTTTTAGAAGCTGAAATAGAATTTTTAGAAGAGAATAATAATAATAATGATGTGATTTATATGAAGAGTGTTACCTATGAGAAAAATAGATTCTCTGAAAGTCCAAAACCAGGTTGCAGTAAGGATTCGGATGATAGATCTCAAAGTTTTGAGGATTATTGCCACTCGTGTGACTTCAATGAATTGCAAATAGATGCGAAACAAATACATAGTGTTTTACCAAATATTGATTATGATTTAATCTGTAAAACGCTTTGTAATAACCAGTTAGCAAAGAATCGTATTGAGCTTACATTGTGGGATTTGTTACAGAAGGAAAGACCGAGTCCTCAATTAGCGAAAAACAAACGAAAATACATGCCTTATGAAATATATTGTATGAAGAATAAGAGAAATTCTGATATTTTACCAGAGAAAAATACAAAAGATACAAAAATAGTTTTAGAAAAGAAAAAACAAGCATGTGCAGAAAACAAAACAAAAATTATAGATGTTGAGCTAACAAATAGAGAGCCTATGTTGTTAGTAAATGAGACTGATAAAATGGAAATAGATATAACAGAGGGTATAACAACTATAAATGATAACGTGAATAATACAGATGATACAAATAATGCACGTGATGATAGGAATAATGATGAGGTGAATAATACAAACAATGATGCAAATAATACAAACAATGATGCGAATAATATAAACAATGATGTGAATAATATGTACGATGATGCAAATAATACAAATAACGAAACAAAGAATGACCAAATGGCTGCGACACCGGAAACAAATACGGTTTGTTTGAATACTAATTGGTCCACTAATGACGTTAATATGGATAAAGATAATTTGGAGAAATTAGATCCATCAAGAAGAGTGAAGAAGTCTAAGAATAAACATGCAGCATTAATTCAACTTCTTCATGAAAAAATGGTAAATGATAGGAAAATGGTAAATGATAGGAAAAATAGGGCAAAGAATTTGGAAATAAATGATGGGACAATGCAAAATCATGAGGCAGTTGATTATAGATTACCACATAAGATAGAAATGGACAACATGCACTCTGCAATTTCAGCTTCGATGCCAAGCACTTCTGCGTCATGCACACAGCAGAAAGTGCCTTTATTGAGACCAGCGAGATTTACAGGAGGATCTGTCATATTTCCATCATTCTATTCACCGGTTCCCATTTTAAGTCCGCCAAAATTACATATATTAAATCCATTGCAGCTGATAGCGGATATGCAAACTGATCTTAAGCATCCCAATAAATCAGTGAAAGCTACGAAGACTGAGGAAAAGAGAGGAAAATTGTATGAACCTGTACCAATGGGACATGTGCCATCTTCTGCCCAATTATCGAAGTTTACAACGAACAACACGTCGCTTCATACACAAGATGAAATAGCTACCTTTGACAAAATCCTAAACTGCCATTTAAAAAAAGATCGTAGTAACGAGGAAAGCAGTAATTCCAGACGACAAAACGATATGGATGTGCATGGAGTTTATCATACGAAAGGACAAAAGGAAAAAGAGGTAAAAATAAACATTTGTGTTTACATAGATTGTATGTTTTTGTATTTTAGGTTACTTTTTTTAAAAATTTAAAATATAGAAACTAAACTTTAGCCTTAAACATACGGCCGCTTTTAATTGACTCTAGATGCAGATAAAATGATGACACAATTAATTATCATTTTACAAAAATATCCATGTTATCTATCATTCATAAAACTCCGAATTTATCGAAAATGAATCCCCGAGAGCAATATTTACATTCTCGATCTTGAACAAATAAATTAATGATCAAAAATTAGTAATTAATTATCATTAATTATCATTTCACGGATCGTGTGTCATAAAAATCTCGAACTTGCCGAAAATGTGTCCTCGAGAAAAATATTTACATTTTGCGCGATTTTATTTTAAACAAAATAATGGAATAATTAATTATCATTTCACGAAAATATCGATGTCGTGGAAGGATCGTGTGTCATAAAAATCTCGAACTTACCGAAAATTTGTCCACGAGAAAAATATTTACATTTTGCGCGATTTTATTTTAAACAAAATAATGGAATAATTAATTATCATTTCACGAAAATATCGATGTCGTGGAAGGATCATGTGTCATAAAAATCTCGAATTTGTCGAAAATGTGTCCTCGAAAAAAAATATTTACATTTTCGCGATCTCGATTTTAAACAAAATAATGGAATAATTAATTATCACTTCACGAAGATATCATTGTCGAAAGATCATCTGTCATGAAAACAACGAGGTTTATCCCCGAGGATAATATTTCTCGTCATTCTCATCGTATATTTTCATTGAGACTACATATGTTTCCATCTGATTGCGTGCTTCATCTTGCAGTTGAAATTGCACGGAATTATGTATTTGTTTCTTTGTCAAAGTTTCGACAGTTGCAAGATCTGAGAGCTTCCAAGTTAAACCTCGGAAGAGGAAAAAAAAGAATCTTATCTCGTATTTATCAGCTTCCTTCCAATCGCCCGAATTCGTTCCGCAAATTTCCGCTTCATAAATTCTCGTTCAATTCGCAATAGATTCGTTTAGTTGTTTTCAATCGATAGCGGTTAAGATAAATAGATGTAGATTTTTCATTGTTAATATATTATGAATATATTTATATATTGTTATTAATATAAATGAATACATTGTGTTTTTTCTATTTAGGATTTTATGTCGTCAATCGGTATGGAAACAAATAAGGAGAAGCAGAGCAGTCCAACGAATAATACTGGAGAAATAATATTAAACGAGAAAGCTCGTAACCTATATTACAGATTGATACCGATGTTCCCGTCCGTAAATACCGTTTACATTAAACGAATATGCCAAAGATATGTTACAGATCCAAAATACCTAGGTTATAATGAATCAGTATCGTTGCAACATTTAGTTGAACATTTGCTTGAGCATGGTCAAAAATATCCATTTAAAAAGCCAGACCCATTGCCATTGGAAAATAATTCCAATACTTACACTCTGAACGAGCAATATGCCGATTTATTAGGAATATTCCCGGAGGCAGATCCTACGTATTTGAGAAAAGTAGCCGAGGAGAACTATAAAGATCCTGAGAAAATAAAAGAATACGTTCAGTCACAATTGGAAAATCCAAGTTATCCAACAAGAGCGCAAGCTTTGGCTAGGAAGAAGATTACTGATCAACAAAAACAGTATACTTCAGATTTCAAAATAGAACAATTCTTAGAACTGTTCCCAGATCCATTTTCTCATTTTGAAAATTCAAGCAGACAGTGCAAATTTAATCCGCATGCAGTGGATTTTTTAAAACAATATTTCAGTAAAATTAGGGTAATGATGTGCTTAATTAAATATATATATATATCTTATATATTAAATACATATCGTATATCGATGCAATAATATTTGATGAATATTTGATGAATATTTGAAACAATGTTTTTTCACAGGTAAATACATTATTGTATACATATACTGAGCATCAACATAATTTAAGTTTAACTGCTAAAGCTTTAGAAGCTTTGAGTCCTGATATGAAAAGTAAGCGAGCTCATAATAAAATAATGCTAACAGAAGATATACCGCTTTTACAAGAATGTGCTTTTATACAACATAAAGTGGCGCTTAAAAAGTACCTGACCGAATTGAAAGATCAAGAGGAAAAAGAGTTTCAGGAACTTAAAGTATAAAAATATAATAAAAAAAATAAAACATTTTTTTCAAGGGAATTATTTTCTTTAATTAAAAATGAATTTCTTTAGGCAAAGAATGAGTTGATTGAATGCCAATGTTGTTATGACAACGAGTGTATGCCATCAAAATGTTCTACATGCGAGGACGGACATATATTTTGTAACACATGTATCATAAAAAGTACAGAATTGACATTGGCAAACGGCAAGACGCATGTTGATTGTTTATTAAACTGTGGCAATGAATTTTCATTGTCCATACTGCAGAAAATATTACCGCCAACAAAATTCAGTATTCTTCTTTGCAAACGACAAGAAGCGGAAGTAATGGCCGCTGGTTTAGAAGGCTTGGTATCATGTCCATTTTGTCACTTTGCATCTATACCGCCGCTTGAGGATAAGGTGTTTAGGTGTCTAAATCCTAACTGCATGAAAGAATCGTGTCGGTAAGTTGACATTTAAGTTATGTATTTTTTGCTGTATTTTTTCAGATTTTTATCTCTCTAATTCTTCTTTTATATATTTTATTATTTAGAATGAATTATAAAGAATTGAAATAAAGATTGCAAGTTTTAACGCAGTTCAGCATACAATACTTTTTATTTTATGAAACGATTTTTCATTCTTATTTTAATGTAAATTTATGAGTAAATTTATGCATTCACATTTATGAGTAAATTTATGTATATATATATATATATATATATATATATATATATATTTTTTTTTTTTTTTTCTTTCTTTCATTAATGTCATGTATATTCCACTTTTTTGTAAACTGATAGTTTCTCAATGCTTTGTTTATCTTGGAATACAGCCAGACATAAATAGAAATATGTAAGAATTGCACACATACTAATATATTATTCTTAGATTATGTAAGGAACTCAATCATATACCTCTGAAATGCGACGAATTGAAATCAGACGTTGCGCGTCTATATTTAGAAGAAAAAATGACCGAAGCTCTTGTACGGAAATGCTATAAATGCGGACGAACATTTTTCAAGGAAGAAGGTTGCAATAAGATGACCTGTTTATGTGGTGCTCAAATGTGTTACATTTGCGATAAACCAGTAATCGACTATAAGCACTTTCAAGGTCAAGGAGTTCAAGATTCAAATCTGTAAGTTTTTTTACTAATATGTAATTCAATCTTTTTTTCATGCGCGTGTATGTGCGTGTATGTATGCGTGCACATATGTGCATACATGTGTGTATGCGTATCTGTGTGTGTGTGCGTGCAATCGAATCAACATTATCTCATATAATTTTTTATTATTTACATATAGCTGTCCACTATGGAGCGATGATCGTCGTATATGGTCGTTGTATGCATGTATTGCGAATGTCGATATGTCTATGAAAATAAAATAAAGAAAAACCTAAGTCATATAAACGTCGCTGCTCTTTTACCGAAGCTACCGCCTAAAGCAAAAGGCCCTCATGAAGATATTGCTTTTGCTAATGCAGTGCCGGTACGCAGATAATTCACGTATCGAGATAAATAATGTCAATGATTTAGCACAAGGCATGAATATTAGATGCTTAGGAAATTTCAAATATATTGCAAGTTAAAACATGTATATATAATTTATGGGAATATAATAGTTCAAAATTGATCTGTTTATATATACATACAATACATGCAATATTTTTATATTAAATCATTGATAATATCATGAGTAAGATTTTTAAATCAATATTTTATTATTTTTTTAAGAGAATTATTTTTTTTTATGATTATACATAAAGATTTAGAAGAATTTTCAATGAACTATTTTCTATTTTCAGGCCCATGCTGAAAGAGTTGCAAGACACAATCCATGACTCCCAACTTTATTCTAATGTTAATTTTTAAAAAGATGTTTATGTCGATGCATTTAGTTTGATATATCTATATTCGTTATTATTAGAAAGCATTTCTTTTAAATAATAATTTATAAATCTCTTTACAATTCACAAATCACTCTTATTTTATCGTTACAATTATAGATGATTGCATGATATTTTTTGGATTAAAAGCTCTTACTAGTCCTACGCAATTACATGTTTATTGATTACATGTTTATGATGTAAAATTACAAGAGTGCAAGTATAAAAAGTGATAAGAGATACAAATGTACTACAAATGTCATACAATTCACAAATTGAGGGATTGAATGCAATAAGAATCTAAATAGCTTTATACAGTTTTGTGAAAGAAGTTTCGAGTTTGGAACTCTAGAATAAATTGAAAGAGAAAAGCAAAAGAATGAATAAAAAAAAATAAATTTTAATTTTATGATTATATATAATATTCAGAGTTATGCAAAGCAGGATTAGTTAACTCTTACATTGTTATTGTACATGCAATTCCTCGATTTATTTTATAAGTTGAGAATACAAATAGGATAAAGAGTAAGAAATAGGAGAAGAAATTTTAATCTTTTATGTTATATGTAAGATTACAACATATTTTTTTATGAATTCATACCTGAAATATATTTGTTCCTATTTTGCAGAAACAGAGTTTACATTCTACTACCATTTTTGTCTATCTTCTAATTACTCAAGCATTGATTAAATTAAGTAAAAACTTTTATATATTTATGCTAAAGAATTCTATTTATATATCATCTATACATGCTATTAATATTTATTCTCTACATATTGATTATATTTAACCTTTTTAAATGTATATTGGATTATTTCATACAATCTTTTAAATAATAGACTTAAGATTATAAAGAAAAAATACAAATTAACATAACTGGATTAGCTGATAAATTTATATAATTAAAACGATGATCTCAACGCAATTAAAGATTATATATATATATATATATATATATATATATATATATATATATATATACACACACACACAGGATGTCCCAGTTATCTTCCGTCATCTTTCAAAGACAGATTCCTGAGATCATTTGAAGACGAATTTTCCTCAACGAAAATGTCGAGGCACTAATAATTTTCGAATTATAAGTGATTGGAAATAAGAGGTTTTTCGTAAACTAAGCTTTGTAGAAATAAAATATTAACAAAACCACATTCCTTTGATTAATTTTAATTTTAAATAGAGTTTACTTTAGTTGAATTTTAATTTAAGATTTAATTGCAAAGATATATAACAAATTAGGAACATGCAAAAAATGATGGCCTTCATTGACATTTTCGCTGAGGAAAAATCGTCTTCAAATGATCCCAGGAATCTGTCTTTGAAAGATGACGGAAGATAACTGGGACACTCTGTATATATATATATATATATATATATATATATATATATATATATATATATATATATATATATATATAGAGTGTCCCAGTTATCTTCCGTCATCTTTCAAAGACAGATTCCTGGGATCATTTGAAGACGAGTAAGTCTATTATATATAATTATAATTATAATTATAATCTTAAGTCTATTGTGTATATATATATATATATATATATATATATATATATATATATAATAATCATCGAGAGGGACTTTAATTTTTGGCAGAGTAAGTGTCCTTGAGATATAACACGTCTCATATATGCGGATTCTAAACCGGTTTTCAGAATAGCATATGATAAGCTTGAACAAGATTCTTATCATCAATTTAATGTAATATGATATGGAGATTAACCCACAGTAATTTTCCGAACTTCCTTCTCAACTCGATAAAAAGATATGTATGAAGTTTTTTATTTTTATACGACTGATCAAACAACGATGAAAAATCCGCATTTGAACAAAAAATCCCGATAAAAATTCAATTTTATTAATAGTACATAATTTATGCATAGTAAAGATTAATATTTCATTAATAATTTAATAATGTAATACACTTTAAATATATATTCTGTGAAACTTATAAATATTAAAAGTTACACGCATATACTTAAAAGAGAGCAAAAAAGTTATTTGGATGCATTTTTTCGGATGTTACAAATATCTGTCTGGACTTGGTTAACCCTGAGATTACGGATTTTATGGATTGCTGTTATTTTATAATTAGCTGTTATTAAAAAATCTGGATCATAATAAACTTTATGTATATGGAATGTTTCATATTAAATAATATATACAATGTCTTCAAAATTACATATTGGCTATATCGAAAAATGTTTCAAATGAATAATGAATTGATATTTTGAGGCGAATATAATCCGATATATGATATTAAACATGTTGAAAAATTTGCACTCGCACGAATGCTACTTCATCATTTCAATATACTAATTAACTAATTAATTAACTAATTATCTCTATCTAACTAATGAAAAAAACAATTGATCATGTTCTTCTTAAAATTATTCAATTTTTATTTAATGCATTTTTTGATATCGTTTAGAGTCAATAAATTTGAAGATATTCGTGTGTTATTTAAAATGAAACAATCTGTATATATTTGTTTACTTGTAACGAAACTTAAATTTTAGAAAGTTCTTATCTGTGGAATCCAGGAATCGAAAAAAGTAACATTAAAAAGTAAAATATATGTGCGTTACTAAAGCAAATAAATTGATGAATAATAAGTGAAAAATGACTAAATGAATAAATTGTATAATTAATAGAAGATGAAATTGTTAATTCAAAATAAACAGCCAAATTAATAATGTTCGTGATTAACATCATTTATCGCAATTATAAAAAATAAGTGGTTTATATATGATATAAGAATGTAGTATATATCATATATGTTATTTTGCAATATTTTACAACAGCAACAGAATCTTATGGCAAATAATAATAATAATATATATATATATATATATTTTCGCTTGCTATTATACGGCGAAACCAGATTTAATTAATTCGTATTCAATTTTTTATAAAATGAATATTCTGATTTTTATCGCATAACGGTAAGCATAAAGGCCATGAAGGAAGAATGCTAGCATAAATCCAAAATACATTCCAAAGTTTAATTTTTAACATAGTCCCAAGAGATTTAGAATATTAAACAAATTATTTGAAAGAGTGTGCTAGTAAATAGTTTATTTATTGTCTACTTAAAGCAAAAAATCAAAATCTCTATACAAATTAAATCTTGAATTTTATAAATACATATATAATTTATTTCATTTATTTAATTATCAGCTCCACGTATGATCAATATTCTATAAACTAATTCTATGGAGTAATTATGATATATAACATATGTATGTTATATTACATGTTAGAATTATGAATGGGGAGGGATTACAATTAACCAGTATAATTTATCAGTAATACTTATGTATATTACTTACATCCTTAAACATTGTTTTATTAATGTTATACGAAAGCAATGAAATGTTACAAGTAATATACATATATAATCAGTGAGTTACTTGTAATTCCTCATTCATAATATAATACGTAATTATAATTTCTCATTCACAATACAACATATAGTATAATATAATATATATATAATATAACATATATTAATATAACATATATTAATATTATATTGTTACATCATAGTTCTATTTTATATAGAATTTGTTTATATAAGTTACAAAATTAGTCATATTTAGAATTGGTAATTAAATAAAAAAATAAATTATATGTATTTAATTTAAAAATTCGAAACCTAATTTATTTGAAAAATTCGAAATTTAATTTATACAGAAATTTTTTGTTTCAAATAAGCAGTAAATGGATTATTTCCTATTTACCCGTCAAATTTCAAGCAATCTGTTTATTTATATTAATTCTGAATCTCTTATTGGAATTAAATTAAAAATCAAAATGAAAAGAAAAGAGATACGTTTTGCATTTCGTTAGTATTTCCTTTATAGGCTTTATATTTATTTTGTGATGAAAAATTGAATTGAATTAGAATTAAGTCTGGTTTAACGGCAAGCAAAGAGATACATATATAATAATCATATTGTAATAATATGTTATATTATTATAATGTTGCTAAATAACACGTATACGATATATTAAAGTTTTACATAATATAGATAATTTGCGTTGCATTATTTGTTACTTTCACAATCACAAGTTATATTACTACAATGATCAGTATTTGTGAAAATTATACTTTACCGCTTTTACATAACATTAAAGCAACAATGTTGGTTGGATTATCGCTCACGATTTTAATCATAGTTAATCAAATCATTTATCGCTATACACATATAAAAAAAGCAATGTCGAGAGAGAGGGACTCGATCAAACTACAGGAAACTACTGGGATTTAATCGTCATGTTTAACGACTTTCCCTTCTTCGCGCGTTCAATGTCGATTATTCTATAAAGCAGTTATTATATATGTGTTTTTTTCTTTTGCAGAGAAAGAAACGGACAATTAAGGATTAAGGGAAGTGTAATTAATCAACGATCCGCTCCGCGAGCCGCAAGTGCACCGCCAGTCGTCGCGAAGCTCGCGAAGTGTCAGGCGTGTCAGCTGTTCGCGACTCGGTCGCCAGTTCTCGGCGCGCTCTCGCCTATGACAGACGCGCTTTCTCTCAGATCGGTAGCATCTAACGGAACATCGATCCTCGGCGCCTGATTTAGCCCCGCAACACCACGCATGGACCATAAATCAGTACGTACATCTATTTTTCTCTCCTGGCTCTTTCGCGAGCCGACACGCGAGCGGTATCGACCTGGCGTTGGCGGAGCAACGGCCAGGTTTTGCGTCACGTCATTCGCGACACGTCGTTTGCGACTCACGACTTCCGATGCCCTCTTTTTTTGCTTCCGCGTTGTATTTTTATTTGTATTTTTATTAATTGCATTTTTATCCGAGAGATTTAATCGTTGTTATTTTTCGAATACGCATGTGTATTTTCCTCCCTTTTCTTTCTACGCATATCGGAGCGCTTTCAAGTCAAGGCGCACCATTTTTCTTCTCTTTCCTTCCTCTCCACTACGTTTTTGTCATTGCGTCCGATTGCACGCCGGAAATGATATTCCAAATATACCGTAACTTGCGACACACATATTCACGAAACGTAGACACGTTATTCTTTATGTCGACAAATTATTTTCAAAATAACATGTTGGAATGTTCTATACGCTCTATAAGACACAATATTCCTAAAATATTGTATAAATATTATTAACAGTTAATAATATTTATACAATATCTTAGGAATATTGTGTGCTTATAAGACGTGTACAGGGAGGAAAAAAATATTGTTTCTTATCAGATTGGAAAAACATTATTCGAATAAAGAAGTGAAATTTATCAAACTATCAGAAGAGAATTCGGAGCCCTTGAACTTGTTCGCATCGAGTGACTAGCTAGATACCGTTAGAATGTCTGACCGCAATGCAATTTCTAGTGAAAATTATGACGTGGTGAGTCATCGCTTATTACTTTTATGACGTCGAGTCATAGTATATTTATAATTACACATAGTCTCTATAATTATAAATGTACTATTTAATATAATATTAAATGTAATATTTATAATTATAAATGTACTGTGATTCGACAAAAGTAATAAGCTATATGTATAGTGTATGTGTGTGTGTATGCAAATCTACGTTTGATATAAATCGCACATAAACCGATATAAACCGGTCCCGCTTCTCAGAAAAAAAAAGGAAAACGGGAGACTTCCGCCTTTCGATTTCCAAATAAACTTTATTAATTTGCAAACTAACGAGTTTAAACGTTGTTTGACATTTACTTCGAATATATAGTAACTGAAATTTTTGAGAATAAGCATATGGAAGAAATACTGTTGTGCACATATACTCCTGGGCAAAATTAACGCATAATTTTTGTTCACTTTTTCTTTAAAAGCTGATATTTAAATTTTAACGAAGAATTTTAAAGAAAAAGTAAAAACAAAATTATGTCTTAATTTTATCTAGGAGTATATGTATATATATATATATATATATATATATATATATATATATAATATATATATATATATATATATATAGTTTGTTCACATGTTTATTGTATCGAAATAAAAGAGGAAAAATAATGTGCGTAGTAAAAAAATGAAAGAAATGAAAAATATATTTCTAGAAAGTTTAAAAGAAATTAACAAGAATCGTAAAAATTAATAGCAATTTGTAATAGCGATTTTTGAAAAGAAGATTGCAGTTTTTCGAAATTCAATAGGCGAAAATTCATGCCGAGAACTTATTTTGTGAAAGTAGGACAATTTTTGTTTATTCATATCTCTTTCCACACTCTTTTTTTTTACCTCTTATTTACTTTCTCGGTTTAATAGCGTTCTATTTCTCTTTTGAAATAACAACTTCAATAGCGTACCGGTTATTATTACCGGTTATACACGCTTTCCAATAATAAAGTAATCACTTTGAGAAATTGAAATTAAAAAGATTAAGTAGCCATTTTTGTTTTTTTTTTTACAAAAACTTCGTACAATTTTTCCATAAAAATTTCCGTTAGAATGAACGACGTAAAGCAGAGACGCGTTTATATTGTCCACGCATTTAATTTGCATCCAGTGGCCTTCACTATTATCGCGAGACGATAAGAGAGAAGGAGAACAGCATTTTATAAGGTATATATATATGTATATGTGAAAAATATTTTTTTTACTTTTTTCATAGTTAAACTTTGAGTATATATTAAATAAAATATTTATATATATATAATGTGAAGAAGTGAAAATATTTTTTTTCTCCGAATGTATGTTATTTGTTTATCTTTTGATAGAGAATTAAGATTAAATTTTTATCAAATTACAATTTTTTAATTAAATTACACGAAATATTATATGAATATAATTATTTTTACTAATGATTTCCTAAGTATAATATTTATATAATTATCTACTATTAATTATTTTTATTTATTTATTATTTTTATTAATTATTTTTATTTACTATTATTATAGTTTTTATCTACTATTATTATTTTTATTCAAGCAAAATGTTTTTTGTTGATGCAAAAAGGATTAAATTATTATTTTCTACGAAGATGATTCAATCTTTTGCGCATGATAAATGTGCATACGTTTCGAGCGTATCTCGAATTCGTAATACATCGATATAAAACGCGTCGATGATTGATACTTTTGATAAGAGTCGAAAGAATGTATAGATAAAAATGATATGATAAATGAAAAGAAGAAAAATATGCGCTGAGTCATGTATATTTTGCATAATTTATTCAATCGAATCCGCTACTAAATGAACGGAATTCTGATTCTTTTCTTGCAATTTAAAAATATAAGCAGTTTACGAAATCCAACCCGTTGTGAGTTTCTCCGCTATCAATTAAGCCTCGATTAAAAATCGCAATCAAAACTGTTTGGTTTGAAAGCATTATTTATATCTTTCTTTCAATCTCTCATTATCTTGTCAATAATATGTGCTAATTAAAAACAAAAATAAAACAAGATAAAAGAACCATCTTATTTGGAAGAGATATATTTCTTTCTGTTTCAAATATTTCAAATATTTCGAATCCACATAATTTATTATCGATTTTCGAACATGATTTTATCCACAATGCATGTCAGATATGCGTTTATATGTAAAATGTAAAGTTTTATGAGAAATATAATTTGGTGCAGATTAATCGTAAAATTGATACGCATTTATTACCTTGAAATATACATAATTGCGTGAGAATTGCCATGTCATATGTACCAAATGAAAGAGAGCGAATTATGTAAGAGCTTGGCGTGTTTTATTAGAATTACAAGTGATTTGAATATATTGGATTTCATTTCATATGATTCTTTCTGGTTTTTTCTTATCTCGAGATAAGAAGATAGAAGTAAATATATTATGAATATATAATGAATAAATTTATGAATATTCCAAAGATTAAAAAGACAATTTTATTGGAGGAATATTGGAAATATCAAACTTTAAGGTATCGCTTAACTCATTAATTTTATAATAATTTCTCGCAAGATCATTTGTTGTGATAGCGATCAATTCGACATACCTTATTTATAATTTATCGGTGCTAATGACCGCGAAAATATATGTATTTTTGAATGGTGAACGAAAAGCTGCCGCTTTATCAGGTTTTCGACATTAGCATAATATGCAATCTGAGATTCTTTGTGCATCACCATGAATCATTTCTCACTCGAATCTTTCAAAGTCAATCTCGCGGTATCTGAATAATAATTCGAAGCTGACGCTGACATTAACATTATCGTTGTGACATAGAATAATCTCTCGAGAGACAGCGAATTATCTACGTATCGAAATAACTTCTGGCTGTAAATTTAAAATGCATATCCGTAAATAAATTCGCGATTTTGTTTGTTTCCAATTTCAGTCTTTATCTTCGATAGTGCGAATTTTATTACGTAAATTAATTTAACACAAATAACATTTCATTCGATTTATCAAATTCTCCTCTGATCTTACATAAATCATTGATGAAGAAACTGCAATTTAATTAGTTTAATACATCTCGCATTTTATAATAATGGTAAAGTATTATTATTCATAATAGGAAATTACAAGAGAATGAGATATGTATTATAAATATTTAATTTATAGATAAAAAGATAATTACACTTACAAATATCTATCTCTAACACTTGTAAACATATGTATTAATTTCTATTACATTGCATAATTATTTGATAATACATTCATATTTTTGCTCTTTTGATTTATCGATAGAGCAAAAACTTGCGTAATTTGTATTTGTATTTTTTAATGACCCATTATGCATACATTAAAGTACATATTAAATGTAATTGTAAAATTATGCGTGTGCTAGTTATATATATGTAATTAGAACAATTATTTTTTTTTATTTACTGATTATTAACAATCATAATGATCTTTTTTTCAATGGACTTGCAATGTGATGATTATGTTAATTTTTTTATGCTCGTAAGATTACATGAAATTTAACACATAAAACAATATAATGTTGCAGTTCCAAGAAATTTAATGCGAATATCAATATACGCTGAGGTTATTATAAATATATCAATTTTTTAATTCTTACACGATTACTCTTATAATGAGATTATAATGAATGAATTTAATCGCCGCAAGCATGGAAATTTTGTAAGACTTTACTTAGCATAATCTTGTGTAATTTGCATCGTTCATTTATGGCCCTCATTACGTATAGATTATGCACAATGAAGTATTAAATGCAATTTTGTCTGAAATTATGCGAGGTGCTAATCTATATATATAGAGTATTTATTTTTTCAATCCTTTCGATTATCAATGATTTTTATTTCGTAAATATTTACGATGACTATGCCAACTTTAACAAAGAGAAATAAAGAAAGAGAGAAAGAAAGATTGAGAGAGTAAAACAACAAGAGAATGAGTGAGAGAACAATATGATTTTATTTTTGTGACTGACCGCGTGTCAGGGTCAAGCTAAAATAACTCGACTTTAACTGAGCTATGCAAAAAGTGAAAAATTCCATGAATAAATATACGAGATAGATCTATATATACATAAGATACAAATAATTCGATATCTTTTTTTCTTATGTACATTTCGACAGCGTGGAAGATTTCTTTCATGACATTTATTGCAAATACGAATCGGACTAATAGTTTGATTCAAAGTCAGTTTCAGTATGATACGGCCTTTATCCTTCGACTTTGTATTCGACCGGCCTGCTTTGATTATATTCGGTCGCTATAAATAATATGCCTTTAATTTCTTTATGTCTAATTATCAAACGTGGAGCTTCGAGTGCGAATATCATATACGATATATAAATTGGGCGTGTCATTTTCAACTGAAAAAAAACATAAAATTGAAAAATTTTATCTTCACATTTTTCACTTATTTTATGCGGAAAGATAAATTTCTCTCTTCTTTAACGGAAAGGAGAAATTATATAAGTACAACGGAACGCCTTTATATATGTATTATATATTATATATTATATATTTATATAATTTTTGATAAAATATGTAAGTATTTTCAATTATTAACATTGCGTTTCTTATATACGTTAAGCACAGTAATTGACGAAACAGTAAGTTTAATATGTAGATCAGGCAAAATTATGTGATAACACAGTAAATGTTTTTGCATTCATAACATGCATCCTCCGATAACCTCGTGATTTTGCGATCGTCATATGTATTTTTTAATTAACATTTAACATTTTAACAATATTTATTTACAATTTTTGAAGCGACAAATTTTTCTTCAGATCAGGCAAAATTATGTGAAAACACAGTAAATGTTTTTGCATTCACAGCATGCATCCTCCGATAACCTCGCGATTTTACGAACGTTATATGTATTTTTTAATTAACATTTAACATTTTAACAATATTTATTTACAATTTTTGAAGCGACAAATTTTTCTTTATTTACATATACACATACAGAGTGAATTTAAATGTCAAAATTTCGGAAACATGTAACGAATTGATAAATATATAAGAAATTGATAAATTAACAGAACAACTCTTTTAAAGAAGTTGTTTGTTTTTGTTTCGCAGAAAGTCATAAAAAATTAAACAGAAATATTTTTAAATAATAAAACAATATTAAAATTATTAATTTTATCGAAAATTCATTGTCAATCGGCTCAAAAGAGCAGCAAAGAGACTGCATAAACCAAATAAACAGATACATATATACAAATAAAATGTTTCGAATTTAAGTATTAAAACTTCGGGAATAAGTGAGTTACACAAAAAAAAAATAAAAAATAGGTTTTTATTTTTTCACTTATTTATTATTTATTTAATTATATTTATTTATCCTTATTGTTATTTTTTTAATGATGCGCAGTATATTAAATATCACAGAATAGTGCTAGATACAATGCTTGCATTGTTGTAACAGACATTTTGAATAATATCTTCATAAGAAAGTGACAGCATGAATAAAAAAATAAGTAAGTAATAAATAAAAATTTGAAAAATTGAAAACCTTTTTGTGTTTTTTTTTTGTAACTCGCACATTTTCGTTTTGATATTCAGGACAGCCTGTATGTATATATATGTATCTGTTTATTCGACTATTTGTATGCACATCATTATCTAGGGATTAAGCATAATTAGTTTTTATTTCTATTTTTTATAATTAAATGATTGTAAGTATTTTTCTGATATATGGACGTATTTGTTTCAGATTGAATTGATAAATTATGCGAGAACAGGAGTAAACGGCGAACGCGTATCAGAAGTTTCTTCGTAGCAGCAACAGAACGAGAGGATTAAAAAGAGTGCAAACATGCGTTTACGCGTTTAAAGAGAGCCGAGTAACACTTTGAAATTATTGTGACGTGATTTGATTTTCTTGCGTACAACGAACAATTCTCCAATTCCACATCGCGCATTTCTGCATTTCGTGATGACCTCATCGACTCATTGTTCGCCCTCTCGATCGTCTCTGAGTTGCTGTCAATTTGATGGCATCAGCCAGGATGACGTGCGGGATCCGGCGATTATCGGTAACAACAATTATTTCCTGCAACAGGAGAAGCATTCCTTCCCGAAGAGGCCTCAGCTTGATGTGTCATTTCGCAATATACGTTATCGGGTCAAGGAATGGAGTCTACGCAAATTCTCAATCAGTAAGTCCGAGAAACAATAGCAATAATGACGTATGTCTACGTATGTATAATACAAAATCACGGATTATAGCTGTTACTAATGTTTTACAATTAGCGATTGACGTATGTATGATAATTTTTTTTCTTGAAAGTCAAGATTTTTATAATATATTGTATTAATATTTATAATATATTATACATATATTAACATAATAATAATAATATGAGATAATAATTCTTCTGACACATCGTAGAATAATATTACATATCTATTTTTTTTTAACTTTTGACACATTTTTCTATTATGCATACATGTATATATCTTTTTTTTAAAACATTATCATTTGATCCTTGGGTTATCGACGCGCTATAAAGTTGAAGATTATATTTGTTCTTTGCATTTGTCGGTATCACTATAGAATCAGAAAGATATTTCAGAAATATATTTTAAAAATATATTTTATGAATATTATTTATTATATGAATGTTATTTTCTCATTTTTAAATAAATTTCCAAAAAAAGAAATCAATATTAATACATGTGTGTATTTGTAAATTTAATTTCAATTATATTACAATACAATTACAATTACGTAAAACACTGTTTCTCAGCAATTGTTAGATGTAGTAAAATCGAAATTTAAATGATAAGTGAATAGAAGAGAAACGCAACACAACCAATTTAAGAGAAATTTTTTTAAATTCATAATAATAGATATACGCAAGTGAAAACAGTTGTTTCTTATACGATAATACTCGCAAATATTATTCAGTAACGAAGGAAAATTTTGCAGTTTAAATGTCATAAAAATTACTGTGAAAGAAATTTACATTTAGAGAAATACGATAAATATATACATATATTAAAGATTTTTTAAAAGTTTTTGAAATTGAAAACCTTAATAATTGACAACCTATTGTCTATGTGTCACGTTACGCTTTTTATAAAAATGTTTATATATTGAGTACAACATTCAAAAAAATAATTTAAGAAGAGCAATCGCTCTTTTCTCTCTGAATGACAGTATTGTAGAATTAACGTGAGAGACTTTAAGAGAAAGTATTTGTAACACGCCATATGCTGTGGGACAAATGAAGAAAGTTTTAAACGGAGAAAGTATCTCTCGCTACGCGTTTTGAAAATATAACATACAAAAGTACGTAGTAAAATCGTAGTGGATTATAATAATAATCCCCTTTATAATATCGAAATATTAATACACCAATTAAATACACGAATAATTCTAATATTAATACATGAATAATTCTAATATTAATTCTTAACAATAGCCATAATTTTTAACATATTTTTACAAAATGACTGAGATTTAAAAAAAATATTTGACAAAGAGAGAAAGAGAGATCTTCACATAACTCACAAATAAATTTAAAAAATATTTATTTGAATTTATGATTATTCAACGAGAGATTCTTTTTATAGTCTTACATATTATAAAAATTACTATGAGAAAAATTTACGTCAAAAGAAACGCGATAAATATGTACCCATATACAATATTAAAGGTTTTCTAAAAGTTTCTCTAAAAAACATTGTATTGGAGTATTAGATTGTGCGATTCTGCTATTTTCATCATTATAATGCTTACAAATCTATTTGATGGAGAGATAGCGATGATCATTCATTAGTATTCAAGCGCGTATTTCCATAATGCGATTGCTCGCAAGAATATACGTGACAGCTATTTGTCAGCAAATACATTAACAGCGACTTGAATCCACATTTATATATTTTTCTTCCTACGTATCGCTACTGTACAAGACAAGCGTTAATTAATTATATTTCCTACATATTTATGTAGGAAAATATACTACTGTCACTTGTTCGGTGACCCATAGCATGTTATTACTATAATGATGCAATTCAATTTATCTCCAGGTTGTAGAGAATATTATTATTTTATACTATTATTTAATAAGAAGTAACAATATTATAAAATTATAAAAACACACACATATATATATATATATATATATATATATATATATAAAATAGTATAAAATATTATTTAAAAATATTGGACAGATAGAAAAGAAGAAAGAAATGCGATTATAGCATATATGCATTAGTATGCTATTATTTGTTCAACGGACGATTTTTGTGACTGATAAGAAATCAAAAGAGATAATTTGCATACATAAGATTTTTTAAGTATCTATACACAGATTTTTTTTCTATGAATGAAGCATGAAACAAACACTTCGAAAAATAAGTTGTAAATTATTCTTTTATTTATTTATGATTATGATTGATATATCTATTTTGATTATCTCGAAGCTAATAGAATTCGTACATAAAATAAAAAAAATAATGATGCAAAATTTATATATAAACTATATTTTTTTGCTATAATGATTTCTTTACTTTTTAATAATGAATAATAATTGATATTGATTAATCGATTTTACATATATATGGAAAACATTTTAATATTCTAGATAATTTATTATTTGTTTATCATCATGATTTCTTGAATTACAATGTCATTATTTATATAATAATGCAATATTATTGTACCAAATAATGTAATTATTTTGGGAAGACATCTGTCAAGGTTGAGCTTAAAATTTTACGTAAGGACATAAATATGATTGTTACGATTTGAATTGAGTAACAAATCGAATAAAAAAATGTTATCACTTTTTTCCCCATTATGCATTAAACATATTATTACGTCGGCTGTAACTCAAGAGTAATAATATTACATCCGCTATAAAACTTCAATGCATTAATCATAGTCCGAGAAAGGAAGTTGTGCGTCATAGACAATGCTATATAGAAGAATTATGCAGAGTCTTTGGTTGTGAAGTCTATGAAAACGTATCGGCTTATTTTATAACGTTAAAATTTATCGGTTTCTTTTATAACGTAAAAGTAGAATTAAACGAATGAAAGAGGCAAACATTTATTTATTTTTATTAAAATTTGTTGTTTTGCTTTTTCAATTATTTTTTTTTATATTATTATTTTTATTAAAATTTTATAAAAATTATATTCGTATGTATATATATTTAATCCTATATGTTAACTTTTATGAATAAAACGGAATAAGCATGAATTTTTTGCAAATTTGAGTGAAAATATTTATTTCTATAAATGCGCGATAATAATGAAGAGATCTGTGAAAACATAAGAAATTTTTATGAATTTTTTTATTGATATATTGCGAAATAATTGATTGCCTGATTTACGAATGAATAATTCAAGATACAAAATATGCGCTGCGAAACAAAAGTGGAAAATTAATCACGCAAAGTGTAGGATATAATTTCTGTATCTCTCTTTTTACTAAATAGTAGGAATGAACTAGAAGAGGAAAAATTCGAATAAATTTCTTTCGAGTTTTAAATTCATCACTTTTGTAGCCCGCATAATGAAAAAAAACTAGTTAGAGCGCTTAGGATTTACGACGTCTTTAAGGAAGTAATTTTCTCGAAAAAATATTTTTTGTAAAATTATTTTATTTTTTTTAACCGAAAAAAAATGACAGAGAAGATATAGCTTCTATATTTTTATTAAATTAATAAATTTATATTAATACTAATTTTTATATTTTCTTCCATTTTCTCGCAAACATGCATTTTAAATTCGTCGTCAATTTTGTTGCCGCATAATGGAAGAAAAGGATGAAGCGATTATAAATTAGATTTACGGTAACTTTAAGAAAGTAATTTTTTTGAGTAATTATTTTGCAAAATTATTTTTATTTCTTTCACTTGGAAAAATGAGGGAGAGAGAAAGCCTTATCTGTTTGTTAGCACTCATTGTGATATCTTCGTCAGTTCTTTGGACATTGTATGTACGAGGCATAGCGTTACGTAAAATACCGAGGAAAAACAACTTCGATATGACGACAATTGTCGGTGACAATTGTAGCACGAAGAAAACGACACTAGTTATACACGTCATTTTGTGCTTACGTGGCTGTGCATCACATCAGAGCGTTACAAAGTTTATTAAGAGCGAACTCTTTTTGTTATCAATTTATCGCGGAAGCAGTTCAAGGTTTGGATAAAGTATGCACAAGGTTGAAAGACATAATTGGATCGCGTTCTAGAAATGTTATCCGTTTTTCAGCGACTTTTCCTATTCTTTTCACCATCTATTTCTTATCGAAAAGTATAAGAAGAGAATACAGTCTCTCTCGAATATGATTTAAGAATCTTGAGCTTACATACAAAGGAACTTCGTGAACTGGAAAATTATGATGAAATTTTTTACATAAGAACTTTGTAAACTGGAAAATTATGATAAAACTTTACACATAGGAACTTCGTGAACTGGAAAATTATAATGAAATTTATACATATGTAGAAGAGATAAATAGATAAATTTAGAAATTTATCTATTTATATAAATTTAGAAATTTATCTATTTATATATATAATTTATTTATATATATTATTATTATTATTATATAATAAAATATAAATAAACCCTCATATATACATCGATTTTTTTGCTTTTCTCGAAAATCATTTAAGACAGTAAAAAATGTTTTATATAAAAGTTTTACTGCAGGGATTCCTCTATTTAATCACATTAATAAAATTAAAAGAAAATTCTTGAAAACAATTGTTTTATTATTGTAGTTAAATAGAAGTATTTTTGTGATAAAACGTTTATACAAAACATTATTTAATATCTCAATTTTCGAAATATATTGAAAAAGCAAAAAGTCGCTTTACATAAAAGGAGTGATTTTATTTCTTAGAATTAAGTTAGACCGTAGCTGAAAATTTCATTTATTTACTCATCTTACATGCGTGTAAAATTTCAAAATCAGAATTTTCCTGTTTGCGAGACTTCCTTGTTCTTTTTTAAGCTATTATTTAATTTGTAATTTATTCTATGCGATATAAATAGAAAATATATGTAAATATTAAAATTTTATCGCAAGGGAGGGATTTATAAAAATTGAGTCTGAGGAAGAAAAAGCTGACGAAATAATTTAATTATGTATATACATATATATTTATTTATTTATTTATTTATTTATTTATTTATTTATTTATTTAATTTGAGATGTAAAAGATGATGAAAGGGATACGCATATATCTTGGTGAGAGTTTTACTAAAAAAACTGAAACAATTGTTTCCTCCAAATGGTAGCAAAGATTAATACTTGTATTAATATTGATATCTGTGAGATGCATTATTACTTGAGATATATTACCGGTAAATATATTGCATATGCATATGTATTGAACTGGTAACAACAACATCTCTTTATCACTTATGCAAATTTTAATTTCTTGTAAGTATAACACCTTAATGGATTAACTATTTGCAATCTACGCACGCAATGAATGTTGCTTTATAATCTTAGAATATAAAAATAGACCTATATTGAGGAAATGAAATTGCTTATCAAATTATTACATCTTTTGTATAATAGCGAGGAAAATATCACGTTCACACATACATATAAAATTCTAAACTTAATGTAACATTCATATAATTGAGATATAAATATTCAAATATTCCAGTTTTTATTCTTTTTATATTTACGCTTCTCGTATGTATCATAATTTTACGCGAGTAAATCGCGTCGTTTAGAGACAAAGAAATGTCAAACGTGTTCATGAACGTTCATGAACGAGTTTCATGAGTTTCATAAACATTCAAGAAGTCATTGACTTCTTTGGACGTTTATGAAACGTTTGTGTTTGCATAAAATCAAAAAGAACCTCAACGTATAACACGATTCACGTGAGTTCAAGGCTCGTTTGACGTTTCGTGACACGTGCTTACGCAATTTTTTTTTGCTTTCGCTTTACCCACTTAAGTCAAAGAATAAGCTTAAAGAATTGCAATTGAGCAAATTGACAATATGAATCATCGCGTGAAATCCCAATGATGCGTTCGAGCTGTAATTGTATCTTGTTGTAGACGAGAAGGAAATTTTGCATGGCGTCAGCGGTGAATTTAAGGCCGGCGAATTAGTGGGTATTATGGGACCATCCGGAGCCGGAAAATCGACCTTACTTAACGTTCTTGCCGGTTTCACGTGAGTATTGGAGAATGAGTATATTCCTTGACACACATACATGAGGAGAGTTTAGAGATTTACAGTACCAGTCAAAAATATTGCATCACTTCTAGAAACAAGGAAGTCGTTATATTTTAATGAACAAAAATATGCATAAAAATATACATAAATATTATCAACTGATATTTTATTTGTAATTATTACTGTAATTATTATTGTAATTATTATTGTAATTATTAATGATATTTTATTATTGTAATTATATTATTGTATTGAATCTTAATTCGATAAAATTGTTGTAGGATGAATTTAATAAAAGTGTTTGAAAAATGAAATCTATCAAAACTTAATCAAAAATAACTGTAGGAATATTTGCTAACATATTAAAATCAAATAACAGTAATAACTTTCGTTCGAAAGTTGTCAAAAGTATGCGAACAATATTGAATGCAAAGAGACATTGAAGAATATTTTGAAGAAACAAAAATTTAATAATTCCGCTATTGTCAAACTTTTATCATAATTTTTAATTTTTACGATATTAAAACATAAAATAATAGTAATAAAATATAATTTGGTAATATTTTTTATAATTAATAATAAATAATAAATGTAAATAATAAAATATATAAATAATAAATATTAATAATAAATATTTATAATTAAATATATAAATAATAAATATTTATAATTACATATGTTTTATAATAAATATTTTTTATAATTTAATCATATTTGATATGATTTTGTTCATTAAAATAATGACTTTTCTGCTTCTATAAACAATGCAATATTTTTGATACTATATCTCTTTCTGTACAACATAAGTATAGTTTATCGCCTACGCTTACATGTATCCGTTTCTTCATGTTTAAGGCTCTCATTGATTAAAGTTCAAATTTACGTTATAACGCGAAATATATGCGATAATAAAATTGGATACTTTCATGATAAAACTAGAATATTAATAACAAATATCAGTAACAAATTTTAATAAATTGTTGTCAAGATTGAACGGATGTGTGACGGTAAGAGACGTTATTTTGAAGAATCAAAAATTTAATATTTCTATTTTTATATATTATTATTTGTAATTTGTAATTTTTATGATATTAAAGCGTAAAATAATAGTAATAAAATAATTTAATAATATTAAAAAATAATTTGACAATATTTATGTATGCTTTTGTTAAAGTAACGAACTTTCCTACTTCTATAATGATGCAATATTTTTGACTGAAAATCTATGCGTACAGCATGAATATTTTATCGCCTATCCTTTATCGCACATCCGTTTCTTCATGTTCAAAGCTCTCAGCGATTGAAGTTAAAACTTATATGTCGTAACGAAGTATACGCGATAATAAAATTGAATATATTAACGAAGCGGGAAAAAATGGGACTCATGGAGAAACGGAAAACATGAATCGAACTTTAGATAGTAATGCATGTATTTAGTATTTAATTTTTAATCCTTTTTTCTGCTATTTCTCATGATATGATTGATGAATGAGAACGTGGTCGAGAGTCAAAATCAATTTTACAAAGCTTATCAAGGAGCGAATCACATGACAGTTCGAAGTTGATTTGTCGCAGCGAGATTGCGAGATCGGTAGATTTAAGAATAAAAATCCATGATAGATTTCCAATGAAAATATGATTTTTTTTCAACGATCAATTTTTTCCTGTATCACGCTTATTACGTCGTGATCACGGTCGTGAGTAATCGCGTCAAGTGCGATGAGATCTCTCTATCACGCTGGAATATTAAACATTTTGAGTTGGGCTGTTGAATAAAAACATACGCTGACCGAATCTCGATCAATCATTTTTTTGTTCTATAATATCCCGTGACATCACTTTAAAAGCACGCATAACGTTTTCAGCATAGAAAATATATTTTATATATATATATATATATATATATATATATATATATATATATATATTATGTACCTCGCACGGAAATCTGCTCGTGTGATTAATCACTCGTGTATATCACGATTAATCACACCACACGCTTCGTTAATTAGTAATATATTTGTCAATAATTCGATTTCTAAACTTGAAATTTGCTTTGAAATATAAATGTTTTTTTTTACTCGATTATATTTACGCACAGAAATTTTTTTACATTAATATGTCATTTTTTTTATATCAATATGTCAATTTTTTTTGTTATTAATTATATTCCAAGTAGCATCATGTATGTTGGCTTCATAAACGTTTCTTAATCGTATATATTATAATAATACTTGTGAAATTTTACAAAGCTTTACAATATGCATACAAACGAATGCACACAAGTATTTCTTGCGTAATAATCTTTCTAATGGTATTTTATGTAACTATCACGCTGAATATATGAATCATGAAGCAGAATTTATTTAAATATGTTTTATGAAAACCTTGATTCTTCAGATCACAAATCATTAAAAAATAAAGGATTATTAGGCTGCCAATGATTATCCTGCGCTTTTTCTCTCTATTTCTTTATTACATTATAAATAATAATCAATATACAGAAAAGATTGATTCATTTCGCGAGAAGCTATTAAATTGTCTTTGTGAGTTTCTGAATGAATATTACTTGTGTTTCCGCGTAAATTTTATATTAATATGCGATAATATATCAGTGATAATCTCTCAAAATATGTGTAACAAAAAAAACAGAGATAGTTTTTTCTAATTAACTACATTACATTACATGAAATATTCATCCTTTTAATATTATTTTATTTATTGCGAGAGGAAAAGTTGATTAAGATTTTAATAGAAAATTATTGCATTGTGGCAAAATCTCTGACAACATGCAATATATAAAGGGCAAATAAAGCCAGACGCAGATATGCGTCATTTTTTATTAGTTTATTTTTATTAGTTAGTTTTCTATTGACTAATAAAAATGTCATTTGACATATAAATGTTTCGAGTTATTTTAAGATGTTTATACTGATAAAAAGAAATTCCAACTTTTGAGGACATTTCGAAAGCCAAAAGTGACCGGACTATGTCTAAAATTATATGTATCATATAATTTAGATGAATAATAAACTGACAATTTAAAAAATGTGACTTATCCTCCCCGTAAATGAGGAAGTTAAAAAATTCTTTCTTCACGTGTAATTTGATATTGATTCTGACAGTTATACGTAGTAACTTATATAATTAATACGATTAGCTGCATATTTTCATTATCTTTGCATCGTAAAAAGCCGGAAATATATTAGAAATGAGGAAATAATTTGTAGGAAATTTACATGCTTTTTTTCTCCAATATATACAAATATTTTTTTCTTATATTAAAATTCATATATTAAAAGATTTTTTTTTCTTATATTGTTAAAAATCCCTTATCCCTTTATAATTTTTATATTATTTAATAAAATGATATAATTAATCCTGCAATGATTGAATGCACAGAGTAAAAGGCATGAGCGGAAAGATTCTGGTCAATGGCAAGGTTCGGCTACCATACAGCGAGCGATGGAAGAGGACATCGTGTTACATCCAGCAAGACTCTATTCTACGTACGTGGATTACCGTAGGAGAAACCATGACTCTGGCCGCTCATCTGAAGCTCGGTTGCACAATCAGTTCCGCCTACAAACACACTCAGGTTCGTGGATATAATTGGCCACTTACTTTAATGAGAGAGATCTATAGATGTTGGAGCATTGTGGATTTTTTCTTCGCTTTATAAAAAAATAAAACACGAGCAATTTTATACTACTTGTGTTAGTTTTGAAAGATTTCTAACAAGCCAAGAAGGCGTTTTCTACATGTTACATTTTTATGAATTAAACATCGTTTTTTGTCTGGAGAATCTTCAGCTCTATTTTTCGCTTAGGTTTTGGAGTTACTAGAGATGCTGGGGCTGTCTCATTGTTACGACACGTTATGCGGGAAATTATCGGGAGGACAAAAGAAAAGACTCGACATCGCCTTGGAACTCTTGACCAATCCTTCAGTATTATTTCTCGACGAGCCAACGACCGGTGAGCATTAAAACTTTGACACGAAGATGAAACTCTTGACGATTTTACGACTTTACAGTTGTAACAAATAAATTGTTGCAATAAACATAATTACAAAACACAAAGAAAGATATGAGTAGAGATGAAGACCTAGAAGAGACAAGAAAAATAGTAAAAGATTCGATCTTTTGAAATTATGCTTAATAGACGTCGATCGTAAACCAATGCTCATCAAATATTGTCGCAATTAAAGGTACATTAACAACTTTGAGAGAAGGAATGTGGCTAATAATGATTGCCTGTGATGGGCACACATGGCAATCTAATATTTCGCAACGATTGCTATGTCTCATTTGCATCAGAGTATAATGCAAAAAGGTCATGCGTATAATTACGTCGTTCCGTGACAGCCCAGTCATGGAATATCTTGCAATGACTCGCCTCGCAATTTGCGATGTGTGTTTCCGATTACCTCATTCCACGTTTTATGCTGCGCTTGCTTAATAATATCGCGTTTGTCGTATCACGAACTTATCGAGATTACATCATTCCAAGACCTCTTAATTTTTACCGTTGTGAGATAAAGAGAGCGGAAAATTATTGCCTAAAATTTTCTCGACTCGAGATTGAACTTTATTTCTGATTTAATAAAGTTATTGACGCTTAATAAAGTTTGTGACGCGTAGATTCCAGAAAAAATGACCAATAAAATAAGTATTTTTTATAAGAATAAAAATTAAACGATAAATCGATTCATCCGGAAATTTACATATTCGTAATCTACACATTATAAACTTTATTTTAAGCCATAGATAAAGTTCAATTTTGAGTTGGAAAAATTTTGGACAACAGGCATGAGGCTTGTTTATATTCTTTCTTGAAAAAACAGAAATGCTGATGATTGCCAAATTATCATCTATCTTAAACATTCCACAACTCTTTCAGGTCTGGATGCCGCTTCGTGCAGCCAATGCGTCGCTCTCATGAAACGATTGGCGAGATTAGAGAGGCGTACAGTAATCTGTACGATTCATCAACCGTCCGCCTTGATTCTCGAGATGTTTAATTCCTTATACATCGTGGCCGGTGGTTATTGCATATATAAAGGCCCGGTTAGCTCGTTGTTACCGCACTTGGCCTCCGTCGGCGCCAATTGTCCATCTTATCACAATCCAGCGGATTTTGGTAAGTAGGACACAGCCTTCGCTGATAATTGTCCGATTGATTGCGCGCGAGAAACTGCGAACAAAATTGCGAGCAAAAAAGGAAATTAGTTATATTGATTAATTATATTCCTGTTATGTTGATAATAATTAATTATATGATTGTCACAATAATTATACTATTATCAATAATTATTGACAATATAATAACAATCTCACAATCGATTGGAGTTTCTTTTAAGTGTAAAAAAGTCATGTAAAATAGACAATAAAAAATTGCGCGGTTTTCTAAGATTTGTTATACGCATGTTGTAAATAAATAGTATTTAAAAAATTAAATGTAAAATTATGGAAAGAATTTAATATTGCCGGCGTTTTCAATGAGAAATGTATATGATGATTATTTAAAATATATTATTCCATCCACTTATATCGTCCATTCGTCGATTTGTTCTACTATTGCGATAAACTTTTTATTTGATGTATCAAGAAAGAATAATTTTTATATTAACATTTCACATTATATATGCGCGAACATGTAAATAAGATTATATTTATTTTTTAATCTTTGCCTCCCAGCTTTAGATGGCTTGCAATTGTACATTTGTAATTTTGTGTAATTAAATGTACGCTATCTAAAGTAAAGAAATTTAGAAAATAGAATAGAAATTATCATAAAATAAGTATAAAGAATGGAATAATAATATATTGAATTTAACATTATTTAAAATTATTTAAAATTACAGATATATAGCAATAAAAATAGAAATAACACACACACATATATATATATATATATATATATATATATATATATATATATACAGATAACATTAAAATTCAAATAAATATAAATAAATATAACATTAAACACATAAAAATAAATATAAGTAAATATAATATTAAACACATAAAAATAGGAAAAAATCAAGGTAACTTTGACTGTGACTCATTAATTCTTTAAAATTAAAATTAAAATTAAAATTAAAATTGGAATTCAGTATTAAGTATTAAATATTAAGTATTGCAATTTAAAATAAAAATCTAAAATTGAATATTAAAACTGAAACAAACTAAAGAATCAAAAATTAACATAAAATAGAAATTAAAATTAAAAGTCAAACAATAGATTTAAAATCTAAACATTTTTAATCGTAACTGACAAATCGCTAATAATAGATCGCTCATAAATATAACTAATACATGTCGAATACGTGCACACTGAAATTATAATTAGCATTTGATAGCATATGTAATAACGTATATGTTGAACCAGTTATAAAAAACCAATGACTTAAAAATCAACTATTTAAATTTGTTGCAGTCCTCGAAGTGGCGATCGGCGAATACAACATTTCACTTGATAAATTAGTAGTGGCAGCGGAAACGATACAGGTCGAGAAGTCGGTCGCTCTTACCACAGAACCGTCTGAGGAAAGTGAGTTCTCTTTTTCGAAACATCTCCTATAAGAGAGTCTATTTCATTGCGCGATTAATATTTTGAATAAAGTATTCAGTCGTACATTTTAAAGAATTCACTATATATACGCATATATAAATGTTCTTTAATTTGATTGATTGTTCGTATAAAACATTAAAATATTCATTTATGAAACGAGTGGATATTCGAAGATATATTCAATAATTTATAAATATTATATTATTCTATAATAATTATATTCATACGCATCTTGTAATTTCCTACTCATAAATCTGACATGTAATATAATATATATCATTGTTATATCATAATTGTACTTCATATAATTGATTCATATAGAAATTAGTTCCATATAGAATATTGATCATATATAGAGTAGTCGGTAATTAAATAAATAAAATAAATTATATATATTTAATTTATAAGATTTGGGATTTAATTTATATAAAAATTTCGATTTTTTTGTTTCGAATAATAGTAACTGGATTATTTCCTATTCATCAGCTTAATTTCAAATAATCTGTTTTATATTTTTTAATCTCTTATTGGGATTATATTAGAAAATTGGTGAAAAAAAAGATATATTTTGGATTCTTTTGTAAGCTTTATATCCATTTTATAGTGAAAAATTGAATACAAGTTAGTTAAAACTGATTTCGCCGCGTGGCAAACGAAAAAATACAAATATATTAACATTATTGCAATAATATTCTGTTATTACTATAAAAATATTGCAAAATAATACACATAAGATATTACCGTCTTATATTCTATAGATAGTTTGTGTTATATTATTTGTTATTTCCATGTTATATTACTACAACGAACAGTGTTTACTGGGCATTATTATTGGGTATATTATAAAGTTTGCTTTTTTTAAATTTATTTCGAGATGCCTAGAGCAAAGTAATTAATTATTTGACAAGATATATATATGAAAAAAAGTTATTTACTCCAAGAAATATTGTCGATGCTGATAATTTCTTATATTCATTATTTTCAGAACGTGTTGTGACGGAACCGCCTCCGCCTGCCAGTTTCTTAATGCAGTGCTATCTTCTGTATAAGAGGCAATTATTGTGCTTAAAAAGAGATTATTCGCTGTTGATGGCACGATTGCTCTGTCATCTGCTGATCGGTATGATCTTCGGATACCTATACATGGGAAGTGGCTATCGAGCCAATGGTGTCTTATCCAATTATGTGTATATGTACGGATCGTTACTGCTCCTTGTCTATACCGGAAAGATGGCCGTTACTTTGGCCTGTAAGTAGTTATTATAATAATTGTATTCAAAGCAATCAATTTAACTCGATTACAGCCAAGTGAAAACTGGCTAGATCCTTCAATGAATTAATTTTCTGTGTCTTTTTCGCGAAACACTTAGTTTGTGAATCGAAGAATGTTAATGATTAAGTTTTTATCTTCTTCAGTTTCCTTCATTCATGATTTACATATTTAACAATTTTATATAATCTGTCATGAAACGGGGGAACCGGATTTACTATTTGACCTATTGGATATTTATGCTGCACGTGATCTTTGAGATTTATGTATTTAATTGACTATTGAAAATGTCAGGTATTTCTACAACTAATCAAGCAAGTCTCGCTTGTCTTTCGAAAGCCCGAGTCATTGGACGATAATTACCTTCACTGTATCGACCGATGTAATATTCGGTGAACGTTCAATCGTAACGTACGGTCATTACACTGCAAGATGTGAGTCAAGGAAACGCGAATATCCCTTTCATAACGATCAAATTTTATAGGCATTCACTTAACCGTTAGCATCTCTCGTTTTGTCCTTCGATTGAAACGGGTTTGTAGAATCATTTCGAGAATGACGCGTTTAATGATATGATAATAAGTCCACCTCTTCCAGCTGTACCGCGTAATCGCGAATAATTTCTCAGATAAGCGTGATTAATTATAAACTGTTATATTGATTAATATAATCAATCATATTGCTGTCATATTGCTAATAATTATGTTATTATCAACAATTGTAGGCTACATGACAACAACCTTACGGATAATTGGTTCTCGATGATCGCAAAATTGTGGTCATTTATCTATAAACTATAATAATCTGCATTTATATATAAACAATGTAAACCATGTTTAACATGTCATTTATATTAACAATGAGTAATTCGTGAAATATGAAATCAAAATATTATCAAAAATATTTCGTTTATGTTGTCAAAAATATTTCGTTTATGTACATATGTTTAAACGTAACGATATAATTTTAATATTTTATGATGCCACGAAAAATCAATAAAGAATTCAATAAATCAGATTTCATATTAAAGTAGAACAAGAAAATAAATATTATATATTATTATATATATTAAAATACTAGTTTAGAATATAATTATTGTTGTTTGTTATTCTGATATTTATTGTGACTTTTAATTTATAAATTTTTTGCTTCATTCCTAATCACTAATGTCTTGTCGCAGTTTTAGCTGTCTCAAAATGCTTGAAAAAAATCTACAAAAACTATATATTCCTTGTAGAAAATGAACATGTACAACAAAATTTAAATTTAAAGAATAAATTTTGAACATTTTTTTTGGTTGATTGGAGTATTCATAGATATTCTATTAAAATATCAAAATATTAAAATATCATTCATATGTGACTTTTAAGGATGAAGAAATTTAAATGAATGAATGATGAAATACCTTGTAATATTATGACGTGCGAGAAACTTGTAATTCGGCGCGAAAGTTCATTTACATATTTCTTTCATTTGCATACAGAGAATAAATAATCGTGATTCGTGCGTCGCGATTCATGCGATTACTTTTTGTTACAATTTTCTTACGGTCATAAAGTGCACGAGTTTATTACATTACTTAATACACATATACACAGCGTATATCATAGCATTAATTTATTCTCCAGAATTCTTATTTTTTGAAAAAGTATCATCATTCTAATATCCAATAAATATTATTTTAGCTTTTAATTCCTGGCAATGCCTATGTATAATTTTAATTGTATCACGTGAAATTGATAAAGAACATTTCATTTTTTTAAGAAGATTACTCAAAATACACACGCATATATTAGGATACGTGTATCATTCAAAATTACATAAACAAATTTTTACATCGTCCAAAGTATGATTTTAATATCTGTCTATTTCAGTCCCACTGGAGATGCAGATTCTCACGAGGGAGCACTTCAATCGCTGGTACCGACTAGCGCCTTATTATATTAGCATATTGCTTATCGAAATACCCTTTCAAGCAGCGTGCGCGGCGACGTATCTTATCGTGAGTTACTGGTTAACCGGTCAGCCCATAGAGACGAATCGTATAATATTCTTCATGATAATCAACATAGCTGCCAGTTTAACGGCGCAGGCATGGGGTTTCTTTATTGGCGCTACTACACCAATTAAGGTAAAATCTTCTTTTGACATACACAGCTTTCTTCTTTAAAAAGTGTAATGATATCATGTGAAACATAAAATGTATATGTTTATGTTTCACATGATATCATCACACTTTTTAAAGAATTATTATTATATGTTTCACATAAAGTGTTACAAGATGTTTTCTCCGAAATTTAACAAAAAAATATTTCAGACAAAATTTATAGAGATTTGAGAGAGAAAAAAATTGATAATTTTGAAACTTAACTAAAGTTGTTTTTCAAGATCATGTGAACTTAGTTTCTTTAAGTAGGACCTCCTTAAATTTTTTTATACAAATTTTCCTCGCAATATTCGGCGTTAAAAGTTATAAAGATAGAATGATAAAAAAAAATTGAATAATTTATGAAGTATTTTATAGTTCAACATAATTTAAATTTTATAATTCAACATAAATCATGAAACATTTCATAAAATATTCATTTTTTTATTATCTCTCCTCAATACTCACTCAATACTATGCACAAAATAATGAACACTTTTATGCACAAAAATAATGAAACAATTGATGTAAAGAAAACATAGTTGTTTTTAAGAAAAAATATATAATTGTTTTTGCAAATTTATATTTTTTCTTAAAAAAACTGTTTTTTGTAACAATTGATTCTTCTTATTATTAATTTTAAGCATAAAAATATTGAGGCAAAATAATCGAAAAATAAATATATTTTATGAGAAAAATTTAATTGATTTTATATGTAAAATTACATGTAAAATGTCGAATTAAAGTATAAAATATCTCGTAAATTGTTCAATTGTTTTTAACCATTGTATTCTTATAACTTTTAATTTTTTAAATGTTGAATATTTGCAGGATCGATCTCTAGAAATAAAAAAATTAGAATAATCCCATTTAAAGAAACTGAATTTATTTTCACATGATCTTGAAAAATTCAAGATTATCCCAACTTTTCTCTTTCTTAAATCCCTACATTTTGTCTGAAACCTTTTTTGTACATTAAATTTCAAAGCATATTTCTTTACAAATTTGCACATCTCTCTGAATTTGTTGATAACTGTACAGATCGAATAAATATTTAATTAAAAATAATTAAAATATCTAAATTTATATATATATATTTAATTTAGATATTCATACAAAAAAAAAGAAAGATATCGAACTTGATAATTCTTTGCAGATTGCGGTCTTCGTCAGTCCTATACTTGCAGTGTTGTTTTCCATTTTTGGTTTCTGCATACGTTACATAGATACTCCGCATGCATTTCGCTGGATGTTCCATATATCGTATTTCCGTGCGGGTTTCCAGAGTCTGATATACACTATGTACGGATTTGACAGGATGGACTTGAAGTGTGATGATTTTTACTGTCACTACAAGAAACCCAACAAATTTCTCGCAGAAATGGATATAGTTGACATAAACGTGGTGAACAATCTGATACTTATACTTGGTATTGGTGTACTGATGCATCTTCTAACTGCCAGTGCGCTTTGGTGCAAACTCAATAGGAGATGAGCCAAATGCAATTCGTTGATACAGTATTGTACATAATTTCTATGAAAAAGTGATGCTACAAATGATTAAAAAATGTCGATATATCACGTAAAATATTGTTTTTTGGGGAGAGATTGCGCTGGAGACCATTAAGCATGAATGGGAGAATTGTTAAATAAACTATTATTTTCGCTTGTTTTTTTATCTCAGTTCGCGTTCCATAAATATTTTCTACAAATCGTTTTTTTTTCGAGAACTTTTTACATAGTGTGAAAGTATATAAAATATCATTAGCGAAATTTTCTCTTGTATTGTAACCAGACGAATCGCTAAAGCAAAAGCGGTAATATAATTGAGAATTAAAAGATGTGATAAGATTTGTGTAAGGTCCGAGTGTGTGTCTACAGGGTGCGGCGTGGAAACCTGAAAGATGTTAAAACGGCGAAGCGCGCTCTGTAGGCGAGATATCGAACTCGTTCGACCGAGGTTCGAAAGAGGAAGAACAGACAATATTTTGGTCATATAGTTTATTTACATAACTTTGTTGTTTTAAAAATAATATCAGACAAATGATTACCCTTATTTTTTACACAATTTTCGAGACGTTTCACAAAACTATCGTACACTTTTTCCAACATTGACTTCGGAATTGCGGCCGCATGTCGTCGAATTTCAGTCTTGAGTTCTTCCAAGTCTTTCGGCTTCGTTTCGTAAACTCTGGACTTCAAATACCCCCACAAAAAAAAATCACAAACTGATAAATCGGGCGAGCGTGGCGGCCAGGAGAGAGACGCAGTTCTCGAAATTAAGCGGTTACCAAACATCTTTCTCAAAACAGTCATCGTTTCATTCGCCGTATGGCAAGGCGCCCCATCCTGCTGAAACCATGTTCGACTCAGTTTCTTCTTCTTCGTCAATTCCCGCCGAACGAAGTTCGTTAACAACTCTCGGTAGCGTTCCCCGTTTACCATTCCATCGAAAAAAAACGGACCGATGACGCCCCACTTGGAAACGCCCATCCAGACGGTAACCTTGGGAGAGTGAAGGGGTTTCTCGTTGATGACACGCGGGTTCTCATCACTCCAGTAACGAACATTTTGCTTATTCACATCACCGTTTAAATAAAAATGTGCTTCGTCTGTTATCATGATGTCTTCGAGTGGAACTTCTCTGCTCTTGATTTTTTGCAACATCGTTCGACTGAATTGGATTCGTTCCTTATGATCGGCGACTTTGAGCTGTTGGGTGTACATAATTTTATATGGATGAAAATTCAAGTCTTCATGAAGAATCCGCCTCAAGGTTCGATCCGATATCTTCAAATTTTGCGCGTGCAAACGAGCGGATCGACTCGGACTGTTTTCCAAACTGAGACGAACTTTTGCGATCGTTGGGGAGGTTCGGACGGTCAAGGGAGGGCCGGGAGGTTTCTTTTTTAACACAGAACCTGTCTCACGAAAATTTTTAACCCATAACCTCAAGGTATTGTCAGAAAAAACTGGTTTGGTACGCGCAATTTGAAATTTTTTACGAAACTCACGAACAGTTACCGTGTACGAATTGTTACGAAAAAACCGCTCTATAGCGAACGCGCGATGCTCGGCACTCCAGCCACCCATGGTGCTCGTTGACTAACTGAAAAATATTGTCTGTTCTTCCTCTTTCGAACCTCGGTCGAACGAGTTCGATATCTCGCCTACAGAGCGCGCTTCGCCGTTTTAACATCTTTCAGGTTTCCACGCCGCACCCTGTATATAAGTGTACATAAGCCCGAATGATATTAAAGGGCAGAAACACAGAATATCTGTGTGTGAGTGTCACTATTATAATTTAGAATCATGAAATATTTAAAGCTTTAAGAACGCGATAAACAATATAATGTATTGTAGTGCTAGCTTGTAAATTTTAATGTATATTTATAATTCACGTTTTTTCTAGTATTATATCTACGGAGATGCGTATATAGTTATATAAATTATCTATATAAATATTTTGTTAATTGAATATATATTTTGTTTATTGAATATATATAAATATATTTATATTTAAACGTTAATGTATCTTATCAATAACCGAATTATTTCTCCCAAAGAACATAAAACGGAAATAGATATTAATCGTGAAACTTTTTCCTAGAAGGGAAAGTTTCTGTTTTTTTTTTTATTAATTTTATGTTAAAAAATAATTTTTTATACGTGATAAAAGAACACTAAAAGTTGTTAAAAATATGCATTTAGTTTCTTGTCTTTATTCCATCACTGGCATTTGTTTATGTATAATTTCTACATTTAAATATATATTAATAGAATTCTTATACAATGTAGAACGAAGAAATTTCATCATTCAATCAATTATAATATAATTTAATCCTAATACTTGTGTTATTTAAATTTTTAACTACAATATATATATATCTGTGTTATAACTTATGTACATTATGATAATTTGTGCAAACATTATGTGTAATTATAAAGTATTATTATCCAAAAAATCATAATTAATCTTTAAAGATTAATTAAGATATGTACATATAGTAGCAATGAACAATGATATATTTTGCGTTATAATTTGAGCAATGTAAGCTCTATAAGAAATCTATTTTTTCAAAACATTTTTGTGGAAATTAGCTTATACAATTACAATTTCGTTTTAAAAATTTGTTCATTTATGTGACATTATATATATATATATATACTTTTTTTTTTTCTTATAGAATCTATAAATAGAATTTATGTCCAGTAAAAGTATTTTTAAGCAATTACTGTAACAAACTGACAGATAACTTACTGTAGGTATATTTATATTTCACTTTAAATTTAATCAGAATCAATACACAGGAAGATATACTAATATATTTATCGTTTTAATTATAATGAGCTCATACAATCATAAATAACTAAGCATTACCTGCAGTTACTTCTATTGTATTAACAATAATCGCAGTCTTGTTCATTACTCGTATATTAACATGATTCTTGAGGATATTTTTTGTTGCTCGTCATTTTCTTATATATAAGTAAGTGCCATAAAATGCACGTATAAAGATCGATATTGCTCTATTGTAGCTTCTATAAGGAAGATAATACTGTATCTTTTAATAACTTATTCTTTCTTGTAACTTTAAGTATTAAAATAGAATAAAAGTAGCGACTAGAAATAAAATTAGTGAAAGACTCACCAATGTATAAAATAATGTTTTTCACAATGTTAATCATATGAAGCTGTAGCTATTTACATAACATTACATTTATGCCATGGAATATTACAAGTGACAATAAATATAAAATTGCATGTTTAATATAATACTCATATTATAAACTTTCATTTTTATATACATTATTGTGTGTAAATATAAATTCAGATAAAATTGGTATAAATATTTTTTTAGACAACATAAGATAAATTTATAATTTTTACTTTAATTTATCGTTTTTTCTTAAATACAATACAACACATTCTGTACGATAAAATAATAATCATCAGCAATAATAATCATTTTTCCAACTGTTCATGAAGTTTTACTGATTTCTATTTGGATAGATTGTTAATAAAAAATGATGAGCTACTGACGGAAATTCATAATTTATGATTTCAAAAATATCTCAAGAGTTTTGTAAAACATCGTTAAATTTTTTCAATCTTTCAGTTGCTTAAATATTTGACTTTGACAAACAAAACTTGTACAATATGATTACAACATTAATGCAACTCTATATATATATATATATATATATATTGATATATATTTTTTTAAATAAAATAGTATACTAATCATCAGAATCCGGATTTTGGTACCGTTTTCTCCACTCCAAATGCATGCTAGCGGCCGAACGAAAAGCAGTATCGTTTACGCCGCGCCGGTCTAACGTAGCAAAGAGGATAGAATACAAATACACATACATTAATGACAAATATTATATATATGTATATATATATATATATATATATATATAATATTTCTATTATATTTTATATAATATATAATATATATATATATATATATAATATAAATATATATATAATATATATATATATATATATATATATATATATATATATAATATTTCTATATATTATATATATAAATGGCACCGAGATCCGGACTACTAATCACAATATCATCAAATTCATATCGTGTTGTTTACTATGGAAAGAAGATTTATATAGATACTTGTATACTTAAGAAATACTACTTAATAAATTTTAACATTTGTTTTTCATTAATATAGGTATATTGTATCATTTTTTAAATTTCTCTGATTTGTAATTTTATGGGATACTAAATTTTGAATCTCCTTATTATAAAATGTGAAACGCTTTAATTTACAGATAATGCTTCATCATTCAGTGATGCCCAATTTGAAAAAAAATTAAAAATACATTGATGCACAATCTATTTAAATAGACCGATGGTACCAATGAAACGGAATTTAATAAATCTGCAACTTTTATTTTTATAATTTGGAGATATATATTTTTTTTCTCTCTGTGGAAGTAAGAAAAAAAGAATAGAATTATAAATTTCAGAACTCTAATTTATGTCTCCAGAATTTTATTTTTTTTAAATTTTTAAACAATACAATATTTTTGTAAATACAATTTAGCTTCGGGCCGAAAGAGTTTTGTCGAAACTGTAATACTTAAATATCTTTCATTGGTGCCGTCGAAACAGCAGTTATATAAATAGAGTACAGCGGGGCAATTTGGATAGTGAAGCATTTTATTGGCTAATATTAAGATTTAACGCACGTGCTTGGAGAGATGCTGTTCGTTTGAGCGATGCGATGGAAAAAGTCTTTCAAAAGATTATTCTTTTGTTTAGTGGCGCTATAACAATTGTAAAAAAATTGAAAATTAATTTTATTCTATTCAAATAATCCCGCCGTAACCTATTTTATACACATAATACTATTAGTAGCCTATATTTTTTATGGAATATTTCCCATAATTATATAGGCACAATACTGCAAATTAATAATTTAACATGAATGAGACATATAATTTTTATTGAAAATATTAGTTAAATAAAATAAAAATGATTAAATATATAAGGGAAAAAGATTTTTACTTGATGAATTTGAAATTGAAGTCAAGTTATTAAAGAAAGACCACACACATAAAATTACGATTGTAAAATATAATTTTTATGCCTACTATTTACAATAAAGAATTTTATATACTGCTTTTACTTAATAATTATTTACATTTAAAAACTATATCTCTCCTCAATCGTGAACTTTCATTGTATATTTCGCTTTTCTTTGCGCCTCCGTTTCATCTTCTAAGCCATAAAGATGAGATCGATGCTTCATTTCAGTCGCAATAGACTTTAATAAACCAACAGAAAAACAGAAAAATAAACATAAGAATATAACGTAGATGTTAAAACAGAAGGAATATAAAATATCATATTAAAATGAATGAAATAAGCCACGTTGATAGAGATGCTATCCATTATGATAGTAATCTCAGACTAAACTCACCAAACGGGAACGCACTCTTTTTGGCATATCTTCATGTAAACTGTAAATTTCATTGCGTTTTAAAACAAGTTGCGAGCCATCCTCGAAAATCACCTAAACAGAAAAATGATTATTAATAATTAAACGATTAATATGAGAAATAAATTATCAAATCATAATACCACATTTACTTACAGTAAACATTATCTGATGATTTGTACCTTCGAAGACACCATCATATTTTTGCCCATCTGTCCAGTTTACAGTTACAGCGGCTCCGAGTGGTGGTGTATTTCCAGGATCGTAATTCTAAACATAAAAGATTTCAATAATAAGCCTACAAAGTAGATTTCTCAAAAAATATATATTTTTATACATTTTGTTTACAATTTTTATTTTAATAAGCTTCAGACAAAGAATAGAGCACAAATAAAGACCTAATTTTATCAATTATTTAATACGCATATTAGTTAGTAAATAACTAGTAAATTGGTTATTGGATGATTGCTCGAATATTTAATATGCCTTAATATTAATGATTGGCTTAAACTAGGTCAAAACTGTATAATAGTTATAGACAGACAAACAGTTATAATAGTTATTGACAGACAAACAGACAAAGTGAAAGAGAGAGATTAAGAAGGAGAGAGGGAAGATTGGAAGAAGAGTGGGAGGGAGGGAGAGAGATTAAGTTAATAATTTGACAAAATAAACTGCACAAAAACTTACGATTATATCAGAGGGAAACAAATCATCGCTGAAGCTGTTATCGTTAAATGTAACCATGTAAAAAAGAATGTCCTGAATAGACTTGACTTTGGCTTGATAATATCTGGTATTTCGATGTTTTGCCCAAACAACCTCACCCTGCCGTATTTGTGGTATTTTCCCTTTGCCTTCGTCATGTCCGTTACATGTTACCTATGAATGGCGTAGATTAAATAATATTTTTCCTGTTAATATTTTTCCTGTGCGCTTTCGTGTAGTTGTATGATTATCAATAAGACTCTACCTGTAGTTCCTGCGAGTTGTATACCGGTATGATAAACGTGGCACCCGCCGCGAGACCGCAGGACGGATGAAACACGTTGGTACATTGATTACACTTCAGGCACGCTCCACCATCTTGCCCACAGAAGCAACACTTCTTGTGACACGAATCCGCCATAATCGTTAACACATTGATGGGATCTTTATTTATGGCATCTTTGAAAGTGGCTCCCGGTACCATAAGCGTGCACAAGATGTGTGCCCATCGGCTATCGCTGGTACGTTTCAAAGGACCGCCGAACATCGGGCACAAACAACACATCTAGTTTGTTGTGACAAAGTGAGATTAGATAAAATGGGTATTTAACGAGATAGAGAAAGAGAAAAAAAGGAAAAAAAAATAGATGATTTTTCAACACGTACCACATCGTTTCTACCAGCCTTACATCTGTCACAGGCCCAATTTCGAATATCCTTAGGTAATATAGTTATGCCGTAACAGGATGCATGAACAGTCACGTGGCATTCTCTACACCGTAAAAGTTTGTTGTTTTCCGGCTCCATAGCCTGTTCCTTGGAATTGGCCGCAAAAATATTGGCAGACACCTGATGTGTACATATATATATATATATATATATATATATATATATATATATATATATATTAAGTATACAAATAAATTTTCCACTTTATATGAAATTCAACATTTATTAATAAATTATACACATACTGTTCTATCATAAAAATAATCACATTTTTCAGCATTTTCTTCCATCTTCCAAGTAAATTATAGATTCCGAAGAGATAGAAAGTTTGGTTTTAACTTGTGATGAATTCATTAATTTTGTTATTTCTTTGACTATTATTTGTCCTGACGTAGCATATCTTGTCTGATATAAAATTTACAAATATCAAAGAAATAAGAAAATAGCTTAATGAATTTGTAAGTAAAAATCAGATTTTCTATCCATTCAGAATCTATAATTTACCTGAAAAATAGAAGTAAGTGCTGAAAAATGATGGGGATTATTTTCATGATTGAACTGTACATGTGTAATTTGTTAATAAACATTAAATTTTATAAAATAGTGTAAAACTTATTCATATATCTAATAAATTACTCATTTAATATCTTAAAATATTTGTCTAATTGCATACATTTGTTGCATACATTTACATTAATTTAATTAAGAGAAAGAGAGAGACAAATTAATAATTAATCATTAAACTTCTATTTTCCTCACCCATATCGGCGTGTTTTCAGGTAACGTAGTCGATTGGCAATATCTCCAATCAGGTGGCATCACTCTGCTGTTTCCACTCGTACACGAGGCAAAAGTAGCGCATATTGCACAATGAGAGACTTGAGCGCTCCAATAATTATTGAACGCTCTCAGCAGATCATTATTTGGTATATTCGGATAAATCATCTCTGAAATGTGTCCCGGTATCATCGACGTGATTGGTTGGGAACTGCAACTGAATTGCGACACATCGATGGATTGCGTTGATTTTGCGTCGTTTTGATCTCTCGTAATTTCAAGCGCAGGAGCAATAGTCGCTGTTATTTGCTTTTTTCTCGTTGTAGATTTCTTCAACTTTTCTTTGGGCTTCTTTCTCAAGATAGATATTTGTTTTTCTTTAGAGGAGGATAAATGTGGATGAGTATTAATTGATATTTTTATCGAGTCTTCTGTATTGTCGGATATATTTGAACTTGATATATTTTCGCTCTCGTTAAGTTGCACATCACCTACAGCAGAGTTCCTCTCAATCAAGGAATACCTATTCCATATTGTATCTTGCGTATTTGTAATTTGCGATGAAACGTTGTCCTCATTAGACAGATTATAGTTCAATGCAGACACGTCGATAGGATTATTGACTTGCGTTCCGATGGAGGTACTCGTAACATTTGTTCGAGATGTATTCATAAATGTGTTGTTATTCGATTTGTCGTTCTTCGAAGATGATTTTTTACGTGAGGTTTGTCTCTTTTGCGACTTTTGGCGCGTCGCATTCTTGGTAGTAGCTTGTTTCGAGATATTTGGAACAATTGCAGATGCAGAATTTATGATGGCCAATGCATTAGAATTTTGAAGATATGTCATGTTATTAATAGATGTGGGTGAAGAATAATTACGTATGACTGAAGAGGGTGACAACATCGTATTTGGTACATAAGGTATTTGAATAGGAGGTTTTTGAATTTGAATATTGCCTTTATTCACCGTTCTAGGCGCCGGTTTAGACTCAGTTTCCGAATGACGGATATACTGATTGTCTGTCCAGAATTTCTTTCCTCCGCTTTCCACAGATGTAGTTCTTTCCGATCTCATTTTGTTGTTGAGTTGATTAAACATTGGTCGATTTAAGTAATTGTTGGAAAGTAAGAAGTTGTCTTCTGATTTAATTGAAGCAATGCCAGGCGAAAAATTATCCAACTGCGGTAAACTATTACTAAATGTATTATCATTTCCAACGTGGGACGCTTCTAATTCATTCTCATTCTCTAAAACCGGAGGATTGTTTGAAATAAACGCAGAAGGATCTGGCAAGATCGTAATATCCATAGTTTGATGCAACAAAGTGTTTTGACTTGCAGCAGTATTTTCAGGCTGTGAAACTCTCATTGGTATTTGAGGTAGTATACTTAATCGAGATGGTTTGATCAAATTCTTATTTTTTATTGCTCCATATTCCATGGGCATTATAGGTTTGAGTTTTGTATCCGGTTTCGCATGAATAATAGCTTTTGTACTTTCATTTTGATATCCAGAATTGTTTTGTACTATAGCATTATAATTTTTTTTCATTAGGGAAGGATTTAGTATTATTTTGCAAGTATTATTTTTGATATCTTTTAAGAAACAAGTATTTATCGCTTTATTTTCCACTGTATTATTCATTACTATTTCTGTGCCATTGTCATTGCTGCAGTCAAAATTTGTCATTTGATTACTATTAGTTATATTTATAGTAGTTTTATCTTTCATATTTGTCATACAATGTTCATTATCAAACGAAATATTTTCAGATAATGCATTGACTTTTTCTTCATTGTTAGATATATCTTTTACAGTATGAACACTATGAAGCTCAGGTAGCATCATATTTTTATGTTGTACATTAGCATTTGACATATCTAAAGGATGACCATAGAATGGTATATTATCATGTTTAGATTTACCTTTGAAATTTTTAAATCTTATTTTCCTCTGCCCACTGTGACTCGAATGCTTTTTCCTCTTTTTGGTAGATTTATCGACAGATTCAAAATCTATTTTTAGAGGATCTTCCGTGGGTTCGTTTTCTATTATAATATTGTCATTGTAATTTCCTTGAATCACAGGAATTTCATCGCTATTTTCCTGGGATATATCTTCAAAAGTACTTATGTCTTCAACTTCAGTTTTTATTTCAATTTTAATTACATCATCCACATTCTGTGTATTAATAATTTTAGCTTCCTTTTTAGATTTTGATTCCATCTTCAATTTTTTTTCTCTACTTCCACTTTGTTTTCTCTTCTTTTTTTTGCTCTTCTTGCGATTATAACCATCATCATACACAGACGCTTCCTCAACATCTAATAAAAGGTATTTCAAATTGATAAAAATGAAAAAATAAATAAAACTACATCGATTACATTGATTAAAATAAAAATATATCATACAATATTTCTTACCCATTTCTCCTGCTTTTAACCAGATATCTTCTAAAACTTGCAACTGTTGTTCGTCTGGCTCATCTAATGGCTCCTCTATTTCTTCAAATTCGAGATCTTGCAAAGCTTTTTTAATATCCGCAGGAATATCCACACGATTCACTAATTCTTCCATATTAACACCAGAATTTGTGTCAATAATTTTTTTCTTATGAATCATGTGTCGCTTATTTTTCGGTGCTGCATTCAGATAGCTTTGTGGCAATTGACCATTGTTACTGCTGCTACACAATAGATCCATTTGCGACGGCATTGGTGCAGCAGTTTGCCTAGGATCTTCAGGATGGGGACCAATATCTTCACCACGTAGCCATAAATCGTACCTATGTCATTGGAATTAATATTATACAAATTATATTATGAGATACTATATCATATTTTAACATATATATGTATGTATATATATATATATATATATATATATATATTTTCCTCTGCCCACTATATATATATATATATATATATATATATATATATATTGTGTATATAATCATATAAAATGTTAAATAAGTTTAGGATATTATTTATACCTCTCTGGTTGAAAGCGTTTAACAAAAGTATCCATAGATATCTTGACCATGTCTTTACTACACGAACATTGTGTGGCTCTCTTCCCATATTCTACCCATCTAGGTGCTGCAAAATTGGTGGATTCGGCACAATTGAATCCATGATTAAAACCAGCATGATAACCATATGGAAATGTAATCATTATTTCTCCAGCTTCTTGTGTTATCTGTGAAAATGAAAACTGTGAAGTAGCCAGGAACAATATCTAGAATTCACAATTGTGGCATAAATGGAAAAACACTTACCTTATTACATGGAATAGAATATTGTCTTAATATTTGAGGAGATATTAGAGACATTTTATGGCGCAAGAAAGCCTGGCAGCTTTGATAACTCGATGGAAAAAAACCACTGGCTAATCTCTCTAATCTACGTCCATGTTCTGGAGGTATGGCATACCATGTTTTGGGCGCACCAAAATGAAGATAATTTATAGAATAAAGATCCATATCCTCCGTATGCCATGCAAATGTGGTTTTCCACATTCCAAAATACAGGTAAGCTGTATTGACTCCATCAATGGATATACCATAATCTTTATTAACATAATCCAAAATCGTTCCCAAGTGATTGATGTTCCATTCCTTTACATCAGGATCAGTCAAAGAACCAGACACATCTGCACCATATATCGGTGCTACATATGTTATGTTTTTCCAATATTTCCTCTCCAGATCCTCGTAATCAAAATGACGAGGAGTAACATAACGTTCAGAATTGGCTAATTTACTATATTCTTGGACGGTCATTGATTTCTTTTGAATATTGATTTGTTGATAAAGCCCTTGCTTTCCAGTGACAACTTGACAGATTGGCGCTGGGATAGTGAGATCTAGCTCGTCTAAGTTGTAGCCCGTTTTCCTTGGGACCCATTCAGGTGGCGGTATTACTTTTGCCAAACCAGCTTTATGAGCTCCTTGACTCTCCATATATTCCACATATTTTGTGAAATTTTTAAATTCCTCATACGTTGGTCGAAAGACCTGTATGCGAGGTATTCCTCTTGAATTATTGGCCATTGTTGAATTTATTACTGCTGCAAATCAAAGATAATTTTAAATATTCAATGGATATAGTAATTAAAGATAATTTTTAAATGACTTTAATAATATTGTAATTATTTTTTACTTTTATAGTACTATATATAAATTATTTTTCGTCTTTTAACTATTATTTTTGATCTTTTTGTGTGATTAAGTATAAGAAAAATGTATATGCTGTGAAAATTTGTTTTAAAAAACATCTATTTTTTATCTTCCCTTTTTTAATATAAGTCAAAAATATCACACCTAAAATTTTTAAAATGTTTGATTTCAATTTTGATAATAACTTTTATTATAAAAATAATAATTCATTATAAAACAGATTATTATTCATTTAAAAAAAAAGAAAGAAAACGATACCGTACAAAAATTTATTGACAATCTAGTATAATTCACACTTAAATAATACTAGCATCGTTTTAATCCGATTTAAAACGATTGTACCTAGTTAAATATTTATATATCGAAAAACGCTCCTGTCACGATGCATTAGCTAAATATAAACGCTCGTTACGATGCATTTCATTCATCGTGATTCGTTACACGCGGATGCATCTTTAGGTGCATCAATGCATGCAAGTGATAGTATAATCGTGCACATTTTCAAGCCTGTCAAATCACGAGAAGCATCGAGAAATTAGACAGCAACTGGGATCATCATAGAACCGAGATAAAAAAAAAAAAAGACGCAAAAAGGTACGTGCACGATTTTAATATTTCGAAATCGTAGGTAGGTTCGATGTTTTTAGAACGAAACGTGAGGGTGGTAGAGAAGGAGGGGAGGAAGAGAGAAAGGGGATCCATAAACAAAATGGTAGTTATCTATTGTTACGGGAATCTTTCTCTCGCGCAACGCGAAGGATCCGTTCGATCGTGACTCTTGGGGATGCTCGCTACGCGATTATTCCCCGTTTAGGATATTTTCTCGATCGAACGAATCAACGGAGTGACGACGAGATGAACGGCTCGCGAGAGCTCGTGATTGCACGGACATTCGAGGAGAACCGTGACGGATGATAAATCGCCCTTTGCAGTGCTTGACTGTTAAAAGACAGATAAGACGGGTCACTTACACGCGCCCGAATGTACGATCACCTCTCCTGTATCGGTAGCATCATCCGCGAGAAGGGACCTCGCTGCTCTAATAATCACCACACGCGATTTTTGACACAACACACGGGTTTTGATGTGCAGCAGCGGATGAGCCGCGCAGCGTCGTCGTCGTACGCGCAGTGAGGTGGCGCTTGTGTCGGCCCCGCTCGCGACCGCTCGCAACCGCTAGCGACATCTACCGACGGCGTTCCAAATTCGGATTCTTGCCGTTTGTCACGTAGGCCAATATACGTATGTATGTGTGTATGTGTACAGTAGGCGCCAATAATGAAATATATACAGGGTCCTCGAAAAGTCCGGAAACGGTCGAATATCTAAAAAATAAAGCATTTTAGAGAAAAATGTTTCAAATAAAAGTTGTTTGGTTTAAACAGAGCTATAAAATGGTGGCAATGGTTTGATCTTGAATAGTCGCTGGAAGGTCACATGAAGGTTACCTTGAATTTTTTAAATGGAACATCCTATATGGTTTTGCATATTTTAAAACACTATAATTAAGTATTTTTTCATTGAGTACTTTTCATTAAGTAGATAAAAAAACATAGTTGTTTTTGAGAAAAAAATATGTAATTGTTAATTGCAAGTTACATATTTTTTTTAGAAACTATTATGTGTTTTCTTTACACATTCCCCAAGTTTTGGGGAAATACTATAAAAATGTTTCTATAAAGTTTCTCCCCAAGTTTTGGGGAAATACTATAAAAATGTTTCTATAAAATGACCATAAAAATATTTCTATGAAAAACATGTACTCCACAATATAATTGTTATTTAAAACATAACAGTTATATAACATGTAACAGTTATATTGTTGAGTAGGAAATTATAATTAACAGTTATATAATTGTTACTTGGTGTTTGCTGGGTTCTAATTTAAAAGTTACATTTAATCGATGAAATTTTATGATTTTATGATAAAATTTTATGTCAAAATCGATCTCTTTGGTTGAAAAATCATTGATTCATCTGTCGAAAAAATTAAATACAAGTTAGTTCCCATACAACACAAAATATTGCAGCAATATTATTAATATTGTTGTAATATTGCCGCAATATTGCAGCAATGTTTTATGCTGTGTGGGTTAAATTTGTCATCATGTAACTAGTTAGAATAACTATAAATTACATATCTATTACATATCTATTACATTAAATTAAATCAAAATTGGCACATAAGAGTTTCAACGCGGTTAATTGGAGCGCAGAGAAGAAATAACATTTCCTTTTTATTAATAATTTTGGGTTTATTTCGAATTTAAAATTAAAGTAATTACTTTTAACTTTACCGCGTTGTGATTCTTATGTGTCAATTTTGATTTAATTTTTTATTTATTTGAGCCAAATTCTCCTAACTAACTCAGCAAACACCAAATAAGTTATATAATTATTAATTATAATTTTCCACCCAACAATATAACAATTACATAACATGTAATATTATATATTGTTGAGTAGAAAATTACAACTAACAATTACATAAATGTTACTTGGTGTTTGCTGGGATTAATTATCTATTAATTATCTATTACATTGGCTTCTGCGCATGGGAAAGATATTTTAGTACATGTTTTTCATAGAAATATTTTTGTGGTTATTTTATAGAAACATTTTTATAGTATTTCCCCAAAACTTGGAGAATTAATAATCTAATATTATGTATATTTGCCTACGGCCACGTTGGAATGAAGATAACGCTGAGGAATGATTAGTCCTAATAATTTGCACATGTATGTTTCTATTTGAATTCACGGAATAAAAAATCGATGTACGTATTTCTTATAATATTTGGTCTCTTATCAATTACTATATTAATTCATACATTCTTTTCCCTCGCGAATTTATTATCTTGTCTTCTTCGCAGGTATAAAGATATTTTGTCGAACACAAAAAAGTTACATCGCGTGATATTAAACTCTCTCATGTTTTTCGGAAAAAAAATATTTTGCATTCTTTTCACTCTACATGTTTTACAAAATTGAATTTTTTTATACCGGCGAATCTGTAAATATTCATTCTTTTTTGACAGAATTTAAGTTTATCACTTAAACTATTTTTACACAAGAAGATAGTGTATATGAACATGAGGTACTTGCAGATATTCTTGAGAATGATAAACCTTATCTAACGAGTCGCGATGATAACACATGGCCTTTGATAAAATGGACGAATTCACGGATTTTATAATCGTTATTTACTTACCTCACAGAAAATTATTTACTTACCTCACAGAAAATTGATTTTTCTCCTCGATTCACTATTGATGTATTATCAGCACGTTACATGTGTTAAATGGAGGAAGCGTCGTGGGAACGTCGTTTCTAGATCTCCAGTTTAAAATATAAACGCAAGAAAACTACTTATTTTATAGATCAGTATTCTAGGTAGATCTAGGTAAATCTAGGTGCATCGTTCGAACCAATCAGAACGAAATCTCTTTAGTTCTAATTGGTTGATCGAACAATTTCGGGGGAAAAAAATACAATGAGACACAATAATATATTAATACTCGTGTAAATGTAAAGTGATATATCGGAATTTTTGTTCCTAGAAAGCAAAGGACATATATATACATATATCTGTATATTTTCATGATTAAATTTTATAAAATTGTAATCATTTATACACAATCAACAAGAAGATGATATCTTTAAGACAAGATTAGCAAAATCTAATAATTATCAAGAAAAGATTCAGATTATTTATAATAAAATTTCTTCCGCGATATTTCCATATTTGTATAAATTTTTATGTTATGCCTAGATACAGCACAGAAAAAAATTATAGACACACACATATTATATATAATAATTATAATTATATTATTATATTAATAATATAATTCATGTCTAAAAATTGTATTAAAAAAATCTAGAAAAATGTATAAAAATTAGCAAATTAAGTCTATAATAGCCAGCCACAGGATTTAATGTGTGTAGATTTTTTTTTTTATTAATGAAATTATAAAATGCAATCCAGTAAAAAATTATCAGTTGAAGAGATATTGAATCAACAATTTTTCAATCAGAGATCGATCGATATAGACATGAAATTTAATCGATGTTTTTGTGACTTTTAAATTAGGTCTGTATAAGATGTTTATTTAAAGATTTATAAAAGGTTTAAAAATCTATTAGTGCTTTTTATTATATAAACGTTTATCTTGATGATCTATATACGACTATCTCACATACATTCAGTAATAAAAATATATTTCAATACACGCAATAAATGAATTATTTCATTCGTTTGATTTCAAATAATCTTAACTATATATTCTACGTCCTGGCAAGGAGGATTCAAATTATTAAACAAATTACTTTAAATTATTTTAAATATAATAATATGTATGGTAAAAATATATTGATTTTTTTTTTGAAGAATCTGTCTTCGTCCATCCTCTTCACCCAGATTATACATTCGGATAACAAAAATATATTTCAATACGCAATAAATGAATTATTTCATTCGTTTGATTTCAAATAATTTTAATTATATTCTACGTCCTGGCAAGGGGGATTAAAATTATTAAACAAATTACTTTAAATTATTTTAAATATAATAATATGTATGATAAAAATGTATTGATTTTTTTTTTTTTTTTGAAGAATCTGTCTTCGTCCATCCTCTTCACCCAGATTATACATTCGGATAACACCGGTGAGCGCCTGGGACGCGAGAAACGCACGCGTCAGCGCCGCAGACGAACAGGTAAGCGCTGATAAAGGCGCGGGTAGACTCGAACGGCGGCGGAGTTTACATCTGGCAGAGTCAGTCGGTGGAAGAGAAAGCGGGACAGGCGAGGGAGATGTGAATGCACATACACGTGCCGAGGAAAACGCGCGGCGAGAAAATTCTCTCGTGGAAGGTCGGCGGCGACGCGACGACGACGTGAACGGAGCGACGAGCATGAGCGCTGAACTGGAATTTGCAGAGAAGAGGCGTGATCCGCGGCGTCGATCGTGCACGGACGTCGACAGGTCGCTTTACTTGCACTTCGAGGACATATCGTACAGCGTACGGCGAGGAATTTTGACCAAGGGTACATATGTGCATATAATATTAAATTCACCGATATAATGTCTTCAAACAAATTCTACACGGTGTTTCATATAAAGTGTTTAGAAGATATTTTCTCCAAACTTATTGTCGTACGAAAAATGTCTCAGATAAAATTTACAAGGTCTAACCGAGAGAGAATAAAGTGATAATTTTGTGATAATTTTGAATCTTAAGTAAGGTGATTTTTCAAGTTCACGAAGATGAATCTCGTTTTTTCAAATGGAACCATTTTAATTTTTTTACAAATCGTTTTCTCTCAATATTCGACGTTGAAAATTATAAAGATGATGAAAAATTTAATAATATAATTATCTCCGTAAGATATTCATTTTTAGTTTATCTTATCTTAATATTTTTATACGAGAATAAATTTGTGTAAAGAAAAATATAGTTATATTATTTTAAGAAAAAATGTGAAAAAGAAAGTAAATTTGCAATGAGCAGCTATATGTTTTTTTATTTAAATTTTTGAAATATTTTTTCTATAATGCCTGAAATATTTTTTCTATAATGTTATTTTGGAGAAAATACTTTATAATATTTTATGTTGAACATCCTGTATTCAAGTAAGTGCATGTGTGATCAGTTATGCGAATACTCTTATATTAATCAGGGACATGCGTGAGCATTGCTGTTCCAATTAATTAAATTGCTGAATTCCTATAACATTGCTTTATTAAAGTAGCAAGAATAGTAAAAATAAATTTTTACAATAAAATACATGAACACTCGTAATAAATATAATATACATAAATTTTCCTATACAATATGCCTAAATTCGCATTATATTGTAATGCATTTAATGCACATAATAAATTTATTAAAAACTAAAACTTTTATTTAAAAATCAGAGAGAGAGAGAGAGAGAGAGAGAGAGAGAGAGAGAGAGACAATGTAAATATTTGGAAAAAATAAACGAGTCATAAAAACATCATTGACTAATCTAATAGTAAGATAGACAGAATTATGAGCAGAGTAGAATACAGCAATTGAACATGGATTACAAATTCTGCTTAAAATTATAATGCTATGGAATATTAACATGTCTGAAAACATATGTATGATTATAATACGTATCATATTTTTCTGTCCATGTACATAAGTGCATTAACATGACATTATACAGCAGTCGTAATTCTTAATAGAAACAATGCGATTAAAAATTTTTATGATGTGTGTATGAGAAAATAATATATGCACGTATTTGTTCTTGAAGAAAACGAATTAAATTTTGCAAATGAAATCATGCATAATTATAACAATATTAATAATAACAATAACGATAAATTATTCTAACATAATGGAATTTGATAAAGAAGTATATAAATATATTCTTAAAATAATTAACTATATTTCTAAGGGAAATCTGGCACACAGAAAAACTTTCACATTTAATAATCAATTATAACAAATAAGTAATTGAAATCTTATCGACATTGATTTTAAATGATGATATTGATAGAAAAAAGAGATAATAATAAATTCCTCATTCTCGAGCGCTTGTATCATAAGTATAAAAATCGAGGCAAAAATCTGAGTACAAATAATTGTAGAATAATTTCAGAAACAAAATACAAAAAGATACATCGATCATCATGAAATATTCCTTGAAAAACTTGAAAATTGATAAGATATACATACTAGCTATTTATTTGATTTTGCTTCAAAGCGATGTAGCATGATACATAGCATGACGTGTGCTTTATTAATCTTAAGATTGGGATGTTTAATTATATACATTGTCGAGATAAAAATTACTTTTCTAGCTGTGGAAGAAGATCCCAAAATTTCCGAATACAATTTGAAATAATCTCATGTTTTCTTTTTTTTAAAGATAAAATATATTTGTACAGACATTATTAACATTAAAATACAAAATCTTATATTAAAGATGGTATACGATATTAGAATTAATAATTCACTTAGTACATGATTATTTAAGAATTAGTAATCTAACAATATTAATTAAGATAGTTGATAGTATTAAATAACATCTTCTGATATCGCGAATATAAAACAAATATACATCTAATGCATAAGTTGATTTTTCGAATGCAGAATATAATTAAATCACGCATTTTCCAGATATTAGCATAACTAAGCATGAATCACGTATATGAATCGATAAAATTAAGAATAAATTAAGAATAAATTACAGTAGATAAAGAATTATATATCGAAAACAGACAAAACGAGTTATTAAAAGTTGACAAAGCGTCAAAGGTATTACTTATTACTCATAATGAATGAAAGAATCAGATATTTTTATTTGAAACTTTGACGTGTACAATTATTTAATTATTTACTTAGATCATATATTTAGGACATTGATCATACATTGTAAAAATCATATTATCTTGCGAGAATCCATATTATTTTCTTAATTATCAGTTGTTGCAAGTCTTTTTTTTCAAATAACGACCTATTATTAATAACCTATATTAATAACGTCTATTTTGTTTTGTAGAGAGAAGAAAATTACTGCAGGATCTTAATGGCGATTTTCGACCCGGTGAACTCACAGCTATTATGGGTCTTTCGGGCGCTGGAAAATCTACACTAATGGATATCTTGGCAGGTTTCACGTAAGTTTAAGCACTTTATATACTACATTCCTAGCTAATCTCGTGGCGGCGAAAAAATAATCATAGAACCCTAAATCTTCCCTATATCTGTGAGACAGAAGGATGACAAGAGGAATTTGTTCATTTACAATCATCGAATGACTGTTCAAAAAAAATGTATACTGTCCTAATCAATTTACATAATTAATATATATTTATATAATTAATAACAGAAGCAAATATCGAATGAAGAAAAAAATTAACAAAATTTTTTCTGGTTTTGTCGAAATGTTTATATTAGTTTAGATTTTTCTAAAGCGATTTGAATATAAACTGGAATTCACACAAAACATTCTCACATCTCATATTATCTATGCATGTAATCTTCATTATTGCTTCGTCTCTTTGGCTTTGAAGTCATGCGAATACATTATGAGACACGTATTTTATTACAGTTTTATTAAGTCCTCGCGAATTATTCAAAAAAATGTCTTGGCATGTAGATAAATTTTTAGATGTCGCAACATAAAATTGCTATTTGTATCTGCTAGAATGTTTATAACATGTAAAATTTGTAGCAAATTTTTTATAGTAATACTTTGTGGCAAATTTAGAGCCCTTGCCAAATGTTAATAACTTCATTAATTAAATATGAGTTTCTACAGCTAGATCTTTGTGAGAAATTATTTTTCTGTGTGCAGTTAAACTTTATAACAAATTATTATATAGCAAAACAATTAGCCTTAATATGGACAGAAAAACCTTTTCAAATTTCACTAACAGTTTAGATATAAATTTTATCTCTGTCATTTACATTGATTGAGTACATATTCATGAAGTACATATTACATTGAGTAAAACATATGCATATCATAATATTATCTAATCATTTATCTCTCAGTTAATTTTTCGCACCTACAAGTTGTTGCTATCTAATTGCAAGACTATTTTTTTGAATAATCACATTCTCCATTTTTAACATAATATTAATGACGAATTAAGAGATGAATAATAATGCAAGAATTAATACAATGAGATTAATACTATGATCTGATAATATGAATATACATGACCGATCGCATGTGAAGTTATGATACACGTGCACCGCAATTTGTCTTGTTCAAGGTCGCACGTGGCATACTCTTTGTCACTAGTCGATATCAATGTTGAAGCTTGCTTATTAGCAGCACGTCCGCTGCTTATTAGATGCATTTATCTACTCGATGCGTACTATGCGTCGAGATATTGTGGTCTGCGCGCATAAATAAGTTTTGCGTCCTTATCTTTTTCTGCGCTCTTATCTTGTTCCTTCTCTTGAGCATTTCTGCAATCTTATTTTTTTCTTGCTCCAACGTTATCTCTTGTTAAAGAACGCAGTACAACCTGTAACAATTTTTATACTTATACAATCTTAAATAATTTGCTTGGAATACGTTCATTAAAAAGGAAATTAGAAATATGTGTATGTGAAATAGACTTATATGAGAGAAAAGAGACAGTTCTATAAAATTATACGTATTTCTTTATATATAATAATAGCGATAATCGTATTTATCATTTTAATTAATCAGATAATTAATTATGAATTTTTATTTTTATTTTTTAATTTTTTTTATTTTATAATATGCCGGCTAATATATAAATACAGTGAATGTTAATACACAAATTACGATATATACGAGAGTCAGCAAGATGTAATGTATCTTAGGACAACTTCGGTCACCGGCAAGATCTTGGTAAATGAACGAGAAAGAGATATGTCGGAATTTCGAAAATTGTCCGCCTATATAATGCAAGATGACAATCTACAACCACTTTTAACGGTGCAGGAAGCAATGTCGGTCGCCGCCGATCTCAAACTCAGATCGGACAAATATCAAAAATTGCAGAGGGTAAGTTTTTTTCGACAAGTGCTGTTGATCATTTATAAAAAAGTTCTTATTTGGTGAAAAAATTATCTTACTTGAGAGAGAAATATAAATATGTATATATAAAAGAATTGTTTTCTACGAAGAAACAGTGACCTATTATTGTATTACAATTAGAGATTAATAGAAAAAATTAATTAATTAATTAATAGAAAAAAAACGAAATGTTTTTTTCATGAAATATAGTTTTTTGTGAAAAGAAAACAATATTATATATATTATATATATATAATATTATATATATATATATATATATATATATATATATATACTATTGGTTGGTGTAATGTTACATTGTAATGTATTACATTGTAATATAATATTTCTATATTATATATATATATATATATATATATAATATTACTTATATGTTTGTCAACATAATATCCTTAATATATGAAAAATAATAAAAATTAGGTCTATAAAAATCAAGATTTAATGTGTAATATAGAAAATCTACACAGATTTTCTATATTATAATATTTCTAATGCAATCCAATAAGAAATCAGAAAGAGAGGTCAACTTTTCAATCAAAGAGATTGGCTAATATAAACATAAAATTTAATTGATTAAATATTTTTATGACTTTTAAATTAGACCTCTATAAAATGTTTTTTTTAAATCTATTAAGAAACATTAATAGAAGTTTTTTAAATGTTTATAAAGTGTTTAGAAAACATTTGTCGCCTATTAGTATTTTTATTAAATGTTTCGTATTAAATGTTTATCTTGATAATCTACATATGAATTATCTTACACACTCAGCAATAAGAATATACACATAATAAATGAACTATTTCGCTATTCATCCGTTCGACTTTAAATAATCTGTTTAATATTCTAATCTTAACAAGGAATCCGGATTATTAAACAAATTACTTTAAATTAAGTCAATTTATTAAAAATTGAACAAAAGAAATTGAATACGAGTGAGTTAAATGTGGTGTCTTCGCGTAGTAGCAAGCAAAACACGTGCCACATATTATTATAGAGTGTCTCATAAAGATTATGTGTTAACGCTATTTTAACAATATTTTACAATGTTGCTGCAATATTGCTAAAGTAATATTGTAAAATAATGTCTTTGTAATATGTCTGTAACGTTACACTGCTATGTGCAATGTTGTAACATTACAGTAATATTACTGGAAGCTTCTGTAATGAATTATTTTAATATAGATCGTATTTCATACAGATTTAATTATTTATTATTATTATTAATTAATTTAAATAAATTCTCAAAAAATCAATATTGAAAATTTGAATAAATTATTTTTATTCAATTGTCTTAGATACAAAATCACAATTTATAATTTTTTAAAAATGTACTTTAATTATTCTCTATTTTAATATAATAAAAAAATAAAGTTTTTATGATTTAATTAATTTTTTTAAAAGTAATTTTAATGAATAAATGTGATTTTTGATTATAATTATACAAAATATAACATTTCGAAATATAACAATTCGAAAAATTTTCAATTAGATTCACAATAAAAAATTTTATTATGTATCTAATTGAAAATTATCCGAATCATATTGCGTTTGATATAATATACCATAAAAAATCATTAATTCATCAAAATTACTTTGAGAAAAAGATAAACTAAAACGAAATACAAGAATTATATAAAGAAATATAAGAAAATTTCAGTTTTTTATTATATTAATAAAAACAATAATATATTTAAAAAAATAATGAAAGAATCCAAGTTTGTTTTTTTTCATTTGTTTTCTAAAATTTTTTATATTTGTAATTACAATAATGAAATTTAATAATCCTCTTATAATTAATAGATTGTATATGCGATTGTAACAACACTCTCATGAATCACGATATTTAAGAATTTATTAATTTCACGTCAGATCGACGAAATATTAACAGTGATGGGTCTTGATGTATCTCGTTGCACGCTTACCAGTAAGCTCAGCGGTGGTCAAAGAAAAAGACTCGCCATCGCGCTCGAATTGATCAATAATCCGCCAGTCATGTTCTTCGATGAACCTACAAGGTAAAATCATGTATCTCTTGATGTATCTCTAACGTATCAATCTTGTATCTATGATTGTATTTTAACGTATTTCTTTTCAGTGGCTTAGATAGCGTTACTTCGAAGCAATGCTTAGCGCTTTTGAAGCAATTAGCGCAAGAGGGACGGACTATAATTTGTACGATTCATCAACCGAGCGCGACACTCTTCAACATGATAGATCATCTTTACATAGTCGCTGATGGAAATTGCGTTTACACAGGCAGTACACAAAATTTGGTACCATATTTAAGTAGTCTAGGATTACACTGTCCAACACATTATAGTCCCGTTGATTTCTGTAAGTTTTAAGCTATATTTAACAGATTCTATGTAAAATGAATATAAAAAAGCTATAATGTATGTTGTTCATTTTAATATTTTATAAAAAACGGGTAAAACAGTATAATACACCCCACATTTGCCTAAATTAATATAAAATACATTTATGATGAGATTTGTTAATAGTTAAATAATTTAGTTGATGCTCGTTGTTTAGTAAAAAGTTATTAACTGAAAGTTATTGACAAAGGGGCTCTGCTCCTTCTCCGATACCTGCACCTCAAAAAATTTTAACTTAATCTAAATCTATTTCTGATTTTAAATCGAAATTAGGGAGATTTTTATTTATCATTTCTGATTATATTTTTCCAAGTTTAATGTTTCATAACTTTTCAAGGAACTGCATAATTTTGGAACAGAATAATTCAAGACGATGACTTTAACAATATCTATTAAGATCAAGGTTCTGAGATAAGATTGCCTACTTTATATATAATTATTTTTTTTTTATTTTTTGCATTATAAAATTCGACAAAAATTCATATTTTAAGTTAATATATAATTTATAAGGATTATATCTCTCTTTCTCTATTTCTTTAAAAAAAAAAACATTGACACCTAATTATAGTGTCTTAACCATTAATTGCTTCTAACAATGCTTCTTCGTATAATTTTGTACGTTCTAGAAAAAAAATTTTAATATTATCGAACTAGGACATATTATTCTAACGAGAGAAATTTTTGCATTTTTTAAAAAAAGTGCAGCTTTATAAGTATATGTATCGAATAGAGAAAACATTTGTATATGGCTATTACCGTTTTATTTTAGAAGTTATATCTTCAAAAATACAATAGAAACATATGCATATGTATAAATTTAATAGCAATTATTTTAATGGAATAAAAAATGATAAAAAATACTTCTACAAATAACTAATACAATAAATATTTTACAATTTTTTTCCTATAAAAATTAATGAAATTTTATAATTTTTGAAAATGTAAAACCGTGTTCAGAGTAGTTCTGTATGGTTTCTTGATAGATTATCATTAATATTTATTGTTAATCTCATTATATTTAAGCAATGAGTAGAGCATTTTTCCTGCCGGGATGTATATATACTGTTTCACTCTAATTAATCTAACTAGAGATGTTCCGAAAAAAAATTTTTGTCTCTTAATTGATGTCCAATTCATGCGAATGAAGAATTGAGATATTATAGAATTACATTTGTTTCTCAATATGAATCAAATTGAAAATTATACTATAATAGTATATAAGTACGTGTAATGTGTGTAATGTGTGTAATGTGTGTATAAAAAGAATTTAAAAAAGCATTACAAATAATTTCTTGCACGAGTAAATTAATATATATGAATCGCTCGCTAATATATAGTTTAAAATTTTCTTTTTTCGACAGTGATGGAAGTATGCAATGGCGATTATGGTTCTCATATATCCAGGCTAGTGGAATCGATCGAGAATGGCAAAAATAATGTATGGAGATCAGCGAAAGAGTTTTATTTGAACGAAGAAATTATTAGTCCGCGACAAATTGCTCCCATAAGATTATATTCTTTCGAAACGGAGTTCAAACAGACATCGCATTATGCCGTCAGTTCCTGGACGCAGCTTCGCGTTCTTGTCAAGAGAAACGCAGTTAGATTAATTCGCGATAAGGTAACATTGCTATATATTATAAGTCATATCTTTGTCACATTACGCAAGAGAAAATTTTACAAGTGTTTAATTAAATAAATAAATAATTAATAAGAAGAATAGAGATTCATATGTTCAATTTATAAAATATGTTTCATCTAAAAATATATTTAGTGTACAATTTACGCTTAATATTTTAATTTATTTCGAAACAATCAGTATTTTCTGATATTATTATTTTCAATTCAACGTTTTTAATTATTTCAAATGAAAATTTTGTAAAATGAAAGATATAAAATACATTTACTACACTTGCATGTTCATAATGATTGCATTTGACAATTTTATATTGAGAATTTTATATAAATTTGTATTTCAGACATTGTGCATCACGCAATAATTTATGTATCGATATAATTTATCTTAACATCGATAGAATAACATCGATAAAATAATGAATTAATAAATTTTAAATTCTTTTTTTTAATTTCTCTGTCTAGGTTTTAACAGTCTCACGGATCTTAATGCACTTGGCGATTGCTGTGCTTGCTGGCACCTTATATTTCAAAATCGGTCAGGATGCCGCTTACGTTTTCGATAATTTTAATCTATTATTTTTTAGCATTATGTTTCTCATGTACAATGCGTTTAGCGCTACAATGATCACATGTAAGTTTGTGTATATTTGCGTTTAGCAATTTAATCTCAATAAGAATGACAAGCTTTATATTTGATATATCCCAGTAAAAAATGATAGGCTAAAGAAGTCTATAGACGACTATAAACATTTAATAGACATTTAATAGATGTATTTTTGGTCTGTACTTTTCATTGGAATTATAAATCTCTTGATGTATGGCTATAAATATGTGATGCCATTAAATTTTACATGCAGTTCCTTCGGAATTACCGATTCTTATGCGCGAGCATTTCAATCGTTGGTATAAACTACGAGCGTACTATTTGGCGAATAAACTAGCCGATTTTTTCGTCCAATTTACTGCCACGTTTATTTATACCATCATAGTGTATTACATGAGCGATCAGCTTCCCGAAAGCAGAAGACTTGGACTATATATGCTCATGTGCTTAGCCAATAGTCTGGTCGGTCAAACGGTTGGACTTATCATAGGGTCTGGCTTAAAGGTTCAGGTTGGTTCATCATTTTTGTTTCAAAGTTAATTTATCGTCGTAAATTTACACTTTTTTATCAAAAGTTTTTTACGAAACTGGAATAATAAATCGTATATAGTTTATTTTTTTCTTTTCTTTTTATTTTGGAAAAATTGAAGAAGCTATGATTGGATTCATTTGATGCTTTTATAATTTTACGTTAATTTTGTCGAATGATTTACAGAATAGCGTAATTTTTGGACCATTTGCAATTATGCCGTTCGTAATATTTAGCGGTTTTTTCGTGCAATTGAAGGATGCACATCCCTACTTACATTGGCTGTTTCATATATCATTTATGAAATACTCTTTTGAGGGAGTCATGATGGCGATTTATGGGTAAGACTTGCTTCCTCTTCATTTTGATAATCGATTAATTGCGCGCCGTGTGATTAATCTCTGTGATATTTTCTAATGGATTTATATTATATATTCTGAATTATATAGGATAAAACGGTGCAACATTCCACATTTACATCAATACAAAATACACTTATGAACAGATTTTATTGATATTTGAAATTTACAAAGATTTACTAACATTACAATTAACCATTTTCATTAATTAAAATATTCTAATTATTAAACTTAAATATTCTCTTTAAACTATTCTTATTATTAAGCTCAACTTTTTAAAAACATTTTAAGGAATACTTTCTTCCGAATTGTGATCCTAAAAAATTGTCTCAGATAAGTATGTTCAACAAAAAAAATTTTTTCTTAATCATAAAATTCGACGAAATCTGAATACTCATATTTTAATTTAATAAATGTATTGATTGAATATCTAAAATGTATATGTATTGATAGTAATATGTATTGATTGAATATGTAAAAATTGCATCTTTCTCTATTTCTTCCAAAGAAAATATTGATACATTGATATTTGTAATATCTTGACTTTCGTTATAATTTTAAATAATGCTTCTTCATTCCAATCTGTGTCCTTGTAGGTTTTTTCTTTTATATTTTGTTCATAGTATGCCAAAAAATGATAAAATAAATGTTATAATAAAGCTGGAGTAACATGATATTTTTATCTCTTTTTGCATTCTCATATGTATCGAATAAAAAAACATTTGTTATGATTATTATTGGTTACATTTTATACTTTTAAAAATATAATGAGGAAATGTAAACATAATGACAATTTTCTGGAATGAAAAATAATAAATATGATAATATGGAAATATTTGCTAACAATCCATACAGCATTGATTGCAATAACAACGATGATTACAATATTTTTATAAAATTGCAACTTTACAGAAACATTGTGAAATGTATAATTGCTGTGACAGTAACAGTAAAGTGTTCACCTGCATAAATATTACAATGTAACATTGTGTAGCAACACAACAATATAATATATATGCAATAATACTTTGTGTATATTTAGCTAATTTTAAATAATTCGTTTAATATTCTAAATTAAAACAACGGAAATTATTAAACAAATTATTTTAAATTAAATCAGTTTTTTAGAAACTAAATGGATAGAAAAACAGACATTTACTTTGAATCTTGTGTCAGTATCCATTTGTGGGTTTTATATGAAATTCATGATGAAAAATTGAGTACGAGTTAGTTAAACTCGGTATCGTTACATAACGGCAAACGAAGAGACACGTATCACATATTATTATATATTTCGTTACTTTAACAATAATTAAAAATGTTGCTGCAATATTGCGAAAGTAATATTATAAAATAATAATTTTTTTTAATTTTTAAAATCGAACTCAAAGCAATTTTATGCGGTTTCCTTGATGTGCGCTGCCAATTATCAACTTCTATTTCAATAACACTTATTATAAGTGTTTATAAGCTCATTATGTTTGAGCAGTAAGCATTTTCTCTGCTAAAGCGTATTATACTGTTTTATTTAAAGATATAACTATATGTTATTGTATAAAAAATAGAACTAAGCTAATTGTAAATTTCTGTCTTTTAAATTAATTATAATTGAAATATAAATATATCATTTATAATTGTAGCTATGATCGACCCAAATTGAAGTGTTCGGCAGATTATTGTCATTTCGCTATCCCCGAAAAGCTGCTTTCGGAAGTGGGTATGAAGCACGTAGATTACTGGTATAACATGACAGTGCTGATACTGCTATGTATCACCTTGGATATTATGGCGTATATTATATTGAATATAAGAGTTAAAAAACGTATATAGTATTACAATATAGCTGAAGGAAAATTTTGTATAAGTGTTGCAAATGGTGGGCGACTTGTGTAAATAAGAAGTTCCAAGAGGATCTACTTATTAAGACTGATTTATCTCTTATCAAATCCAAATAATTATATGTAACACTTATATGTAATATATACAAAAGTTGTATGTAATATGCATGTAACATATATTGTGTAATATACTTGTATGTGAGACAATTCTCATTATTGGATAATTATTATAGCTGACAAACGAGCATATTTGGTTTATTAAATTTTATCGTATAATATTTTATCGTATTAATAATTTTTTTCGATCGATATAATTTTTATTTAATTTTAATATAAAATTTCATTAATCGAAATATGCATTTTCATATTAAAGCTTATAGAATCGAAATTTCGTCATCATGTAATATGTTGTTTTTTTCTAAATTAGACGTGATTAGAATGACAAAATTGATTTTGAAAAAAGATTTATATTTCATTAAACTATAAAAATATAGTTCTTTTCGAAAAATATTAAATTTTAAAAATACTTATTTTAATTTTAAAAATACTTATTTAAATTTTAAAAATACTTATTTTAAATTTTAAAAATACTAAATTTAAATTATATTGTATAATGAACTGCATGTATATATGTATAATATATTATGTAAGAATCGTATGATTTAAGTTTTTCATTGCGAAAATTAACCATGCAAAGAATATTCATTTATGTCTTATGTAAAATTTGTTGTGTGATTTTTAACAGGATACATAATAAACATTCATATGCGTTTGTAAAAAGTTTATCTTATTTTGAGCAAAAATTGAAGATTTTCTACAAATTGAACTTTGCATTCCTATTACAAAACATAGTTATCATTATCATGAATAATTAAACAGTTTTATTACTTTGTTTTTTGCACAATTAAAAATTTATAAATTTTTTATCAGAATATTAGATCACTGATTCTCACAAACATTTCCAACTGATGCCTTTTTAAAAGAAATACTTCATCAACGTCTTCCTCCACAACAGTAATAAAAAATTATTATCAGTATAAAACAGTATGAAATAATATAATCAGCAAAAAATAGTAATAAAAAATTATTAATCAACAACTTCTGTGTTTTCTTACATAAAGTTGTGTAAAAAACTGGTGAATGTTTACTTTAAATTATACAGCAGATGATTTTCATTTCTATAATTTCATAATTTTTATTTTATTTTGATTGTGGAAGTAGCCTTAAGTAATACGTCACTGGAGTTTTGCTATATTTTGGTACTTAAAAGGAACGAAATTCTTCCCCTCGCATCCTCATTCTAAAGAAACTATTCTAACCCAACCCGTGTCTGAGATATGGATATATCTTACTTTGCATGATTTCACACGAGTTTGTAATTTTCTATGCGAAGCTGGAATATATCTCACTCCTCAGACACGGAAAAAGCTGATTTAAAGCTGCTGAAGATATAAGATTGTAAATTATTTGTTGATTTTATTGTGATTTATTTAAAATTTAAAAAAAAATATAAAATATTTAAATTTTTAAATAGCTCTACTGGAAATACAGCCGCTCTCGCTCTCTTGCCATTTCTTTGTCATTCAGTCTAGCCCCCTTGGCTCTTCTAACATTCTCAAAGGAACGATAATGCTTACTTTGAATATCTAAATTATTTAAAGGTAACTTAAATCCAAAAAAAAAAAGAAAAATATCGATGTTCTGATATTTTTGAAATTTAAATGTGTGAATCTTTATCTGCAATTGTTCCTTGATAATGAAAAGAATGAAAAGAGATTTGAAAAAAGAATCAAGAAGAATATTTATCATATTTTGTTAATATTATTTACGTCTGTCATTAATATTTCCTCTCATTCATTTCGAAACAAATCTTGATATTATGTAAAAATGTTATTTAGTATTAAAGATCATTAAAACAAGCCTGTATAAGATTAATCATTATGCGAGCATTAAGCTGTAATATGTGTGCGTGAAACTACATTACTGGTTGAAATAGCAGCAACATTCTACACGTCTGACAGTTAGTGTTGGGAATTCGTGAGTAATACTTCGCCTTTCGTTCTATAGTTTGAAGTAAAAGACGAAATTATAAATCCTTGCAACAACCAGCGAACGAGTCAATCGAAAGTGTACAATCGAATGTCATTTATACATCGTCAGAGAAGAATTTAAAGAGAATCGCCGCGTTTTTATTATGTTCGTTTGAGAGTTTGTCATTTCTACAGTGCGAGCATTCAATTTAATCAATTGACGGAGTGAACATGCTGGAGACAGATGGTAATAATAAAAATGATGTAACGGCAGTCCAAATGTTCGACAACGGGATTGAGTTAAGCGAGTTGAAAAATTTGATGGGAATAACCGAGAAAAAACAGAGGTCACAACTGCATATCGAGTTTAATGATCTCAGTTATTCGGTTTATCATAACGGTAAAGGTACGTTTATTTCCACTCTAAACATATATGTGTTGTGTAGTAATATAACAATGGAAGTGACAAATAACGGTAGTTGCTTATATAATATAAAACTGTAATATATCATACATATCACTTTGCAAAATTATAATAGTAATATGACAGACTATTATTACAATATAATGTTGTTATCTACATAATGCTGTCCTTCGCTTGACATTGTGCGGCAAGATCAAACTTAATTCTAATTCGTATTCAATTTTTTATTATAAAATATAAATATAAAGTCTACAAAGGATTAGTACTAATAGGAGGGATACAAGAAATATATCTTTTTTATCAGTTTAATTTTTAATAAACTTTTTTTCCACAATCAAAAATAAAAGGTTATTTGGGATGATCGATTAAAATGGGACACCCTGTATATATTATAATTTATTTGAAGCAAAAATCGAAAGTTTTACATAATTTAAATTAATTTTAATTTTATCAATTAAATATATAAATATCAATTAATATATATAATTTATTTAATTACTAACTTTATATATGATCAATATTTTATATGAATTAATTCTGTACATATGATATAACAACGCTTTAATATATATTATATTACATGTTACTTTTACGAATGAGAAATTATTAATCAGTAACTTACCGGTACTTAAATATATTATTTGTAACATTCTAATTTATTGCTTTTATATAACATTAATATAATAGTGTTTATTATAGATATATACATTTATATAGATATATACACTTATCTATTTCTCCCTTTTTCTTTATATTTCTCTATAAAAAGGTAGCAATCTCAGCTTTCACTGACATTGAAATATTTACTTACACTAATTCTTCAGACAACTTTAAAGAAACATTGCGTATTATAATTTTTACTTTAATTGACATTATCTTTTGCTGTTATCATTCTCTGCAACCTCTATCGTAAACATGCATTGCGATACATGTAACGTTTATATATTTTTGCGTCTGAATTAATGTATCTTATCCGATGTTATCTGTTAATATCTAAATTATCTTACCTTAATACTTTTATATACAAAATAATAAGAGAAATCAATTGGTGTAAAGAAAACATACAGTTGTTTTTAAGAAAAAATATAAAATTATTAATTGCAGATTACATATTTTTTTTTTTTTAAACAACTATTTTTTCTTTACATCAATTGATTTCTCTCATTATTTTGTATATAAAAGTATTAAGGTAAGATAATAAAGAAATGAATATTTTACTAGATATTTTATAGTTTATGTAAAATTAAGAAATTATTTCAGGTTTCATAACTCGAAAAGTACTCAATGAAGAAATACTTTATTATAGTGTTTTGGAAAGTTCTCGAGATAAGCTATAAGAATAGGTAATAAAAAAGGGGGGTTCCATTTAAAAAAATGGAGATGACATTGAAATCTCTGAAGCGTCTCCACCTAAAAAAAATTATTAGTAGCATATTACGGCCCTCTTAGTACCGTACAACTTTAATAAGTACAAAATTTTTGTATCTCTAAAAATAACGGAGATATTCCAGGTGGACAGATTATTGGTCCACCCTGTATATCCCAATGATATTTTTACATGTACTAATATCCATTTTAGCTAGGAATAATTTAGATAAGAACTTGACAAGAATAATTTAGACAAGAATAATTTAAAAATAAAAAAATAAAAAATTCTAAATACGGCTAGTACGAGCTACAAATATCGGGAAAAATAAAACTAAATAGTGTATCTTGATTGATATATAATGTGGTACGTTTCTGCACATACTTGTGCTTCTTCAGCCACTATGAAAAAATTCTTCCAAAATCTTACAACAACTGAAACACATTACATCACTGTGTGAACTATATATTAAAATAAAAAAGAAAAAAGAAAAAGAGAAACAGATTCAATATTACACATACAAAAGTCCGTACAATGCATGTATAGACTCACCATTCAAACGATATGCCAACACAACATCTATCTGTCAGTATATCATTATCATTATTCAAATAAAAGAATAAAAGAATAATTTAGATTAAAACTAAGACATATATAAATAGATATAAATAACTATAAATAGATATAAATAGATATAAATAGCTATAAACAGACATAAATAAATATATATTTCTTAGTCTTATCGTTATGATTTTTTTTTAGAAGTTGCATATGACCTACTAAAATAGAAAAAAAAATTTTCGATAACTCTGATAAATGATTAAGAATTCACTGACATTTTATTTTGATATACATATACATATACATATATATATATATATATATATATATATATATGATATATATATTTTGATATACATTTTCTATACATATTGTTGCGCTCCTGCGTTCCGTCCCTGCAGATGTATTCGCCACCCGTTATTTTGTCGGCGGGAAGTTCGTCGACGGAAGAGGACCGTCTCCGCGCGCGTCGCCAAGTTATTGTTTATTAACAACAATAATCAGCGGAGTCTGGGCCAGCTGTCAAGCTGAACGGACGCGTTTACGAATCGTTTCCACGTTTCTTATTATTATCCGCTGTTGTGTGTTCTGTGTTCTTTATTAAAGTGTCTTTCTTCTCTAAAAGTGTCTGGTTATTTCATGCGTCTCGCGAGAGCGGCCGAGATTTCTTAGAGCGCGTCTTCGATATATATCGAAGCCCTCGCCGTGGATGTAACAATATATATAGAAATAACCTGTCGGATACAATTTTTATGAAATATCCTGTATACTACATATCCATAATTTTAGTATGAAAATCACCTTATTTATAAAATTATAGATATGCACATGTAAAGTGACGATAAAACGTCATTTTACTTGTAAAATGAAAAATGACGTTTTATCAGTTTACACATGCATATCTATAATTTTATAAATAAGATGATTTTCATACTACCTCTTTAGACACATAACATTTTAAAATGTACAACTTTAACAATATTATGGCACTTACATATCCGCTCGCATACCTACTTATTCTTATTTTCCGGTACAAGAATAAGAAAATAAAAGACACAATTATTTTAATGCTTAACCCAGGTAGAGCTTACCTCACCTAGATGACTTTTAAGTGATAAATAAAATCATGATAATGTCATAATGATGTCATTATGAGTTTCATGTTCTACCTGTGAAATAACTTCTGACAACTTTATGAAAAACAAATCTGGATACATTGGTTTTTATGTGTCCGCAATTACTGTAAATAAAATAAAAAGTAGAGAGATATAATTTTTAATTAATTTTTGGTAATATAATATATATACACATTTATAAAACACATTTAATAATTTCTAATTGTAAAGATTCCCCTTTTATCTGCTTAGCGATTTTTTAACAGTGCTTTTATATATATATATATATATATATATATATATATATAGCGTAAATCGACGCTCAACAAATTTGCTGAACTTATTTCCTTTGAAATAAATAAATATTTCTACAAGAGAAAAAATTATCATTATGAAAAGCTGCGTATTATTTAAATGAATGCAATTGTATAATTAATTGCAATTATTGCAAAGCAAATAATTAACCATCTTATTATCTCCCGTTTTGTGTTTCAATCTATTATTATCTACATTTTAATCTTATATTTTTAAGATTATTTTATATTATTTTATATTTTAGATTCTAAATTATACACACGTAGATTATGGTCTTATAAATCTTGCTCTCATATTTGCTCTATTTGCATTATTATGATTAAAGTTGTTAATTTTATTGCAACAACTTTGTTCAAAATCGTTACGTAATATTTCTAAGTCTTCAGTTCTCGCATTTTTTTAATCCTTGATCTTTAGAGCAATCGTTTGACCAAAAAACTGTAACATGTGCGGATTTTTTCAGAAACCTGTTTCTATACTTGATAATTTTATTAAAAGCTGTTTTTATGTTTAATTTTTTACCAAATTATCTGCTCATGTTTTATCATTAAAATAAGAAAATATCTATTAATTTGCATTACATCGCAGTTTTCTAAGAGATAATTATAGAAGATAATTTTGTATTTTATATGCGATTACATCTAACTCTTTCAAATTATAATAAATAATATCAGCTATAATTTGTTTACATTTTTATTTATTCGCTTAGAATTGATGAGCAACAGAAATGAGAAGTGATCAATTTTGCAATATTGATCAAGGCACAATAAATTTAAATATTAATGAATGTAACATTGGAAGGTAATTTGTGAGTAAATAGATAGAAAAAAAGTATTAATAAAAAAATAGCATTATGTCTATGATGCCGTAAGATTTGCATTTGTGAAGATAATAAAATATTTCATCCGTTCACACATCTGACTCACATATTATAACGCGACCCACATATTATCTCATTCAATCATTCAATCATGCCTCCATTTGTTATAACACAACAAATTATCAAAAAATAAATATTTTATGATAGAGGCCAAGAAAACGATTTTACGCAATGTGACCGGACATTTAGAATCGGGGAAAGTTACGGTGATAATCGGTCCTTCTGGCGCTGGAAAGACGACGTTACTGAAAATCATCTCAGGCGAGCGATGGCTCAATGTCGATGGCACCATTACTATAAATGGCGTTGAACGGAACAGGGGAACTTTCCGTAAACAAATGTGTTATGTGCCGCAACAATTCGCTTTACTACCATTCCTCACAACGAGAGAAACTCTTTATATAGCAGCTCGATTGAAACTGGACATTAAGCGAAACGAACAAGTTGCTCGTATGATCGTAAGTACAAGTACGATGAAAAGGTGCTTAAATATATTATTCGTTCCGAAAGCAGTTGAAATTATTTGCGAACTATAGAATCTGTCTAATAATACAAAAAGGTGTATAAATAAGTTTTCCATTATTTTTTATAAAATTCAATTTCTATATAATATTGCATAATATATTACATAAATTTACATAATTTTCAATTTTTATCAAATTATACATGTGCAATTTAATTATGACAGTAATCCGAGTTTCCAGCATCTTTCACTTTTCAGGCAAGTTATTAAGGCTTCCGAGTAGTCACCGCAGCCATATTGAAATCGTGACATCAGAGGCGAGAAATAACACGCTGAGAATTCTTGCGTGCCATTTTTAAATAAAAAGATATTTTTAAAAAATAACACTACAGATCGCTTTAGCACACTTGTAAAATATTCTGAAAACTAAGTTTTTCCCTTGACGGTTAATTAACTGCCTTAAAATGAGTATCAAAGTAAGCGAGAACACGCATGGTTTGACAACTGCTGAAAAGAGTGGAAAATGTTTTTACACTATATATTTCTTGCTAAACTTAGTTTTCGGAACATTTTATGGGTTTCACAAACACGTTACACGTCACAGCACTAGGATAAAGTGAATAATAATGAAATGGCACGCAAGAATTCTTAGTTATGTCATTTAGGCTGTCAAAATGTCATTTTTGACGTCTTATAGTTTGTCGTTTTGCGTGTGTGGATGACGGATGAGTATGTGTGTAAATGTGTGTTGTATGTGTACACTAATTGATTTCTTACCAAATAGTAACACACTTCACTTATATGGTAAATCTTATTCTTACCGCGTATTTTTTTCGTTGCCACTGTCAACTCAGAGTTTCACGGTGAGTATTCAGGAGCTTTAAGATTGATAGAAAGTTTGGTCTTTTCTTGCGATGAATTGATCAAATCATTTCTTCGATATTTTCAAATTTTTTGTCAGACGAGACTTACTGGATCAGAATAAAATAATAGTTTGAAGGTGCCATGTCCAGTAAATACGTCGGATGGCACAAAGAATCCAGCCAAGGGTTATCTAAAAGGATTATCTAAAAGGATTATATAGTTTCATAACTGAACTGTACATGTGTGTGTGTGTGTGTGTGTGTGTGTGTGCATAATTTGAAGAAATATTACATTTCATAAAAAATAGTGAATAATTTATTTACACACGTAAAAAAGATACACAAGAAAGAGACTAAATTTTCCTCAATTTTTTAACACCAACCACATTGCGATAAAATTTCTCCAACACATCGCAAAATATATTAAAATAATTCTTCTTGTAAATTTAACTGCAAATTTTTCAAAATTACAACGCAATTGAACAATTTCGAGATCAGAATTATAAAAATCTATTAGAAATGTTCATCCTTTTTCTTAAAAAAAATTTAAAACAAAATCATTAAAAAAGTATTAAAAAAAATTATTAAGTTATTAAATTTTTTGGTTAAATAAGTTATATTATAATTTTATCGTCTAAATCGCTGATCATCGATTATTATTTTAATTTATCGTACATTGCATAACCAAGTAAAATGTGCAATATATCATTCACATTGAAGACACTAAATTTATTTTTTTGCATCAGGTGAACGAGATCGCTGAAAGTCTCGGTCTATCGAATTGTCTGGATACCTTGGCAAACAAGTTGAGTGGCGGCGAAAGGAAGAGACTTTCCATCGGAGTGGAAATGATCACTAGCCCATCCGTTTTTTTATTGGATGAGCCGACGAGTGGCCTCGATAGTGCGGCATCTAATCAGGTAGAGTGGCATGACATGATCGTTTTATTTTTATACGAAAACATTATTATTTGACTCACATGCGTATGTTAATAAAAACTTTCTTATTCTTTTCTACATTTTTATGCTAATGTTAAAATCTGGGGGGGGGGAATGAATATTTTAACAGCTCATTAATGTGCTGCATAATATGGCGAGAACAAATTGCACTGTGGTTTGTGCAATACATCAACCTAGCAGTCAGATGATCTCGCAGTTCGACAATATTATGGTACTCGACCGAGGTAGATGCATGTACTGCGGTCCAAAGAGCGATATACTGAACGTGTATGAGTCCGCTGGATTCACGTGTCCGCGCTTTTACAACATAGCTGAATTCGGTAATATTGCTTTCGTCGATCTGGCTCACTAAAAAAAATGTTTTGCTCAGTAGGTAGATTTCTACGAATTGCAACAATAATTTATCGCTTTTCTTATGCTAAAACTTGTTCTTGTTGCTCTGCTAAAATTTATTCATAATGTAGAATTTACAGCAATAAATTTTAGTAATATTTTCTGGCAGCAGTAAATTTTTTTTTAGATCATATTATCAAATATTAATCACTGCATTGGATGTGTTTCCATATCATAATTAGAACGATCTTTGTGAGAAATGATTATCTGTGTATCATAATTAAACTTACAACAACATTAGCTTTTACAGAAAAGAATGACAGAAAAACTTTTTTCTTAAATTTCTCTCACTGATAGTTCGGATATAAATTTCGGTCCTGTCACTTAGATTGATTAAGTGTAAAATACAATATTACAATATTTGCTAATCATTTATTTATCTCAATTTAATTTTTCGTATCTAAATATTATTAATCTAATATTATTATTGTGGTTGCAAAATTATTTCTTTGAGTGTCTGACGAATGCCTCACTAAAAATATATAGAAGAAAAGAGTGTTTCAGTTTTTTTCTTTGTGGTATCTTATTTTTCATACATTTTTGGAATTTAAATTCTTCTAATTAATTTTGAAAATTTTGCAATGAAATATTTTTACTAATTTTTAAAGATAAAGATAAAGATGTTTGAGTCTTTTTCGTTATCTGATTTTTTAATGTTGAATATTTTGTAACTTAAATTATCATTGCGTGAAGGAAGCGGAAATGTGATATTAACTTGGAAAAATTAAATACGATATACGCAATACGATACGCAATTATGACATGCAATATTACTTCCTGATTGCAGTACTTGAAGTAATAACCGAACAGAGAGATGGAGATTTGGAGAATTTATACAAGATCTGCTGTAGTGAATACAAAAAGTCTAAAGACGATAAATATCTTAAAAATAGTAAGCATGTGAGGATATAGAAAAAATTCACATAAATTAAATAAAAAAATACAAGATAAGAAAATATAAAGATGAACAGGAAATTCAATTAATAATTATTTATTTGATATTTTGAATTTTGCAGAAATAAATTTATCGACTACTTCTGAACAAAATTTCAAAAAAGATGATGTACTTACATCCGTAAATAGTACAAAACAAACCTTGTCAACGTGGCAGCAACAAAAGATATTATTTTTAAGGGCTTTGATTTGCATTAAACGAGACAGCGTGAGTAAAAATTTAAGAGCAAACACAATTGCTTATATAAAATTAAAATTACTTTAATTTTATTTTTTAATTTAATTTAATTTAATTTTTTAGACCATGACGATGTTGAGATTCGCGGCACATGTCACGGTGGCACTGCTATTGGGAGTGGTCTTTTATAATTTCGGCGATGATGCAAAAAAGGTCAATAGCAACATAGCATGCTTATTCTTCCTTTTACTGTTTTTATTTTTTGCAAATTCGATGCCGGCAGTGCAGATGTGTAAGTGATATAAATCTTAGATTCGCACTCACTCGTTAACTATAATACATCTATGCATAAACAATGTAAATTATGTTTAACACTTCATCTTTAATCAATATTTATAGTTCAGTTTTATATTTAAGCTTTCTTAAGAAAAGACTGAAAATGTTATACAGCAATTTCATTGACTGAATGGAATTTTAAAATGCGATCTAAAGACCATACTTAAGATGTAATTTGTATATTTACATGAAAAAAAGACTATGTAAATATTGTAGACATAAATAATTCATGTAAATATACATATTTGAAATTTACGGCATAACCTTGTATAGATTTTTCCTAAGATTTGATATGTTTAAGTATAATGTTATAATTTTCATGTGGTTTTTTTTCCCATTGTTACATAATTAAATATAAAGAAATATTTTCGACTTAAAAAAATAATAATTTTTATAATAATATTAATTTTATAGCCACAAACTAATATCATGACAAATATTACAACAAACTGATATCGCGATAAATATTATACATATATAAGTTTTACGGATAAATTCACATTTTTTTATTAAAGCATAGTATTTATATCGTATGATTGCAGTTCCCACGGAAGCGGCGGTGTTTCTACAGGAGCATTTAAATAATTGGTACTCCTTGAGAGCTTACTATAGTGTAAAGATATTAACAGATCTCCCGATGCAAGTACGTTTTCTAATAATACAGGGTGTCTGATTTTAAATAACGATATCGATATTTTTTGAAAATCAATTTCTATAAAAAATGTTTCATAAAATGTTGAAGATTTTGTAATATTTCGAAAAGGTTAAAATAATGCCATTAGTTTAATCTAGCATGAAGTTATTTCATTTTCATTTTTTAAATGGGACCACTCTATATAATTTATCTATATAATTCAATTCCTTACATTTTTTGATAAAAGTCTTAATTTTCAAAAAATATCAATACGTTATTCTGTATATATATGTGTGTCCGGAACATAATAATTTTCTTACTATATTTATATTGTTATATTTAAATATATATGTATATATAATAATGACGTCTCTCGCTTTTAAAAGATTATTTTAAAAAGATTCGCTTTAATTTTTAGATACTTTGTGCCTCGTCCTTCATGTTTATATCGTATTATATGACTGGACAGCTGATGGAGTCTAACAGGATTCTGCAAACGTGGAGTATTTGCGTACTGATAACGATTCTTGGACAAACAGTGGGAATTCTGACGGGTTCGGCTTTTAACACTGAGGTGCAACAACACAACAACAATCTCTTCCGTATCTTTATAAAAATTTACAGATGATTCATTTATAATAACAATAAGCACATTTATCAGAATTCATCAATCAGTTCGTATTATTCGAATTATATACGTACTGTTAATTAGAATAAAAATCACGTAAGTGGTTATAAGCATAATTTTTCTTTTTCAGATAGGTATTTTCTTAATACCGGCATTAAGTATACCATTACTGCTATTTGCTGGATTCTTCTTGAAAATAGGGGAGATATCGATGTATTTGCAGCCTTTAAGCACCATAAGCTTTTTCAGGTGAACAAATATATTTTTATACTTACTAATTCAAAGTAACATATTTCAGGAATCAAGATTGGCAAAATTTTATACTTTATAAAAAAATCCATATCAGTAGTAAAAAACGGTATTTTCTGGAAAAAACGGCAAAAACTTGTCTCTTTTATCGAAACTATTAAAATAAATAGAAAATCTTTTTATGAATATTTGTCAATTGAGAGAGAATTTCCTAATGTAAGCTGAAATAAGATTCGTAATAAATAAGAAGTGACGTACAAAATAAATTAATTTCTTGTTAGATGTCGGACGAAGCAAATCAAATCTATATTCATAAAAATTTTTAATTCTATTATATTATATTTCTCTTATTAAACTAAAAATTGATATAAAATTTTGTAAGATTTATGTCTTCAAAAATTTTCTTTTAAAAATATATTTTACATAATAATTTGAATGAAAAGATTTTATCATATCGATTTTGTTTCTTCAAACTATGATTACGATTTAGTTAAAGCAAAAATATCTTTATGTATGAAATTATACATTTCAGTGTTACATATTAATCACTTTTATAGTTTTTGCCAGTTTGTTTCATAATTATTTCATTGCATAAAGTCCGGATAAAATCAATAAAAACTAAAATTTACATAATAATTTGAATGAAAAGTTATTATTATAACGATTTTGTTTTTTCAAATTATGATTATGATTTATTAGTTGAAGCAAAAATATCTTTATGTACGAAATTATACATTTCAGTTACATATTAGTTACTTTTATAGTGTTTGCCAGTTTATTCTATTGGATAAAGTCCGGATAAAATCAGTAAAAATAACCAATCTTGTTATTTCTTGCATTATTTTTTTCAGTCAATTTAAAAAAAAATTACACAATTTTTTCTTACAGATATGCATTTGAAGGAATGATGCAAGCGATCTATGGTTTTAATCGACCGAATTTATATTGCTCAGAGATTTACTGTTATCATCACTCATCAAATGCAATTCTCTCGATGATGGACATGCCTACGGTATCATTCTACGTAATTTTGATGATACTTGGCTGTTGGATATTCTGTTTGCACGTTATCGTCTATACGGTACTTTGTTGGAAAATTTATTATGCGAGAAAGTGATGATGTGTATATAAGATTAATTTCAATAAATGTATGTACTTACATACTTGTCTTTGTATCTCTAAGTTAATCAATTAGAATGAATCTTGTCTTTACAAGCGTATACAGAAGATAATGAAATAAGAAAAAATGTAAAAGACGTTACTAATAATAATATAAATTTTACTGTATCGAGATATAAGATAGTCTTGCTATAATACAGATATAATAACAATATAATAAAATTTTTATTTTTCTTATAATTAATTAGATATTTAAGTTATTATAATATTGTATTATATATATATTAATTACTGTAATATCGTATTATATATTAATAAAATAAATTAAATGTAATAGGATTATATAAATCAAAATATCTTAGGTGAATAGTCATTAAAGTTCACTGACATGATAAAGCTGGCGAGAATATCAAATATTAGGTAGTTTGTGCAAAATTTTTTCCTCTCTCTCTCTTTCTTGGTTTTTAGCTTATTTTTTGTATAAAATGTACGTAAAATAAAATAATAAATAGCATACAAATACGTACTAATAATGATGCGATGACGATAATAATTGTAATAATAATATCAAGTAATAAGTTTAGAAACTTTTGAGCAACGATTCATACAAGTTTCAAAAGATTAAAATAAATGGATGATTATAATAATGAGTTCTTATTAATTCAACAGTTAACATATTTCTTCCTAATGTCTAGAATCTAGAACAATTTAGAAATGATATTTTGATACATATGATACTTGATAATTATTGTACCAAAATTCTCAGAAAATAAATTATTTGGTGAATATGCGTGCGATATTTTTCATCTTAAAATCATTATTTCTATTTTCATGCGTACTTTAGCTATATTTTCTCTAACGCATCTTATCAAACGCAACACGATTCAATTTTATTTGACGTATTCGCTTATCGAAATCTCGGGCGAATTAAAATCATCAACAGTCAAGGCTGTAATAGACGCAATTGAATTTAAGTTAAAAAAATATCTTATTAATTCATCATATTTATATCACGTATACGTCACAATTTCCTTATAAAGCATCTATAATATCACTTAGGGGCATCACAATATCAATTGGGGCACAAAGATTAAATACAATCATCCGCACTGTTCGGTAACGTTCGGTATCAAAAGTTGCATATGTATATTATCATCATTATTCTCAACATTCTTTGATATGTATTCCTGGATATGTTTATATATATATTATATATGACTCATACATAGTCTCACGTTTTCATTCACGCGATTATTACGAGATTACGACTTCGATTTAGAAAAAATATTGTATATATAATATATATATACATAGATGTGAAAGAATTATATAACTTTATGGCCTACTTAAACTTTAAAAGTTTTTTTAAATTCTCATTATTGTAAATAAGTTATTAATAAATGAATGTAAGATAACTTATTGGGAAATAAAAGTATAAAATATTTTAATGGGATTGAAAAATTAGAAAACCGATAAAAAAATAATACAAAAAGTACATTTAGACCATATTGAGTACAATTATTTTATATACCAAATATGTAAAAAATTTATGGCACTCTTTTTGCCGCATAAATACCTGTTCGGGGATAAATTCCGATAATAATAAACATGTGTACGATCCGATAGAACGAATGACTAATCAATCAAATAAAACTCGATCAATCGAAAAAATATATTCGTTTGGCGAGAATACGATTTCGGTTTCTATTTCGGATATAAATTCGAACATCAAGCATATGTCGCACTCACGTCCAATCAGAATGTAAACAAAATAGTTCTATTTTGTTGCGAAGACCTATCTGCATATGCTTGTCTTTACCGATACGATATAATTTTCAATCGTAGAAGCAGATATGCGCCACACCGTGTGATGATTAGTATCACGGTCAGCGCAATAATATCATTCCAGAATTGGTCCCCCTTCAAAGCGATATCGGAAAGAAATTTGGAGGGATATCTATAATGACAGTACAGCTCACCCTTCTCCTTGCAATCTAGAATTGGTCTACCAAGACCATAAATGGCTCCAATGAATCTGCGAAAAGAAATTCTCGTTTTCATGAAGGACATAAATATTATGTTTTAAATTTATACAACTCTTTAAATCGCAATTATATCATAATTATATATTTAACATTTATTAATTGCTGTGTATCAAATTATAAGTAAAGAATAAATATAACACAATGGAAAACAATTCTTACCCTTCTAAGCCGTATCTTAAATAACTGATATGACTGCCCCATTTGAGATAGTATGGTAGATCGCGTATTGAGACACCGAATCCGGAGAACATCATCAATGGTACTGATAGTGTCGGTCCCATAAATGTTCCATTCTAACAGTCAAAATATTTTCATCAAATTTCATTTAGAAAATTAAATGCGATTTTTATATCATTCAAAAATCTCATCTCGATGAATTACTATGAATAATTGTAAATAAACGATGCTATCAATTTTAGGATGACATTTGGAAGAATAACTCGTAAAATTAATATCCTTAAGTTAAGAATGTAAATTAGAAATATAATAATTATTATAGTAAAATTTTACAATTTATTAATTAAATGCGAGTATTGTTGTAAATTATAATACGATGACAATTCTAATTAATTATTCACTCACCACAACGTTAAACACAGCGCCTATCATGAGACCGGTACCTTGCCCTATAAACATCACCAACATGCTGATAGTTAGAAACATGAAGAATCGAATAAACTCCAATGGCTGTGCCGACATCAAGTAGATGATTAATGAGAAAATGATGCAGCATGTTATCGAAATTGGCACGTCAATTAACGTTATAGCGGTGTAGAATGCTTTCAAGCTGTACCACCTGTTAAAATGTTCCTTTACCAAGATAGATATCTGCATCGGAACTGTAAGTCAGAAACAATATTTAAAAAAAATATATTAAGCATTTTCATACAGGTTTCTACAGTTACGATTCATACAAACGGCATACTTACACGTCACTATAGTAAGCATCATCGTCGTCATCATGTGATGCATCAAGATTGAGAAGAGGAGATTGTAGTTGTCTAAAACACGCGAACCATCGGCACCGGATCGGAAGAAAACCGAGCCCAACATTAAACCAACGATTATGTTGACCCCGATGCGTAAGTGTGTCAATGTCTGCGAACAAAAATGCATACAAATACATTTGCATTCTTGCATTTCCAAAAATGATGTTACAAGAGTGACACTCGTATATAAAAATTAAAAAAATTTTTTATCGCATATTTTCGAAATTAATTAGAGAACCCTAGATTTCAAAATTGTATGAAAAATAAGATGCGATAAAGCAAACACAAAAAATTAGGATATTCTACGTAAAAGCTTTTTTTCTATTAAGTCATTCGTCAAACACTCAAAAAATTAATTTCGCAAACATGGTAATAATTTGTTAAAAAAAAGTATGACGATAAGTAAATTATCAAATGATTTTTAAAAAAATCATTTGATAATTTACTTATCGTCATACTTTTTTTATCGTCATCTCTTATTCTAATAAAGTTTCACGACAATTAATTCCTTAATTTTTCCTGGTAACAAATATTAAAAATTTTAGATTTTCCATATTTTTTCAGGCGACAAACTCTTCGAATAAATATAATTTATCTTTTGTAATAATCTATAAACTGCAATAATTTAAGAAAAAAGAAAAACACACAAAATGTGAAAGTAAAACTAGATTCAACGTAAAATTATTCAATGCATGTATTCAAATAATTCTAAAGATCACAGATCTTATTAATCTTACTTTAAAAAATGGTCTTACAACTACAGCAATAATTTCTTGCGAAAAATTAACTGAAGTAGATAAATAATTAACAAATATTGTAATATCGCATATATTTTTCACTTAATCAATCTAAATAAGACAGAATCTATATCAGTATTATTAGTGAAATTTAAAAGAAGCCTTTTTTTGGCGTCTATTCATATTAAGGCTAATCATGTTGTAAAATTTTACTATGATACACAGAAAAATAAGGTGCTAATTAAGTCATTAATAAAATGCAAATATCTCTACCGTATCTCTTTTACACATGATGTAGCCTCTTCTTAGCAAGATTTTGATTTGATGACCGAGATTGGTTGCATGCAAACTATTGTCGGCAAATTTATTTGTCAAAGGACGTGTCGCTGAAAGATCATTTATATTAATTAATAGAGATTCCATCACAATTCACTGCGTAAATAAATCTATTTTTCGTTAATCTATTTTTTAACTTACCTCTTAAACTTCTCGCATCCATCAGATCTACCGAATTTTCAAACCACTGCAAATTGCTCCCATTTTGCGATCCTTTTATCAACGTACTGATTTTATCTTCGCCGTACTCTCCGCAAGCGAGTTCAATGACTGCAAACGCATATTTCGCAATATTATTTCAAATTAATTAATCAAATAAATTAATATTACTATTATTCTATTACTCTTACATTGTACAGAATCCTACATATATTTTTGCTTTCGATATTTTATAAAATCATGCGTTTTTGAATTTTATAAAAGTTTCTTCATCATCAGTGAGATGAAGAAACTTTTATAAAATTCGAAAACGTAACTATATTTATTTTCTTATTTGCTGTTCACAAATTCGAAGGTGATTGATATAGTAAATAAAATTTTTAATATAATTTTATAGAGAATTGCATGTCTCGAATTATTTACATTAATTATTAATTATTATACGTACTGTAATCAGCAGGATTATGATACATAGGGCATGGTAGTTTCAGACTCTCTAAATAAGGTAGCAATTTCCTCGTTGTTCCTTGATACAGACATTCCCCCTTCGCCAAGACATATACCTACAGAAATTTGGATTTTTTTTAATGATTATAAAGATTATTTTTTTAAATGATAAACATTATTCAAAAAATAAAAATAGCACATTTATTAAAACTTGTAATATCACATTATTAATTACATAATTGTGTTCCGTGCATCTCTTTGTAATGTAAAATTTTACAATATGTTTACTCACTTGATCGAAGAGTTGAAATAAGGATGCACTAGGCTGATGGATAGTGCAAATTATTGTCCTCCCTTGCCGTGCCAGTATCTTCAGTAAGTTTACAACTTGCATACAAGATGAACTGTCTAAACCTCTGTAATGAAGAAAAACGATAACGAATAAAAAAATATCTATATTTTAAAAAACAATTTTTTAGATTAAATAATCTACTCGAACATATATTTGTTACATATGTTGCATATATAAATAAGTTAACAAAGTTAAACATTCAATCGTGCTCAAATATGAAATATTAACGTTAATTTAGCACATAAATCATAATATTAATTTAGCATACAAGTCGTTAATGAGTAATATAAACATTGTCACTTGTATCAGCCAAGATGTAAAGTCATGAAATTACTTCAAATAATGATTAAATTGCGGAACAAAATAATAAACAACCTTGTCAAGTAATAGAAAAACCGCAATAATAAATTATATTAAATGCTGATTTAACAATTTATTATCGCGCACTTTTTTAATTAGCGGTTTTCTTAAACAACGTCTTTAACTATTCATCATTTTTTTCTCACTTTTGTTATTTGAAATAATTATATTTTATAATAATTCTATTGAAATAATTATATATAATTCTATTGAAATAATTATATTATTTTATTATGTTAATTATGTTTCATTATATAAATTGCTCTAACATAATATGCAAATAAGCATCGATTTTTTGCCAATCGAGAAAATGATTTCAAATAACTAAAGCGTATAATTATTTCAAAAAACAATTACACTATAAAAAAATAATAAAATTATGTTTATACTTATTGTTACTATTATGTGCAAGCATCGAGTTTTTGCCAATCGAGAAAATGATGTAATTATTTCAAATAACAATTACACGATAAAAAAATAATGAAATTAAAAATGTTATTTAATAGGAAAATTAAAAAAGAGCGATAATAAACTATTCAATATATTGCTAAAAGCAATAAGAATATCACTTTCTCTTCATTTCGCAAGATATATAAACCAGAATACATAAATCAAATGTTAAAAACGATGAAAAAAAGAATTATAATTATACATAAATGCGCTCATTGGAAATAAAATTTACGAACACATATATGCGATTATTAAAATATTGTTGATAATAAAATATGTTATAAAATTATTAAAATATTTAGATTAGATATTTGTTACACATGACGTTAGTATTTGAAGAGATTGTTTAATATTTGCGAACAGCTTACAATAAATAAAAAAAGATCAGACCAAGTGGAAAAATCAATCCAACACTTACGTCGTCGGCTCATCAAGAAACATCACCGTCGGATTATTAACTAATTCCAAGGCGATGGATAAACGTTTTTTTTGTCCGCCACTTAATCTTCCAGACCTCGTATACATGTGTTCATATAAGCCAAGTGTCGTAAGAATTTCTTCGATCTGAAACATATGTATATGATTTTTTCAAATTTTATATAATAAAATGCAAGTATATCATTCTCACTTCAATAGAAATAAAGAGAGGCAGAAAGAAGAAAATTGATTATAATAAAATTTAAATAAAATAAGTTTTTTATATATAAAATTGACTATAATAAAATTGAAATGAAATAAATTATTTATATATAATAGTGTAAAAGAGAAAAGAAGATCCTTTTATCTATTACATTACAGCTATCTGATAGTATCAAATTCCACGTAACGTAAATTCAATATTGATTCGAGATAAAGCATTTTGGTGATTTGTGCAGTGATTAATAAAATCTCACTTACGATCATCTCCTTTTCGTATTGCGATGTATTCGACGATAGTTTTAAATCAGCGGCAACTCTCATATTTTCGATTACAGTGAGTAGCGGTTCTAATCGATCGTCTTGCGTAATATACGCGCTACATCTGAAAATGCGACAGAAGTGTTAAAAAAAGAAATAAACATATACACAGTAAATAAATAAACCGATTACACAGAAATATTGATTGAAAAATATGATTGATGAAATATCTTGATATTATCTTCTCTTATTTCGAAATTCGAGACAATATCAAGATAAAATTTTCAAATAATTATTCGGATAATACCAAGACTAACATTACCAAGATTAATCTTGTCAAAATTAATGCCAAATTGGTTTTTAATAAAACTAAATTATTTATATTTGTAAATTAGACGAAAAAAGATCACTATATTATACGATTTTAATAAATTTTATTTAAGAAATAAAAAAAGAATTAAGAAATTTATATTAATAAATTTAGAAACAATAAATAAAATAAATAATATAACATTTGCACAATTATTTACACAAAACTTAGTTACACAAAATTTATATATATTTTCGTTATGAAAAGACAATGATGTCAATGCAACTCATACGCACAGAATACTGCGTATGTACATGTGCTATACGAAAAGTTTTATGTAATTAAATAATTGTACGTTTATAATTAAATAATTGTACGTTTTAATTAAATAATTGTACGTTTTATGTAATTAAACAATTTTATATTGCTTATTTTATTTATTTTAAATTTGTTAAATATTATTTTAAACAATTATTTAATATTAGATATAAATTGTTAATAAAATCGAGACAATGCAACTTTACCAACAAAAACGAGATTTGTACTACCAAGATTCATTCAAGACTAAGATTTAAGTTTTCGGAAGTTTCCAATATCAATACAATACTATCGAATTTTCAATATCAATGCAACTTTATCAACATTGTCTAATCTTAAGTTTTATTCAATTTTAATTAGAATCCGTTGTTAATAGATATTGTTGATTGCGAAAAGAGAGAAATACTAAATTCAAGACATCGCTACATGTATATAAATTTAATGACATATCTATTTATATCTAATTTAAAAAATTTGGATTTCGGATTTGAAATAAATAATATAATAAGTACGTATGTGACTTGTGTTATCCACTTACTTTCGGAAGGAATTGAGATGCCGAATGCGACCATTGATTAGTACAATACCGTCTACACCAGTTATACGAAAGCCAGATAAGACGTCGAGTAACGTGGATTTTCCCGCGCCAGATGGTCCCATCAGAGCAATCAGCTGTTTGCAGGGAAGTCTTCCATTAAGTCCATGCAAAATCTTTTTGTGGCCTGAAATTTTAAAAATTTAAGATCATTTGTGATACAAAAGCAATTCGTTAATATTCTGTAATAATTTGTAAAAATTAATTTAATTAATTTTTATCTTTACTTAATTATTGCAGTTGATTACAATCGTCAAATTATTGTCGCATTTCTAAAATATTTTTTATAAGATACGCATCTAAATTTAGCGAAAAAAACATCACTTTTCAGGAAGCAATAGTCAGAGAATAATATCTGTTTGAGAAAATTATTTTTATCTGAAAAAGAAAAAAGTACCTTTCCTAAAGCCGAGGTTCACGGTATAAGTGATGTTCTCGAAGATGATGTCGACCGATTCTTTGTCATCCTTATGCTCAATCTGAGACAGCGCTTCAATGTCCTCCCGTTTTGTTTTGGACGTGAATTTAAGATCGCCTGTGCAACGAGTCGCTGCCTGATTCGCGTTGATTTCCTGCCCGTTGCTCGCTTCGTGTATCAATACCTCCATCGTTCTATGCACTTTATATGCGTACCCGTTGAATGACAGGGGCGATTATGCTCGAACGATCATCTGTTTTTCCAATGGATGCGGACAACCTGGAACAAAGAGGAGCCAGCGAAGAGTTAGAGACCAGCGAGAATTCACAACAGCAAATAATCAAGTATATAAGAATAGTAATAATTTATTTTATGATTTATCTATGAAATTTGTGCAGATTATATGTTTTCATTTTAAAAGGAAATAGCTAATTAAAAATCGAGGTCAAATGCGGTAACTACTTTATGATTTTGTAACCAAGAATAAAATTGAGTTAACAAGTTTTCTTTGTTTGGCTTTTCCTTGATTTAATTGACAAATAATTATATTGCTTCACATGCTGTATGTTTTTTCTTTTTTTTTAATTACAGATAATTAATGTGGAGAAATTTATGTAGATAGAGGAACGATTAATATTCTTCGGTAATTTGAAGATGAAATCGAATATTTTATGATTAAGAATCGTTTTGTCAAAAAAAATTAATATAAGATTATAATTTAGTAGTTTTACAATATTTAGAGAATTTTATTCATACTATTATTATAAAGTTAATTTTCTTCTTATAGCACTAGTCATAAGTTTATATTATATAATAACAGATTCTTTTCTCTCTAGATCAAAGTACAAAAATTTATTTTCATTGACTAAATTAGTATAATATAAAAATAATTGATATTTATTCCTATACTTATACCAGATAATAAAAAATTATTAATTATTAGATAGAATATTACTTGAGTTGTTCGAAAAATAAAATCATAAATATTAGCAGCAAGCATATATGAGTATGTATTCGAACAATATTAAATAAAATTTGTTAATTGACTACAAATGTCCTCCTGTTTTTCTTCTTTTATTTTACAATATTGATAGTTTTATTAAAATATGACCCATTGCTCAATTCTTTATTATTAGTGCTAAAATTTTATTGTTAATGATAAAAGAATGAGTAGAGCGCGCAAGAAAATATTTATCGGGAAGTTCGCCAATTATTCGCTACGTAATTTATAGAGATATGCGTCACATCTCTTGAGTTCATCAATATGCTCATTTTTCATGAGAGCAAAGGTAATTTTATGTTAATCGGATGAATCTTTAGCTGTAAGTGTTTCTCACAATTATTCATTAATGATCTAATATAATATCTCATTCTGATGTACGATATATATAGATACATAAAAAGTCTATGGTCCATAGTCCATAGATCAAAAAATCCATGATACACAAAAAAATCATCCTGTTATTCCATGACATGGAAATTATTTCTTAATAGATTACGAAACAAGATTGAAAAATGAGTTTTAAATTTTAATATTTAATTTAAATGAGTTATAAAGAATTCCAATATTTTTATACATGTATATATACCTATATATATATATATATATATATATATATATATATATATATATATATATATGCCTATAGTTTATTAAAAGATTTCCAAATTTTAAAATTTCGTTCGCTGTATGCGTGTGTGTGTTGTGTGTTTTCTAGTATAAAAGTTCATCACACATTTAAGATAGACAAAGCAGCCTAGTAAATTTAAACAACACGAAAATGTGTCAATTTATTCCACATTTATTTAAATTTATAATAAAACAATAGTCATAACATATTAAATAAATAATTATTTAATATTTAATTTCAAAAATTACGTGAATAAGCTTAATTGAAAAAACATGATAAAAAACTAATATTTATTAATTGAAAAATTGATAAAAACTTAATTGAAAAAATGATAAAAACTACTATTATTTGAAACTAATATTTACTATTTACGCAGTCAAGAAAAAATTCAAACGTAATAGTATTTTATGATTATGCAAAGCGTGTAAAATATTTTTATTAATAATCGACTTCACATCAACAAAGTTGTATCACTTTAAAGTACTAAGTCCAGTAACCTTTGATGATTTCATCAACAAGAGAATCATCAATATTATCTAATCATAAGCGAATATGTAACATACCAAGCTAATATTGTCAGCTTTTATTCGATCATCTTTATTAAATCTTCGTGGACAAGCTGCGCACTATTCAAAATGGAAATCAACAGTAGTGTGATTGTTCAACAAAGACTCTATAATAAAAAGAGGAAATGAGGAAAGATAAGTTAAGAGATGTGTACGTAATTTTAGAATTGCGTCAAAGATGTATTATCGTAAACGCGTATCGAAAGAAAACTGTCACCAATGCGAAAGAATAATTTTTTATTATGCAATAATCCTTTCTCTCTTATTTGAGCAAACTGTAAACTGCGATAAGCTAAATACGGAGCAAAATATCTAGTGTACTTACACAAAGCTACTTCATAGGCTCTGACGTCATACGAATGAAAAAAGATAATTGCTCAATTATAAATTGTTCTTAGTAAATAATTTGTATTCATCATTTGCGATTATTTTTGCAATAATTTATATTCATCATTTTGCAATAATTTATATTTGCAATTATTTTTTAATGCAAAAATCACTTTTTGCATTACGTGTTCATTATTAAAACTCTGAAGATGTGAATCAAATCGCTCAATCATCCTTTTGAATTTTTTCACGTATCTCTTAATTCTCTCCAATCTTTCGAATATAGAAGTAATAAAAATATCAAAAAGTTAATTATACGAACAATATTAATATTTTATTGCCCAGAAATTTCTTTCGTCAACATCGACAAAAATGCATATCATCGCAAGCAGTTCGTTTCTTACAAGAAATTAAAAAAAAAATAGGTAAAATTTGCAACAAGGACAAATTAGGAGTCTTCTAAGATAAGCTATCGCTCTAAAATGCATTTTAACAACAAATCTGTTACAAGCGAGGTGAAAGTAAAGTAGAATACTTTTTAAAAAAGTTAGTGCAGAATGCATATAGCCGACAACGTTATGTGTGTACTTGTCCGTCAACTTTTACACGATTGAGAAAGTCTACGTCTATGTTCGTATGCGTTGTGCTACATTATCTACTAGACAGGAAACGAAGTAAATGTGCGACGATATGCGGTTTCGAACACGTTTCCCGATTCATATCGTCGCAATAAAATAGAGATAGCTTTCTATATTGAATTTTTTAAATTAAATTTGGAATATGATACGATACAATCGTTTCATTGAACATTTTTAATTCGATACAAATTAAAAGAACATGTGTGCGACATAGATCGGCAAAGCGAAAATTCTATATATCACTCTTTACATTCTTTTATTAATTGAAACTGCAATTTATATGTCGAATTAAATCGAAACAAAAATTACTATGCATGATTATGTGGATAATTTGTTTCTCGCATATATATTAATTTTGTCATATTACGTCTAATATTATATTTAAACATTCATGCAAAAGTATTACTTTTTACTATAGTGTTCTAAACGATTATAAGTTATTTATAGTAGTAATTAGACTATACTATAGACTGATTTATAGAATGATTTACGGTAATAATTTATAGAATGATTTACGGTAATAATTTACGCAAGCAGTAAAAGTTTTAGTAAGAATTTTTCTTTTTTCGAACATTTTTTCGAACAAGAATTTTTCTTTTTTCGAACATATGCAGTAATAAATAAATAATCTTTTAATTATCATGTTGTTATGCAGTAATGTTTCAATTTCACTTAATGTTATATGCAAATCATAAGTAATGAATTATTGATATGATTTTACTATAAATAATGAAATCGATACAGATCAGATGAAATCGATACAGATCATATTTACATTACTAAATGCAAATTTATAAATATTAATAGTAATTTTTTATTTCATGCATATTGCATATATATTCTTAACCTTGATCTTGTTAGTCTCTCTGACGTGTAACAAAATATATATGTACATTACTTTTTCAGACATTTCAAATTCATTCTATATCTAATTTTTATAATATAATAATAGTTAGAATTAAGATAATAATAAAAGTATTATAATAAATATATTTATTATATTAATTATAAATATATTTATAATATATTTATTATTATTTTATTAATTATAAATATATAATATTAATTATAAATATATTTTGGAAAAGATATAATTGAAGAAAAAAATAATTTCAATAAATTCGTTCCTGAAAAAATGGAATTTCTATTCGAAAGAATTATTATTATTATTAGAATTATTAGAATTATTATTATTTCAAAAGAACACAGTTTTTTTTGGCAACTACGATACTCTTATATCACGACTCGTTATCTGAAATTTTACGATTTATAAAAAGCAATTCTCCTCTCGATTAATATGCATCCTAATTTATTATGCGTACAAAAACATATACATATAATTACTCAACGCAGTAGCACTTTTTCTGAGAACATTTTAGCGCACATTAAGTAAGATTAAAACTATGAAAACAAAATACAAAGATATATCAAACTACAAACTCTTCAAAACAAACTCACTATTGCGAAGTTTGATTAAGAAATATTAAGCAAGGGCAGGCTAAAGAAAGAGATTCTTTTGATTGCGCATTATAAACGTTGATTTCTATTACCTTGACACGTAAATTCTCTTCGCAATGAATACAATATTCGAGTCGTACACGTCGCTTCAAGGAGAGAACGAAACTGTTCGATGTAACGACAATAGTCGATATGCTAAACGAACACGTTTGTCAACAATCAACGGAACAAAGGAAGATATGCCCGGTAAAAATCAATGACACTGAACGAATAGAAAATATCGCTCGTTATTATTGACGCGCATGTTTTGCCCCCCTCCGCCTTGATAAGGGATGAAAGAGGTTCGCGAGACACTATTACTCTTTATCAGCGCACCGAAATTTTCTCGAGAAAGCTTCTATTCAAAACCTTCTCCCATGTCCTCTTTAAACGTCATATTGACAGATAAGCGAATGATTAATTGTGTATACAGAGTGAGTGGTTGCGTGCAAAGTTCACGAAAGAGTGGTGGGGAAGAGAGATCCGGACCATACATTGGACTTTTACATCTCCCGGGAAAATTGCTTGATTAAGTTTCCTGTTATTTTATGCGCAATATTTTCGCTTTAAATGAATTAAGTGACATATTGATGCTATTTTATTTTGTTGCCCGATTAATTTGCGTCGAATATTATTAATACCTATTTATGAAATTGTCTGCAATTGTAGAGTGCGACAGGTTAATGAAAAAACAAATATAAACTTCCAAACCGTAAACACAGAAAATAAAATGTAGACTTTGATCTTGAATATTGATTAAATATTCATTAAGTATGATGATACATGGACTTTTTGTTCATCAGTTTATTACGTAAACGCAGAAACGTACGCATAAATTCTTAATTATTTAATAATAGTATGTTTCTTCAATAATGAAATACGATATTTCTTATAAAATAATTATATTTGTACATTAATAGTATTAATAAGTTTAGCTGTGAATAGAACATGCGTGCTTATTGATAATGCAGCTGCATTTGATAACACTTTTATATATTTATTGATAACATATATATTTATTGATAACATAGATAGAAAATACACACGAAAAGTAGTGTCCATTTCCTGTAAATTTTTTAACGCTGAATATAATTCCAGTTATCAAATTGCTCTATCATATCACAATTTTGAAAAATTTGTTACAGGAAAGTGATTAAATCATCAAGGATGTATCAAATAATTTTTTCATTTTTTAATATTTTGTTTATTCAACTTTCAACGTTTTTAAATCACTGAGTTCGAATTTAATATTAAAATTAGCAAATTAAAAAAAAAACAGAATCGATATAACGAAAAATTATTAATTATTAAATATTAATTATTAAAAATTATTAATTATTAATTATTAAAAATTATTATTTTTTGCCAATATTTATATTTGCAAAAATTAATACACTTATGATTTGAAGTAAATGATCTGTGTTAAAGATATATTTGAAACAATCTCCGGAAAAATATAATATTTACAATGATAATCGTGTTGTTTTTAAATTTTTAAAGATGATACTTATTGATAATGGATCTTTATCACAGACAAATAAAATATTAATACAAAGTCCTCGAATGAATCATAGTGATACACGTGAAGTGAAGATTTTCTATTTTTGAAAGAGATATATATAAAAAAAGTCAAGTATTGAATTTTTTGTCATCTCTTTCATCTGTCTGCGTGATGCGACCCTTTAGATTAACTTTAATCGTTTACAATTTTTGCTTTCAAATTATCGTGATATTTCGATATTTTTAAAACATTTGAAATTTTTTAATCACTTTTTGTATAATTAAAAATTATACTTAACATAACAGTGCATTTAATACTTATAAATGTACTTTTATTATAACGTTACAAAAATATACATAAACTTGAAGCATTGCAATTATGAAAAAGATTGAAAATCAACAAAGAGATAAAACGTTTGTTTTAAGCTTAGCTCCTGGCAAATTTTAATTATTTATTTCGTTAGAAATATATATAATTATATAAAAAATATTTGTATATTATAATAAAATATATAATTTCTTATATATAAGCATGAATATTCACTCTAAATCATTCGGATAATGATTGTCCCATTCGAAAGCACTCGCGTTTTTAGATATATTTTTAGCGGCTTATCTCTTTATAAAAAAATTCTATTAAACGATTGAAAGCCAGTAATTCGCCTCGTGCGGAAATACTATCGAACAATGACCTTTCGTTATAACAATGCGATTGCGGTAGATCGAACCATTCAAGAGTTATCTAAAAAATACTTATTGTTTAACCTTGAGAACAATGAACTTCGATGCAAAATAAAGATACATCTCAATAGTAAAAATAAACTAGCACTAAATAAGCATTCACATATTTTATTGTTATAATAAAGCGAGGGATAATTTCGTTGCATCAGTGCTAAAGGCAAACAAAAAAATTGCCTGTCTGAATGACTGCGAAATTATTTGGCGTGATACAAGTCATAAGTAAAAATAAGTGTTGAATGGATAGAAGAGAAGTGTAAAGTAGAAGATAATTATCACTTCGAAATAGCAAAAATTTAAATTTGTACATCAGCGGATGCGTTTGCGAAGAATTTATCATTTAAGGAAGAGATACCGTTAAAAATGCCCAATATTGAACATTATCTCTTTTTTTATTACACTCGCGACCTTTAAGATATAACATTTGATGTGGACATAACTTTAGATAGATAGAATATGGTCTTTGAATATCTCGACAGATAATTAATCGCACATAGTATCCTAAAATATTTATTTTTGCAATTTCGTACGAAAGAAAGCATTTTTCCCGCAATTATTAAATATTTTATGTACAGAATATTAATTATAATGTGTTTTCTTCGCAATTATTACATATTTGCGCAATAGAATGAATAGAATGTTAATTATAGTGCAATATTTTGAGAAGAACATTCATTAATCAACCAATCCGAATCTTTCGAGCAATTTTCTTGAAAAAAAAAAATTTACTTTTTGCCTCACTGTGAATAATAGAGAAAAAAGCGCCTAGTTTTTCAACAAAAAATAATCGAATAAATTTAAAATTATGAATATAAAATGGACACACAATTTTTCATGTATGAGTCTCGGTATAAATTAAAATTATACTAAGATTAAAACATTTATTACAAAAGTAGTATAAGTTTTTCTTTTTAAAATCAATTTAAGGAATTACTTATTTAATTTTCGAAATGTACTTAAGGATTATTTTGTGTATATACACACATACACGCGCATGCACGTATACAAAAATTTTACGTTCATTGAAAATGCGATAAAACAACTTGACTTGTAACTTTTGACATTTGGTAATCGTACTTTCAGCTTCTAATTACGGAGATAGTGCTGAGAAAACGTTTATGCGACACATCGAATATGGAACTTACTGATTGATAATCAAGTGAGTAGAATGTGAAAGTGTATGTATATATATATGCAGAATGGTCCTTAAGTACATTGTGAAAATTAAGGAAGTAATTTAAATGCTTTTACGTGAAGGAAAATTTATATAACACATTCGAATTTTTAATAGAAAACCTCGATCTCAATAGTCATTTGTATTCCATTAATAGTATCATTGATGTCATTCATGAGATTTTTCAATCATTTAAACAGCCATTGTTATTCACAAAATAACTGAAACTGTCTTGGAGATTTCAAAAAAATAAATCTTTTAGTTGAACATTGTGTATCTTTGGAACTAAAGCGTTTATAACAAATGTATATATAAATTTTTTCTGATAAAATTATCTAAAAGTTACACGTATACATACACACATATTTATATATGTGAAAAATTTTATGGATAATAATATTGCGTACACGATTGCGGAGTGAAACTGTGAAGCGCGTTCGTTAAAAGTAATGATGTACTTACGGGACATGCAGACCGTACAACGCGCTCTTTAGAATTCTCCCCAAGACTTATGTTAAGACACTAGGATGCGGACTGTCGACGATCGAGGAGTACCGACTTGAAGACACCGATTCGCGCTTTTCTTCCTCTCTCTATCTCACTCGACTTCCCCACCACCGAGCTTTTGTCAATCTTTCTCCTTTCGAGCGATCGCCAAATGCTCCCGAGACGCATAGTAAAGTATTTGCAATTTCATCTGTAGCTTGAAATATTTTTAATTCATTTTTTTTTAATATTATATACAGAGAAAATTAATGGATTTTAAAACAGTTTTATTCTATTCAAAGATATATGTGCCTTATGAGAGTTTCAACAACATATCACAGAATGTGCAGACAAGAAAATATTATTGAAGATTTCGGATTAGCACGGCCTTCTTTCAAGCACGTGTCAAAAACCGATATAAGATTAATTTCAATTTTTGATAAGATTCAATTTTTGACTGATTTGATATGTGTTTGAATAAAGGAATTCGGAGTAAGTTCTTCAATAATATTTTCTTGTCAACATATTCCGTGATATATATATATATATATATATATATATATATATATATATATATATATTAACTCTGATAAAACATTTTTGTTATAAAATATACGCACGATCATCGTAAAGGTTGATTTATAGTTATTTGAATTTATAGTAAATTGACATCATTTAGTAAATGATGAAATTATAACTAACTTATATAATTATCTTATATAATTATCTTATATAATTATTATTTAATGTTTGCTGGGATGTATGCAGTTTTAAATTTTCGATGACATGATGATCTTCCAAAAATTTCTCTTTATATTACACACACACACATATATATATATATATATATACATATACTTTTTTCCTAGTTCTGTTGCCACATTAAAATTATTGAGATTGATTAATGTGTTTCGATCTCGAAGATTGCCTGTACCTGCCGATCTTATTGATCCGGTAATTTTTTCACACGTTTATATAATAGCTAAAATAAGACATTTATATAATAAATATATTTATATATATAATTATATATTTATATAATAGAAAATACAAAGTTTACTGTAATACAAAAGAGACAAAGTTGTAAAACGATAATCTTATCAACGTATATAGTCCAAAGGTACAAATCGAATGTGCAGCGAGTGGTAACGTTGATCAATTGCGCAATACATCTCGATTTGATGTATTATTATTCATAAATGTGCATATAAAGATAATGTATATTACTCGTATCACGATAATTGAAGTAGCTAAAGGAGATATTTTTTATAATTTTTGACACCGCGATTTTATAATCTCTGGGAATGCTGTGTGCTTGAGAGCAAAAAAATTAATCTTCATAAATAGAAGCGCATATCTTTTTATTTCACATTAGTTTATAGTTGTTCTTATCGGACAAAATCTGATAATAAATGTTGTTTTTTTTCTTTTGTATTTACAGATAATTTACAAATGTTTTTTTTTCAAACAAACTAACAAAAAAAAAAATAAAAAATCAGGAATAATAAATTATACTAATAATAAATTATACTAGTCACTTTGTAGCTTTTATTCCATATGTCATTTGTTTTAAATATAATAATAATCTTCTCTTACTTTAACATCGACGAGATATTATATCTTGGAATTTGCCCGTGTGAAGAACACATGTGTTCTAGCAGTACATTATCTCTTTTTTTCCACTTTAATGTTTTCCGGACTTTTGTTCTTGTGTTACATATTACAATATGATCTAGTTTACTCTTTCCGTTCTGTTTATCTTTTACTTTAGCTTCATTTGATCTTGGTTTATTTTGTTATGTGACGTATAAGTTGACATATATCATTTATATCAGGTAATTTTTCAAAAATATTGTTACGTTGCATGCGTAATTAATAGCTAATGAACAGAAAAATAGAAGCCTCGATTGATATTGCGAGGTCATAGAAACTCCGCAGCTGTTATATTACTTTAACTAATTGTAAAACACGTATTTTAGCGTTGTGTGTGCTTTTATTCCTTTCTTCGAATTTTTATTCGTTTCTACGATTTGAATAAAAAAACATCTGTAATATACATACATATATATATATATATATATATATATGTGTGTATTATAGATGTTTTTTTTATTGAAATCGCAGAAATGTAGAAATGAAATGTTGAATAAAATGCGTATTTTAGTAACAGCCACGTGCGAGATTTTTACGATTTCGCAATACTAATCAAAGTTTTCATTCATCAAGATATTCATACATATATATATATATATATATGTATATATATATATATATATATATATATATATATATATATATATACATACACATATTATGTAATACGAATATATTATATGTATGAATTTCATATTCACGATCCCATTTTTGCAATTATATAAAAGTTGCCAAGATATACGATTTTTATAATAAATTTCTTTTGCGCATGGTTGAAATTTTACATTTTTATGGCATATATAAAATTGTTGTTGAAGAGAATATTGCATCTCTAAAGTATGCTAATACATGTTCAGGCAAGATGAAGTAATGTTACATCTTAAAGTTACATGTTGAAGATAACATCAGTTTTGCATTGCAAATGTTTCGTTTCTGCATAAAAAGAAACAGTGCCGTTGATATTGTTAAAATGTAATGTATTCCTTGTAATGTAATATCATCATAAAAAAGTACATATTTCACAATAACCGTTGATCCTATCTCATATTTTAATTAAATATAAACCTCCGTGTTTGCTATATTGATAATATTCTCAACGTGATTCAAAGTGCATCAATAACATTTGTATCTACATAATTGTTTCATAAGTCAAAGACAAATTTCAAAAAAAACAAAATTAATCAGTGCGAATACTATGATCTTTGCATTGTGCAATTAAGCTAACGAAAAAAAAAACACGCACATACACACATTTTTTTCCAAGTAAATGCTGCACATAATTTTTTTTACACACATACACACACACACATATATATATACGTGAGATAAATTCATGTGCATACTGCATGTGCATAAACTCATGTGTCAAGGCATTTCTATTGCCGCATATATAACTGTATTAAATAAAATATTACGCTATCATCTCTCAATGGAAATAAGAAAAATATATTAATTAGGTATTAGGTATTAGGTCAGTGTGATCAATGATTTAATATGCATTAAATTCATTGTCCAGCTTCAATTAGACAAGAAATTTATTCATCATCTAGTACAACCGTCGTTTTTTCTGATACATACAAACCATCCAAAAACTTTCTTATATCCTTATTTTTTACTGTTGTCGATTGTTGAATGAGAGCAGCTGAAATAGAATCAAACAATTCTTATTAAATATATACAAGTTGATTTCTTTGCATTTATTTATTTTAAAAAAATAATTTCAAGGTACCTGAACGGGATACATCTTCTAACGAATTTCCTTCTATGATCAGCTCATCCTTCTGTTTTCCAGAATTGGCAACAGTTACACCAGGTGCCATTTTAACACGCCTTATGTATTTCTCACCCAAAAAATTACGAATTTCTATAACTGTGTTGTTCTCCGTAGTCACACAGTTGATGGGGAAATGAGCGTATACAGCTCGCATTTTGTATTGATATCCTTTTGTGACTCCCTTAAGCATGTTCTCAATATGAGAACATACAGTACGAACAGCAGCTAATTCTTTTTTCGTACCAAACCATTTTTCTACTTTAAGTAGTTTGGAATTTATCATCTAGAATACATAACAAAAAAATATACATTCATAAAGCATGATGTGGATGTTGAATATTTTGATGTCAATCACAAAAATTTCAGAAAAGGATTTATCATTTATGAAAAATGAAGGGGAATCCTGATTATCATCACAATATATTTTCGACATTGCAATTAATCAAATTTTATACTTAATAAAAGATCTTACAAAATATATGATATACTCTCACAAATAATATTTTATAATAATATGTATATATAAAAAAAATTATTTTCTTACCCGAATATCGAGTGCGAGATGTTTAAAAGACCGTTTCAAAACACCCCTTGGTCCTTTTACAGTCACTAGACGAGATTTTACTGTGACAGACAATCCCTCTGGGATTTTAACTGTCTGATTAGTCACAATTTGCTTCATTCTGCAACATAAAGAAATTTACATAAACATTTTATAATTATGCAATAACATATAACTGATTATCATAATAATTACAGCTATGAACATAAAATATAATAAAATCCACAATTGTTGTACAGTCATTATTTGTTAAACTTTGAAAGTGTTAATTATATTATTTATATTAACAAAAGAAAATTGTAAATATAATTAGACAAAAATGATAGAGAGATATATTTTGTATTTTTATATGATATAAATGAGATTAAAATTTCCATACAATTCTTTATCTTTTTTTGTATCAAATGCTGTTTATGTATAAATGTCATAACAAAATTCAATAAGTTAGAGCTCGAATTTTTTATATTACTACCCTTTATCTATCATATTATACTGTAGTTAAAATTTGGTACTTTACTACTAGTAATATGTGCTAGAGACGAGTGATTTATTCTGTTATATTCTAAAATGTAATTAAAAATTAATTATATAGATCTTTTGCCTAAGCAAAACTATTTAATCCAATATCTTTTATTGTGGATTACAAGGGGAAAGATTCTCCATCTAAATATTTAATTTCTATCTAGTTTTTGTCAGAAAGTTATGTAATTTTCACGTGAAACTTAATTTTTAACATTTTAGAATATAATAGAGTCTCAATAAGTTTTTCCTTGATCTTAGTAAGACACACATACTGGAAATAAAGATACAAAATTTTAACATGCAGCATGTGTGACACGAGTGAAGGGATGAAGGAAGGCGTAGTAACTAATATAATAGTGTTCAAGAGTCTTCTATTTTTACTTTATATAAAATAATATCCAAAAGTAATAAAAGTATTCAAATGCAGTCGCACATTCATTATAATACACACAACATATTTGATAGTTTCAATAAGAATTTTGTAGGTTATGACAAGTCAATGCTTACAGCAGTTGTTTACATGAATCAAGATGAATCGATATCACAAAATTGCATAATTAAGAAATTAAATTTCTCATAAAAATCACTCAATAAAACTCATGCATAGCGATTTTTTTTTCAATAGTACGTAAGCAAATTGTTGACAGCTATCGCAAGGGTTTATGGCTCGTTGTCGCAAAACGTTCCGCGTGTCGCAGAAAAATATTACATCACGGCAAATGTAGGAAGAATGATAAATGTCAGGAACATGTGAAAGCAAATTTCATGTCCAACAAATCGATGGATTGCCGCTGATTTTTTAGGATATTCCTAAGGACGGAAATTTCTTTACCTGAAACGCGCCGCACGATAACCGGAAAAGATGGAAAGAGACTTAAAAAGATCGAGGCAGAGCAAAAATCCGATGAAGATGCGAAGTAACATAGAGAGGCGCAGTGTTTGGAACTTTTTCCCGCGCATGCGCAGCGCGCAGCGTAAAGATGTCTATTCATGACAGCATCAACGCGGGTATTCATAGTCCGGTTTTACATTTATGCCCGATTTCATCAACAGCGTTTAACTTTAATCTTAGTTTAACTCACTCTTTATCTCCTTTTAACTCTTCCTTTAGAAAGAGACAAAGAGTGAATTGAACTAAGATTAAAGTTAAACGCGGTTGGTGAAATCGGGCCTTAAGCCCGGGTCTACAATAGGTAATTTAAGCCCTAAGCCTTAAGAAATTGACCAATCACAGTCAGATATTCTCTTCATACTTGACTGTGATTGGTCAATTTCTTAAGGCTTAGGGCTTAAATTACCTATTGTGGACCCGGGCTAAGATCCCCAAACAGCACATATGTCCAAAAGATATCTAAGGCCCGGTTCCACAACTCGAGTTAATCGGAGTTTAATACGTTAAACTGGGTCCTGATTGGTCCATTCTAGAGAACCTCTAGGAGAGAGAATGGACAACTGATCAAGCTTTTTCATGATTGGCTGGCAGAAAATGTATCAATTTTAGCTATTGCGACGCCAATGCAAAATATGATGACACACAAATAGGACACACATATATTAACCTATTTGTGTGTATCATATTTTGCATTGGCGTCGCAATAGCTAAAATTGATACATTTTCTGCCAGCCAATCATGAAAAAGCTTGATCACATGTCACATGATCAGTTGTCCATTCTCTCTCCTAGAGGTTCTCTAGTCCATTCACTACTTAAACTCGGATTAACTGGATTGTGGAACCGGGCCTAAGGCCGGTATTCATAGTCCGATCTTATATTTAAGATCGTCTTAAGTCTGGTCCGCGATTGACTTAAGACCTCCTTCAACCAATCAAATAGCTGCGTAGCATTTCAAGTTCGAACTTAAGACGATCTCAAATATAAGATCGGACTATGAATACCGGCCTAAAAGACGACTTGAAGACGTCTTAAATCCTTTAGGCCGGTATTCATAATTCGATCTTATATTTAAGATTGTCTTAAGTCTGGTCCGAGGTTGACTTAAGACCTCCTTCAACCAATCAAACAGCTGCGTAGCATTTCAAGCTCGAACTTAAGACGATCTCAAATATAAGATTGGACTATGAATACCGGCCTTAGACATCTTTAAGACATCTTTTGACCTTTTTGTGCTGTCTGGGTCATCTTAAGAACTCATTCCATCAATCAATGGTTGCATTGTAGCTATTTGATTGGTTGAATGAGTCCTTAAAATGATTTTAAATGTAAAGCGGCTTTTTCATTGACGCTACATTTTAGCGTCAATGAAATTGCACCTTAAGACCGGATTATGAATACCAGCCTGAAGCAGGGAGTACAGACTTTTGCATAATCATAAGCATAAGAAAATTGATTGGTTCATTTTCTTATGCATATACTTATTTCTATGACGCTAGCGTCATAGGGAAATCACGTGATACTCCTTGACGTGATACTCCTTTTTAGCGACTCATGAATTTGCACCTTAGAACGATGAATGGAATTGATCAAAATCTCCATTATTAGTTTTTTTATGCCTTCTCTCAAATATAATTATTATTCATCGGTAAAAATCCTCTCTTCCAACAAATGTAATAACATCCCCGATACAATTTTGAAAATGTCATTAAATTAAATAAAGGTAAAAAATATATATTAATATTATATACATCTAACATATCTAGTCGCAATATAAATTCAAAAACCTTCCGATATTTTTCTCAACAACCTCTAATCAAACTTATAACATTATAATATCATTTTTAATAATAATCGCGCACGAGATTAGACGACACACATGACTCGAAAATAATATTCGACATATTTTTTAGCATTCCGTGTCGAGCGTTCCTCCTCCCAAGCAAGATGATCGGAAGGAGTCTCACGACCGCCAGTTCGACTCGGAAGGTAAATGGAAAAAAATTGCGCGGGTAAGTGGTCCGCGCATGCGCGCCGCGTCGAGCGCGCGCGTACCCTTTCAACGGGAGAGAGGTAAACACCTCGCCTCCCCGGGAGCGTCATCGGTTCGCGACCTCGCACGCGGGGACCGGTCGGCTTCCAAGGCAGTGCGCGCGCTGCCGGCGCAGGCCGGTTATATACAGGCTCTCTCGGTGCGATGCATCCTCTTTTTTTTTTCCCTCTCTCGGCCGAGAATCCCTCGTCTCGTCGCGAGTGACTCGGGAGTGCCGTTGAGTGCCTGGTTAAACTCGGTGGCGCGGTTCCTCGCGGTTCTCCGAGCGGATGATATATCCCCGTGACTTTTATTCCTGACTTCGGTGACGTACGTTCGGAGCAGAATTCTCTGTATACATCAGGGGAGTGATCGAGCCGTTCCTGTCATCTGTTCCTCTTCTTACCGAGAAGAAAGAGAAGAAGAAAGAGAGAGAGGGAGAGAGAGAGGGAGAGAGAAGGGGCAGCTTGTCTACCTGGCCGCGCGAGCGAGAGAGGCTGCGTGTGTATGTGGTATGGCTCGTCGTCGGTGGTTTTTCGCCGCCTTTATTACAGCGAAACCCGAATGCGTGCGCGAGCGTATCCCTCTCGTCTGACCGGCCTCTACCCGCCACCGTAAGGCTGCGTTCACACATGCGGGATTGATTTTTCGCGCGAGGACCGTCATCCGGCCGTTGCTCGCCGAGGAGGATACGCATCACCTGTCAGGTTAATGAGAACCAACGCCGGCCGATCGTCCAATCAGCTTTTAGGTAAGAGTTTCTCTGGATTCTCTATGACCTCACCCTCCCCCGTTTTTTTTTCTAAGCTCGAATGAATCGCGCTCCGAAAGAATCCGCTCTCTTCGAGAGACCGAGTCTCTTTACGGTTCACCGAACTCACGCGGGGAGAACACGTGGTTGCCCGTGGCAGCGAGAGATCTTTGATCTTTCAGCTTCCACGTATTATTTATAAATGCGACAACAACGGTCCATCAGCTAGAAAGGCGTCGATCCATCAGCTGGTTGACAGTGTCCTCGTACAGCACAGAAAATGAAGCAATATTGCGGCAATATTGCAATGTTATTGCAGTGTTACAACAATATTATTAATATTGCTCCGATATTTTGTGCTGTATGGGCATTGTTGTTACATTGCGGCAATATTGCGGCAATATTGCGGCAATATTGCTGCAATATTGCTGCAATGTGTGGTCTGTGCTGTACAGATCTGCTTGCTAAATATATGATTTTTATCTTTTTGTTTTTTTCAACCTGACCCATACAGCGTAGAATATTGTAGCATTATTATTAATGTTGTAATATTACAACAACATTGCAATATTGTCGCAATATTGCTGCAATATTATTGTATTAATATTGTTGTAATATTGCAGCAACATTGCAATATTGTTGCAATATTATTAATATTGTTGTAACATTGCAATATTGCTGCAATATTATTAATATTGTTGTAACATTGCAGCAACATTGCCGTAATGTTTTGTGCAGCAACATTGCCGTAATGTTTTGTGCAGTATAGGAAGTAACTCGATTAAAAAGGTACTGTTTAATATAATTAGTTCGTATTTAAAATCTCTCACTCTCGGAGCTTTCGTAAACAGATGATTCGAACAGATCCATCCCTTTGTACGTATGCGTTGCACGTGCAATCGCTGCGCATTTCTTCGACGGCGTCTGCTGCATCCGTAAGCGTCGTATCATCCTTTGTTCGTCGCGCTGCACCAATATGAACGTCGCTTAGCTCAGGTGCGCGTGCACAAAGCACTTGGGCATCCCGCGATGATGCGCGTCTTGCGGTGCAAGAAGCGACGCAGGCAGAGATTCTTGCGTGTGTGATTCTCTGGATAGGATTTTACTTTAACTTTTTTGAACTTTTTTTTCAACGACGCGAGCAATGACATGTGTATTTATTAAGAGGAAACAAAAACTCACACTCGAAAAAAATGTTTTGATGATAGGTACATTTTCAGCTATTTTATTTCTTCCTTTATTTCGCAATATTTATCGCTACTTTTTGCATCTGCCTGAACATGCTTGCATTTATAGGATTTATTAGCAGCAAATTCTGCAGTAATACTTTTCGGCGAATTTAATTTCTATTGCCAAATATTAATCATTAATCGTTGGGTGAATATGGATTTCCGTGCTATAGAATGATTTTTGTGAGCATCACAGTTAAACTTTATAACTTTAATTAGCTTTAATATACCATAAAAAATTCTTTTTTTTTCTAAATTTTATTAACAGTTCCGATATAAATTCTATCTCTATCATTTATATTGATTAGGTGCAAAACATTGCGATATTACATTTTTTTGCTAATTATTTATCTTATTTTTTTGATACCTAAAAAATTGTTGCTATAGTTGCAAGACCATTTTTTAAGTGTAAGATTCTGACATTCAGAATTGTTTGTGTGGATGCACACACTGTATGTATATATTTCACATTGAATCTATAGTTCCCCTCTCACATTTTGTGCGTTCTTCTTTCTTTAATAAATTATTGCGACTTATGGATTATTGAGAAAGGTGAATCATTTATTCAGATAATTTATTCTCTTTTAAAATATAGAAAATCTGGAATTCTTTACTTTTACTTTTTTTGTATTTAAAAAAATCAGGAAATTCTGGAATTTTATTAGGACTGAGGGAATTTTTGAAAAAAATCTTCTCTCTTTAATAATTTTGTTCTTATACTGAAATAATTGGCAAGCCAAATGAATTATGCGTTTAAAATATATTATAAATATTTCTATCTCTGGTTATATATTCAATGTTTTAACGAAATATTGAACATGCAGTACATATTTTTTTTACTATAATTTTTAGTGATAAAAAAATTAAAATATTATGCAAATGAAAAATATTTATCTTACGAAAGTTATTCAGTTTTTATTAGTACATTTACAAATTTAGCACGTGAAATTTAAGAAGCTCTGTGTCTTCTACATATGAGTAAAAAACGTTAAAAAATGCAATAAAAATGAAATGTTGAATAAAAAATCTGAAAAATGAAGAATTTTTTTCATAAGATATGAGTAAACATTCTGTCAATATTTGCCCCAAAAACAATTTTGCAGCATTAATTTTCTAAATATAAAAAATTAACTGAGGTAATTAATAATTAGGAAATACTATGATATTACACATGTTTACACTTAATCAATTTAAATAACAAAGACAGAACTTATATATAAATTATCAGTGATAAAAATTTAGAAAGTTTTTTTATGGTGCTTATGCAAATTAAGGCTAATTAAACTTGTTAATAAAATTTGACTATGGGGTATACAGAAAAATTATTTCTCATAAAGAACATTCTGGTTATAACATTGAAACTCATTTATCTGATGCAGTACTTAATATTTGACAATGGGATCTAAATTTGTTAAAAAGTCTTACTAGAATTTGATGTTAAAAATTCTATATATTACAAACAATATTCTAACATATAAATACAAAAAATAGCGATAAGTTTTTGTTACAACACCTAGAAATTTACCTATATGAGCAAAACATTTTTTTAAATGTACACGAAAATACATTACTGTTTCGAAAGAGTATTTGCAAATACAAATATCTTTATATAATATAAAAAAAATTAATAAAACTTCTAAATTTTCTTATTCTATTTTCTCTTATTTGCGTTCTAGTAACACTATGGCAAATCACGTAAATTAAGTCGTTGTCTGAGTGAACTATGCGCTTAAACGTGTATTTCGTGAATGGAACAGTAACGTGTGTTTACGACAGAAAATCAGTACTTGCAAGCTATCGTGTATTCTTTAAGTGCAAAATGACTGCATACGTAGCCCGATCACGAACGCGATATTACTTGCATGCATGTATCACGCTCGCTGTTGCTTCGATTTACTTATTCTCTTTAAAAGACTATTCTTAAAACCTATTCTTAAGACCTATTCTTAAAAAATCAAGATATATACATTTCTTAATAAATGGGAAAAATTTTAAGAGATGATTTTTTGTCGAAAATTAAGAAAAATTTTTCATATAAACATATACTCCTACATCCCTCCCTGTGGAGTTACTCCTCCAAAAATGGGGGTAAAAAGGGGGTTAGGGTTAGGTTTTTATTTTTTTCTCAAATTTAGAACAAAAAATGAAATTAGGTGGATATTTTCTAATAAAAAGGTTATTTATTAATATTAAAATAAAAAGGTTATTTATTAATATTTTTTCAACTTCTCATATTGTTATAAAGGGATGAAACTAGCAATCCCTATTCAATTTTTTATTAGAACTTTTTAATGTTTATATGAAAAACCCCCCTTAATTTTAAGAAACCCTGTATATTATTACTTTTCATGAAACATTATTCCAATTTTCAGGAAGGAAACGTTATATATGATTTAAATGCATATCCTCTCTCTCCACTTTTAGAATAATATATAATTTTTATAAATTTTTATAAAAAGCACATTCTAAAAATTAAATAGCAATGACTCGAGAATCCTATAACATGCTGCGAAAAATTATGCGAAACGTTGAGAGGCGTTTTTATCGTATTTATTATAAGACTTGCGATATACATTTTTAGCCATTAAAATATATATTTAGCTATGAAAAGTTTTCAAAGTATATACAATAGAATTTCTTGCGACGTTTCACGTTCCTCTGCCTTATACTCGTTCGATGAAAATAAGTTATACGTTAACGAGCGTTTATCTTTACGTATAAAAATGCTAATGGATCGTTGATTATAATTGCAGCCAGGCTGGACGAGCATAGTCGAATGCAGCTGGGCTCAGCATGCCCTCTAAGAAGCAGTACAACCTCGTACATAATGACGAGTACGACACGCGAATACCGCTGCACAGCGAGGAGGCGTTCCATCGCGGAATCGTGTTCCACGCCAAGGTAATCTGGAGTGATTTCTTATCCACTTCGGGTTCGCGTTCGTTTTTCTCCCTTTCCGGTGAGTTTGTTTTACGCTCGCCGATCCGAGACGCATCTCTCGCGAGTCTTCCGTTTTCAGATTTCCACTCTCCCATCCTCCAATTCAGTCCGAGATTGCACTAAAGATGGGAATTTTCTATAAAGAGGCATAAAAGAAATACCTAAGGACCTAGTCTACTTTAGCAGTATAAAAAGTTGATAATTTTTAGGAATCTTTTCTAAAGAATAATAAAGAAATTGATTTTTTGGCACCTTACATGTGTTTTTGTTGATATTTAAATGTCAGTATTTTTAGCTTTTTTGTTGAATACGAGTCTCTGCGTGTTCATAAATGCATGGTTTGATGGTGTCGTGTTCTCCTCATGTAATTATCTGAAATATAAAGAAACTATCTAGATTTATATTCTATAGGATGTTCTTGGGATACTGGACTTAATTAGAGAAAATTGAAAAATAATAAAATATAATATCTTATTTTAAGATTAGATATTTCAATTTTGCTGTAATATTTCTATAGAAAATCAGAAAAAATTTTTTTAAATTCTAACAGAATTCAGTATCCTAAAAATATTCTACAAAATATAAAACTAGATCAAATTTTTTTACTTCAAACAATTACACACGAGGATCAGCACGTCAGTCATGCATTTTTGAATATTTAAAAATATTGACATACTATTTTTAAATATCAATAAAACACCATTTGGTGTTTTATTGATATTTAAAAAAAATATAATATTAAAAAATTATTAAATATTATATAATATTATTAAATATAATATTAAAAAATATAATAAAAAAATATAATGTGAAAAAAAGTATCAATTTTTCTGCTAGATTAAGCTGAGTGTTCTTAAGGAATAATATATGTATATCAGTTTATGAAAAAAATCATCGAATGTTTGGCAATGAAATAAATCGAACGATGTTATAAATTGATATAAAATTCGTTCATGCTCGAATAATATCTGACTTGCTTTGCAATGCCATTAAATTGCTCCAATAATGATTAGACATAAATGTGAATTTCTAATTGCAAGAACTCTTTCATAAACTGTGCGCACTTTGAGAAAATAGTAACGGTCGATAGCGTCTCACGTCAGAGGAAAATGTATGTCGACTATAAACTTCATGTGCTTCGCTCTTCCAACAAGCGATGGGAACGGAAGCATCTGTTTTGCCATGGTGCGTTGAAAAAGAGTTTCGCACCTTTCTTCTGTTTTTCCTTTGGTAAAGTACTGCGCTATATAATATTATTGTACATATAATAGATATGGAAGAAAAGGGAAAAAGACCAATTTTAACACTGGGGCAACTTTGGAGACCATAAAAAAATACGACATACGTATCTATCAATGAATTCTCGAAAGCTATGTAGAGAGAAAATGTATGTTTAGTGTCTCTGCATGCATTATTTCATATTAGGAAATAAAAGCCTGTAGCGATTTATTCGCAATGGAATAGCAAACTGTATTTAGTCACCAATAGGAGCCGATTACGGGTTTAATGTAACGCAAAAAGAGGACAGAATTTCCGCCTAGAATTGCACAAGACAATATTTATCAAAGTATTGTATTAGTATTGAGGATTTTCGAAAAGTCTTAAGTCTTGTCTTAATCTCAAGTGAATCTTTGTAGCAAAAATTTCGCATTATCTCGATTTTATTAACAATTTTTATCTAATACTAAACAATTATTTAAATAATTACTAATTAAACAATTATTTAAATAATATTTAATATAATTTTATACAATATACACACAAAGTTTTGTTGAATAATTGTGTAAAATTTTATATTGTTTATTTTGTTTATATATATTTTATTAATATATTTATCATACTTCAAATATACTTTTATTTTAATAACTTTTATTTATTATATTTTGTTTATTTTATTAATATATGTTTTTAATCATATTAATATAAATGTTTTTATTTATTAAATAAAATTCATAATTTATATATATTTTAGTTTTTTTAAAATCAGTAATCTTGACAATATCTTAATTTTAGTATTTAATCTTAGTATTGTTGACTAATTAAAAATCTTGTTTTGATCTTGTTTCAAATTTCAAGACAAGGCAATATCAAAATTAGTCTTAGTGTCTCGTGTAATTCTAATTTCATCAGCGGATACTCTGTCGTGATGAAATATATCTGACGTTTTCTACGTGACGAAATTCGAACAACTCGAATATATCAATCGCAATGGAGAGAATAATAATAATAATATTTAAACGTCGTCGCGCGTATCGATGGTGCAACAATTGCGACGACAGCGCGATACCGGCGACTTATTTCTGGACCACCGCGCTCTCCGTGTGACGTCATCACACATCGCGCACGTGTTTATTTCGGTGGTACTTCTCTCCTGAGAAAGGTTAAAGCTTTTTGTGCGCCGCGTTTGTGATGCGAAATTCACGCTTACCCTGAACACTCGGAAGGTCCGGAAAACATACATGTTAAGATCATATTTTTAAAGAAGATGTTTAAATAAGCGTCTCTCGTAAAACCATCTCAGTTCATGAAACTCTGAGCGATATTTCATTCATGTTTTTTTTTCTTCTTGATACTGTCTAAAAAATATCGTAAAAATAAAATTTCAAGAAAAAACAACAAATGAAACATGTGCACATATACAACGAGACGTCATTATGTCTGTATCTTAAAAGCATCAGAGAAAACTCGAAAACTTATTTTTTTCATGAAAAGAATTGCTCAAAGTTATGGATAAATGTCCGAAAAAATTCAAGATATATTTTGCATATAATACAGTAAAAAATAATTATAACATTTTTCACATGTCCCAGAAAGTCCACTCTAAATTTTAAGTTAAATAGTTCATGTAGCGTCGTATGTTACTTATTGACAAACTAAAAATGTTATTAAATAATTGACACAATACTTTCCATTTATTTTTGTTATTGTGATTTTAAGTGTAATGTAAAAATAATATACAAAATAAAAATTACATGAAAAAATAGTTACAATAACTCGTAAGAATTGTTGTAGGACATTAACATATAATAGAATTATTTTAACTGGAATTATTTGTAATAAAAACATTTGATTTTAGTAAATTTGATTATTTTGTATGTCAAAATTCAAAATTATTTGTAAATTTAATTTTTTTTAAATGTTAAACTGACTTTGAGACATGTTAATTGTTTAAAATGATTGTGTTAAAAATACTCAAAATTTTATTTCTAAGAAACATATACAAAGTATTGTTATGAAGTTGACATAAATGTAATACATGAAAACGTTATAAAAATAATAACATATAAGTTGTATGCTAATTTTACATTAAGGTACCAATCAAAACGTGGTAACACAGAAAATTTTAACATATGGATGCACAATTTTTACTGTGTATGTATATTTTGGCCAAGAAAGAATTTTTTCTAAAAATTCACCAAAGAATTTGCTGCTAAAAGTACATCCATGACATGATTTTGAAATACTCTAAATATGTTGTACATATTTATTATATCATATATACATATATTAGCAAAATGTCTCTTAAAATTCCACGAAACATAATTTAATAAATCAATCTAAAGGACGTGTCTTTTAAGTTACCTTACAAAATCTTTTAAATTTTTCCTTTCTTTTAGATCTTTTAGATAACAATTCAGTTTTGCTATAATATCGTAATCAGTAACATAAATTTGCCATGACTAACAATGAGAACATCGTTTCAATTTGTGCACTTCATCGATTGTTCATTTTACAATTAGTATACAAAGCCGCAATTATTGTCAGCAGCAGAAAGGGTAAATAGGTTGTTTATGCAATTTATATGTTAAGAATGTTTCAAAGTTAGTCGCGCAACTTAATTTTAAATTAATTATACTTTTAATTAACATACAATATGTTTGACTTTGCTGTATCATTCGTGTTAATTAATTCCAAAAGTCGATAGATGCAATAATCTTGATCATGGAATAAAATTTATAAGATTTCGTTTCTCTTCCGAATAATTTTTTTTCCAACGGATATCTGCAAATAATATTTTCCCATTAGCGTTGATAAAAATATTTTTATACATTTCATCTTCAATCATCAATTTTTTATCTATTAAATTTTATTTAATGTAATAATTTTAATTAATAAAAATTTAATAATACACTCATAAAATTAAACGAGTCGAAGTAATCGAGACGAAGGAATAATTAAATGAGTACGAATTATTATGTTCAGTGTATTTTACTTCTAGTGCTAGAAGCCGCCTTGATCTTCTGAATTTGCTTCGTCTGATGTGAAAACTGAGCGCACTACATTATCATGACTTGAGAATCTGGTGTCTACATTTAGTGCTTAGTGGGGTATAAATGCAGATCGATATACTACTAGAGAATTTGCGCTATTAATATTCCATCCGCGTACTGTGCATATTTCTTATAAAGTTATAAAGTAGGAAATATTCTGAAGCGAAACGGAATTTCTCTCTCGATATCCAGTATATTGCACATCGATTTTTCAAAGAGTAAAAGTTTTTCTACGCACGCGGTACGTTATAACGGTGGATGAGGGAAAGAGCGGCAGAATTTCGCAACGCGAAAATTTTCAGCTAGTACGCAAGCACTTTTCCTCATGCGCTGTCGTTATGCGCTTATCGATCGCAAATTTTTACGAAGAAAGGCTCTGTCGTAAGCATGTGCGTGGGAGAATACCACGTGTACGTAGAATCATCCGAACGAACACGTGGCTAAGACCATCGGCTTCAATGGGGGAATTCTAAATACAGATCGTGTCAGAACGTAGGGTTGCACGAGATACCAAGACTGGTCTTGATAGTGTCTTGTCTTGTCTTGAAATTCAAGACAAGATTGAGACAAGATTCTTAATTAATTATCGAGACAGTACAAGATTAACATGATCAAGAGATTACGAGTCTTGTCAGAATTATTGGTTTTTAAAAAAAGCTAAAATATGTATATTTGTATATCAGAAAAGAAAAAAGTCACACTGTATTATATGAATTTAAATTTAAAAATTAAAAATTTTATTTATTAAAAAAATAAAAAGATTATAAGAATAAATAATAATAGATAATAAATAAAAAGTTTTATTTAATAAATAAAAATATTTATATTAACAAATTTAGAAATAATTAATGCAATAAATAAAATAAATAGTATAAAACTTTACAAAATTATTTAGCTATATAAAACTTTGCGTACGACATGTTCTCTGATTGTGTACGTATCTGCATTATTGTAAGCAAATTTTTGTAAAGCGAATATATATTTACATTCAACATATAGGAAGAATTTTATACAAATGACACATAAATATAATAATAATTATCTCAAATCAAAGATTATATTAAACATTAATTTTATTTTTTTATTTTCTTATTTATTACATTTATTTATTTTTTTATTTTTTTATTTATTACATTTATTTATTTTTTTATTTTATTATTTATTATATTTATTTATTTTTTTATTTTATTATTTATTTATTTATTTTATTGTTTTAAATAATAATTATTCAGGAAGGCTCGAATTGAGTCCGAAACGTTTGGTATTAAAGATGACCGTTTAATTTGATCGTCCTCTTGGATAATTATTTAAAAAGAACACGCCTTACATCCGCGTTTGGCTCCTTATGGCCTATCAATATTTTAATAATTATTCAGTATTAAATAAAAATTGTTAATAAAATCGAGAAAAGGCAATAGAAAGTGAAATTTTTATTACAAAGATTCACCCAAGACCAAGATCAATATTTAACTTTTCGAAAAAATTTCCAATATCAATACAATATTATTTATGAATGTTGTCTTGTCTCGAGTTTTATACAACCCTAATATGGTGGTCCTCCCGCGCTATGATTATGGCAACCATATAACGTGTATGTTATCGTTGCATGTATAAATGGGGCGGTTCGTGCTGTCCTCATCAAAATCTTACTATAATTCGTGACATTTAAATTCTCAGAAGCGATTAATTTTATCCGAGGATAAGAAGTTATCACTTACATATTAAATTACTTCTGGTTTGAAAAAATCCAGTGACAGTAATATAAATCAGAGACTACGTTTGAAAGATTTGAGAAGATTAATTTTAACTTCTTCGTATTAAAAAAGAGAAATATAAATTAAAGAATAAAGATTATAGATTAAAGAAAGAGAATGTTGCACTGAAATTTATCAAGGTATAATAAGTACAATTTATCCAAAAGGAAAGGATGTATTTGCGTCATTCTTCACGTCAGCAATTGTCAGTGTGTGATGACACTATACCTTCTTCTTATGTATTTCAGTTCATTGGTTCTATGGAGGTTCCGCGACCGACTAGCCGAGTGGAGATCGTGGCGGCGATGCGAAGAATCCGCGTGAGTAATAGCTAATTAACCTAGTTGCGAAGAACACTATGGTTTAACTGTCCTCGTATCTCGTCCGATTAATCTGGATTTGTTTGATCCGCAGTACGAGTTTAAGGCCAAAGGGATCAAGAAGAAGAAAGTGACACTGGAAGTCTCGGTGGACGGGCTGAAAGTGACCTTACGGAAAAAGAAAGTAAATAATGTTTTCCAGTATATGTTAGCATGTAGACTTAATTAGGTTGAACGCGTTAACTTATTAACTCTTCACCGGATAAGTTAATTCTCACATATGTAACTAGACAAGATGAGTCTGCTAGACTCACGATGATATATCACATAAATTAAAGAAGCGAAAAAGGAAGATGTACATTCGAACATCGACGCAGATTCGAGCAATTTAAGCATCCGTTAAAATAAAAAGTTTGAAACGTTTTGATGAGAACAACATTTTTCAATCAAAAAGATTCTTTTTGATTGAAATCAGCTGACTTTTGTTTCTCGTTAAATTATGATAAAAATAAAATGTATCCTTTTACATGTGATCTTTTCATCAAAGGATATCGTGAGTTTTCAAAGATATATTTATTTTTCATCTAATTATCGTAAGCAAAATCGGTACATAATTCTTTTTTAGTGAGATCGAACGCAAAATTTTCGCAAAGCCCGCGTAAGAGAAAGATCATCGTTTTCGGCGAATGTCTCAAGGGAAAAATCACACGCGTCCGATGACGCGCAATTTCGTAACAGTTGCAATTTATAACGAGAAATGATTTTGGACAAACGCCACGTTGTATTCGCTCCGATACACATGAGTGTCATATATTTTCGATAGTGTATACATCAGCAGTAATAGCCAATATTAGCTAAACTATATTCTCGAATGATTGCTATAATGGTTCGCTATTGTTTTTGCAGAAGAAACAGCAGCAATGGATGGATGAGAATAAAATATATCTGATGCATCATCCGATTTACAGGTGAGTTGGCGTTGTATTTGCTCGCTATCGCTTAATTTATCACTGCCAATCTCTCTTTCTGATTTATTTACTATTCTTGGATTACTTTACAATTGTACGAAACAATATATTATAGATATATCATTTCTGCATTTTTTCTCGGCTAATAATTAATTATTGAGAAAATACAAATAAAATTTGCGTATTTTTCTATCGCTTGAAAATAACACAATTTTTGAATAAAACATAAAACGACTGTATTTCTTTTTCAGGATATTCTACGTCTCGCACGATAGCCATGATTTAAAGATATTTAGTTATATCGCCCGCGATGGGAGCAGCAATACGTTTAAATGTAATGTCTTCAAATCTAGCAAGAAGGTAAGTCGCAATTTTTATCTATGTACAACAATAATTTGGTTAATTCTCGATGTTGTCAAAAATTTCCTACATCGGTCATAATCTCGAACTTTGTAAGCTGAAAAGAAATTTATGAATTTACGAATAGGAATACGTGATATGAATTGATTATTATTTTTGGAGGATTTATTTTCATTTGTTTTATCCCGCTTTTTATACAGCAACTATATGTTTAGAAAAGAGTCAAAATCGTTTGAATTAAAAATCAAGAAAAAAGAGAAGAGGAATTAATTATACAATATCTCACCAAAGTGTTGCATCATTTATAGAAACAGGGAAGTCGTTATTTTAATGAGTAAAAATATATATAAACATTATCAAATTATATTTTATTTATTATTTTATGTTTTAATGTTAATATTAACAAAAAGCAATTGTGAGAATATTTGCAAACATACTGGATTATATCACATAATAACAACTTTCAAAAAATTATCAAGAATGTCAAAAATGCATGCAAAGGGAGGCTATTTTCAAGAATCAACAATTTAATATTTACTGTTATTGTTGTTATAATTTTTAATTATTGCTTTATTAAAGCATAAAAATAACAGTAATAAAATAAAATTTGATAAAATAAAATAATATAATATGTATATTTTTAATTAAAGTAACTTTTCTGTTTTTATAAGTGATGCAATACTTTTTGATCGATACTGTATATATGTAACGTGTGTGTGAGACTCAATACACATCTCAATACATATTATATATTCAAGTAAATGAATATATGGAATTTCTGAAGACAATTGTCGTGTCCATTTTCCTACTTTCGCGGATCTATTATTCCACATGGCGGAGTGACTATTGGCCGGCGTAAGATTGCGTCGTGCACGTGCGTAAATTGTATATACATACGTGCATATACATACGACAATTCACGCAGCCCGCGTCGCCTGGCGCTTTATCAACTTACTTTATTGTAAATCTATAAATAAGCGCCGGACTCCTTGGCGGTCGCCCCCTCGTCTCCTCCCTCCGCATCTTTTCTCCGTTGTGGAGACGCAAGACGTGGCGACTGTACGAAAGGAGGAGGGTGATGTGGAGATCTCCGCAACCAGAAGAGAGCTGCATCCCTGTCAAAGTAGAGAGAGAGAGCGTATTATTTTCGCCTTTTCGTGGGTGGAGGGATATTGGACCGGACTGAAGCCTCGCGGGGGAGGAGGGGACGTATCGTTTTGTCGTGTATGTATTTGCAGTAGCGGCTCGGTGCCGTTTGGCACCGGGTTATTAAAATAGTCCGATATAGGCCGGGATACGATCTTTCGCGACGCACGCTGGCGGTTTCTTAGATCCGGAAATTTGTCTCTATTAATGCCTCGAGAAAGGCACATCCTTGCTTATTTACGACACATGATTGACAGTATTGACCATTTTTTTTGTTCTTGCAACTTTCGTATGTAAATACTAATGTTTTAGAAAAAGAGGAATCAAGCTTCCAATGTATTCACTTTGCACGTGTGTGTGTATGTATGTCGCGTGCGTGTGTGCGTGTTTGTGAAGGGAAGAAATCGAAAGAAGAATTTTAATTTACTCAGTATCTCTCTCTTTCTCTCTCTCTCTCTCTGTTGTACGTATATATTCTTATTATGTAATGTCGCGCTTCTCTCTAAATATCCTCGATACTTATCGGTAAACATAGAGGTCTTCCCTCGTCCCCTTTGTTGATTATTTGGGGATTCCGGTCGCTTTCAAAATCTGGGTGAATCCAGAAATAACCGACGACTATAGAAGACGATATATCTAGGATGCCGCAGAAATATCCAGTCTAAACGAAGTTTTAAACTCGCGGGCGAAACTTCCAAAAAGCTTTCACTGGTTCCCATCTCTAGTCCTGTTTATACTACCCTCAACTTTTATATCAATTCTTCAGGACAATAGAATTGTGCTTGTTCTTTTAACGGACGGAATTTCTATTCTTATTCGTGTAAAAGCTTGGGCTTTTAAGATCTAGTCCTTTAGAAGTTGAATTTTATAGATTCTTTTTACCTACCCAATTTTATGCTAATAATATAATTTCACTTTATATGTATATAGTTTGCAGTTCGAGAATATAATTTTTGCATATTATTATGCCTAGAGATCCAGAGGACCTTTGCAGGCGAATTTGTTACGTTTGCTTATTGGTCGATAGGCCCGCAGTAGGAGCTATGTAAGATAATTGCGAATTGTCACAGAAAACGCTTGACACGCGATGATATATAATTTATCAGTCGGAGGACATAGGAGTCCCGACCTCGGTCGACCTTAAATGACGTGCTGCATCGTCGGGGTCGGCTATAGAATAGCGTTCCGTACAAATTTCGAGCGCACGTCTCGCTTTCCGCATTCTCTTCAGTCCATTCGCCCGTTCAATTTTCGGATGGAGGAGGAAACTATTAAGCTAGTTAATCTTAGCGCGATATCGAAAGAATGTGTGACGAGAAAAGTCGCTGTAATAGATCTAAAAAATATAAAATGTAGGGTCGTGCATAAGATTCAAGGCAAAATAATATATATTTGTAAAAATATCGAATTGATATTCAAAATTTTTGAAAATTTATACAAATCTTCCCTTAATCTTTGTAGCAAACATCTTGTCTTGTATTGGTTTTTCTTGATTTTATTAACAATTTTGATGTAGTACTGAATAATATTGTTTAAAATAATATTTAATATAATCTTTATGTAATAATTATTTGTATGTCATTTGTTGCGTTTATTTTTTAAAATATATATATTTTCGTTACTTTGTGAAAAGGCTCATCAGAGAATCGCGTACACGTGTCGCAAAGTTTTATATGGTTAAATAATTGTGTAAAATTTTACGTTTCATTTTGCTTATTGTGTTAATTATTTCTAATTTGTTAATATAAATATTTTTTACTTATTAAATAAAAGTTTTTATTTATTAAATAATCTTTTTAAATAAACATTTATTGAATAAAATTTTTTAAATTCGTATATAGAGCGACTTAACAGTGACAATGATACAGATAATACAGACAGATAATGAGACAGTATAATACAGTGACTTTTTCCTCATCTAATGTATAAATATTTTTTTTTAAATCAATAATCTTGATAATCTTGACAAATTACTGGTCCTTATCTTGATATTCTTATGATAATTAATTAAAAATTTTGATCTTGCCTCGAATTTCGAACAAGCTAAGACATTATTAAGTTTGCTATTTTAATTGCAATCCTAAAATTTAATATACATAAAAAAAATAAAAATTATACGACTGAATTGAGATCAAATATTACACAATATTAAATCACAATATTAAACAGTTTCGGTAGGATCAATGCTTTGTTGTTAAAATATTATTAGAAAATTAAATTTAAAAAAAAATCACAATGAGAATTACAGAATGTTATTGTAGATGCTCTCGATGCAATTAATTCGCAAGAACAATTCATTCGAACATTTTTATTTTAGATCGTGACTGCGATTCTTGCATAATACAAAAACCTTATTTAAATCGTTCAGTAAATTCTCCTTCTATTATTTACCACATCTACTTTCTACTTGCTGCTCCAATTAGAAGAAGTTATTTAATAAATAACGTTCCACTTTCCTGTTTCGTTTTATTAAAAAAAGAAGGTTGTAACGTTCGCAGGATATCATGCACTCCTAAATAAAATAGATCGATTAATTGTAATCGAGAGCTGGAAATTTGGGTTATCAAGATAGACAAAGAGAAAGAGATAGAGGAAGGGATCGACGAAGATATAGAGAGAGAGATGGAAAAGTGCCATTGAGCGGGCCGAAAGCGAGAATATTAATGCGATTATAAATAAACTCGGAGGAAAAATCCGGCGAAGCGCGCCTCTGGACGTCGCCGGCCACGAAACCGCGATAGGAAGCCGCACGGTTAACTTCGGCTCTCGCGTTCCCCGTTTATACACGAGGCCCCGTTTATACATAAACCGCTTCTATTTTCCCCTCTTTCACGCGTCATTTCCTCCTTTTCCTCCCTTTCTCCCTGGATATCCCGATAGAATGACTTCGGACGCAACCACGCGCCGTAAAACGCGGACAGTCCTGATGGATCGCCTGTCCCCGAGGAAGTGATTGGACACGTTCGAAAATTGGAAGATGTACGGAAAAACGAGACGGGGTGTGGGATCGTCTGATTACGAGATTACGGTAATATGATGGCATTCGGTAAGAGATTTATCAACGTCGCGGCGATACGTAACAGAATGTCTTCGACGAGAGAGATATGTATAAGAGAAGAATATTTTTTCAATCGAACTTAGTGATAAAAATAAAAATAAGATATACGTGATGATTGATGTAGTGCATATGTGTGTGTGTGTCTGTTTTAATAATTTTTATTATTAAAAAGTGAAAGCAGGACCTTGGCAACATGCGCTTTACGGGAAGAGATTTGTGTGTATCTACACTTGTTGATGGTATCTACATTTAATTTATATTCACCTCATAATTAAATCTTACTATTATATTAAATCTTAAATTACATTGATATCACATTGGTTTTTTTATAGTATCTCTAGTCACTCTTTCAAAATGATAAAAGATTATAAAAATATATTGGGCGCTTATTTTCAAATTCAAATGATCAAAGTTATTAAATAATAAATTTTAATTTTTAATTATAAATATTAAATTTAATTAAAAATTAAAATAAAGCAAGAAGCTGCAGACCGTGACGTAAGGTATTAGAACGAAATAGAAATCAAAAACAAAACATTACATATTCTTTAAAATAGGCAGATGGAAATAAATTTAATTATTTAATTAATTATTTAATTAATTAATTATTTAAAATTCCAAATTACATCATCTCTAATGCCTGACATTAGTTCTTCTTTTATCGACGTGAAGATGGTGTGGATGTAAAGTCCACACGATCCATCTAAAGAGATAAAAGATGCATATCTATAGTGTGTCACTTTTCATATGTATATTTTTCTTTTTTCTTATCTGAAAATTTTCGAATGAAATTCCTTAATTTTCTTTATTCAAATTAAACATAAAAGTTGATTGTCAAGTGACGTGAAGAAAAATTGACGAACAACGCGCGTATGCAATATACGCGATAGTTTTCGTGGAAAACGATATATGCATTTTAAAATTACGCACGATTTAATGGGGGATTTGCCAAATTGAATAGTCACGACTATTTATACAAATGAAAACGACGAACAGATCATATGCCAACATTAATTATTTCAATCTACATTAGATGGACTTTTGTCTTTTTCAATCCAAGTGTAAAATATATCCGCGACGTTCAGTATTATGATCACCCTTAATCTATCTGTCAGTGATGTATCGTTATTATGCCATTATTATTGCAGCACTTGCGCATCAAAGATAATGCATTTTAGACATTTATAAATGTTTTCCTAATATAATTCGTGTCAGCATAAACGGCCATTTCGCTTCTCGCATATCAACATTGCAGGAATAAATTGTTATTTTATATAGAGATTACAAATTTAGAGTTTGTACAATTATATATTTACATATAAGATACCGGATAGAAATATATTTTTCATATTTCTGATATAAACAAAGCCGTTATCTCTGAAATATTAATAACATGTTTATAATAAAGTTGATTTTTCAATCAACGTACGAGAGAAATACTTAGGATAATTATTTAATTTTCAAAACATTGCATAAATTGCACTAGAACAAGACAAATATTAAACAAGACAAATATGTTCATAAAGATATTATATTAATGGTTGAAAACTTAAATTACGTCTTGATTTTGCGTGAATCTTTGTAATAAAAATTTTATATTGTTTTATCTCGATTTTGCTAACAATTTTTATCTAGTACTGAAGAATTATTAGAAATAATATATTTATCACATAATCTTTATAATATAATTTAAGATAACATTATTACTTACTGTGCCATTCGTTTACTTCCAAAATATTATATACATATATTTGTTGTCTTTATGAAAAAATAATTGCATACAATGATGCCAGAATGCAAAGCTCACATACACAATATGAGGGAACCACATACATATGCATACGCAAAGTTTTGTGCATCCAAATAATTTTGTAAAATTTTATATTGCTTATTTTTTTATTGTATTAGTTGCTTTTAAATTTGTTAACATGTTTTTATTTATTAAATAAAATTGGTTAAATTCATATAATAGTGATTTTTTCATTTATTTTACAAATATATATATTTATTGTTTTTTAAAAATCAATAATTTTGGCAAGACCAATAAGCTTCTGACAATCTTAATTTTGGTATTGCCTCATATATATAATTAATTAAATATATAATTAATTAAAAATCTTGTCTCGAATTTCGTGACAAGACAAGATAAGACAGTATTAAGACTAGTCTTAATTTCGGGTAACCTTAAGATTGTGGAAAATCTGGAGGCTTTAGTAGTTTAGGAATAATTAACTTTTGATCGTTAATTTTAATTAAATTAAATTAACTAAGTTAATTTAATTAACTTTCAAATTAAGATTTATTTGTATTTGATACGTGGATCAAGTAAAATTCGTATACATTAATCAAATTTAGAGAAAGATTAATTTTTTATTTCAAACTGACGCATTACTGTTCTTAATATCAGCGAAATTCTGTATTTTCACATATAGAGTTTTATTAATATTTTGATTTGATTGAAAATCAAGTCTTTTCATTATTTTTAAACTTTTGAAAACATGTTGAAAATGAATTCTGACAGTTTATTTTAACTTTAATTAAGGGATTTTAGCGGACTTTTTTAGATTACACATTACATTGAAAGAAAAAACTATTGAGAATTAAACTGTCACGACTCAAATCTCTCCAGATTTTACAGATTTGCTGTATTTAATTAAATTATAAAATTCTTATGCTGAGAATTGGAATGAAAAGAAACTCTATCTTCAATATTTCATTTCACACACACATTATATATATTTGCGATTCACTCGGTAAATAAAATTTCATACCTGTTTATTCTTTCTTCATGACCTCGACAAGCTGAAATAAGTTCAAAGAAACTCTCAAAGTAAACGGTGCGCGTCGTGTCGAACATCGTCTAAACAAAGAAAAAGAAAATGTAGTTGATGAGATTGATGATGAGATGGATGACAGCATCCGCAGCTGTGAACACGCGAAAATTCGGGGCGAATCGTGAAAAAAAAATCGTGGGATCGCCCATGAGAGCCATGCTGAAAAACTCGTTCAAGTCGGCGATGGCTTCGACCGAATTCTCAATGTCAACCAGCAGCCCTAGTCCTGCCAGTCCCTTGGGCTTCGAGACCACACCTAGGCCGCGCAAGAAGCTCTCCTTCAAAGAACCTTCGAGGGAGATCTTCAACTACTTGAAAATGCGCAAACCTTCGGTGCGACCCAAGCTGTTGCAAGCGCAAAACAGCGTCGATCTCAGCTTCGACGAGAATCCCTTTGAGGAAGAGAACGAGGATCTCGACGAGCTCGAGGTAAAGGACGCGCGCGTTTTTCCTTCGGCTTTTCATTAAGGGGTTATACCTAGTCAGCAAATCGAAAAAAATGTATTTTTGGAAAATTAAAAAAAAACTGTTAAGTATTTTTATTTCATCCATTCTTTATCATAATATATATCTATCAAAGAAGTTTTCATAATTTTTTCAATTAAAAATATCGAGAAATGTAGACACAGTAGCTATTTTCCTGAGACATCTTTTTTCGGAGGCGCTTGGCGGTGAGCAAGATTACTCGGAGCTGGATCATCTAAAATAAAAAATTCAAAAGAATTTAATTTTCGTATGAATTGATCTAGTTCGTGAACGAAGGATTTTACAAAAAATTGATTTTGGATAATGTCACAGACGTTTGACACAAAAATACAAATTTTTTGTGTTAAAACTTTTCGTTATTTTGTTAATAAAAAAAAAGGTTTCATCACAATTAAAATTCCTTCGTTCACGAACTAGATCAATTCATACGAAAGCTAAATCTTTTCGAATTTTTTATTTCAGATGATCCAGTTCCGAGTAATCTTGCTCACCGCCTCCGAAAAAAGATGTCTCTGGAAAATAGCTAGTGTGCCTACATTTCTCCATATTTTTAACTGAAAAAATTATGAAAACTTCTTTGATAGATATATATTATGATAAAGAATCGATGAAATAAAAATACCTAACAGTTTTTTTTAATTTCCCAAAAATACGTTTTTTTCGACTTGCTGACTAACCCTCTTAAAGAAAAAAAAAAACATTCTTCTCCGATTTTATCGAAGAGATAATAAAACTCGATGAATAAAATTGTTATAAAAATGACCGATGTAGGGAAAATTTACGTAATATTTTGCGCAGTCTTTGAAATTCTATAATTTTTGTAGTATTTGTATTATATTAATTCAACATTATTACGCACCAAAACTCTAGACAAAGAAAATAAAATAAATTAATCTTACTTGATTAGAGTCAAGCAATGAGGGTGGTCAGAACGGTCGGGCAAGCTTTCGAAGTGTGCCATAAATTAAGTATAAATAATGCCACGGAGGATCGTGATCCTCGAGGAGACAAAGACGGGGAGAGCCACGGTGAGAATTACCACGGTGATGTTTACGAGGACCAAGACGAGATTCCCAACGAGCAATCTCAACCTTCTCCGCCACCGGTGCATAAAGGTGAATTGAGCTACTCATAATCGATTCGCATTTCGTCTCGTTGTCTTAATTCCTGAAATTATGGCGAAAGAATGTTAATATAAAAAAATCGTTTTCAAAGAGAAATTTGTATCCTTTTTTTAAATTTCCATTTCTTTTATTTATAATTATGCTCTACTTTTATTTATAATTATGCGGTAATTTCTGTCTCGTTTTTCAGACATATCGTTAATGGGGGATACTGAAGATTCGGTTCCCGAGCAAACGTCCGTTACCTGTTTACTTCGATCGCATGACGGGCCGGCGACAACCACCTCTACCTCACCGATCAGACAGTCACCATCGGTAAGATTTATCGAGAATATAGATCGGAGAGCGTGTGCTATTTTAAAGGATACTTTGCAAAGTACTTTGGCAACTACGAAGGAGTCAAAGTCTTAAAATAAGATGGCTCGTTACTGAAAACTGTTTTGCTCTACGGTAGCACATTGTTTATCACTTTCCAAGTTTATTTCGTCGGGGTACGTCTCATAAATTTTAAAGCGTCTCCTTGCGCAACAATATAATTTGATCATGGATTTCAACAAGATGCAATTTCGACGCTTCGAAACAACTCTTACGTCTACATCACGTCTACTCGTTTCTTATATATATATATATATATATATATATATATATATATATATATATATATATAGAGAGAGAGAGAGAGAGAGAGAGAGAGAGAGGAGGGAAGTATCGATTTATTTATTTTTTCTCTCTTTTTTACAGGGCACGGTAACTTCCGAGTGCGGAGGTTTATTGGTGGGTGGCGAATTAACAGCTCTAAAGCACGAAATACAGCTTTTACGTGAACGTTTGGAGCAACAAAGTCAACAAACCAGAGCTGCCGTTGCCCATGCGCGACTTCTTCAAGATCAACTTGCGGCGGAAACGGCAGCGCGCGTCGAAGCTCAGGTATAAATAAATGAATCAATTATCAGAATGCATAAATATTTTGCCCAGCACTTGTCTACATCATTGATTGATTAATTCATCTCATTGTATAGTCTAATATGACTTATTAAAGTAGCTGAATAATTTATTAGAGGTGTATAAATAAGTTTTTCTCTATTCTTTACAAAATTTAATGTTTTTTAGCAAATTATATATATACGAGTCAATCATAATAATCTTATTTTTCAATATTTCCTTTCATTTTTTAGATAAGTTATAGATTTCGGATCGATAAAAAGTTTGATATTTACTTGCGATAAATTCATAAAGCTATTTTCTTATTTCTTCGACATTTATAAATTTTTTCAGATAAGGCATGCTACATCGGTCGAAACAAATTATTATTTGAAGGCGGTAGTAGTATATGGGTAAAGTAAAGAACCACCCAAGTCAATGTCTTTAGTAATTTCACGAGGCCGAGCATTATCATGCAAAATTTAACTGGGCAATCATTTTTCTCCGTAGGAATTATTTTATTCTATAACTCATCGTTTAAACGAAATAATTATGATGATAGCAATCTGCAATTACTGTTTTGTTTAGTCAAGTAATTTATATTTAATCATACCTTTATATATCTTGCTCGGCTTTATATAGCAAAATTACCTCAAGAAAACTCATTATGATTACATTGTATTACATGTATAATTTATTAATAAAAATTGAATGTCAAAATAGTAGAAGACTAGTGGAAAATTTATTTGAAAAACAGTAGAAAAATAGTAGGAAAATAATAAACAACTTATTTATACATCTAATGATATATTTTATGAACATATTACTATTGTTATTATTTTATTGTTTTTATAAAATTATAAATTAAGTATATCTATCGAAACGACAAGAAAGTGAATTTGATGAAAAATGTCTACTTTAATCTCATCAGTTTTAATAAAACAATTGTGGCAACTAAAATTTTTCACTCAGACACAGATTTCTTCTTGTTTAGGCGAGGACACACCAACTCCTAGTGCAAAATAAGGAATTGCTAGAACATATAAGCGCGCTGGTGAGCCACCTGAGGGAACAGGAACGTGTTTCCGGTGGTCACGTCACTTCGCAGTCGCAAATACCGAGTACGCCCGCATCCATGCAACAGAATACGGCGGCTCCCGATCTGTCGAGCCTCGGCCAGGTAACGCTCTACCGAATTCCATGACACCGGAATATTCCGGTGGAGCATGGAAGCGAAGCACCTGGACTGATCGAGCGTTGCATCTCTCAATTAACGTCTAACCGAATGCATTTTGTATTTTTCTTTTTATTTTTCCCTCTATTTAATATCGTTAACGTCCTTTTTGTACCGAGATTTTCCTTTCACCTTTTTTAACTTTATAATAAAATATTTTATACATATATACAAATTTTTTGTTTTGCACTCACTACACTATATTACACCGATTGTAATGCGAGTCCGAATGAAATTCGTTTTTTCTGGTGCTCAGATGAATCATATTTAGCAATGCACGCGCTATGTTTTAGGCGTTTTCGTTTGGTGCCGATAAGACGTCGAAAACAGCCGTAGCCTCAACTATTTGTATTATTTGCGCGAGTATTTGCGCCTCGACCCTTACGGCGCAAAAAATACAAGTCAAAAAGCTTGCTGATACTAACATCGATAAAAGTAAAAGTGAAAGTCTTGTGTGATGCGAGTGATTTGATTAACGCAGCGTGCGTTGCGTATATCTCTTCTCTTAATTACTTACACGTTTAGATTCGAGGTATCTAATAGTGAGAAACAATGAGTTTTTTCATCCTAAAAAACGACTAATATAATAACAACTAATATAATAACAATTAAGCACCAGTATGACGGTGTTGTCTAACAGGTCTTCGCACGGGATTTCGGAGTACACGCTGCCAACCAATGCTAGGTAATGTTTTATCTCTCATTACTCAAGATCTGTCGGTATAAGAGCAAAATCCTAATCAGACATCGCAATACTTGAATCCATAATATTTGACAAAGCATTTAAGAATTGAAAGAGGTAAGAGCACAAAAAGAGATACACAAAAAATGAGAAAGAATTCTTAGTTTTTAACATATAAAGTTAAAAATTTGCACATATATCTCACAAATAAATTATTAGAGAAATTAACGATTAAATATTCAAAATTGTAAATGGGATCATATACATTTGTGTATAAGATATATGCACAATACATAATTATAAGAGTAAACATATGAGAGAAAAAGTGAGAGACAAATATTCGCCTCTCTCTCTTTTGAATACATCGCGAATTTTGAGAGATCATGTTTCCCAAACTACGTCTTCTCGAGTGTAGTGTCAACGGACCGGAGGTCAGAGCTCGCCATGGGAGCTGGATCCACCGACTTTTCCTTACTGCTCATATCTGCCGGATACACTCTATTCCGGCGGTCTCAGCGCCATGGGTATCCAGGGTAATAATACCACCGCGGATCAATTACAATTCCAAACACAGCTATTGGAAAGACTGCACAACCTAAGTCCATTTCAGCCACAAAGATCGCCTTACAATACACCATCGCCGTACGCGATGGGTCCAAATCTGCTTTTACCTCCGTGCGGTGGACCAACGGTGAGTGAGTCCTCGTTATCACCTGGATTTATACGAAATATAACTACAATAATAATGTAATATAATAAGGATATAATATATGTTATATTACATTTATAAATGGGAAATTACGTAATTAATCAATAACTTACTACTAATACTTACGTACATTACTTGTAACATTCCGTTTTATTATTTTTAATAATATCAATATATTATTAAAATATTAACAATGTTTACTAGGATTAAAATATTAATATATTAATATATTAAAATATTAACAATATTTACTGGGATAAATTTTTTATGCTAGTTGAAGAAGAGCAATTTATTAATATCATTTTAATGTTTAAAAAATTTCTCTATCATAAATTTTATATAATTTTATTTATTTTATATATTTTGAATATAGAATTCAGCCCAGTTGTCCCCAAACTCAGCATCCTTGCGGATTTCTCAACCGAACAGCTTCTCCTCGTCGCCAATCATGACTCACAAGCTCGACAACTATGGAACGGATAGTTCAGACGCACATCAACATTTTATAAAACCGTTGCCATGTGATAGGAATATAACTCATTCAATAGCCGAGGCTAAAGTCAAACAGGAACGGTCGAATCTACAGGATTCCGATATACCTCCGATAATCCTGGATCCACCGCCGCAAGGCAAACGCGTAGATGATACGGCCAAGAAAACGAGTTCGAGGCAAAGTTCAATAATTCAAGGGGCGCATGATAATAAGAATAATGCACCGAAAAGTCTAGCGACCATTCTGCGAACTTCAGGTCCACCACCTTCTCGCACAACGAGCGCTCGATTACCCTCGCGTAACGATCTGATGAGCGAGATGCAGCGAACAGCCTGGGCTCGTCACACGACCAAGTGACTGGAAATTATTTGGTACAATAATGTATTGATAATTTTTGTCCCGGAATTGTCACGTTGTGCACATATGTCCTCGTTAGTTATAAATTATGAAGAAATTATACATGCGCGGTTCGAGGATCTTTGGTTTAAATGGATATAACAGGGTTTGCATTTTTTCCTTTTCAATCGCATAAACTTTTTGAATAATATATTCGGAGTGTAAAGACTATATAATTTTCCAATGCTTGAAATTGGATTTTAGAAAAACATCCGAATAATTTTTATCAAACAAAATTTATTACTAATGTAAATTTTATCGATAAGTCATACAAACGTCGTTCAATATAGTCAATAAATTGTCAATAAATCGTTGTAGTAGATTCTTACGACAAACGTGTAAAATTCAATGGATCGTACAATTGTATCTTATGGAAGTAACATCTGTGGAGTGTTTGTAAAAATTGAAATGATAGTCGCGTTCGAGAAATTTAGTGGATTTATATCTCGTGTATGTCTCCCGCGCGTATCCAAAGAGACGAATCGTGAATATGTATACCGATATATGTAGCGTACTCTCGTGTATGAGAATCGTCATCTAGCGGACGAGCCTGTGCCAAAAGTACCAATTGTTAAGAGAATTTATTTTCAGTATATTTTTAAGTAATGTAAATAAAAAAGAGAGAAACGCGTATGATCTCTCGCAGAGTACAATACGTATTTATTATCTTTTTTCCATCCTTTTGTGTATCTAGTGCGATATCGTAATTAAACTTTCCTTGTGCGTCATAAAATTAATATGACTTTTATTACACAAATTTGAAAGTTTCGTATAAATCATACGAATGTAATCGTGATAATATTCTATTGTGAGTTTCTGATATGTATGATTATTCCACCCTTTCTCTTTCATTGGCCTTGCCATTAGCTTTACGCTTAAAATTAACATCACACACACGTGATACGATCTAACAACTTCTCGGAACAATAACACGCGTCAAATTTGCGTGCGAGCGAATGAAATTGACAAAGAAGAATGCGTGCTTTTAACAGCTTTTAGCATGCACACGTTAAATGCCACAACCATTATTACGAATGGATATTCAACTTCCAGCTAACAGTACATTAGGAGATCCTCGCGAGTGTCGGATCGGATTATCTTCGATCAATCGAATGTCGACTTCTTTTTTTATACATTTCATTTCATTTTTTAATATATATGTGAATATTAATCAAGTTTTGATATTAATTTGCGCGATTTAAAATTGATGCTCTTTTCTCGATGAAAATCAACCGAGAGAGAAAGTTTTAAACTAGATTCGTTTTTTTATATACAATATATATGCAAATTGTGAGATTCCTTCGAAAGATACTATTACTCATCTGTACAAGTCGATTCAGCTTCATCGATGGACCAAAAGACGATAACTCCGGGTATTTTGAAACTAGACAAAACGTTGCGCTTCTCTGAGCTTGGAGCAGCGTCCTCAGTGGCTATGCAGGTATTCCATTTCAATGAGAATCATTTTGTTATATCTTAATATAAAATAATAAAAAGATGTATCTTTAATCATCAACAGAGATGACATTTTTTTTTTGAACGACCTTGGTCCCATTTTACTTGTCATTACACGTAACCATTACTTGCGATTTTAATTTTATAAATTAGAACGAGACTAATTTACAATCGATGGCGCGAGGATTAATGAAAATTACTGTCGATCGATACGCGGTATGCGAGTGATTTTCGTGGGATCGCGTGTGGCACGTATACGCGATAGTAATCATTCCCCCTCGGGGAAAATGATTATTTGCGAAATAGAAGGGTGGAGTCGCACAAAGAAGGAATATATAAACGATAAACGTGACTCACACTTTCAATGAATTTCTCGTTATTTTTTTTCCGTACACAACTGATATTTTCTTCAATGTATATAAACGCTAAAAATTCTAAGATTACGTAAGATGCTCAAATTTACATAAATTTTAATATTAATTCGATAATTATTTCTTGATGGTTTAATATTTAAAGAAATGATATAAAATATTACTCAAATAAAATAATTGCTTGCAATTTATTTAAGATAATAAATTATTATTTGAATAAAATAATAAATCATTTATAATATATGTATCTAATAAAGTGATAGCTCTAATATATGCAAGTTTATATAATTTTTTGAGCAGAATATATGCTTTTATTAGGAACATTGTAAAGTTTCCTGAAGAATGTGCAGAAATTAAATTTTTGTTATTTCTTATTTTTGTTATTTATCAATGAAAGGAAACATTTATATTTTTTGCGAAAAGAAAATTATATTTTCTGAGAATCTAAAGAAGAAATATTCACCGAAATCGAAAGAGTTAAGAAGCATTGATTTAGTAAATGAAAAATTTTTTTTTTTTGAAATTATCTGCGTCAATCGTTAATATCACACGTCTCTAAAATATATACAATATATAATATAGTAGTCTTTTATTATCTTTCATCAAACACACAGGTATCGTTGATCCAATCGAGTCGTATAGTATGCAGGATGTTTGAAGGTGTGTCTCGCGTCGCGTGCGACCTCGGCTTATCTAGAAACACAAAGATATTCGAGTTTGAAAACGAAATTTTGTCGAAAAGAGAACGATTAAGGGGAAACATTGAATCATAGGAAAATTCAGGATTCGGATTGAGGATTTAGTAATATTTAAAATTCGATATAATATTTATTTGTTATAAAAATGGAAAACTTTAACTGCCTGTTTAAGTCTACTTTTAATCTCTGAAAAAATTATTCTCTTAAAGAAGAACTTGTAATTAAAACTAGAGACATATTAATTATCTTATTTTGCATCTTTATCGTCCTGGAACTAATAAACTTGACAGAAGATCTCGAACATTTTTTGCAAAATGATTTTGAAATTTAAAATGGATCTCTTTCTTTTTTTATTCTTCTCTGAGGTCGCTGAGCTCTTCATTACTTGCGTGACTGAAGGAGATCTATGATCGCTGTTCGAAGACAGTAATTGGTATCTTTCGCCCTAGGTGGGTCCGTCATCCCCGTCGCAATCATCGGCCAGTCGACAGTCGGTTACGTTTGGTACCGTTGAGTGTCAGGGCGACGAAAATTACGCGGAGGCAAATTCGCGGATTGTCGCAGACGCGAGACCCCACAACGACATGCAGCGCGTCTCTAACGCCGGTTAGTGGAAATGAAACTGTATATATGTACACCCAAAAATATGTAGAAAAGCTTTTTTCAATTTATTTAAATATAATATTATTTTTCTTGATATTTTTTATTAATACAATAAAAAAAATTCTTTTTAAAGTTGTTAAATTTTTAATTTATCTTTTTCGTAAATAATTTGGAATTAATGACATTTTTCAAGTTATATTAAACACGACAATTCGGATAATTTTTAGTTAGATATATAATAAAAATTTATATTATACATTGAACTGAAAATTGTGTTCTTTTTGATATTATTTTAAAAAATCTCCGCCAAAATTTCATTAATCCAAAATTATTTTTGAAAAGAAAGTTAAAGATATGAGAACTTTAGTTTTTTATTTCATTAAAATAGTGACTAAAGTACGTTTTAAAAATTATAAACTGTATTTTTGTATCTATAATATTATTAAATAAATAATTAATATATAAATAATATTATTATTTTTGTATATATAATAAAAACAATTCATTCAAGTACAATTTTGATTTTTGAAAAAATTACCTAATTAAAAATAATACTCGAAATATGGTTCAAAAAGTTCATAGAAAATATTAAAAAGAGTAAAAATTATTTATTTTAATTTTCGTCGAGATCATGTTATCACCCTCAAAATAGTCACCCTTAGCACTCAGTAGCATTTTTATTGAGTAAAGCAATGTTGCAGCTCCTTTGAGAGGTTCTTTAAAATCTCGTTGTTTCCTCTTTTTATGATTTTTATATCTCTTAAATATTCCCTCCGCATAATATTTTCCACTTTTAGAAATAGAACAAAGTCGCATGGAACGAGACTAGGAAAATATGAAGGGTGATCGAGAAAAGTAACATTGAAACGTGCAAGAAACTCGCGAACAAAAATCGATGAGTTCCCACGCGTTATCATGGTGGAGAATTCATTAATTTTCTTTCCATAATTCTGGTCTCATTCGACATACGGTTACGAAAAATGATCAAGAACACCCACATAAAATGCACACGCTCAATATTTTTGTCAGTATGCGATGTGAAGGGCTGACTCCCTCTCTCGATCACTCTCTCTTCTCTTTCTTTTTAAAATCTTTTTATCCAATTATAATAGTCTTTTATAAATAATAGTCAATTATAAATAATAGTGAAAAATTTCATTCAATGTGCTTATTCGGATATAAAAAATGCTACTGATTGTCTGCGACAAGCGATATCCACCGGAGGGAATTCACCGAGTGAGACCCCGCAGAATCTAGTATCGTCGATGGAAGATTCAACCGTGGATGACAAGGGGAATGACAGCGAGGACGATTACTCAGTCTCGGTCTGTGCGATCATGCAGCGACGGAATTCGTCGCGACGACAAAGTCGAAGAAAGAGACGTCCATCCTCTCCTTTTGGCGTCGACGTAGACAATGTTGCGCGTCGTCGATCCTCAGTTTACACCACGAGCTCGGGAGAGTTAGTAAATAATATTGTTCCTCAGAGAGTGAATCGAAATTTTTACAGCTCGTTTTAAGCGCGACTTTATTTCGTATTGTTAGAAATTTTGGGCCGAAATTGAACTAATTAAATATATATGTAGAAAAAATTAAGTTGCATAAGACAAAGTAATGATTAAAAATCATGTCTCGGATTTTCCAAGACTTGATATCTTGTGTAATTCTAATAGAAATCTTTTAATTGCGAAATTTATTTACTTCATCTGTAAACGTCTAATTTGCAAAATCGCAATCTTCTTCTTTTTAAATTGCTATTATTGTAGCAAAAAAGCTGTGAGCAGTATTTGACAAGTCCTTCATAAAAAGAATTAAATAGGCGATTATCGCGCGAGTAGGACATGATACTTTTATTATCGCTTGACCAAAAGAAGTGGAAATTTGACAGCACGGCAATTTCAATGGAGGAGGGAGGTAACCAGGAGCAGATCTTCGAAAATCTCAAGCTGCACAAGGAGGTCTTGGGCGGCGTGAAGCAACAGCCTTGGCCTCTTCGACGTAAGCTCAGGCTTGTACGACAGGCTAAGGCCTACGTTAGGCGACACGAGGGTGCTCTTCAGGAGAGACTCGCTCAAAGTCGCAGTACCAAAGACGTTATAGCGCGTGTTTCGCTCTTCGTGACCAAGGTACCCATATTTCGTTCCCTTTGATAAATCCGTCCTGTTAGATTTAAGGGGTTATACCTAGTCAGCAAATCGAAAAAAACGTATTTTTGGGAAATTAAAAAAAAAATCTGTTAGGTATTTTTATTTCATCGATTCTTTATCATAATATATATCTATCAAAGAAGTTTTCATAATTTTTTCAATTAAAAATATCGAGAAATGTAGACACAGTAGCTATTTTCCAGAGACATCTTTTTTCGGAGGCGCTTGACGGTGAGCAAGATTACTCGGAAAAAATTCAAAAGAATTTAATTTTCGTATGAATTGATCTAGTTTGTGAACGAAGGATTTTACAAAAAATTGATTTTTGATAATGTGACAGACGTTTCACACAAAAATACAAATTTTTTATGTTAAAACTTTTCGTTATTTTATTAATAAAAAAAAAGTTCCATCAAAATTAAAATTCCTTCGTTCACGAACTAGATCAATTCATACGAAAGCTAAATCTTTTCGAATTTTTTATTTCAGATGATCCAGTTCCGAGTAATCTTGCTCACCGCCAAGCGCCTCCGAAAAAAGATGTCTCTGAAAAATAGCTACTGTGCCTACATTTCTCGATATTTTTAATTGAAAAAATTATGAAAACTTCTTTGATAGATATATATTATGATAAAGAACCGATGAAATAAAAATACTTAACAGTTTTTTTTTAATTCCCCAAAAATACGTTTCTTTCGACTTACTGACTATAACCCCTTAAGGGTGTTCGCGATAGATGCAACTCACTTCTTTTAGAAGTGGCAATATTTTCGACGGGAGTTCATCAACTTGCGAACCTGGCTCGTGCCTTGGGAAATCCGTATTATGGAGATAGAGTCCCATTTCGGATCCGCCGTCGCGTCCTATTTCACTTTCCTGCGTTGGCTCTTTTGGATCAACCTTGTCATCGCGGTGACCCTTACGGCGTTCGTCGTGATACCTGAAGTAAGATATCTTTAATCAGTAAAAAATTCTCTTCCTCGAGCAACTTTGTTAGTGAGATTTTTTTTATAAGATACAAATTACACTCTTTTGCAATGTTCTTTGTCAGGTGTTAACCGCTGATGCGACTCTCGCTGGTGAGAGAAAGATCATGTTGGAGGAGGAGAGAATCAAGTCGAAACATTTGTTAAGTTTATGGGAATTCGAAGGCGCGCTAAAATATTCTCCGTTCTTCTACGGATGGTACACCAATCAAGACTCCAACCGCAATTATCGATTACCTATGGCATACTTCGTCACCAATCTGGTCGTGTATACGTACAGCTTCGTCGCGATTCTCCGCAAGTACCTAGATTAGATTTTTTTTTATTGTTAAATCTATCAGCATCTCTTCGAAAAAAAATAACAACGACATTCTCGAAATCTTTGCTTATAAAGTTAATCGAGACACATCCTGTGCACCATCCTTTTTGCTGTGTATTCTTCAAATAGATATAGTATCATGGAATAACTTTGTTATTTTTGGAGTTACTCTCATGATACGTTCTTATTGAAGAGTAACAAAGCAAGTAGCGTAGCTATTTCGTTTCAGGATGGCGGAAAATTCACGTTTGAGCAAACTGACCGAGAAGGAGGACGAATATGTCTTTTCGTGGAAACTCTTCACAGGATGGGATTTTATGATCGGTAATCCGGAAACCTCGCACAATCGCACAGCCAGCATCGTGTTGGGCTTCAAGGAGGTTCTGCTAGAGGAAGCAGAGAAGCAAAAGGATAAAAGAAAGTGAGCAAGAAGTTTACGAATATAAATTAATATTTTTCGAATTTCTGTTTCCGATAAAAGTTTTCATATTCAATGAGAGAGTCCTTCATTCAAAAAAAAAAATTGATCCATATTTTATAGTTGGAAAATTATATCAATGAGGATATTCGTGAACGTCTCAGTGCTATCTTTACTTGCGTTATCAGCCTTTGCTGTAATCAAGGTGGTTGAACGAAGCACGACGGAAATCGATGACGCGACGCAAAACTGGTGGCGACAGAACGAGATCACGATCGTTATGTCTTTAATCACGACTCTTTTTCCGATATTTTTCGAGGTCCTCGGCTTCCTCGAGAATTATCATCCAAGGAAGCAGCTCCGAGTGCAACTGGCGCGGTAAAGTTGTCATTTAACTTAAAGCGACAGAAAATACAAATGATACACTTGATTATTCGTTTCAGGATATGGATCTTAAATTTGCTAAATCTCTACTCGCTGATATTCGCATTGTTTAAAGATGTAAACTCCATGGTGCCATCTGTTCGTAAAATAAATTATTAAATAAAAAATAATAATAAAAAATTTGTAGATCAATGATTCCCAAACTTTTTTAAATTAATTTTCTTTTTTAAATTAATTTTCTTTTTTAAATTAATATCCCCTTTCAGAGGAAATATTTCATTGACGCTCCTCTTCTTAAAAGTAATCAGGAATGAGAAAAAAATTATTAATGGAGCAGTTATTTTTTTTAAACAAAGATACAATTGCATAAAAATATTAAATAGATATATATTAATTAAAGGAGTCGAATCCTTATATATACAATTATATATAAATGTTTGTATCTTCTTCTCAAGAATCAGACAGATATTTGATCTTTGACATGTTTTGAAGGTGCAAAAATATGTTTTGTTAAAATTTAAAATTTTTACGATTAAAAAATCCAATTAGTAATTTTTTTAAAATAAACAAAAAAATTTTAATTTTAACAAAATATATATTTGTTTTTGAATATTTGAATTTCGAATAATTATACTGTAAATAAAGTCTTCTTATCATCCCTTTATCGTCTAGTGCCTTCTTTAAATGTTCTAGAGTCCCCGAGAGAGTCGTTTACTTTGGGAATCACTGACATAGATAAAAACACGATTATTCGTGATTTTATTCATGTTTTACATGCAATCAGGACTACATTTTACTTTTGTATTTTCTTTGCAGAAACACGATCTTCCTGTTAACAAATCGATAGATACGAATTGCGAGTATAAATTAGTGTGTGGTGTCGAGTTCACGTGTACGCAGCAGATCACGACATTGGCATCTATGGGTCTCGTTTTAATGAGCAATATCACCCATTCTCATGCTAAGAGGGAAATTATAAAGCCAAGTATGATCCATTTATCAAAAAATATTTCCGAAAGACGAATACACATGCTATTTCAATCTTTCAATCTTAATTTGATTAAATCTCTAAAAATATTCAAATTTTAATTATATTATTTTTAATTATATTATTTTTTCAATTATATAGTTTTTTAACTTATTTATAAGAGATGCTTTGTCAACCGAGAAAACTTATTATTTTAGAAAAATTAGTAGCAAATATATTATATCATTATATTTCTTATTCGTGTGTAACGATATATTAGATGCAAAAATAAATTTTCTACCATTTTTTTTAAATTTAATGTTTATTAATGAATTATACATATATCGTTGAATCATAAAAATAAAAATCTTCATCGTTTTTTTAACACGTCTTTCCATCTTCTAAATAAATTATAGATTTTGGAACGATTAAAAAATCTGGTCTTGCAATGAAATCATCAAGCTATTTTTTATTTCTTTAATATTTCTAAATTTTGTGTCAGATAAGGCATGCTATATTGATTGGATCAATTTATTTAAAGACACAATATTTGGTGAATATGCTTAGTAAGACAAAAAAACCCAGTCAAGTATTATTTGAACTCAATGAGACAGTAATTGCAGATCACTATCATTGTCAGTTATTTAAGCAAGAAATTGAAAAGAAAACAATCTTTTACAGAAAAAGGTCATCACTCTTAATTAAATTTTTTTATCAAAATGTTCGGTTTCATGTGACGTAATTGACTAAGGACACATTGGAATTTGACTGGATTCATTTTATTCCTTTACTCACCGGACATAGCATCTTCAAATAATAATTTGTTCCGATTAATACAGTACGCCTTGTCCAATAAAAAATTTTAAAATATCAGAAATGTCAGATTTAGGTGAAAAATCATAAATAAATCATAAGATCAGATCTTTTATCAATTCTGAATCTATAATTTGTCTGGAAGATAAAACAAAATTCTGGGGATTACTTTCATTATTAAAATTATATGTATTTATTAATAAATATTGAATTTCATAAAAAAAATAATAGAAAACTTATTTATATATCTAATAATAAATGTCGCAACATTTTCCGGCGAGAAATTTTGATCGGCATGATCGTTTTTACAGCGCTACCATCCGTCAGACAGCAAACGTTCTTCCTTAATCCCTTGCTGGACAGCAATGCATATTACGAGGATTTCAACGATACGTCCGATTATCCAAATACTAATTATGAGAATTACGACATTTTAAATAGCAGTAACATATCTTACACCGCATCTTATGAGGAAGAAGACAGCCAAAGCACAGACGATGACCGAACATATGGCTACAATGCAAATTCCACTGTAATTGCCAATTTTCTCACTGATTCGACAGTCGCCGAAGATTTTTATATAAATTCTACTACTCAGGATGAAACCGCGACGTCAACAATCGAAACGAACACCATGGAAGGTACAGATATCTTTTTCACAAGTTATACTTAAATTAAAATAACCAAATTATAATAGGACTATAGACATTATATTATTTAATATTTATTACATAATCACCTGAACGAATTTTGATTTTAATTTTTATATATTGAGGGAAAGGGGAAAGAAATGGGTATATATATAAAATTCTAAATTAAAATAAAGCATTTTAAACTGTAGATAACAAATTAATAATCACATAGATTGACAATGAATAATAAATTGCTTTGTATCACATTCGCAGATTCATTAATAATCACTGATTTTACCGAGAAAACAATAATTACTTCGTCATCTATAGATGACGAAGTGTCATCTGTTAAGGAATTCTCATCTACAGTAGAAGCCACACTTGAAACAGTTACAAAGATTAGCTCGGAAAGTAGTCCTGCTATTTTGCGATCGAACAAATGTACGAATCCGCTCTCCAAAGAAAATTGCACAGTAAAATGTGTTGAAAAAAATTGCATCACTACATCGCCGAAGAATTTAAATGTTTATTAAATCTATGACTACTTTAATGTTCTTTAATTTATTTTCGATTATAAAATATATAAAATTTTGTGTTTCCAGCTATGTCCTTGGAACAACAAGATTTAAAGATTCGCAAAAAATTGCGTCGCTCATGCTGGGAAACTATGTTCGGCCAGGAACTTGCCAAACTCACTGTTATGGATTTGGTATGATACACAAAATGAACAGAACAAAATACAAGAAAAATACTAAAAATAAGACTCGCCGCAAAAAGCGACCATTATTAATGTTTCAATTTAAATTTTTGCATATGTGTTTTTCTTCGATAGATGTTTCGAAAAAAAATACAGATATATGGATATTTTAGTTTATTGTATTTTTTTTCTATTTCTCAGATACTCACTATATTAGCTACCCTCAGCATAGATTTCTTTCGCGCCGTTTTCGTGCGTTACATGAACAATTGCTGGTGTTGGGATTTAGAGAAGCAATTTCCACAATATGGCGATTTTAAGATCGCTGAGAACATACTTCATCTGGTGTACAATCAAGGTATGGTTTGGATGGGCATGTTCTTCAGTCCTGGTCTGACGGTACTGAATCTTCTTAAACTCGGCATTCTGATGTATCTACGTTCCTGGGCGGTTCTCACGTGCAACGTGCCGCATGAAGTAGTCTTCCGAGCCTCCAGGTCAATTTCGAAAATTTATTGTAACGTATTATTTGTTATAACTACTTTTTTTACAACTTTAAATATTAGATATATAAATAAGTTTTCTATTATTTTTATCAAATTTTACACACATGTGTAGTTTAATCATGAAAGTAATTTCCATAATTTTTTACCATTTTCTTCTATTTTTAAAGTAAATTATAAATCCTGATATTGATAGAAAATTTGATCTTTATTCTAAAATAATAGGGATCTAAAAATGATGGGGATTGTATGATTAAATTATAAATATATAATTTATTAATAAATATTAAATTTCATAGAAACTTACTGGTGAAAAACTTATTTATACATCTAATACATTTTAAATAAATTATATTTTAGGAGATTTAAAAAATATATGACTGTATTACATATATGCGCTGTGCTATACCCTTCATCAATCATCTTATGCATCTTTCTACACTTATCCAATCGCAGATCCAACAATTTCTACTTTGCGCTTCTACTGACTATGCTGTTTTTGTGCGTGTTGCCGGTCGGTTACGCAATAGTTTGGGTCAAGCCTTCGTTGCATTGTGGTCCATTCTCTGGTTGTCCAAAAATCTATAATTTAGCGACGCAGACCTTGAAAAATTCGCTTCCGCAGGTGATTCAACGGTGTGTCTCTGCTCATTCTGCCAAAGTGTTGAATTTTATTATAATTCTGTCATACAAGATATACAGTGTAATCGATCATAAATCCATTTTTATTTTTAGATGTCTCGATTATATTGCGTCGCCTGGTATAATAATACCACTAATCGTGCTGATGACGTTAATTATTTATTACATGACCTCTCTCACTGGATCCTTGCGAGAAGCAAATAACGATCTAAGGGTGGCAATACGTTAAGAATATATTTCAAATTTGTCATATCAATAAATATTAACTTAAGAAATATGTTCCAGATGCAACTGAGACACGAACGTACGGAGGAGCGCCGTAAACTGTTCAAAATAGCTGAAAAGAGGCAGAATGTGACCGATATCCCGTTATCAAAATGGAAAAAAATTCTGCCGGCGTTGCCGCAGGCCAAAACAGAATTGTCTCGAAATTCGGACATAACACGAAAGGACGCTGTGCAAGTCGCTATCGAGAACTTAAGTCATACGATAGAAGGCAAAAGGATGATCAACGATGCCGAGGAGGATTCGTTGCGTCACGAACAGATATCAGGCAACTGTAACAACGAGAAGCGAACTCGAGAGGGAAATGATTTAGAATTAAATGACATATCTTCCAATAAAAAGTAGGATATTTTTAAAATAATTAGAAAATTTATAAATTTACACACATGCATGCATGCACATAAGGTAAAAGCTCTTTTTTTGTGCACGTGTTTCAAATCAATAAAGCTAACACATTTAGAAATATCAGTATTAAAAAGATTATTATATCGTCGAAATCATTTTTAACAAACAGGCCGATAAACTTTGTCGGACACTCTTGGGACTCGCAATCAAGCGAACAGAGTGTTGTGCCGGAAATTCAATTAAACGATGAGGAAAGTGCTCACGGATCCGTGGAATTGAATAACGCGTCCAAGGGATGCGATCGAGAGACAACCTAATGAATTGTATATCAATACAAAATGAATGACTACAAATTTCTTTTCATTGTCTTATTTAAAATTTTATCGACTCTTAGAATCGTCGTTCCATTATTGAAAAAATATTTTTAAATATAAAATTGCACAAGAAAATATTTGTAAAAATATTATACTGTCATTGAAAATTTTCAAAAATTTAAATTCTGTTCTAATCTTAAGTGCAAAAATCTCATCTTATATTATCATGCATGATTTTATTAGCAATTTTTATTTAAGATTGAACAGTTTAAAACAATAACAATTTATAATAATATGTATACGAAAATATTCAAAGTTTTGTGTAGTTAAATAATTATGTAAAATTTTACTGTTCAGTTTATATATTTATTTTATATTGTTTATTGTATTAATTTTTTTTAAATTTGTTAATATATTTTTACTTATTAAATAAAATTTTTATAGTTTGTATATAATATAATGATTTTTTCTCATCTAATTTACAAATATATATATTTTAGTTTTTTTTTAAATCAACAATCTTCAGAAGATCAATAATCTTGATAATCTTAATCTTGGTATTGTCTTGATAATGAATTAAAAATCTTGTTTTGATCTTGTCTTGAATTTCGTGAGACAAGACAATATCAAGACTAATCTGAGTATATCTTGCAATCCTATTTCGAAAATTCGATAATATCCATATTATTTTTACAATCTATCATGATTGTTGAAATATAAATATATCTTAGAGATACCTTAAGATTATTACATTTATATTTATAAACGTGGTATAAAATATCTATAAATATTTATAAACAATTGTGCTGATAACGATGTGAAGATATTATTTCTAAATCATACGTATACGAAATGGATCGTTAAAACGACGCACATAGCCGTTGTAAATAAAATCACATTTCGATTGAGCATTGGCACTTTCCTATAAATATCGCGTTTATCTTTCATCATAAAATATTACATATTACGTATATGTAATTGGAAATATTCATAACGTTGAGCTATTCGGAAATTAATTATACGTATATTAATCTATCTTACATTCTTCATTGTCACATTATAATGAGCGATTTACAAATCCTCGATATTTTAAAATATATAACATCTTTTATAAAATAAAGAAGTCACGATAATAAGAGATCTAAACTATATTATTGTGTTATTATATTATTATATTAATTATGAAAGAAATATTATATTATTAAACAACGTTTTTGCACTCGGATATTTACCCTTTCATCGGATATTTAATGAATTTTTTTAATGGATAGACAACATATTTTTTAGCAACTTTGCCCTAAACGATTATGCTGTTCGTCCAGAAGCATCGAAGCCTCGCTCATAATTTTAGCAGTGGTCCTAACCAAGAATAATAATTGATACTCGTCTATAATGGTCAGAGCTGCCTTGGTCTTGACAAGGGCGTGGAGTACATTTGCTCTCTCGAGGTCGAGCCATCTTTGAAGAGCCACTTCTCTTTCCCGTGGACCACCGAGGGGCACATCGGCTGGACCCCACAAGGAAAATTCCAGCACAGATTTTACCTAATTATTGAATTAATTAATCTTAATGAGAAACTTATTTATTTTATTTTATATTATTATTATTTATTATTTATTATTTATTATTTATTATTTATTATTTTTATTTATTTATTATTTTTACTTCTAATAATTGTAAATAATGAAAATTTATATAAATTGAAGAATTTTTCTGTACAGATTTTTTACGTATGCAAAGTTCTCACCTGAGAAAGGGTGACCGCTTTCTCTCGTATCAATAGATCTCGTATGATGGGCAACTCGCTCGTCAGATGCAACTGCCGTAATGCTATCAGAGCGCATTCGCACAAGGAAATTCGTTCCTCTCCGGGTTCATCGCTCGGATCTATGTTCAATCTCCTGTAAAGCGAGAAATAAATGTTATGAAATGGAAATTAAAATTATGAAATTATAAAATTGTCGTAAAGTGAAAAAGAGAGAATTAACTGACCCTTGTAAAAGATACAGCCGATAGTAAACATCCTCTCTGCAGAGTATAACGTCGTTCAGGGATCTGTTGGCGTCCTCGATCCCACGTGCCTGGAGACTTTTCAGCGCGTTAACCAATTGAAGGAGCACAAACAACGCCTCTCGGTTTGCACTCTCGTTGCTTATGTCCCTCGACATTGCACCGAACGATTGTATGGTGGTCACGTGCAGGTACGAGAGAACCGAAATTGTCGCTAAAATTACAAGAGAATTACGAGATTATTAAATCCAAATTTCCTTCTTGTTGTTAAAATGCAGTATGCATTACCTTCGGTATTTTCATTAGCGCACGGTCGGATCTTGTCGATCATCTCTTTCGGTACTTTATCTACGAATTCTACGACAGGAGTGAGATAAAAATCCTTCCGCGGCATAGGCATAGCTAGATCGAACGTTAAGCAGAGAGTGACGTTTTGATCGTTCCACGTCGCCGAACAAAATATTCGTCTGCCGATGGAGATCGACGAGGCAACATCGATGTTGAAATGTTTCAGCTGTGGATTCGCGTTCTTGAGGGCACGCAGACCTGCCGGCAACTGGACAGCTTGATTTTCCTGAAATAAAAAATCACTCCGAGTTAGAAACGCAATAATATTTCAACATTTATTTCATATAAGAATTAAAATATATTTATGTATTATTGCAAAATTTTATTCCGTTATTTTTTTTTTAATTTTATGTTTTATTCTTAAATTTTGTATTTCAAGAAATAATGAAGAATTTTCTTAGATTTTAAATAAAATATTATATATTAGCTGTATTAATAAGTTTTTCTTGAAATTTTTCATGAAATTCAATATTTATGAACAAATTATATATATATATGTACAGTTTAATTATGAAAATAATATTTATTACTTTCTTTCATCTTTCAGTTACCATGAATGAAAGATATTATTTTTAAGAAACTTATTTATATATTTAATACAAAAGTTTATACATCTTTCATTCATGTTGATTAACTATTTTTTAAACTCTTTACTGAAAGTTACAAGATACTTTGCATAGAGAAATCGAGGGTAAGAAGATCTTTGTGTGAAAGAAATTGATTTTTATAAATATTCTAGATTGATTCTTTTCAGAATAGTTGATGCAACAATAACAGACATGATGTATACCTGTTCGAGAAATTGAGCGAGCGCTTCATGATTCGCGACAACCACCGCACCATAATTGTCCTCGAGGCTTCGATGGACGATGGTGCGTCCTCTGCGTTGCCTCAAGCGACCCATCCGCGGCTCATCATCCTTCCAATCTTGATCTTCTTCCGCGCCCTTCAATAGTTCCAAAGTTCAACTATCTAATATTTTTTTTACATAGAAATATGTACGAAAATTGGAAGTGAAATTTTTGAAACCTGATTAGACGTACTTCGTCGCCGGTGTAAAAGGCGTAAGGTGCATAAAGCTCGCTCTCGGTCTCGCTACCGCAATACGGCAACGAGGTCGACCTCACGAACGGCTGATGATGATGATGAACCTTTGGCTCTCCGCCCATTGCGCTACTGTCGGACTTCCTTTTGCAAGCGCCGCGGAATCCGTCACCGCGTTGTCTACTTCCATGACGCAGCTCCAAATTCGAATCGCACTCGGGTGAACTCGAGAGACACTCGTACACGTGGCTGTCGTTAGACGTCTGTTGGAATGCACGATTACACGTTATACCGTTGTAACCGAATTATGCAGCTAAGTCACACTTCGAATAGTAATGAAAACATCTAGCTTCCTCTATTGTCAACTACTTAATTATTCATGATTTTTTATGATATTTTTTTTACCTAATAATTAGAGATGAAAAAGAAAACGTTTTTTTTCCTGATAGAAAATGTTGAAAAAAAAATCAAATTTTTTAAGAATTGTTTTTTAAATATAATATTATTTTTCTATATATTTGTTTGTTAATATAATAAAAAAATCTAAAATTATGATACTTTTGCGGCAATCACAATAAAAATGTTTGTTATACATTTAATTGAAAATTGTCTGAATTACATCATGTTTGATATCACTTTAATCGCAAAAATCTTATTAATTCATTAAAATTATTATCGAAAAAAATGAATTAAAAATATAAAAATTTTAATTTTTTTATTATATTAAAATAATGACTAAAATACATTTTTAAAAACTACAAACTATGTTTTTATATCTATAATAAAGATAATTCATTCAAGTTCAATTTTAATTTATTTTGGAAGAGCTAATTAAAAAATAGTAATTACACAACTATATAATTGCAATTGGAATTCGATTTATATTTAAACTGATAGTTTAATATTAAATTGATAGTTCAAAGCTATTATAAAAAAATCAAAAATAATGAAAAATTAATTTGCATAATAATCAAAATATAAAAATGTTAAATATCTGAAAAAAAAGAAAATTTTGAAAAAAAAAGATTTGTTTTAGCTGCATTTTAAATTTAAAAAAATTTTGTTTTTCATATTTACATCTCTATCAAAGATATAAGTTAATTATACATATAAGGTGTCACAAAAAATATGTCTTTTTCTCTTATATAATAGCAGATTTTCTGATTAATTTATGAAGATAATTTTTCGAAAATATTGATAACTTTGAATTTATAAATATGATATTGATATGAAAAATAAAGAGTTTCTTAAAACTTTGTTAAGAACTAAAACTGCAGTTTTTAATTAAATTCATATGAAATTTACTGTAATAAAATTTTAATTTGAGGTCTAATTACAAAGATAAATAATACAGAGAAAAATGGGAAAAAAATAATGATTTGTTTCTCAATATTTTAAGGAAAAATTCATTCCGAATTGATCAAAGAATCTATTATTAAAAATCCGGAGCGAGAAAAAGCTCGATGAAATGGTGACGAGAAGAAGGGGTGTCTCTTACCGGCGAGTCGGAAGTGGATCTTACGGACGAGAGGCCGACGTCGTAATCTCGATGTTGATGATTCGTCCCCGTGACCGACGCAATATTATGCGCCCTCCTGGAAACGGGTTGGGACACGGCGCGGTCCCTCATACTGGCAGTGCGCTGCGGTTTTGAAGGTGCCAGAGCGCTGCGCACCTCACCTGTAACATCCTCCGCTGCTGCAGGCACACATCCGCCATTCGTCAAGCGCCACGGGTTAGTTACCACAAGACACAAGGCACATGTCACGAAACTGGGGCTAGATTTATCTAGAGATCAACTAAGTTCTCGCAACGCTAGATGCACATATCTCCGCATGTGTTGCGCACAAAATTGCAACGATGATGAATTAACGTTAGTTACCCATTATGCGTTTGTCAGTTACGCGACTAGTGCTGTCAGTATGAATGAAATTTTTGCTTTTTTTTTATTTAAGCAATTTTCGATGACCAACTAATAATAATCGGGTATCAAAAAATTGATCAGATTTACCTTTCTGTAAAAAAATTTTGTTTCTATTAAATAAAAAAAAGTGTTTTTTTTTTATTTTCATTGACAAAAAAACAAATTTTTTTATTATTTTTGTTTAATATTACATTATTTTTCTTTATATTTTTGTTAATATAATTAAAAAAACTATGATTCTCGTATATTGATGAAAGATTTTGATTAATGATAGTAAAGATGTGAAAAATACATATATGTATGAAAAAAACTAAATTTAAAAAAACGAGGCTTGTTTTTTTCATAAAAAAATATATTTTATAAAAAGAAAACATTTTTTTCTATCTGTATCTCTACCCTTCTACTTGATTATTCATGATATACATTCCGGATATTCCTAATCACGTAGTAATCTTATTCGAATAAACGCGATTCCCTGATATCGCAGTACTATCGAATGAATCACATATTTGTTCATGCACTGAATGTATTGAATATAAATATCAAGATATATGTGTTAGTTTTATTCTTTTCAAAGTATAAATATTGATCTCATGATAGGATTAAGCGAACACGAAGACATAAACAGTTACCCGACATTTAGAGCTGAAACAGACATGTATAATATCTAAAATATATGTGAATAACTCATAAGACTCTTGCTACAAGTAAATCGTTCTCTTAATAAATTCGATCAAGCGAATCAAAGCGTATCGGAATTAGGCAAGTTTGAATTTTTCGAAATAAAGTATCTTGTACCATTATTTACTCTAATGTAGCAATATTGCTGATATTATTTTAGTTAGGATTGCACAAGACTCAAGATATTCGTAAAAATATTGCATTGAACATTTTTTTAAAATTTTTAAGTCTTGGGTTTTTGAGTGAGTCCCTGTAATAAAAATCTTGTCTTGTAATATTTTATCTTGATTTTAATAATTTTTATCTTATTTTTAATATTGAACAATTTTGTTTAAAATAATAAATTAGAATAATTTGTTAACATAAATATTATTAAATATTCTTATTTAATAATTAATTTTTTAAAATTCCGTATGATTTTTTTGCATTTAATTTATAAATTGACATATTTAAAAATCAATAATCTTGACAAGACCAATAATCTCTCTCTTGATAATCTTAATTTTGGTATTGTCTTAACAACTAATTAAAAATCTTGTCTTGATCTTGTCTCGAATTTCAAAACAAAATAATATCAAAACTAGTATCTCATGCAATTAATTTCAGCGTTACTTCACCAAACAGCCAGTATCGATATATTTTAAATACCCGAATATTCATTCAATATCTAGATTAATTGAAGCACAAAAATTTGACAGCATAAACGTAAAACGGGGGATATTTTTCGCCGACAAAATTTTTCGACACAACGACCTGAGTATTATATCATGTATAAAGTTTACGAAGCAGAAACAGGACTCTTCGCAAAAGCGTACGTCGTCCAACTCTTAATCAACTTAAACTCTAAAAGGACATACGATGATACAATCTCGCAATACGTGCAATGCATGCGGCGTTAGTTGCACCCAGCTTCGGTTAAAGGAATCCCTCGAGTTGTGACGAGCGAAATATCTTACGTATCGTTGCATAATTATCGTGAAATGAGAGAAAAAACGGAGAGAGACGTGAACATATACGGAATGCGCGATTTTATATTCGATAAGTCACGCGTTAAACATTATTCGCGTTAATGAGAGGGCAAGGGGGGAGGGCGACACGAATGCGAAGGTGCAACGAACAAGCCACAGCATCAGGGAGAGGGGGAGGGAGAGAATTTACGTGTTCGCAAATGATCGAAGAAGAAGAAAACGATCGAGACTTCAACGAGAGAGAATAAGACTCCCTGATTTTTTTTTTTTTTTTTACATACACGTTTATTTCGAAACACACAAAATATTCTCTTACACACAACTTTCGCTTTCTTGCAAAGCTTTTACAAACTTTTACAAATAGTATCTTTTATATCGATATAGATATAGATATATAACAAGTAGCGCATTCGTATATTTGACCAGCCATTCTCAAACCTCTCTTCTATCGTAACCGTACAGCCGGATAAATTATCTGCTTTGCAAAAAACAACTGTATCTCGATCAATATTGCTCAATATTATGTTACATATGGAACGATACTAATGCTTGACAGTCGAATCTCGTGCAAAAGATAAATAAAAAATAAGTCTTTTTAATGAAGGAATACAAAAAAACGTTATTATCAATATAACATATGTATCACAGATTATTGCAACTTTCCAAGAATGATTTTAACACTTCTTCAGAGTTTGAGAAACTTATGATAGTTTGTATAAATGAAAATTCTGTATATTTTAAATGCTATATTTTATATCGCCTCTACATTATCCCACAAATACTCAGCGTAATGTAAAATCATCTAAATTATATACTTTAAAATTTTAATTCTTACAGCTTTACCCATAGGTTCTAATTAAATGCGACGTTAAGCGAAAGATTATTTGTCCTCCCCTAAAATGCGAGTTATATATCGATCATCCACGATATGGATTAGGGTTGCACAAGACTCAAAACAATATTGGCAAAAATATTGTATTGGTATTAAAAATTTTCGACAACTTCAATCTTGTCTTCTTTTGAAATATTTGTATTAAAAAATCGCCTTGTCTCATCTCGATTTCATTTAGAACTTTTATTTAATATAAATAATTCAATTTAATATAAATAATTATTTAAGATAATACTTAACACAATCTTTATGATATAATTTCAGATAATTATTATTATCTATGTTATTTTCATTTACTTCCTAAAATAATGAATGTGTGTTTATTGTCTTCATAAGAAGCATGCAGTGACGCCAAGATGCACACACGTTCAATAAGAAAATCACGTAGATATGCTGTACGCAAAATATAACTACATAATTGTGTAAAATTTTATATTGCTTATTTTATTTATTGTATTAATTATTTATAAATTTCTTAACATTATAATTTTTATAATTTTTTAATATATGTTTTTATTTGTTAAATAAAATTTTTTAAGTTTGTATATAATATAATGATCTTTTCCTCATCTAGTTTACGAATATATATATTTTAACTTTTTATAAAAATCAATAATCTTGTCAAGATCACAACAATCTTGACAATCTTAGTCTTGGTATTATCTTGATAAACTAATTAAAAATCTTGATATGAATTAAAAGTCTTGATCTTATCTGAAATTTGAAGACAAGACAAGATCTTGTCCCGTGCAACCCTAGCATGGATCACATGGCTCGATCGCTGTACCCGCGCAAGAGCAAAGAGCGACGTCTCTCCCGTTTGAAAAAGCGACTGGCGCGAGTGGATTCGTGTGAGTATGGCTGTTAACATCGAGAATGATCCGCGGCGATTGTGCTCAGTTACACTGTATGGGTCTAAACTTACCCAGATTCGCGTAAATCGAGTCCGACGTCGTCGCGGTCGTCGGTCTCCAGGTGGCTTTCGAGGACATCTTGTCGCTTCTGCTCGGAGAAGCAACGCTCGATTTCGCTTCTACGCGAGGTGGTGGCGGCCTGATCGGCTTGCTCGACGGATCCAGCCTCGACCAGTCCTCCAGCGATTGGTTCCTCGGCGGCGGGGGTGGTTTTCCGGGTCTCGCTGCGAGACAGGAGAGACTCGGTGAAAAATTCCCTTCATACTCTTCACATTTTTTATTCAAATCGCGAACAACTTCTTCCGCATGCTTACCCGTGGACGATGGAGGAAATCGCGTCGCTGTCCTCGAGCCGTCGTTCTTTGCGCCGCAGGAATCCGCCTGATCCTCGCCGACATTCCTGGCGACCCTGTCATTCCCTACCACCTCGACCGCAGCACCGTCCAACTCCAGGGGATGGATTATCTCCAATCGCGGTTTCGGTTGCGGCGTCGATGGTATCTCGTCGCTCTTTCCGTTTTGACCGACCACAATGTCCATGTCCTTCCTCGAGCCCATTCTCAGGAATCGCTTCAAGGAGAAGCCTCTTCGGTTCCTGCTCCTCTTCTTCTCCTCTCGTACTTCCTTCTCGTTCGTCAGACTGTCTTGCGACAAAGATATCGTTCTCTTGGGTACAGATTCGACCGATTGCTTGGCATCCGTGGATCCGTTCGTCGGATCCGGAAGTTCGCAGATTGCCTTGCGGAATTTTGGGCTGCACGAGGACGATCTCTCTCTCTTCTCCTTCTCGCGAACGACCGGGGAATCGGACTTCAGGTTTGCCCCTGGATTCCTGGCGAACAGAGAAGAGACCGGCGGCGGATCCTCCGTGGACTCTGGCGGTCGAGGAGCCATCCGTCTCTTGTTTGGTGAACGTACGAGCTCCATCGTAGAAACGGAAACGGGAGTTATCTCGGGAAACTCCTCGTCCGGCGCGACGTTCTCGTTCTCTGTCTCTCCGTTATTTGAATGATCACTCGAATCCGTTGATGTGATTAAGGAAGTAGATAACGGTAGAGGAGCGGATTCTTCCGAGTTTTGAGTCGTACTCGAGGAAACCTGATCGATCTCCGATGAAACCTCATTCGAGATGTCCTTCTTTGTCAAAAATCGAGGGTTCATATCCTGTGTACCTAAAAGAAAATCGTAACAAGTTATCAAATATGATATTAAAAACGAGCGAAAAAAATTTGCCATGTGTGTTTTTTACGAGAATTAAAATCTTTTACAAGAATTAAAATTTTTTACAAGAATTGTTTACAAGAATTAAAGTTTTTTACGAGAATTAAAATTTATTTAAAAAATGAATGATTCACAAAAGAAAATAATCAAAGACGGTCTTCCAAAGATTCTGCTATTATTTTAAATTAAGCGAGAAATATTGACGTATAAATAAGTTTTTATAAAATTCAATATTTATTAATAAATTACATACAGTTTAATCGTGAAAGTAATTCCCATCATACTTGTCACTTTATTCCCTTCAGTCTTTTAGCCTTAAATTATAGATTCTAGATCGATAGGAAGTTTGATCTTTACTCGCAATGAATTATTCAAGCTGTTTTCTCATTTCTTTAACGTTTCTAAAAACAAAGCTGCTATATCGATCGAAACCATCAATAGTCTAAAGACGCTATGTCTTAAATAATACCGGGTAGAACAAAACAACGCATACAAGTTTCAATAATATGCCTTTGATCAATTTTGCCACATGAAACCGAGTATTATCATAAAAATTTAACTAGGCTACAACTTCTGAAAATGATCATTTTTCTTCGAATTTCTCGCTTAAATAAAGTAACTGACGAAAATAGTGATCTGCAATTATTCTTTCATCCGGTTCAAATAATTCATGGTAATTGACTATTGACCTGTGACGAAATTAATCAAGGGCAAATTATTGGAACTTAGCTGAGTTCTTTTGTAGATAATCCGCTCTACTTATCGGACATGACGCTTTTAGATTATTATTTGTTCTGATTGATAGTACGTCTTTGAAAAAAATTTATAAATGTTGCAGAAATAAGAAAATGACTCGTTGAATGTATCACAAATGAAGACTTTCTATCGATCCGGATTTGTAACTTGTTTGAAAGATAGAAGCAAATGCAGAAAAATGAGGGGGATTAACATTTATGATTAAATTACGCACGTATAATTTATGATAAACATTAAAATTTCATAAAAATATTGGAAAATTTATTTAGACAACTTAATGAAACTATAAGAGAGTATCTAATATAATAATAAAATATAATATCTAATAGAAAATAAATATAATTAATAATAATCTAATATAAATAAATCTAATATAAAAAATCTAATATGTATAAAAAATCTAATCTAATATAAATAATACTGGTCAACACTCAAATTTTATCCTGACATTTAACATGTATTATAGGTTATATCTAAGGTACTGATTATAAAAAAAATATTAGTTTAATTGTATCAGCTCTACTTTTTTTATTTATAAGATATTGCAATTAACAAATTCTGAAATAGATTTTCGATATTTTTGAAAGATGTATTCGCCACAAATATAACAAAAACTATCTGGATTATATAAACAACGTCTCCGAGTCAAAGACATATCGAAAGTTAAAAAAATAATAATTTTGAGTCGAGTAAAACTCAAAAAAGCTGCACGTGATGTCTAAAGGGGGTAGTTTAAAAATATTAAAAAACAAGAGCTGTTAAAAAGAAACTACTGTCGTACTCGAAATCAGCACACTTAAATAAGCCCAAAACTGCAAAATTATAAGAGAGAAAAAGTTAAAATTATTTTTTTTCTTGACCAGTGTAATCTAATATAAATAATTTCGATAAACTTTTTATTCTAACGGGTCTCACCTAAATTCTGAACGGACCTAACAGCGACATTTTGCACCGAAGGCGGTGGTGGGATGTAATCGGAAATTTTTCGCACGGTGAGCGGGCCGTCGTTCAGGCTTGTCTTTGCAGAAAAGGTCACGGGTTTCTGCGGTACCGCTGGTTTAACTCTCGAGTCGTTATTATTAACGTTATTGCCGTGCAAGAAGGAAGTTCTCGGTTCCGTAGAAATCACACTTGGCGGAGGACTTGTCGGCAACGCTGGCGGTTCCGTTGCTTCCTCCTCGTCCGCTTTGCCATCCGGTTCTCCAGCAAGTTCTCTGCTGTCGAAGCAGAATCGCTGTTCCTTCACGATCTTGTCGGTGACGATTGCCTTGTCGTTAATGCTGTTCATCGAACGATCGCTTTCTGGCGCCTCCTCATTCTTCAAAGCGAGCTCGGTCCCTTCTTCTTTTTTCTTCTCGTCTTCTCGTTTCGAATCTCGTTTCTCGCTTCTCTTCGACGCCGTTTCTTTTGCGTTTTCGCTCTCCTTTATGCTGGGTATTATCGTTGACTGCGTCTGGGCTTCAGTCTTTTTTATCGCTGAAACGCTGCTGTCAAGGGAAACGTTTACAGCGTTTCTCTTGTCAATCTTAAGGATCGAGTACTTTTGCGTCGTCATTTCCGTCGATATTTTCACCGCGTCGGCGTTGATATCCGTTTCCTTCCGCATGACCGAGATCATATTGGCAGAAGTGATCAACGGCATATCTATAATCTTTCCTAGTTCCGGAGAAGATTTTTGTTCTTGTTCGTCAGCCTTTTTCCGTTCTCCATTGAGTTTCTTCGCGGCCTTTAATATTACAGCGTTTATTAAAATATTTTATATAGAATTAAGGACCTTTTCGACTGTAATATCCTTTTTATATCTAAAGTATCTTTATTTAAATATATCTATTTGTAAGTATAATTAGAGATGTAAAACAAATTATTTTTTTTCTAAAAATGCAAAAGGTTAAAAAAATAGTTTTTTTATAAATCAATCTAATAAATCAATTTCTGGCTAGTTTGATCGATTATATTTCTTTGATCCCTTTATTTGACTAGCGACATCAAGATATTCATAACCTTTTAGTTTTTTTATCTTTGAGAAAAGATAAATTAATTTTCTTAATTATTTTTTATTATAACATTTTTTTCATATTAATATAATAAATATCTAAAACTTTTATATTTTTAATTTATTTTTGTAAAAGTAATTTTAATAGATTAATAAAATTTTTGCAACTAAATGACCAAACATGATATGATTCAGATAATTTTCAATTAAATATATAAAAAATTTTATTATACATTTAATTGAAAATTATCTGAATTATGTCATGTTTGATATCATTTTATTTTTTTTTATTTGCATCTCTAAGTATAACTAATGTCTAATTTTACTTATATGACGAGAATCAAAGTAGCTAATAAAAGCGGCTAATTAAATAAATGATTAAAATGATATTTTTTTTATTCTCACTTACTTCGACATTGTTATCTGATGTTCCTCCGTCACCGGACTTGTATTTGAGCGGACTGGTCTGCAAGTTAATCTTCCGATCGATAGGTCTTTTGGCAGTGGGCACAGATTCATCACCGCCGAAGGGTGTCACGGACACCAAGAGAGTTGTCTTTTTACCATCGGCGTCTCTCTGTACTTTCCCCAGCATCAGAGAAGCGAAGGACTTGGCGGGCGTTATCGTCGTCGACGACGACGACGACGACGATTTGATCGCATCGTGATTGTCCACGACGTCTGTCAAGTTTGCGCTGATCGTATTGAAGTTCGTGTTCGAGCGAGTCAGGTCGAATAACGCGCGTTCTTCCTCGCTATCCGGCACCAGGTCCTCCGCTTTCACAGAGTCGATTTTTCCCGCATCCCTCTCCTCCTCGCCATCGGAAAAATCGTCGCCGCCATAACCGATTATCTCTGTGAGAGACTCCGGGAAGCCGACGTTTTTCTTGCGCTGATCCTTCCGGCAAATCGCTTTACTACGAAGGATGCTCTGCAACGATCAACCTTATTATGTCGGACACGCAGTATGCATGTCGTCGCCGATGTGGCGGAACTAGTTTCGATAAACTTGATATTGTTAATTACATGGACATAATTGTACAAATAATTTCAAAACTAGTTTATCTCTTAATTAGCATAAGCGATAAGTGGTGCTGTCTTCGTACAAATTGAATACTTAATGTTACGTGTTACATTTCAGATAAAATATTTATTATTAATGATTAATTTAATCATTAATATTATTTAATTTTAATTACAATAATTTTATTTAAATTTATACATAACAAATGTATGTAAATTGAGAGTAGGAGATAAAAATCATGAAGATTAAATCGTGTATGTGTGAAAAGACAAGTAATATGTAAACAGAATATTTAAGACAATTGATATACTTAATTTGAGAATTGCAAAAAATTTAGATTGATTTAAATTCAACGTTGCAAAACATATTCCAATCAGAAGTATAATGTCAGTTCAATCTTGATTCGACGTCTGAGCGATTGAGAGTCCGTTAAGTTTAAAGGTCTATTGAAAATGAAGGTCTATTTTAGTGTAATATTATTTATAAATGTTTCGCAATATTTGAGATTATAAATAATTGAAGGGATGTTTTTATCATTATCAATAATAAATATACAAATTTACGAATAGTAAAATATACACATGATAAAATTTTGAATATAAACTAGAAATATTCTTCCTCCCATTGATAATATATAATTATAGATTATTTAAAATCCTTTTTTCTAATTTTATAATATCTTTTACACGATATATATAATTTGTGACAGAATTTAAGATAGAATTCTGATTATTATACATATATAAAATATAAATATATGTTTTTTATATAATTATTTTTTAAATGTTTTTATTTAATAAAATTAATAAAAATTAGTGTTCTATTTTTAATTTTATTTCGAATTATAAATGTAACCAAAATAAACAAAATCACAAAATAACTTTTAATTTGCAAGGCATTTGAACATAATTAATTATTTAACTCGATAATAAAATTATAATGAAATGATAGTCAAAAATTCGTCAACAATTTGTACCATTTCGATGTAGATTCGATCAGAATTTCAAGATTACTTTAACATTTGACGTTATTTCGATATTATATCAATTATATTAATTATATTATTTCTGATTGGAATATAATATACATCAAATTTATGTTTATGTATATGTAATTTATGAAATAAATCGATATATACCTGTAGCTGGAGATGATCAATCTTCAAATTTGTGGAAGCCTTTTCGACGTTCAATCGTAGAGTATCGTCGGTCGCCGCATGTTCCTCCCTCGGCTTGAAACAGTTCGAACAGAGTTCCTTCTTCCAGGCGTTTTGCACGAAGCGATTGCATTGTGTGGACATTGTTGCCTCACCCACAGCGACAGCGAAAGTCCCGTTACATCATCACCCTGGAAATAGTAATCGTTCAATTCTCTCTCTCTTTCTCTCTCTTCGAGTCGGTGCAACGCGATGCATTACAGCAGCTAAGGAACGTGATAGTGCATGAAAAGCTATTTCGTTCCGGATCATGAAATTGCGAGAGTTATACCTCGAATATATAAAGCAACTCATTTTTTTATAAAATGATTTTTTTTATAAAGACAGCGACAAATCTCTCTCTCTCTTCAGAGTTGAATTCGCGGGATACAAATAATTGCCGCCTATTCTACTTTTCAATTTACAATAGATAAGAATAATAATTGGTTTTTGATAAATTTTTTTATAAGAAAGTGGATAAATTTTTGTTTTAAAGCATAATCATTGTAATTGATTAATGAGATTTTTATTTCTATTATGTAATTGATTAATGCGATTTTTATTTCTAGAAATACTTGAAACGATTATTTATTTTAAATTTACTTTAATCATTGTTAATGTTCGTTATAAAGTATAACAAAAAATTATATATATTTATATTACTTTTTTTCAAAATATATAACAAAAAATTATATATATTTATATTGCTTTTTTTCAAAATTCTATAACAATCATTTGAACTAGCTCCAATTTTTCAAAATATCTTGAAAAAATCTTTACTAGAAAAACTTAATCAAATATTTGACTATAACTTCTTTTTAAAATTTTATTAACGATCAAGTGCAGTTTCAACGAGCGATTATGTTAGATGGAGGACATTAAATTCAAAACGAAACGAGTGAATACATTTTCCTGTCCACAGCCTCGGTCAGCGCGATAGCCATTGCAAATACAATCGGGACAATTGACTGGAGCTGTCCGGCCAGCTGAGTAATTGCTTCACTTCCGGTCTCGGTTTTATGTGCAGCGATGGCCTCTGGCCCGTCATTAGCAAGTAATACTGTGTAAAAATACTGTGCCATCACGAATCCTCTTTTCCACGAACAAGTTGCAGAGTTTATGGAGAAACGAAACAAGAATTTATTTTCGCGCTGTATATCTGCTGTATACCATTTTCATATTTTATATATCTCCTTCGCTTCAATTTTAAAGTTTTATCGCGAAAAACTATTTATTTTTATCAATCATTTATAATCTCGTTAAACTGTCATTTCTTTGCAATAATCAGTGAAAACAGGCTCCAAGATACTTGTAGATTATATCATTAAAGATTTATATGGTAGAGCAAAAGTATTTACAAGAAATTATATTTATATCAATGTTTTCCTTCAAGTACCAAGATTAGTTATTTATTGACACTCCAGAAACATCGTAAATATACCGAAACGTCATAGATGAAGAGTTTAGGATTGAACGATATCTTGACTAATCTTGATATTGTCTTATTTCGTCTCGAAATTCGGGACAAGATTTTTAATTAATTACGAAGACAATACTCAGAATAAAATTGTTTAGAGAATATTAGTTTTGTTAAGATTGATTTTTTTTAAAAAAGCTAATATATATATTTTAATTAAATAAGAAAAGATTATTATATTATGTATAAACGTAACAAATTTTATTTAATAAATAAAAGCATTTATATTAACTAATTTGGGAGCAATGAATACAATATGAATACAAAACACGAAAAAAAGTAATATAAAATTTTACACGAGTATTTACATAAAACTTTGCACATATACATTTTCCTGATTGTGTGCGTGAACCCCATTTGCATTTCTAATAATTGCCTTTTAAAGACAAGGAATACTTGTATAGATATATTCCTTTTATTTTTTAAGATTCTTTAAATTTTTTATATTCCTTGTTGTGTTTTTTGAATAGCACATAAATAATAATTATTATTTTATAAATTATAATAAAGAATGTATATTAAATATTGTTTTAAGTTATTCAGTCTTAAATAAAAATTGATAATAAAATCGAGACAAGATAATACAAAACGAGATTTTTGCTAAGATTCATTCGAGATCGAGACAAGATTGAAGTTTTCGAAAATTTTCAATACTGTAATAAAATATTATTTTTACGAATATCGTCTTGTCTTGAGTCTTATGCAACCCTAGAAGAGTCGTCATTAGCATGCGGGACTCGCGAGTACTCGCAGACCAGGATACGAGGTACCGTTGGCAATCTCGATTGATCCGTTACATCTCTTGCGTTCTCGTCCGGCTCTCGTGCGCGTGAAAAGTTTGCGCGTCGCGGTCACGTAAAGATTGACGATGACGTGAACGTGTTTCACGGTTAGATGGTAAATTTAAATTCCACGTTTCAAAGGTGAAAAAAGAATTTTTCCAGCTGCGAACCACAAAAAGGACTGACTGCACAAAAGGACGAAACGAAGCATTGATAGAATCAAGATCGAAGATAATCCTTATATAAGAGAGACAAATTTCAATAAGCTTCGAAAGATTGTTTAACATGTAGGTCCAGCTCTTGATAAAGGGCGGTGCCTGATTTGGAATCTCATGTCTCTCTTGTTCTTTAATAAGAAACGCAATTGTGTCTCTAAAAGAGTTTGGTACTTTTTAATTTCTCCAATTGTATAATAAATACTTTCCGCAAAGATTGTATTAATTATGATTGGAGAAAGAATTGTAGTTTTATATAATATACTGCAAAGAATTAAAAATCATTTCTCTCTCTCACTCTCTTATTGTTAGAGAAAGTCTATACATTTTTAATTAAATATTTCTTGAAGATAATCCAACTCTCTATATATATTTTTAAATAATTTTAAAAATTATAAAATGTTTTCTTAATTAATTTAAAAAATTAAAAATTAATTTTAAAAGATAAAAATTTTGTTTTTTTATTTTTTAAGATTTTTTAAAGATTGCTGAAATTTTATTTTAGATACATACATATATATAAGGCTTCTAGTCTGTCGCCGCAAATAATATCGTCGCATATAATTGAATTATGTTTAATAGAAATAACATAAAATAACATGAAAATAGTATATATAATAGAAATAACATGAAATTATATACATGTAATTGATAGAAAATTGCTTTCTCATAATCATAGAAATGAGATTTCATTTCTCTATACAAAGTTATTTATGAAATATTGTGACTAAACACAGATATTTTCAAAACATTATATTAAGAATTAATTAATAATAGCGAATTGCGGTTTCAATCTCTTACAAAATGATACTGTTTAAGCAGCAGAGAATTCATGCTATCTTCTTCTCAAGAAGAATTCTACATAATAATTAGTACTCTTTTTATTTTACTCAAAACCGGGAAATCATTGGAGTTTGGGATGCGTAAATCTCTCACGAGACGACTCTCAGTAACTCGCGGATTCTTATAATAATGCCACTTTGCAATCATTACAAATTAACGGTTGCTACGTAACTATATATAACGATTCTCGCATATAGCGGTTACTGTATTGCAGTTATTATAAATTAACTTCCCTACGTAACTGTGCATTCCGTGACTGAGAGAGGTAATCCCTTTACATTTGCACATACGCAAAATGAATCGTTCGCCAAGTTTCTTTCTTCGAAGTGTACAGTCGCGAAGGCGGACCTCGACTTCTCATTCCATTGAGATGACGCGCCAAAGCGAGCCGAAGGGCGAGGCCAGTAAATTTTATGTATCGCAATACTCAAGCAAGCGTGACTTTACGAAGACAAAAAGTGCTCGCGGCTGTATCATTTTTTTCTGTATATAATCTCTGTTATTTTAAAAATTTAATTATATTTATTTTATTTTTCTCATAAGAATTCGTGAGTTGTGAAAGTTGTCGAAAGTCAACATATTCTTTACTCCATATTATATGTGTAAATTTTAGAATAGAGAATGTAAGCACTCTTCAAGTATTCTTTGACAAATTTGAGCATTCTGATAATTAAAATTGCATAAAATACCAAGTTTTGATATTGTCTTGTTTTTTTTTAATTCGAGACAAAATCAAGATAAATTGATTTATAATTAATTGTTGAAACAATCTAAGATTAAGATTATCAAGAGATTGTTGGTCTTGTCATTATTATTGATTTTAGAAAGACCAAAATGCATATTTGTCAATTAGATGAGAAAAAAATCATTATATTATATTATATTATATATGAACTTACACAATTTCATATTTAATATATAATATTTATTTAATTAAATTAATTAATTAATTAATTTTTATTTAATATTTAATATTTCTTTATTTAATAAATAAAAACATTTATATAAAGAAGAAGTGTCGATAAGTTTAATTGTTTTTGCTATAAATTGATATTATTACTAGGAATATATTAATAAATATATAAGTTTTATTGAAATATTTACTGTGCTTATATATATCAACCAATGACATAATAATGATAGTTTTTTTAAGTAATATTATGAACCTAATAAAGAAAAATTAAAGATTCAAACATGTTATTGAAATAAAAATAATAGTATCAATGATATTATATTATCTTAATAGTTATATATATTATACTGACGTTCTTATTTTATTTTTTTCGCGCATTTGCGTGATCTAAAGCCAATAAATAATGATGTCCAAAGAAATAATAACTATTCTTTTTATACTTTTCAAATAACACGAGTAACAAAACATAAATAAAACATATTGTAAATCTTATTATGAGTATCGGATTTTATTTTTTACTGCGAATTGCAGTACTTCAACCACTTTTATGTGTGTTGTGTCTTATTATATACGACGCATGTAAATATTTTTTTAATACACAAATGAGCTTTATAAAAAAATTGCGACCGAATGCTAAAAAAATATAATTTTTCATCACTTTGGTCAACTCTAAGTTCAGGCCGTTCTTCAATGGATGGTATTCAAAAAAAATAAGAAAGATTTTTCTCATTTCTACAGAGAAGATATTTTCTCTTATCTTTAAGAAAGATATTTTCTCATTTCTACAAACTTTCCTATATTTATTAAATAATAATATTTACTAAAATATGAAAAAAAATTTCGATTCCTCGCATATTTAAGAAAAAGCGATATTTTGGAGCCGATTTAGAATCTTATCTATATATTTTCTTTAAAAACGATT